GGCGAGGACGGAAGATAGCAACCAGTCGCTTACCATTCGCGGAAACTATCACCAGCAGAACTCAACTACGACATATACGACAAAGAGTTGCTGGCAATTGTGGACGCAGTACGCGAATGGAAGGTCTACCTCGAGGGCGCCGCCCACGAAGTACAGATCCTAACGGACCACAAGAATCTCATTTACTTTACAACGACCAAAGAATTGAACCGACGCCAGGTTCGATGGTATGAAACACTCTCTACCGTTAAACTTCGAATTTCTTATGTCAAGGGAACGGAAAACGCCAGAGCCGACGCTCTGAGCAGGAAACCAGAATATCTCGCAAACAAAACTCACGAATCCCACACCGTACTGCGGAAGGATGGTGATTCGCTAATAGTCAATCACCGACAGCTGGCCTCAACGGGCCAGGTCGCCGAGAAAGTCTGGAGGGGCTATGCCAACGACCCGGTCATAGCCGAACAGAAGAAGCAGCTGGGCGAAGGATTCTCCTTCACCTCAGACGGCACGCTTCTGTACCAAGGACGAATCTATATACCCACTGGGGACAGGATTAAATTCGTCACGCACTGGCATGGGCTGCCCGCTCATGGACACCAGGGGGTAGCTAAGACGCTGTCTAGGCTATCCAGGGAATACTACTTCCCAGGAATGAGGAAGGTAGTCAAAGACGTGGTAGCGTCGTGCGACACATGCATCCGGAACAAGGCATCACACCATGCTCCGTATGGGCTCATGAAGTCACCAACAACACCACCTCGCCCATGGAAATCAATCGCTTTGGATTTCGTGGTCGAGCTACCACCCTCGAAAGACCCAGTCACAGGAATCGTATACGACTCGATCTGTGTGATAACGGATAGGTTCACAAAGTACGCGTACATGGTACCAGTACTTGGAACACAGGACGCGCCCATGATGGCGCAGGTATTCCTCAGAACAATCTTCGCAAGCCACGGAATACCAGATGAGGTCATCTCAGACAGAGACAAGCTCTTCACCTCGAAGTTCTGGAAAACTCTCATCGCGCTCTTAGGAATGAAGCAGAAAATGTCAACCGCATTCCATCCTCAGACCGATGCACAGACAGAACGAATCAACCAGATAATGGAAACTTATCTTCGGTGTTATGTGAACTACAAGCAGGACGACTGGGTGCAACTACTTCCACTCGCTCAGTTTGCATATAACAGCGCGGACCAAGAGACCATTGGAGTATCGCCGTTCTACGCGAATTATGGGCACAATCCCACGGCATACAACCCACCAATAGCCGGTCAGGGTACCGCGCAAGAAGCCATACTACAGGCAGATGAGCTTAAACAGCTCCATGAAGAATTGTCAGCCGATATTCTCTTCATCGCGCAGAGATCTGCGATCTACTACAACAGAAAGCGTAGCATGGGACCAACGCTCAAGGAGGGGGATAAAGTCTACTTACTCAGAAAGAATATCACAACCAAGCGACCAAGTCACAAATTGGATCACAAGAAGCTAGGACCATTCAGGATTGCAAAAGTCAAGGGACCAGTCAATTTCCAGCTAGCTCTTCCAAGGACAATGAACATCCACCCGGTATTCCATATATCCCTCCTCGAACCAGCACCACCAGGAGCACCACCGGCTCCTGTCACCGAAATACAACCAATCAACCCGAACGCCGAGTACGAAGTAGAGACTATTCTCGACTGTCAGTATTCCCACGGCAAGGCAAAATATTTGATCAAGTGGAAAGGGTACCCACAATCGGAAAACACCTGGGAACCCAAGTCTAACCTCCACTGCTCGGGACTCCTCCAGCGGTACCATCGGGAGCATGGGGGACCGCGGCGGAGGGGGAAGGAAAAGAAAGCCCCAACCAGAAGGAGTCGGGCAACCCGGAAAAGGCTTGGGGATCAAGGGTAGGATCCTCGAGGAAGCGGGAGGCTTCCGCCAGGGAAGAAGCGGCTTCTTCCTGACGAGCGGCCTCCGCGCGTTCGGCAGCTTCAGCAGCGTCGAGTTCGTCGAGCGTCTCGACGCCTCGACGGATCATCTCTTTCTCGCGATCATCCAGGAAGCGCTGTTGCTTGCGAAGGCGGAGGATTTTCGCCATCGCCTCTTCCTCCTCGTCACGAAGTTTTTGGCGCTGGCGATCCAGCGAGGACCAGTCGCTCAAGGACGGGAGTTTCGAGGTGTAATTACAAGAGGAGCGCTTCTTGCGAACGCACTCCGAACAGCGAGTGGATTCCTTGGAATCCACCACACAGCGGCGCTTGTGAAGCCGACAAAAATCACAAGGAGACATTTCTTCTGCGTCTTGGGAACGATCGATTCGAAGGGCCAGGGCGATACGTTCAAGTTTCTTGCGGGTCGCCTCAGAGGTCATGATGGAAGAAGAAGACGGCCGTGGGCAGTCGTCGATATTTCCTTTGGCATACTTAAGCGTGGGGACCACGCTAGGCTAGGGAGGGGATAGTGTTACGGACGCTCCTGGGAGCCCGCTGGGTCCCAGGAGGAAATATCCTCAGAGCAGGCGTACTCCTGGGAGTCGGACGGCTCCTAGGAGTAAAGCTCACAGGAACCAATAAGGTCTAAGGAACATGTATCACATAGCATTACATTATAGTAGTATTGCAGGTCACGGTGATCTGGCAGCGGCCTTCCGCGGTCGGGTCACGTGACGGATCCCAGGGGATCCCAAGGGATCCAGTACGACTATGTCGTGAAGGATCCCAAGGGACCTGTGGGATCCAAGGAGAACGAAGGTTCTATATAAGACTGGCACGTCTGCCATTAGATAGGAGCTTCGTGCTCAACTTCAAATAGTATTCTGATACTTAGTAACTGTCTTCCCGTCTACGTGATACACCTACCTCTCGATCATCAGAGATCAACTGCAGCCTTCTGTATTTACAGCGAGTAAATACCGGACCGTTACACCTGCGACTCACACTACACCTACCCTTTGGTACACACTCTACCTACCCTTTGGTACACACTACGCCTACCCTCTGATACACACTTTACTTACCCTTTGGTACACACTCCACTTACCCTGTATTATCTCCTTCTGTCTTAGTACTCTACCTTCTGTACCCCTGACACCTTCAGGCTCTTACCCTCTGTATTATTAGTATAGTCCTTCTGTATTTCAAGACTATTAGAGAGAGATAAAAACACTCGTCGCAAGCTAGCGTAGTTAGAAACAAATATAACCCAAACCTCAAACCCTAACCCTAAGTGTCCGATCTTATTATCTTATCTTTTACTTTATCTTTTAACCTCTTATAGTACTATACTTAAAAGGTATTATTATTCTAGCTAATCTAATTAGTGAACTACTAGAAAGTAGTAGTATATATAGTTACTAACCTGACCTGCTTTAGGTTCTAGATATTCCGCTTAGCGGTATAGTTCTAATTAATATTACTAAAAACGTAGTTAATCCTATATTTGAAACTTTCGAAGGATATAAAGATCTTTTAGGATTCCTTAGTTATTACTATAGAGACTTTTCTATCCTTAGTTTAGTTTTAAATATAATTCGAGAGAAAAGTCTCGATCTAATTAAAGGTAGATCCTTAGAAAAAGGATAAAGCCTAAAGGACTTTATTAGTATTTATAGTAAACTAATAACTATTAAAGCTTATATAGAGCTTAACTTACGTGAGGTATACTTTAAGTTTAGATTAGTCTTTACTATAGAGATCCGAGGCGGCGATCTTAAGTATATTTTTTATATTAAAGATCTTAGTAGAAGCTGAGTTATTATTCGATAATAATCCTTTAATAGAGGATATGTTATCTTTATAAGTCGGTACTTTTAATAAGATAGTACTTAAAGTATAATAGTCCGGTATTTACTTATTATAAATATAGAAGGCTATAGTTAATCCCTAATAATTAAGAGGTAGGTATATTATATAAATAGGAAGATAGTTACTAAGTATTAGAATATTATTTAAAGTTAAGTACTAAGCTCTTATCTAATAGTAGATATACTAGTCTTATATAGAACCCTTATTCTTATAGATCTCTTTAGTATAGATCCGTAGATCCCTAGATCCTTTCCCTTACTATAGGATCTAGGGATCTAGGGATCTATTACGTGATATTAGTCGCTAGAACCTGTGCCTTTAACTGCAGTACTTTAGATTATATAATATATATAGCTACTGTAGTACTATAAAATCCTAGGGGAGGAGTTCTCCTAGGAGCTCTTACTTCCTAGAAGACTTCTTCTAGGAGCAGGTGTCTCCCTGAGCCTATAGTCTCCTAGCCCCTCCTGCCTGGGAGTCCTCAGGCTCCTAAGTGGTCCGTGATAGAGGCGACCGCTAGCTATATAAGCTAGTTAAGTAAGGGCGCGCGGGCCCTGCCCCGACCCGGGTTCCCGCGGCGGCCCTAGGGGAATCCGGCGGGAATACGCCTAGACTAAGATATAGGATCAGAGCTACCTAGCTAGTAGCGTGTAGAAAGATTTTAGTAAGGCTATAGAGAAGGCTGATATTCCTGCTAGCGCAACGGTCGCAGTCTTGGCGTAAGTATTTTGAACTGCAGCTTATACTTTAGCGGTTAGTTACTGATACGAAGCTTAATGAAAAGAAGCATCCAAGCTCGAGCGATAGCAAAAGTCACTTCACTACTATCTTTGAGGACGACGATGGCAAGCATGTTTCGACCAAGCACATCTATCCATGAGTTCTGCCCGGGTAGTAGGCTAGTAAAACAGTGGGAGGACATGGAGACGTGATATATTCGAAAGGCCATGTGCGAGAAACGGTGGAATTTGAACTTAGATCCTTGTTACTACTTTGTAATATAGGAAGAGTGTGTCTGCACGGATTTATTCTTGGATAATGGTGGGGAATGGTAGAGAGATCTGTATTGCAAGGACGTCAGGACGGAAGAGTCCTCGCTACTATGGCTAGCACTATATAGATAAGCCAAAGCCTGTTCGATATATTCCTTCTTTCGCTAACTCATCTGGATCGTTTGAATTTATGTAGAACCAATGTACCTCAGTTCAAATAAGGATCCTTTACAATGTCTAACATTGATACTCTTTTTCCTGGATCCAGATTCGTCATCCTCAAGATCAACCTCTTTGCCTCGTTCCCGAGGTTCGGAAATACATCCTCAGACCATTGCTCAAAAGCTTCGTTTGACTCGTCTTCTGCAATGGCTTGCCACAGACCTGTCAAGAGGACTCTAGCTTCTTCGTCATTGACATGCTTCACCAGCGCATCCGGTAGCGGGCCGAAGGCTGAAAGCAACTTGAACAAAATCACTGGCTCGGGCTCCACATCGAGTGTCTCGAAATCTGGGTGAAAGCATTGCGCCCCTGTGATCACGTAAAGACACTAAGAGCCACCGTTAGCAAAAATGGTCAGACCGAACAAAAATTACTCGCTAGAAGTGCAAAAGAGAACACCTCCGAAGGTTTCCCAACACCTTTCCCTAGCTGTCCTTCCGGGCTACGCCACATGACATTCCCCATCCTGTGATTTAGGAGTTTTCGGCCTTCCAATTTCAATGCACAGTCCATGTCGCCCAGTGCCACCTGCTCCAGCTGGAACTGATCTTTCTCGTCCACATGCCAATTAACAAAGACATTGTTAGGCTTTACATCTATAGGATAAGTCAGCGGAGATTTATAGGCAATGGGCATCGGAGCTTCATTTGGTACCTAAGTGTATCCAATTCTTAGCATGAATATCGCGCAGTCCTAGCCCAACCTCTTTCAGAATTGTCTTTCTTGCTTTTATTGGAAGGGCTGGATAATTCTCTACCAACGAAAGCAAATCGGTCTTAAAGTACTCGTAGACGAGTACATTTTCAGTTTTATTGTCGTCCACATGAATTCGAAGCCGAGCATTATTGCCAAACTCGTCTTTGAACTCCTGCAAGAGGTCGAAAATTGACTGGGAAACAGGCTTTAGAACAAAGAGTTTTCCATCACAACTAGAATTATTTTTCATCCAGTCAGTCATGATATTGAGGAAGGAGCTAAATGGTTCACGCTTACAGTGCAAGCTTGATGTCAAACCCTGGTTTTGTGGGATGATGCTGAAGTACCTTTTGACACACATACTTGCGACCGGACTGACCAACAAGCGTTGAAAACATCCTAACAGCTTTAAAAACACGAGCACGATAAAGATTCATCAGGAGATAACTTGGAATAAAGGTAGGACGAGTTGAGCAGAGTAAAGAAACAAGAGCAGGTGAGGCGACCGTGGGGTACAAGTCCAGAGCGCGTATGTTGGTACTTGGTATGTTGGAACTTTCCCTTTATCTTATTGGATCATCGATCTCGTCGCGGAGAACCAGACGATGTGGATCTCAATCACGTGGCTATTAGCCGCTGGTGCTAAATTTAGCGCGGAATGGTTGGAACTCTCTGACGCCTTCGCGTTCCAAAATGGCCATGTTCGTCCAAGCCAGTAAGCAAATATGCGGTCCGAGTACGATCAGGCTCAACAATAGTTAGCACATTGGCATCGAATAGCTGGGCCGGCTGGACTATCCTGTGGTTATCGACGACGATGACGTTTGCGACCATATACCCACCCACTGCCCAAGAAGTCCACCTCCTCCAACATCGCCTTCGACGTCGCGATCCTCTCCCCTCTCCCCCCTCCACAGCTCTCCTGCATCATCATCGCAACGTACCGTACCATCACTCGGTGTCTCGTCGCGCAACACATCTGGGAGTGGTTCCAGTCATGAAAGGATATATGCGGGCATGGATAGACTGGAGAATACAAAGCGCATGCGTATGGTTCGTGGAGTAGTGCTTAAGACAGTTGCTTCCAGCGAGCAAGAACAAACCAAGTCGACCGAAGTTGCGGAGACAAATGATTCAGCTGCTCCGTCCTTCAATGAAGAGCCAAGGTGGAACCCAGAGCTGCTACAGACAGGCGCAGAAGAGATACCATTCTCGAGAGCTTGTTCCCAGCCGCATTTCATCCTATTGAAGTTGCGGCTGCCTCTGGAGAAGCAGATCTGAAGTGTCAGGATCATCCTGGAAGGTGGCATGTTGGAAATCCTGGGGTCAGAAGATGCTGGAAATATCATAACATAGGCATTATGAAGAATATCTGGGCTTGGTGAACAAGTGTCCCAGGCAGTAATAATATGATTCGGTGTCGACCCGCTGGGGCTTTCTGCAATTGTTATTGAATAGCTGTCCTCGGACTGCCTTGATTTGATCGCATGCACCCTGATCTATATGGTTTGTTGAACAAGGCAGTTGAGTTGAATTGGGTTGAGTAACGTCAAAATGTTCAAGAACAGTGTGAACCCGATCCAGTATTGGGTACATTGCGGTATTGGTCCTGCATACCCAAGCAGCATGTATAACAGTCGGTACTTGAAGAATCACCTAGTGCGACCACGTATCGTAAGCTGTTTCCATATTTCTAGCCTGTCCTTAAATCCCTACGCTAATGCATGTCTCAATCTCGTCCTGCGCATGTTCCTGTGTAGGTATCGCGCGCCTAGACACAGCCCATATAGTGTAGCAGCCGAAATTGAGTTTCTTCTATTCTCTAGCCTACTTTAGCCAAACCAGAACAAAGACCTAATAGCCAGACAGGTAGAAAGTAAACAACCTAACCGAGCACAACCGTCGATTCTAAACAGGACGACTAATATTCAACAGCCTGTCATAAAATTCTGTCATCGACTAAACACAAAACACAACTCCATCTACCACTTCAGTGGGTAACTGCTGGGATCCAACCCAAAATACCCACTCTCCGGCAACGGTAGCAAACTCGCATTGTTATTATACAACTGGTAATCAACCCCCTGTAAAGCAACATCATTACCCCACCAGCTGAAATTAGAATTCTTCCCCACCCCAAAGCTGAACACCAGCGTTACAATCAATCCGGATATTGCCACACCAACACTCAAACCTGCGAATACCATGTAGGCATACTTTCCCCACCAGGCGGTATAGCGACGCTTAAGGTAGTACTGAAAGAACCAGGCAATGAAGATACCTAGCGTGGCGTAGGAAAGATTCGTATTCCCCGCCCATTGCAATGCACCTGACAAAGCGACAGCTGGATTCAAGGTCGACATAACGGCAGCAGTTGGCTTCCAGATGTATTTGTCGAACGATGTGGACTGTTTAGCATCCAATCGAGATTGAATGAGCTGTCGGATCCGAGGAGCTGCCTTCTCAACCACAACCCAAGTCAATCCAAGGATGGCTCCAATCAAGAAACACCAAGGTAAGAGTGGATAAAGCTGGAACATGTTGTTCGTCCCAAAAGCACCGAACGAAATGACCGACGAAAAGACAGAATTTGCATAATTGCACACCATATACTGCTTGTTATTCCACTGGCAAAGCGTGTTGTCTCCGTTGAAATAAACGACCATGACCTCCAGCATGGCACAGTAGATGAAGCAGTTGACAACGCAAGATGCGATATGTCCTCGGAACACAGCTCGGGGCGGCAACTTGGCATAATGTGCATACTTTAAATCTCCAGCAAATCCACCTGCCATCTGCTCAAAAGCGCCTCCAAGCATGAGGATGACCAACTGTGGAAGTGGTTGTCCAGGCCATATGACACCAGGAAGAACCTGCCAGATCACATTGAGTGAAATACCAGTAGCGGCAATGGACTCAATAATGATCCAGGGAATCGTTAACACTGATCCGACACCAACCACAACGAGGATCGACCACCAAGGAGTTTGAGTAGGCCATGCAGCAACGCCAACAACCGAGACAATGAAACCAAACACGAACACGATGGTGTACCACCACTCCGGGACCTCTTTGTATGGTTTCATCAAGCGGGTCTGACCATCGGTGAACCCTGTGTAAATGGATCGTCGTTTGATGGTATTCACCACGATGCCGACAAAGGCTTTCTTGAGGGGCTTCCAGTACTTGACGAACACGTACACGATCGAGAAAGTGTAGTATACGAAGTTGGCACCCGTAACAAAAAGATTTGCAACAGCGTAGTAGGGCGGCCCATATTCCTTGTATGCTTCAAGGTTCACTCTATTGTCTTCGGTAAGCACCTTGCTGATGTTGTACGACTTCATCTCCTTGTCGAATGCCGCATTGGAGTTGATAGGCATGTACGCAGCCCATGACATGTTCGTATAGTACATGATGAGAATAACCAGACCCGCAATGACGCGCATGCAGTACTGTTGTAGCTGAGCAAAGAACGGAGAATTCATGGCAGTCGAACCGGATGCATTTGGATCCCAAGAGGAGAATGGATTGAACCCCATTCCACCGTAGGATCCAGTCACGATAGCCAAATTCTTGTTCTTTGGAGAAATCCAAGTCATCCAGTTGAAGAGTCGCAGAGCTTGGAAGAACTTGTTTGGTATCCAATAGTAAAAGAGAAATACGACACTGGCAATGACGAATGTTCTGTAGCGAGAGATCCTCCAGCCATCTACAGTCATCAGCACTGTCATTCTTCTGCAAGACCGAGGAACTTACGAATGACTTCCCCCTTGTTCTCACTTGTGATCAAGGCTCGATTCAATGCCAGCGTAGGTAGCACACCTGGCCAAACAGCTTCCTGTGGGTAAACGCTCAGGCGACGCAGCATCCCGGCAGCCCCGAGACCAAAAATCTGATCTGCAAGTGCAAGGACAATAGCGAATCCGAAGCTGGCCCAGCGTTGATTGAAGAAAATGGGAAGTCGCATAACCAACAACCCTGTGAAGTTCCCAATCGTGTTCGCTTGGGAGATGATGGTGGCAAGTAACTGTTCTTTGGATGACCAGGGTCCTGGGTTCAGGGTGTACCTTTTTCCACGCAGGTGAAAGCCCCAGTCAGGAAGAGCAAGAGCGAGGAATCGACCCATTGGTACAATGAGAAGTTGGATGACCTGGCCAGGTATGGATATACCGGGTTGTCGAGGACTGAAGACTGGGACGTGTGAGTGGCATGGAACTTAGGGGGGTAATTTAACTCACAGGTGTTCACAGCAGAAGCAACACAAACCCAAAAGAATCCAACAACATAGGCTCGAATACTCTCACATGGCTCTTCCGGATCATCATAAGGGAGTGTAACAGCGCGAACCTCGGCGTAAGGAGACCAGTTGTGAATCGTGCCAGCCGTCCTGCACGTCACATAGGCCCAATCCTCATGGTTTAGCTCGCAAGCAGCACTACCCTCCAGCAACTGCCTGCATCGCTCAATCAAAACATGGTCGATGGTATAATCAGTTTCAAGATTCTCGACGACTGATTTGAGAATTTTGAGAGACTCTTCTTCATTCAACGTGAGAATGGCGGCCGCAACTCGATCAGGATCAGATCCTGCAGGCAATGTCTCGCTCTTGCCATTGTGCTGTCCAGTGTACTCAGCAACTAGGCGTCGATGCCATTCCTCGGGTGCAGTCCAACTGTCGTCAAGCGATGTTGCATGTAGTGTTTTTTCGTTCACATCGAAAACCTTGACATCACCCAGAGACTGTTTATCGTCCAGAGACTCTTTATGATCCATTGTAAAAACAAGTAGAGTGAAGACGAGTACCAATGGCCTGTCCGATTCTGAGGTGGACTTACATCAAAGTTCTTTGTCAAAGGAGCGGAGCTGTGTTTACTTATGGAAAGGTTGGCTGGTTTTCCGCCTCGGCGCTCGTTAGCCCCAAGACTTTGGCCAAGGCATCCAACCATGCCCATATCTTATCAAAAGCGTCTGTGTTACATTGCGTATCAAAGTCTCGACGGTGGCGGTCAGGGTCGTTTGCCGATCAGTGTTGGACATTATTGACGACTAGGAAGTCAATTCATTGACACTTTACCCCGCACTCCATTCACAGTCCGGCATATTGGGGCAACTCCACCAGTCCACATAGCTTATGCATTTAAAGATTGGACAGACCTGCGCTCCTTTCCATATCTGCTGTGCCCCATTGCATGTCCAATCACAGGATAAATAAAGGATAAATGTCAACAGTGGGATACTATCGGCACATCATTTACCGAACGGGAGGCGTACGCCACCTTCATTTCTGAACGCCGCCCTCGGCTTAATATTCATCAACTCGATGATGTCTTGTCGTCCTCTTCATCACGTATCCGAGTTTCCATCACTCTAGATGCCGTGGATTTGCCGATAGCACCTGGTCACAATGACTTTACTTTAGCGAAAACAATATGGGATACTTCGAAATAACCACCACATACAATGTGATCACATGTACAAGTACATAGAGTGAGGGGTATTTGAGGGAAATCGAAGCAGTACAAATAGTGGGGGATGTAATGTTACATCTCAATTTTGAAGCACAAAGAAATCGCTGCCATGGTGTGGCAGCAGGCGAAGCATCACGAAGTTAAAACTTGGCTATGGCACAGTCCGAGATAGGCAGGTGGTGCGTGGTGTTATTCCTATCTTGATTGCTTGGCCGAGTTGGCTCTCCTCCCCGCCATCCCCAACGCATCTAACTGCATTTCCCGTAGTCGTTCCTCAAGGTGGACCTGGTTCGGATCGTTAGTTCCTTTCTTGCCCTAGCTTGAGATAGCTTGACCTTGACCCCGTGGAACATATTGTGGGTTCCGTAGAACTGGAACCAACAATAACACAGCTCGACATGTCTCGTGGTCAATCTTAGCGAAACCCAAGGTTGGCCTTAGATTCCCAAAAGAAACGAACTCCGAATCCCAATCACAGTCAATAAGATACCATTATTCGTCCAATCACCACTTGTCCAGCCACCAACGTCGCAAAACCCCTTCGGATCAGTCGCATACACCCCATATAAGAGACTCAAGTCCGTCAAAAGAATACTGAACATGACGATTCTCCAGATCTTGATGTCGAGGAACTGGCGCAGGAGGAAAATCTGAATCCCGAAGATGCAGAGGCAATACGACCCGAGTGCTGTCAGCAGGTATCGAGTGAGTGGATCTATAGTTTTCACAGGGATGGCATGAGGAACGCTGCTGGTGAGGTATGTCGCATGGTCGAAGAAGAGGACATAGATACCAGATAGACAGACCAGAGGATCGATGTAGAGGAAGAAAATGCGGTAAAAGGCTGGAATCTCGACCATGATGGATATTTCGTCGAGCCGCACGAGGAGGGTACTGATGGGTTGACTTGTTTCGGCTGTGGATGGAAATGAATCTCGTGATGAGCTTTAGTGGACACAAGGAACTGTGAACTTAACGGGGAAGTGGGTTGTGAAAGAAGGTGGGGGGAAGCGCTCCACAAAACTGTAAGCTGACGACTTCCCCGCACTTACTGGGTTCTGCGGCGTAGGGACGCTAACCCACCTCTGGAGAAGGATCTAGTCCACATCCAGTCATTGGTATTTGCATAAACATCGAAAACCTATGTTTTATATAAAGGAACGAATTATACTGGCATCCAAGGTCTCTAAGTACATCATTTCTTACTCTTCGTATACGCTGCCCCGATCTCCTTCTGGTACCTGTCGAACAAAGCCTTCCGGTTTAATTTCAAAGTAGGCGTCACCAGATTCTGTGCTGTCAGCTCAGAAACCATCAGCTTGGGAAGGAGATTTACATTTTGAGGAGTCCATTCTTCATCTGTCAGGACAACTCCCACAACAATCTCAATTCCACTCAAGCCGGATCTCTTGCCGATCGCTTGCATTTGGTGCAATGCTACTTGCTGGATTCTCTCTTCGTAAATCAAGTCGCCAATGACTTTACGTTTTATGCCGAGAGATGCTGCAAGCTTGATCAAAGCAGGCTCTACTGGCTGGATCAAGATGATAGGATGGGTTTCAGATGTCGAGGCATAGACGCACAGGTTCGCCACGATGGGTGCAGATCGGTACAACGATTCGAGCTACTGATCAGCATGGTTCAGCTGAGACGAAGAAACATACCTTTTCCAGAGCAATGTACTCCCCGTTGAGCGTCTTGACAAGATTCTTCTTCCTGTCGATTATCCGTAAATGCCCATTTTGATTCCATTCGCCGATGTCGCCGGTCATGAACCAACCATCAGAGAAAGCAGCCGCTGTCTCATCTGGATTCTGGTAGTATCCTGCCGTTACGCTATGCCCTCGAATCCAGACCTCTCCTTGAGGATTGGGCAAGTTTGTGGCCAAATATCCTGCGTCTGGATAGTCGACGAGCTTCACTTCTACGGACGATTCGACCTCGCCGCATGCATCGACAGTCCAGGTTCGAGGGTCACAGATAGCACCCATACTGAGACGGGTCAGAAAACACTTTTAACAGTGGAGAATTACAAACCCAGCAGTTTCAGTCATCCCATATGCACTTATCAGAGGCGCAATAGCTATCGATATGAACTCTTGGGTCTCTTTCGAAATTGGCGCAGCAGAAGTCAAACAGACTCTAAGTCTCCCGCCTGTCGCATCTTTAACCTTGTTGAACACCAATGCATCAAGAAGCTTCCCTCCAGGAATTCCACTTGAGGTAAGCGCCCTAACACGTAAGCATTGGCCCAACCGATGATTTCAAAGCTCGTACCGCTTAGCATAGAATGCACTCCAGAACGCACTTTTCATGACCGTACCTCCATGATCAACGTTCGCGATGATACCTTTCTTCACAGTCTCCCAGACCGCAGGCACTCCAACCAGGAGGGTTGGCTTGAACTCTCGAATATCACCTAAGCAATTCCTACAATTGGCCTCCGACAGAGTCCTTGGTGAACCATAGCCGAGAGTTATACCACGATACAGGGCGACATGCTCCAACAGAACTTCGAAAATATGTGCAAGCGGAAGGTATGCCAGAAGTCCGTCTCCAGGATGTAGGTAATCGCCCAAAGTGGTGTTTATTCCCGCAACTGATTTAGTTAGCCTGCGCGATGGACAGTAGACTTGCACGTACCTGCTGCGACAATGTTTTTGTGGGTGAGTTCTACACCTTTTGGCACACCCGTCGACCCTGAAGTGTACATAATGTAGGCCAGGTCATCAGCTGCAGGAAGCACAGGGTCGGTGTGGCTCTGAGCTCCGAGGTGGCGAAGCTCTTCAAAACTCAGGATGGTAATTTTCTCAAAAGATGCTTTCAGTACCTGCAGGTCTTCTTGTCGGATCGAATGCTCGCTGTCGGTATTGTACACAATGAACTGGATATCTTTTGCATCACTCAGGACTTTGATGAGTATGGTGATCAAGTGTGGCTCCAGGAATATTGCTCTAGCCTTTGTTGCTTTCAGAGAATGTCGAAGTCCATTTTCTCCTAGGGTGTCGTAGGCCGTCACGATAGGCATCGACTGAGAGATTGCTCCATGAGCCGTTGCGAGCCAGTGCGCACTAGGCAAATGATCAGCGCTTAGTAACTATAGTGGAAAATACATACCTGGTCGAAGCAAACATGTGCACTCGATCTGGTGATGCGAGACCCAGTTTACGAAGGCCGGAACCGAGTTCCAGGACTTGCTTATGGTATTCCGTGAAGCTCATGTACTCGTACCCGCCCAGCTCAAAATACGACCACTTCTTCTCCGTTTCTCGAATGTCCCCATCCACAAGCTTTCTTACCTTCTTGATTTCATGGTGCATTTGGACGATCCTACGTGAGCCCAGTGCTTTCTGGTCGCCATGTCGCAATACGCTCTGCTCGACGATGTCGTAGAGGGTGCTGATACTCTCGTCTGGTTTGCAAACGAGGTTTTCAAAAGCTCGTGCATTCCGCCGTGGTGCTGTCTCTCCTGGAATGGAGGGTGCATCTACAACTGGAATTGTGAAAGGTGGCTTTCTGGACATGCGAGGTTCGAAGGTAGTGGAATTTGGAGGCATTGCGGAAAAGACCAGGCGGAGCAAGAAACAATCTGAGTTCGAAATTCGGAAGCTTAGACCATGGGTTATGACAGTATCGGACAGACGCGAGGTAGGAGCACGGATAGATCAATCAAAGTGCGCCTTGGAGCCATCAAGTAACCTCAGGGTCTGACCCGCCGAGGCAGATGGTTTTCCGGAGTCGGAAACCTAGTCCGCTCGCGGATTACTTGACGCCATCAACAATATATCCCAACAGAAGCCGAAAACTCGCATGTCTCCAACATTTCTATTAGAACAGCCTTTCCTGGTGCCAGGCAATCAATCCAAAAAGGATCAGAATACAGGTCGCTCCGCAGTTGCTGTATCCCTCTTCACGTGCACGATGGCACTGAGTGCCTCTCATATTTACGTACATGAGAGTATCCTGGATTGCGCACTGGAAATTCACTAGAAACAGGCTCATGATGAATCATTCTAACCAGGTTTTGAAGTCACAATGCAATTTGGAGTATCGCAGCAAAGTTGATGTGCTAGAAAGGTGTCCCGCAAGTCATCCGGGTCATCCAAAGTCGGAGTCAGGTAAATATGCCACCCATCCCCCAATCAAACCTACAGCTTGACTTCCAGAGAATGTACCAAGGAATTACAAAGAATGACAAGACTTATGCGACACCTAACAGATGACGCGGCAGATATGTTGACGCTGACCACTAAGCGAGACCAGGTGGCCTTGGATGGTTTGACATCGGAAAAGTGGAAAAGCCAGCCTCGGTTGTTCCGGCTGAGTCATCAATACCAAGAGACAGACAACAATGAAAAGAGGAAACACTCAGAGGGACGGAATTATCATTTGACGAAATTCGTCTTTTAGCAAAAAATACTAGGAACTATGAGAAGAGAGATGAACATCGGATCCAACCTCCTTCTAGCCTCGCGGAGCTCATCTGCATGCAATGATGAAGATCCGCAGTGACTGAGGTACCTTTAAAGGTTAGCTTCAATAGTCGACTTCAACTTCTCTGCACTAGCTCCGACAAAATCCGTAATGAAGGCCCCGTTCTTGTAGAACTTGAACGTTGGAACACTGCGGATAGCTTTGCTATCTGGTAAATCCGAAAGCTTATCGATATCAACATGAATGAATAATGCCTGACTATACTGGTTTGAAGCTCTATGTTCAAGATATTCTGTTAGTGGCAGAACTCAAGTATGACAAAAGAAGTTGAACAGAAGGGTAATATTGGAAAGAACATACGCTGCAAACCTGGGGGCCATAGCTCGACATGGGCCACACCATTCAGCGCTGAACTCTACCACGACAAGTTTACCTGGAGTCGCCATCAAGGAATCATACTCGGCGTTGCTGTATAATGTCAATATGTGAATCCAAGGCAGTTGCTGGGTCCACAATCTTGCGAAGGACAGTACAAACCTAGCCACGTGGTGAACCTTGTCAGGTTCAGTGCTAACGACTTGAACCGATTTGCCGCCCTGGTTTTGGAAATCCATTCTAGGAGGGGCAAGTGTTTTCTCACCTGCATCGAGGTATCGTCAATTAGTCGTAGGTTCTGGCGATAGCTATAGATTGGTTGGGGAGAGTTTAACATACTCTGTTTTGAGACAGCGACCAATGATGGAGTCCTGGCCATAGCAACTCCGTCATCCTAGACACCAATTAGCCTATAGTTTCCTGGATAAAGTCCAGGGGTAGTCTTGCTTGAATTGAGATATGGATTGTCATATCCCTGACTGGGTGAGATATTGCTGTATGTAGGAACAGCAAGAGAAAGCACTTGATTCAAGTCGAGAGGTACATCGTGGAATGCTCTGAAATCTGGTAGCGAGTTGGAGATGATGTTATGAAGCAAGAGAAGCTGCGATGGAAGATCCTAAAAGAAGGTAGAAGAAGAGAGAATTGTCCCTTCATACATACTTTGAATTCTATAGGCACAGTATTATGAGAAATAGGGGCCAGATTTCAGAGTTTCACGAAGTCTCACTTCGATATCGTTGTGTTCCGCTGTACCCAGGCTCGGTTGTCGATCGGGTTCAAATTGACCAAATTCCGTGTTTGTTTACCACCATGGTTGTCAAACCCGTTTTCTATTGGATATCCTACACCCCTCGACGACTTTCTCAAAGATTAGTGTTGTATTCGCAATTTAAGCTGTGTCACTGTCTCAACCGATTCCAAAAGCACGATCGGGAAGAAGCGCCAACGAAGGTGCTCCGTTTGAAGGGTTGCTGTACTTAGGTCACTCTACAATGTGAATCACAGATATAAATATCCGCTGTGCTCAGATTCAGCACAAATGAAACCTGTCCATGCTCACACTCGTATCTCGGTGCTGTCGTCACACAAAGTTTCCGATATGCCGAAGGAGGGCTGGGCTTCAGAATAGCAGTATTTGGGATAATAATACCACAAACCAGTCGTAAATGAACTTATCATCAGCAATCCATGAGATGATTGACTCGGTTATCATGATGGGCGCCGATTTGCTTCCATCGGGCTGCTCCTGGGCAACTTCTCGGAAAGCTGTAGCATGAGGGTAACAACAAAGTTCACCATATGGAGCGATAAATAATACGTCATGTGCTAGATTTTCACTTCTTTAATTCCAACAAGCGGGCTCGGATTAGATACTGCGTGTGGCACACATAATGTGCAACCAAACCAATGTTTGGGGGTCGGAACTATAGGAAGGGACCTGAAGGCTTGTACAGGCACATGATGTCAATTTAAGATCGCAGAACTCTTGGTCTATAGCATAAGCACTATATCTAGAAGGTTTTTTTTATTTACGTGTCATTGGTGGATGTCGAGATGAGTAAATAGTCCACCTCGCTACCCCGCGTTTTTGGCCCCCACATGTCATCGCCTTAAATGATTACCGGCTTGGCGCATGGTTGCCATCTGGCCAGTGCTCAAAGTTTGAGCATCGATAGCATCACCACAAAACCTCCACATCACTTCCAATCACCAGGAATCAACTCCGCAGGCTACAAGATCCTGAAAATCCTATGCTAAGTTGTACCATTGACTCGTCGAGCATCGTGTCGTGTTGGGCCTCGAGTCAGTAACAGAAGCTTCACGCCACAATATCAACAACGAGCCATACCTTCAGGCTATGAGCAGCTCCCCGCGCACCGAATCACACGAATGGATTATTTGAACACTGGCCGTTGCAGACTGCACCAATATTCATGGCTTGGATAGATGTTTGTGCGGCCGGGACATGCAGAGGGACTTGGTGGTATCTGGTTGACACATCTCTTTGGCTCGACAGACACGAAGCGTTGACTGGATACTAAAAGAATTGGACTCGACGGGTCCGTCCTCCGACCACAGTGCGCAGTAGTCACGTAAGCGTCTGAATATATTCAGTGGATTGTCAAGGCAATTCATTGTCTCAGCTGTACGAGACTTTCGGAGACTCTATGAAGTTGGGTCCGTAATTCTTTCAGTCGAGCACCAACAACACCGCCGACGCCTCGCATGATCACAGCGCATCGGATGCCCTACTTGAATCTCGGCTCAGAGTGCTGGATTTCTCGTCGTAAGGCTTTGCGGATCCTAAGATTCGGGTTTCTGGGTTCATATCCAGACATGGACGGAGCACTGACACCGAAGCACGACTACCGTTCGAGTAAAGTCCGCGGACCGTGGCAAAGAGTGGACAGATAAAAAGCCTCTGGCATATCGCTTACAATGAGCTTTCTTTTATTCACAGGGATCGACCTCTTGGGCTCTGCAACAGACATCATCCTTCGCCTCGAATCCTCACACATCGTCGATCCCTTGGCTCCCAGCTGCCACTCGGCGCTTCCCTCGCTCCTCGAACTTTCCCTGGAACATCCATCGTGTCCTTTCAATCCATTAGTCCATCTCGAAAAACCATATCCCGATCGTATGCACTTTCCAGCCTAATTCATACTGCTGGAAGAGGAAAATCTCGGAAGAGGAAAAACACATTCGAAACGAGCGTTGCGCATAACGGAGATGTGAAGAGGTATTTCAAAGGTATACCCAGATGCCAGTTTGGTCAGGCCGAGGAGAGGAGCACATCCAAGGCGGATCTTGAGGAGGATTTCAAACATTTCGCCACTCAGACAAATCTTCCCTGGCAGATATGAAAGAGAATGGCTTCTGTTCAAAGAAAAGACTTCGAAACTAAATGGAAGTCTCTCATGAATGCACTCACCTGCTTGTCGGGGCTGAGCGCTAAATCATGGATCGCACGAGAGCCTAGCTTCGCTCCAGTGAGCATCATCACTGGCATCTACGAAGGACTGCGATATAAATTTCAGGGAATTCCTCGTATCCGACCGTCTGGCAGTTTTTGGCTGCCATATCCATATTTACTGTCGTCGCAGTGATGGCACTGTCAAGTATCTCTCTGTTTTCAAATCCGAGTCAAACATGACTGGAAAGAGGGGGGTAAATGAGACCCTGAGGCATTTGAACGAAATGTAGACTCACAGTGACCAGGGCAGGTAGTGGGTTTAATGAGCGATCATCATCATCAACAACAACAACTAACCTCCTCTGATTCCGCTCTTTGCCATATATGCCCTTGCGTCCACATTTTCGTTCTTACGCAGCTCGATTCTCTCTACAACTGAATTATATTCTGGGTATGGTAATGGGCTATGAGAGGAGACCATAATCGAAAATGATAATCAAGACATCCGCCGTTCAAGATTGACAGGATAGCTTGTCCAAAAAACTTCGCTTTCAACCATAACCTTCCGAGCACTCCCCATCCTCACCCACGATCTCCGCTGAAATTTACGACCGTATATAGTCATCGCACCAAAGAAAGGGCTCGACAAGATCTACGATAATTCTATTCGGCGAGGAATGCTCTTCTTTTCCAAGGCTCGAGTTTCATGAGAGTGGCGATTGATGATCCTCTTGGATATTTCTAGAGCAGAAGCTTTCAAAGAATACATATGGACGACGAGCTTCGTGGTGGCTTATTCATCTGAGAGTGCTGGGGCAGAAGTCAGAGAGATCGAGCAACAGCTCGAGTTACACCGAGGAAAGCACCTTCTTAATCAACTGGGATAATTACTTTTGGCTCCACGATTTGTTCTGCAAAATTCATCGTTGTGCTAGTACAAAGTTGCAAACCATGTTCAGATATGGTTGTTACCATATGAATAATGGCGAAAAGACCCAAGCCAATCCCAGCTCTATTTACAGTTGCAAATAGGGCCACCCACGGCTACTATCAAGCCAATATCATGTTGACGAACTCTTGGACAGCTCGTTTCCGCTCCTCACGTCTTTTTTCGTTGTCATCGTTCTTCCAGTTCAATCTTGAGACAAAAGTCATAGAACCAGCAGGCACAGCTTGAGAATCAATCGACAAGACGATGTCCTTGTTATATTTGTATCGACGCAGCAGGAGCTTCTTGTCTTCAGACACAATCTGGATGACGGTACAACCTCGCGATTCAAGGGTGTCCAGTGCTTCTTGTACGCCCGCTTCGTTGATGAGATTTTCGTACAAGAGTGATGCCTTGTGATGGAATGTGAAAACATCCCAGGCTATTTTCACTGGGTCGCCGTCCAGGGAAGTTGCGCGCGTAGGGATGGTGGCTCCATTACATTTGTCGCAGCTTGTTTGGTACGAAGGATAGCTCTCACAGCAGAACCAGCATCCGGGCGACTTTATAATGACTTCGTGTTTTGGTATTGCTCGATGTTCTGTTCCGGGAGCAGACATTCTTCTGGAGGGTGGGTGCTGGGGGCTGGAGGCCGCTGGTGATTCTTATGGGTATCCTGCGCAGTTCAATACAGAAGGTAGAAGCCGACAGCTCAGCTTGGAGACTGGAGACTGGAAGCTGAATTTCGAGCTTTATCTCAGGCGCTGGTGATTCTTATAGGTATCCTGCGCAGTTAAATACTAAAGGTAGAAGCCGACAGCTCGGCTAGGAAGCTGTCTTGGCTTCCAGAAGTTGCTTTGGAGCGTCGCATGTCGATTATGACTAAGTCGGTGAGTGTGACAACCCCTGTTTTCTTTCTTGTAAACAAAGAAAATGACAAGTACTCACCGACAAACCGCTCATTGGGCGTCTTTTTGTGTCGATTGTCGCTTTGTACACGGCTGATAAGCACCCTGTGCGTTTCACCTAGCATCCAGTCTTTGAATCAATGGGCCTTGGTACTTTCTTTGTGTAGGGTAGGGAAGATACTTTGGGCCATTTCAGGTGCGTGTCGGGTCTCAGTAACAAATTCAATATGGGCGGCATTGCGTTGAGCATCTCTTTGTTCACGGCTGATAAGCACTCTGTGCGTTTCACCTAGCATCCAGTCTTTGAATCAATGGGCCTTGGTACTTTCTTTGTGTAGGGTAGGGAAGATACTTTGGGCCATTTCAGGTGCGTGTCGGGTCTCAGTAACAGTATGGGCGGCATTGCCATAACGAAATCGCGGCCTGCGACCTATTTGGTGACTCTTGTTGTTCAGCAAGTCCTTTCTACGCTGTTCTAGGTAGGCTGTTCCGATTTTTTTCATCAGGATGGTACTGTGAAGCATATGACGGTGGTCTTCCTTTGGTCTTGCGGGCTCTCAGTAGAAGGTATGAGATCGATTGAATGCTGTTCTCTGGAACAGGATATCAATGAAAGACAGACAGAACACTTCACGGCTCACGATGTAGGCGCATTCACGAGCGCCTTTGATCACAAGGCTATAAAATGGGGCTCTTACGAGAATTGCCAGTCACTTTAGGCAGCAGCCCGAACAGAACACAGCCATGGATCGCATTGACTATGAAGACTATTCTCACCCAGAAAAGCTTTACACTGGTTTGGTGCTAGTGGACCCAGGCATGGATCCCAGCAAGCTTGAAGAGATCGGTTTGCAGAGATCCCCAGAGCTTAAGGGGCGCTTCCACAATCGTGAAGAAGGGGAGGACGAAAAGGAGCTGTGTTGGAACTGCGGCTGGGCGGTCAAAAACGAGCTCCTTTCTTCGTATGGATCACGCGTCAGAATTGTTCATACCAGACGCAATATTGGAATATGGCAAATTGGATCGAAGTGGATGATCCGCGACCAGCCAAATGACCACTCGCTTGGCAATGATTTTATAACGCAAACTTTTCTGCGCCACCAACCTGGCCATAGCATTCCAATTCTGAAGGAAATGAGGCTATTAAGTGACCCAAATGACAGGGTATGCCTCACCTTGATGTCTCGGGCTCAAGGCGTGGGACTAGACACTATCTGGGACGATCTATCAGAGGAACAAAAGACCAGCTATAGACACCAGATGAGAGACATTCTGAAGCAAATGAGGAACTTCACTTCTCCGGTCTGTGCCAAGGTCAATGGTGACCTCATGGACGACGGTACAGTTGGAGAGTGTCTTCGCCGCACTTCTCCCACGTGCCACAAGATGGGACGCACAAATGATGAATGGTTTGAGAACCTTTCAAGCGAGCTACGCTTTGGCCTCTCACGGATCCATGACACAAAAGACCCCGTGGTCATCGAGGAGAAGTTTCAAGAACTAAAGAGAACCTTCCCATCATCCGAGCCATATGTTTTGACGCATGCAGATCTTAATTTCACTAATATCATAGTGAAAGACAACAAGATCGAGGCGATTATCGACTGGGAATTTGCTGGTTTCATGCCCTGGTGGGTTGAACGCTGGTTCACAGTCGTAGGTGGCACTGACCAGACGGATGAGCTCTTCAAACCGATATGGGAGGAGTTAGAGGGGGATTACGAGACTTTCAAGACAAATGTTGTCAAACCTGTACATAAAGCTCATGGGACTTATCAGATGAGCATATCTGATCAATATATGTCACATAACAACAACAGAAATCGATGGCTGAGGCCAGGGTTTTGTAAATGCCAGCCATACGCTGGGTATTTTGAAAATGTTTTAACTGGAGAAAAGCTTGAACATGTAACCCATTTTGATACATGAACTCGGTTCCTACCCGCGAACTGATGGTGCATTTCCTCTTTTCTTCTTTTCTCCTTTCCCCCTTTTCTCATTTTCTCCTTTTTGTCTTCCAGTCAGGCTGACGCATTGGCGAATAGCTGTGGCCGTTTTGCGGCGCCAGCAGGCCTTTTAGTACAGCATAAAAAAAATTTCCTAGATGTTTCACTCAAGCCCGATCAACACAGTTTCTCAATCCATCGATTAACAAAATTCCAGGCGGGCATTTCAATCAAGTGATAGTTGAGTCACCAACCCTGCGAATAAGAAAAATACTCGGTGGAAATCACATTACGCGTGACATTCATGTGGCTACCGTGAGGGGCAAGGTACCCAGGTAAGTACTCAACAACAAAGATCTGGACGGATATCTACTTCTATACACGAGCCACGAGACGTATTTTCGTGACATCTTATAACATTGTATTCGCACTCATCCGCTGGGCTGCTGGTCAGGCTTGACACCTCGCTCTAGGCTCTAATAGGTACCTTGGAGGAGAAAACAGGTTCCGCTCCGCCATGGGAAGGAGGGGCATGGGAGAGGCACTTTGCTAAATTAACGACTTCGCAACTGTCAAGAGATTCTCATCACTATCAATCGACTGTCTATTGACAGTTCACCAAAGTGTTTTTCTTATAGCAGGTACATGAGTATCATTCTAGGAAAGTCTTCCTCCCACGGTGGGACGGAACTTAGGTACTTGCGCCTTCACGGTGTGGTAAGCCTCGGCACAATCACGTGCGCAAGTCAAGCCTTGCATCCAGTGCATGAGATCTCTCTCCTCTCGACAGTTTCCCTTCAATTTCAAATACATAATCACTAGGGCACAGGACATCATACTCAAAAGAGCCCAATTTGAGCAGCGAACCACGGACTTTATAGCATAGCGTCTTTGGGCCCAAATTATACCTTGAAATAAGTAGAAAATGAATCAAGCCCTAGCAAGACTCTCTGCCAAGATATACTTGACAGCCACCTGAAATCCGAAAGGTTTCTCAGTTCCAGCAACGCAAATAGATAAATGCCCCTTCAACTCCCATCGTTGAGCTATTGGAATACTGTCTTTTCTCATTTCAGCAATGTGAAAGGTCTCTATCTAGTGGGAATGTATTCCAAGAACTTGACAAGAGCATACTTGATTTGTATGGGGTAGAGACTAGATCTGTGAATCACGCCGGGGTGAATCACGCCGGGGAGGTGAATGTCGTAATGGAAAAAAAAAAAAAAAAAAAAAGGCAACGGCAGGAGAAAAAAGCGTTCGAACGGCTTTGAATCTCAGATGATTAATCGGATACATAGAGTAGATGATCTGCCCCTCAACTGCTGAAAACAGGGTTTTCCAAAGGGCTGCGCGAAAGCGGGGCATTAACGTTCACTATCTTACAAGGCAAGAGGGCAGTGGAACAAAAGGTCATAGGTCCTGACAAAAAATCTTCGAGATCAAAATAGAGAGTGTATCGTGCTAATAAACAAAGCCAAGCCAAGCAGCCTGGACCCTGGATCAATTTGGAAGGCTTGGGCAGGAACAAGCAGAAGAAACCAAGGACACACTGAACCACAAATTTGCCGCCGAGAAGGCAAAAGCTTCAAAGAAGGCCCGCGAGATTAAGAGCCGTCATCCATCCCATCATCCAATCTCGCCAAAAGAATGTAAACAATACGCACAGACCAACTCATCAAGCGAGTATCAACTCTTGCAGAAAAGAATCAATGTCCTCCCAGTAAGCAAGCACATCTCGACCAACCCCACATCCACTTCTCATCCACAATAGTCCACCTCCTTCCACCTACTCTCAACCCCGAAACACAATGCCCAGAACCCCTTCACCCTAGAACCCCGCCAAACTCCTCACCATCTTCGCCACGACATCCGCCCCACCAAGACTACTCTGTTCATCTGCATTCGGATAAAAGAACGCCGCAACAGCGATGATGACATATGCGGCACAGAGGAGGGCACCTTCGAGGTAATTGGAACGACCGTCCAGGACGAGGAAGTTGACAATGAAGGCCGAGACGAAGAGGGAGACTGTTTCGAAGAGCGTGAAGTACAGTGACATGTTCTTGTCCATTGCCCAGCCAAGGAGGACGACAAATGGGGTGACGAAGAGGGCTGGGACGGGGTTAGCTTGGAAGTTAGAAATTGCGAATGATGATGAGGACATACCAATCTGAATTGAAGAGCCAACGGCGACACCAATGGCAAGATCCATCTTATTCTTGTGGGCTACCGTCACGGCAGTCACGTGCTCAGCAGCGTTACCGACAATTGGCAAGATGATCAAACCGATGAAGGCTTCGCCAACACCAGAATTACCTTCAACAACAGCATTGATACTGTCAACCATGAATTCGGCACAGAGAGCGACAAGACCGGTAGAGATGAGAAGGAGCATCATGGCCGTGGTACGAGAGATGTTCTCATCGTCTTCATCTTCGGACTTATTGGCGGCAATGGCAAGACTGTTGACACGATTTGGTGTGATACGGGTCTGAGGAGTTGCGGTACCAGATATTTGTTGGTTGAGGCGATCCGGAAGCGAATTGGTGCGGCGAATGCCGTAACGAACTCTGGGAATAGGTCCAGCTGGAACTGGGTTTAAAGTAGGCGAAGGTTGCATGAAGACATTCTGAGAGAAGGTCTTTGGAATTGCCGGACGAATGCTGGCCATGTTCCGGATATGGAAAGGACGTTTTTGGGAAGAGTCCATCTGCTCTGATTGTGGCTCAGGTTCTGGAGCCATAGCGAAATCAACACGACGCGGCGCATCAGCTTCGGTAGTTTTCTCGCTCATTTCGGGTCCTTCAGCAAGTGTATCGTCTCCGTTTCTGCGAGCAGCTTTGCGGTTTTTCTTTTCTCGCTTACGTTCCTTCTTCATTTCCTTCTTGGTCTTGCGGATAATAGAGTTCTTTCGGCTGCGTTGGTGATGATCTTCATCGTCCCCTTCCTCACCAAAATCAACTGCACCAAGGCGATGTCCCGTATTGTCGTCAACGGCTTGGTCAGTGTTCACTGGAGAGACAGAACCAGCTCCAAAGGATGGGGTCCGGCTTGGTTGGATCTTCTCGTTGGTCTCCTTGGATCCAGAGCTGGACTTGCGACGGCGTTTTCCACCTCTCATCACTCTCCTGAATCGCTTGGCTGTGGTATTGGATCCACTGGAGTGTTCAGAGTCGGAGCTAGAAGATGACGAGGAGTCGTCCGATGAGGTTTCCATCCATTGGGCGACGGGACCGGGGGCCAACTCCTCATCGATGATATGCTGTGGCGTACTCTCGTACATGTATGCATGGGACTTGAGTTGGAAGAGAAGGTACAAGACGTAGACGAAGAGAAGGATCTAGATGATTAGACATGGTCAATTACGATGGCGAAAAACATACCACACTTGTGCCACGGCTAACTTTCAAGACGGCAGTATTGGCCTTGGTCTTTTGTTCGTCGGAAAATGAAGCGTGGAAGGCAGTCTGGGATGTTAGTGGTTGATGGAGAAGGTGGACAGCAAGCTTACAGGAAGCAGCAAACTCATGACGCTCAAACTGAGTAGACAGGCACTCATTTGCGTGACAGTGCTGTTATAGATCTGCGGATATCAGCAACTGCGACAACAAATGTCTGGCACCAATTACCTGTTCACGGAAGCGTAGTCCACCAATCAAGAAACACATTCCTAGAATCAAGAGCAAGTTTGCAAGAATGGAGCCGAGCAACGATGCTTGGACGATACGGATTTCATTCTAGGGTATTGTCAGCAGAATCCCAGGGTCGGGAGAGGAATCACTAACCTTTGAGAGAGCAATACTGTAGATGGGAAGATTGGAAGTGAGCATAGGTCTTTCAAAGGGTCACAAACTTCTTGCATGGGGAACAAAAGAAAAACCGAATAATATGGGACTCGATTGATTTGATAATGCCTTTAAGAGGGCTTCTCTCTCTTTCTCATCTTGATCTCTTGTGAGGTAGACATACATGCTGGAAACATTAGCTTGATTCGAACCCAGGATGTGAATAGCAAGGTGTGAATAGCTTACAAGATAATAAGCTCTACTGCATTACCAAATGTAACATTCATTAGTGCACCGATTGTATCTCCCATTCTCTTGGCCACGCTCTCGGTAGCATGACTGAGTAGACCTGCAAGAGGTACGATAGCAATAGCATTCATTGCGAAGATGATACCTGGACTTAGTTTGGCAGCCTTTGCCGCAATGCCAATGGGTACGAAGACGAGCAGCAAGTTAATATAGCTGGACAAGAGGATGGATCTGGCCGTGAGCCAAAATCGCATAGCAACATTTTTCTTTGCAGGCTTCTCGTCATCGTTTATGACAGCCCCCTCCCCATCAACTTGCGGAGGTGGAGCTGGTGGCGGGACATCGGACGAGGTATTGTCAACAGTGTTGTCTGCTGTGGGTTTCGAAGACTGGCGCGCGAGGCCGTTGATGTCTGTGGAGGGGAAGGGGGGGATGTTGGTTGTGTCATTTTGAAGGCTGGAACCGGTCCTGGTGTGCTGAGGAGTGGCAGATGGATTGTTTATGGGTAGAGTCTGTCGGCTCGATTTGGAGAGTGGAGAGGTGCCATGCGCTTTCGTTCTTGCCCAAGAGCGAACGCGATCTGCAGATGAATTAGAATCAGGCGAAGCTTTCTTCATCGATGTGGAAGATAGGGCGTGGTGGTGGTGAGATTGTTGGAGAGTAGTCCGTGGGGGAAGAAGTGAGGGATAAAGTAGAAGAGGAAGACGAGGATGTTGACGGTCAAGGGGACAAGCAACAGGATGTTGATATACTGTAGGCCAGGCGAGTCGAGCTGGTGCCAGTAAGGCGAAGATGGAGTGGAGTGGAGTGGAGTGGAGTGGGGGGAACAAAGAGTGGGATGGATTACTCGTAAAAGGAGACCAGGAGATGGCGAAGAGGCGGAGTTGGGTTGGCCAGCTTTTGTTCGTCCAGATTCCAGACGAGCCAGACGGGACTCACATCCACAGCTGACGTGCCATAAGGCGAGGCAAGGCAAGGGGACCATGCATGCCAAGAGCCGGCGGGGCGGGGATTCCGAGGATCCTCCAGCGCTGATTCGCGCATCTTCGCCGGCTGCCGTATTCCAACGGATTATGATTCGTAGATACGCGTCGGGCGTGATGCTGCCCAGATTCAGATTCAGAGATCCAAGCTTCCACGCATCCAAGCCTCCAAGCAGGACCAAGCAAAGAAGCTTCGCTGGCTTGTGAAGGCTTGTGACGTCTTGGGGAGTCTTGTTTGTATTCGCCGAGATATCTGTTTGGGACGACATGACAAGACTTTCGTAAGTCTATGTTCAGGCCAGTCGTTCAGTTTGGGTGTCTCGTGGCATGCATGTATCCTGCTTGCTTGGACCGAGAAGGGATTCCAGTGATCCAGGTCCAGAAAGGTGACAAGGGAACCCAGGAGGGAAGTGCCAAGAGAGGAAGTAAAAGAGCCAGTACTCACGCATAGCTGGATATTCAAGTGAACAATCGCGTGCTGGGACGCAGGAGGAGACGCGGCGTGCTGTCAGCGTCAATCCGATGTGTTTGTATGAAACCGGAGATGACCCTTAGAGCTGTGGCGGGTGGATGTTGTTGAGATCTAGAGGCCTTGATAATTAAGGTACTGTCTGGTTTAGGAGTGGAGTGGGCAAGATGGAGGAAAGGGAAGAATAGAGACTGTAATTGGAAGCAGGAGCACGCGAGTGTCGTTGTCGTGAAATCAAAGGAAGTCACTTCACATCGTCAAAGAAACAGAAAGGACGACTAATCTCTTGAAGCAAAAAAGCAACAATTAAGGTACTTACCCGGACGGTCCTCACTAGGTAATTTCCCACCTCTCGCCAAGCCTACAAAACCAAGTTTCCGCGTTGAATTGAACTGCCCGTCGGATGAGTTCCCTATAAAGCACATATCCACTTCTCTCTCTATCGAATTCCGGGATGGATCCTAATCTGCCATGTGTATCGCGTTTCGGAGGCATGCCCAAAAAACCCGCGTGCGTTTGTTCACTACATTTTACCCACCTAAGAGCAGCATTACATCCTTACCTATCTGTCTACCATCTCCTATCTCCTAATGAGTCTACTTCCTTTGTCTGATCTCAATCAAATCAAATCTTATCCTGTCCCACCTCATTATGACTCTCACTCTCAACCATCGCATTTGCCTTCTCCTCCCTCACACAGCCATCGGAATCCGGCACAGCGCCAAGCCCCCATCTAATCTGATCACCCACTACAATGTGGCTGAGCATGTGGCTTGTCGCACTAATGGTCTAGCTCCCTCAGCCACATCTGCTCAGCGTCGCGTCACCACCGTTCCAACGACTCAGGTTTGATGTCACCGGCTCCACAATCGTGACTCGAGATGACGAAATGACGGAATGATGAGATGACGACAAGGTAGTTTCTCAAGGTTCGTTTTGTTGCACGTCGCAAAAGGTACATATAGGAAAGAGTCCCCCGAATTTGGATGGAAGGGCAGGGCAGGGCGCTGAGCACGTGGCAACCATGGAACGAACGACCACGTCCATGAGAAACGCATCCAGATTGCTCGCCGACAAGAAATAAAGTGCTGCGGAGATCAAAATACCTCTTCTTACCACTTTTCACTGTTTTCGGTGTTTAAAATCCCTCGATCCATTTGTTTTTGCTGTTCTGGTCGTCAAGTGGCCCAGATGAGGGGCAATATGACCCCGCCTCCTGTTCTACTCGTGTCCTCTTAGTTTCTTATATATCACTCCTCTGCAAACGCAACAGACCATGCATCTTCTCTCTGCCTTTGCCACTCAATTTCTATTTTTTCCTTAGAAAAGAAAACCTGTCAATGCCGTGGTAGAGCCATCTCTGTCAGCGTGTCTTTCATCTTCTCCTGTGTGGAAATTCACGGTCGTTGATATTTTCTTCCTATAAATTTACTCACTGGAGGTTACATGGACATGAATTGAACCCCCCTGGTTGGAATGGTCTTGTTCATGGTGTAGAAGTCCTCGTGCATGGTGTGTGGATTTCGTGCTCGATTTGGTGTCCACCAATCCCAAAATTAGGCATCAACTATCAACATCTCCCGCAATACTTTCGTGGATTTGATGCTTGTGGTTCGCAATTATCAATGCATGAATCACTTGGTCATTCCCCGAACGTCTATACTTCGCACCTTCATATGGTTACCAAGTGATTGGGCAGTCTCCTCGCTAAATTCGTCAGGCCGCTTTCTTCCAATCCTTCTCTACCTCGTTTATGTATCTAGCCCCACTGCAACGAGCCGGGCCGATATGTCACGATCCTACAAACCCTTCAGTCAATTCACACATAACCTACCATGGGGCATAAAAAGTGTGGAGGAGATGTACATGTACAACTTCATGACGCAGAAGGCCGCACAGGCCGAGTACAGGAAAGGTAGGAGCGGTGTACAAGTGAACTATACCATCAAGAATGTAAATCCTACAATCAGATTATCTCCTTCAAATTCCAACCTCATTTTCCCAAGACGATGTTCCCAAATTCCACTACCACCATGCCAACAAAACCCAAATCCATCACCCTCCATTCCTCGCCCTCCCTCAGGACCATCATATCCTACCTCATCCCCTCCCTCGCCCACTGCCAAGTCGGCTTCAGCACAACCTCCATCTCCGGCTTCCAAGCCATGACCGGCTTCCTCACCACCTACGGCCACCCGGACCCCCTCACCCCCACCGGCTACAACATGGGACTCATCCCGCAACAACTCGCCGCCTCCTTCATCAACCTCGGCACCATCCTCGGTCTCCTCCTCTGCGCCACCCCTCTCCTACAACACACTCTCTCCCGTCGCCAAACCCTCTGGCTCGCCAGTCTCATCTCGATCCTCGGATCGGGTCTACAGCTCAAACATTCACCCGTAAGCGGTCTCTATGCAAGGAGGATAATAATCGGTCTCTCAAACGGCCTGTTCATCTCCTCCGCAAATATATATACATCCGAGACCGCGCCAGCACATCTCAAACACAAAATTTCGTCTCTCTTTCCACTCTGGTTCTGTACAGGTGGTGTGCTCGGTGCAGTGACGAACAATTTCACGCAGCATTTACAGACGAGCTGGGCTTATAAGATCCCGTTGACATGCCACATTACGATTCCGTCCCTGCTGTGTATCCTTGTTTTGTTCACGCCTGAGTCTCCGCGGTGGTTACTCCTCCATGGACGAGGTAAAGGGGAAGGACACCTCGACGCAGCTCGCCATTCTCTCATCCTGCTCCGCGGCCACGGCACTTCCCTCCATACACTGGACGTCGAGATTGACAAAGAAATCCTAGAAATCCAGGAAGACATTGGTTCACAGCGGAAAATCAAACAGTCACAATCACTTCTAAGCCGGTACCTATACCTCGACCTCTGGACTTCCCACCCCCAACACCACCCTCACCATGACCGTCGTCACACTCTCCTCTGCATCTCCCTATTCCTAACCAACTCCTCCTCCGGGATCTGGCTCCTCCTTTCCTACGGCACAGTCGTATTCCAACTCTCTGGCGTGAATCATCCATTCCACGCATCCATCTACAACAATATCGCCAACCTTCTCGGTACAATCCTCGGTTTATATCTCTGCACCAAGCAAGGAATACAGAGCTCCAAAAGTATGATGGTGCTGGTTCTAGTGGGGAGTTTCTTTCAAGCTGTGTGTATGCTCGGTGTAGCTGTTCCGTTCACCATCATGCCGGACTCCGACCTCGCTGGGGTGATTCTGTTGATCTGCGTGGTTGTGCATGGGTTTGTGTATTCTGCGTTCTCAGGGGGGTTGGTGGTAGCGAAGTTGTGTAGTCAGATTGTGGATCCGGAGTTTCGGGGGAGGGTGGTGGGTTTGGGTACGGGTGTGAATCATGTCACTGCTTGTAAGTCCTCAATCCACATCGAGGTATTATTATATTTGCCAGATGGAAAAGGAAAGAGTAACCTGATTCTAATTGTGACAGGGCTTATTGCGTTCACGACGCCGTATTTCATCAATACTCGAGAATTGAATTGGGGTCCGAAAGCTGCGTTTATCTGGGCTGCGTCGAATACGGTAACTAGTAGTGAGTAACTTCTTGGATGAGAATAGGAGACAGGGCTGAGAGACGCGAGACTAATAGACGTGTATCATCCAGTCTTACTTCTGCTCTTCCTCGCGACCGAAACCAAAGGATGTACACACAAAGAGACCGACAAAGTTATTCAAGATCAGGACCATAATCTGGCAAAAGATGAATGTAGGGAGTTATCACGGCTTGCTTGAGAGCTTTGAGCATTGTTGTATAGCCTTTAATACACCACCCTTCTACTAAACTCTCATCCTTCAAATCACACTACCTTCCTACTCCTACCCACCCACCCCTCTTCACGACCTCCCTCCTCTTCGTCACCTTCTCCTTCTCCAACCTCCTCTTCCTCTTCAGCCTCACCGCTAAATACGGTCTCAGAAAATCCATTCCCTGCCTAACTCTCTCATCCTGTTCTTTCTGGCGCCTGTAACATTCCATCTGAAACGTTTTATTTTCATATCGAATAGCGTGTGGTATGAACCTCCTTGGCTGATGATACGGTATGTTTGTGATAGTAGTAGGCGTGGACTCGGCGACGATGACTTCCATTGAGGAGGGTAACGGGGTCGAGCATGATGAGCTGGGCGAGCCGGGCGGACTGGGTGATAAAGAGATGAATGTGATGGGTTGGGAGAGGCTGAGTCTCTCATCCAGAATATCTGCAAGCTTCCCTTCTGTTTTTATGGTCTTTTCTGGATCCTCTTTCCTGTCTGAAGTACCAGTTTCTCTTGGCCTTAATTCACACAATCTCCTGAAAATCACTTTCGACTCCTTATTATCCACACTGTTCCTCTTGCACAGCCAAGACCAAAACCGGCTTGCTGACAGTGTGAGAAACATCACAGCGAGTATCCCCAGAGCCAACATTACCTCCTGGCCCATTGTAGGGTGGAGATCTGAGGGGACGCCATTGCTCGACGTGGAGGTTGTGATCCTCTGGGTTGGAAGCGGAGAGGTAACTGGTATTGCCGTTCCCGAAGGGCAGATTTCCTGTGCAAGGTTACAGAACTTCAGTAATTTTGACCCATCGTAATTGGAAGGCAAGGGTGCTGGCTCCTCTTGTCGTTTCTGAATGTTTTCTGTTGTTGGGATTGACTCAACAACCTCTGGATCGGGGAGATCACCCGAAGTTCTCATTTCGAGCCATGACTTTTCGCCTTTGGAAGAGGTGTATTGAATCCAAGAAGGATTTGGAGTTGGCTTTGGAGCGACGCGAAATGTGTAGGTGGTTTTCGGTCCACGTTTTCTTCTTTCTCGACAGCCACGAGATGCTGCCGGTTTTGGGTTTGGACTTGACTCCATCATCTTGAGGTTTTTGTGGTGGTGATAATTTTGTCGAATGAATTGTCTCGGAAAGAGAAAATATACAATTTTCGAAAGTGTGATTTCGAGAAGGAATAGTGACTCTGCTGTGGACGCCTTTTTAGACGGGCCAACAAATCGACGGCGCCCGTAATGCTAGTTTACCGTATCATTGCGAGCCTGTCCATGATGCGTCTAGTATTCACCGTCTGCTTTAGATTTTTGAATAAAAACCTTGGTCTTGAGCGTGGGCGAAACAGTATTTCAACCTTTCGAGTCCTATTATTCAAGGGGTAACATGCTGAGAGTTAGATTGATCTTTGCTTCTACTTTGTCCCATTCATAAAACAGTCATTGAACTGCCGCTTCTATACAATACCTCAGTTCTACATATCTTGCCTAACGATGATAGTGGAAAATAAGCGAGACGCTACATACAGCCTTAAATTGCCCCGAAAACCACGATGATATCTTCACAATGTATACATCGCTATAGTTGGCTTTTGGAGCTACACTAAAGGCAGAATAGCTACGCTTACACTCCTATATTGGTGATGTTTCAATTTCTAAACAAATGAAAGAAACGTCACTCATGGAACCGCGATGTGGTAAGCTTCGCCCTACTGACCACTTTTCATCTTCATGCTCATTTGCATTACTCAAATATCCTCAAATTTAGATCCCCTGCGATTCACAAAATGCCCACCATAATTTTCGCCACTCAGTCAATTGCGACATTGTTATATAACCATACCACAACCGACGAGCGATCCTGTAACTCTTGTTTGCAAATCGAATGTATGGCTTTACCTTCATATTTGGATTATTGGGGGGTATGCTTCTGGAAGGATTCTTCTTTCTTTGTCTTATCATCGCAAAAGAATTAATACCAATCGAGAAACGCTACGAGGAGACATTACGAGTCTGCCGGGCGCGAATGAAAGATGCTGAGAGACTGAGTGAAGTCAGGAGGAAAGCATTTCCAGATAAACCATTCTTCACCCTCAGACAAGATCTAATATTCTGTGCGGATAATCTTGACATATTGAATGATTACGGGTACTGGAACCTTGAGGATACCAACAGCGAGGAAGGAGAAAAGGAGCGTGTGAAGGAGTGCGAGCAGACAGTGACCGGACATGAACGGCAGGATGGGAAGAAGTTTCGAGGCAGGACTTGGAGGAGGATATTGAGACACACCTAAACTGAAAGCAGAAAAGAAGATCTTGTGCCATAGATTATCTTTCAGAAGTAGTGATCTGAGAAGCTAGACTTAGGAAGATGTTTTGAGTATTTAGGATCCCTCATTCCGAGATTCTTGCAATTATGAAGACTAATAAATCTCTAACCAGCTTGTCAATTCTTGTCAACTGCCCCGGCCCCGATTCCCATTACAGTGTTCCGATCGTATCCACAGCATAACAATCCTTCGCCTCATTCCAAATGGTAGAGACCTTATTCGGTTCAACGTGCCTCTTCAAGATATAGTCAACACAATGCGTCGTGTGGTGAGATGAAAAGCTCCCATCATCAATCCACTTCTCATCTTCTCTACTCTTTGCAAACAGGAATTTCCCTTGTTTCTCCCACGTATATACACAGTGTGCAATATGATACGTCTGCGAAGAGAACAGCCAGCGATATTCGCCTGCTAGCACCACATCCATCGAGAGACGTTTCGTCAGGTAGTAGTCCTCATACAATTCCCAATTCCGCTCATCAATGTAACGTTGATGCATCTCCGTATCCACGCATTCAGCTGGCACCCACGCGAAAGACATAACATCAAACACACAGCCAAGTGAGCGAGCAATACGAGGTGTGTTTCCACAGCTCGTGTTGACGCTTGTGAGAACGGCATCCGGCTGAGGTGGATTGAGGAAGTCATGTTGTGTCTCGTCGCCGATATATTGGAGGTTCATGATTCTGGTTTCTTTTGGTTTGCTTTTGGCAAGATATCGAGGAACAATCAGAAGGAGAGCGACAGAGATGATAAGAGCAGAGAAGACGAGGATACTGGCCAAAAGCTGATGCCGATTGAACTGTCTCCGAATGATGTTTTTCTCAGGAATCTGGGTATTTTCCAGGTGCTTTTCATCCTCGTCAATTGTTTCGAGAGTATTCAAAGAACCACTATCTTCTAGTGACCTCCGTTCAAGTCTTTCGTAATCCCGATATCCTGGCATCTTGTGCGATGTCTTTATGCTGAAGCACTTTCAATGGTCATGAAAATTTTGCTGGTGTTGGGGAGCAACGAAAATCAAAGAATTCACTCTGTAGCCCCGCGGGTTTCCATGACCATATCGGTATTGACTTGAACTTGGGGGTTGGTAGATCAAGTCCACTGCATGCACAAGAGTAAGCTCGGAGACATCATTTGTGCTCAATTGTGGACAGAGATCGATGAACTTTCTGTCGCTGCTTTATTGTCATGGAATGTTGTGGAACGACCGTAAATGACTGGTTGAGAATTGCTGCATAATCAAGCCGCTATGAGAGGATCTAGTGCTCACCTACCCCGCGTCATACAGCAGCGCCGCATGTGCCGCAAAGAGTATTGCGAAGCTTAGTATGGGCTGGACAATCTTATTACCGGCTTTGAATTCTTGTGGCGGGTTTAAGTATTAGCCGCAGTATCCTGGAAATCCCTCAGACGTGCCATATTGATGTTGCGTTGTTGATTCGGTGGCTCTGCTGACTTAGTATGCACCCAACACGCGCGGATCTGCACGTATTCAGCCAGAAATCTTGCAGGCCCTATTTTTGTCGCCTCACTATGCCAACGACTGATCACAGCATCACGACAAAATGGCACACTAAAGAGGTTACTTGACAGTGTTGACTTGCATAGTCGTGGTTAATCTCATCACAGCGTAAGCAGGCTGAGTTGTAACTCAGGTATCATAGTTGTAGCACAGAATCCCATCCTCGGTGTCAATGATATCCGCAACCGTTATTGCCGATGCCATATCTCCCATCTCGATCACATCCCTTAAGCTTGCCTTCTCATCTGATTCCTCTGAGTGCTTTGTGTCATATGTTCCACGCCTTCCTGGTATTTTATTTTGCCACTTCGACCACAACCTGTCCAGCTGCGCATGATGCAAGAAGAATAATGGATCTATAAAATGTCAATATCGACAAGCATCAATCACATTACACCAACTTACCTGCAGGAGCATTGAATGACAAGAAGTCTCCTCGTATACCAAAAGGTATCGTATTGTGAGGGGCGTCTTCCAGCTTCAAAGTGAATGAAAGCAGATCGTCTTCATCAAGTATCTTCTCCACCATGTTGGGCTGAATAAGTTTCCCGGTGAAATGACCTGTTGACGTATCGTTCCTGAAGTTTCTAGAAAGGCAATGGGGGTAAACCTTCGTGTCAATGTACCGTGCGGTAGTCATAGCGAAAGGGCCATCTGTCACACAATGACCGCCGCCTATTTGACTCTCACCGAGTGCGGCATCACCATTGCCTCCGAAGCCAAGCTGTGTATCAAAGACTGGAGAGGCTGCTGGATCTTGGTAATCTAGAACCCAGTTCCAATAACTAGAGAACTCAGATCAGCTTGGCATGACACGGGGAAATCCATCTGCGGTCCCTCTTCTAAATGGGTACCTACGGCAATGGTCCAGCGTACCCACACTCGTCTCTCAAACGTTCTTCGTAGATGTGAAGGAAGTATCGATGCCATGGAAGAAAGCTGGACTTCTCGTGACCTATGATATGTCAGTTACCAATAGCTAAACGTGACCGGTGGTTAACTTACTTGTGTAGCCAACCGCAGGATGAATATATGGAAAGTCATCATAGCGGCTTCCGCCAGTTGGAAGATCAGAAGGACGATTTTGGAGACATCTGATGCTCTGGATGTAGTTGAGTTTGTCTGTGGTTGAGAGTGTTCTCCATTCCTGGCGAGTGCGAGGCTTCTCACAACGAATGGATGCGGGTCGGAAGGCTTGTGATAAGGTGTAAATGAAGGCACCGGTGGTTAGTGCTATCAGAACAAAGACGAGAATGACTTTAGGCCTTCCGCTCCAATATTTGGTATGTCTTCACGAAAATGAAATGTAAGTGATCAGGAGCAAGATGGCGATGGGCTGAAGCTGTATCTCACCTACTTGTCCTCTTTTCTTGATCCTCTCCGCCAGGTAGCGACGAGTAATTGACTTGATGGGTTCGGACATACATTCTGTTGTTCTGGAGCGCTTTCTGGAGCACCTGCCTCGTGCGAGACAGAGCAGCTAGAAGTGTTCCCTTGGTTCTCGGTGTGACATGGGAAAAATTCCTCCTACAGCCAACTTTGCCATCTCATGTCGAGACACACCCTCGGCATTTAAGACTCCCCGAAAGTCCTAGTAGTCGATCTTGATGCTTGAGGTGCCCTGAATGCGGCGTAAGAATGATTTAACCGGACATCCCGCTCGCCATGGAGGGTCGCCACTAAGTGACGAGCGAGTCGTCTTCGCAACGTTACACAATATGTACAAGAGGAATGATCCCGATTCTCCCACCATCTCTGTACAGTGGGTTTGATATACGTAGATGGCTGAGGTTGATCGAAGTTGTTTCCTGCAGAGATTCGCTCGCCTCATGTAAGCCTAGTAAGCTGTGCATAACTTAGCGGCGGAATACTATGCAATTCCCAAAGCGACTCCCTTCCACATCTGACTCGTCTCGACAGCGAATTAGTTATCTATATGCGCTTCCGGCATAGTTCGGTGAAAACCCGTTCACTTCCTGACTAGCGCACGCCGCCTGATATTGCCCGATATCCACAAACACCATCTAAAGATCTCTGCTGCCTGACGCCAACGAATTCTCCGGAAGTCTCGTCGCACTCTAGGATGTCCTAAAATTCAAAGACGTCAAAGACGTAGTTTCTAAAAGCTTCACTCTGAATACCTGCACACAAACAATACCTCGAGGCATTGTTTTAGTTCACCTCGCTTAAAATTCTGTGTGCCCAGAGCAACAGCTGACTAACTTCACCACCTACTTGAGACTCTCGAGATAGTGTGATTCTTGTACACGATGAATTTCCTTGCAACTGAGTGCAAATGATTGCCACCACGAAAATCGTACTCTCATATTCTTGCCCATTCTTGAAAAACGTTGATTTGCCTCCTCTCCCTGAATGATACCCACTCAGACCACAATGTCCTAGATCTCATTTTCCAATGTCACACGATGAATAGGCCATTCCAACCTCCAACGTTCTCCTCGGATCAGTAGGCGCTCGGACCTCATCAAAACAGTGCGTGTTGTGCTCTCGATCTCGCATGTAGTCGTTAAGGGGGCCGCCAGTGGGAAGTACTTGGAGATTCCTCGAAAGCAGATATTGACAATGAGCACCGTGGAATGGCCAAGTCGAAAAGTACCTCTCGTACTTCCCTGCCAAGATATCCTCGGCGGGAATCTCCTCAGTCCTGTTCTCATGTTTCCAGAACGGCCATTTTTGCGAATGAAAGTACATGAGGGCATGTGTGTTGTTAAGACATGGAGGTGGTGTCCAAGCATAGACCATAACATCCAACTGACATCCCAGACTTCGAGCTTCTTCTGGGGTTTTCCCACATTTGAGCGTAATGGTGTTGTCTGGTTGACCATTTGGTTTCTCGTAACGAGACCACAAAAATGCTTCGGACAGACTGACCAACAGTAGTACAGCTGCGAAGAAAGCATACAATATCCAGTGGCGATGGAAATTTTGGATCTTTGTTGGTTCTATATCCGCATTTCCTTTCTCCAGTAGTGAAAGATTATCGTCCTTATCGGATAAGAGCAACGAAAATTCTCGAGTATTCTCCATGGCATCTGTTGATGGCGAGAAGAGACGAAAATAATGTGAAGAGATGGATTAGAGAATTTTTGCCAGTCTAAAAGGCTTGCGGCAGTCTGGAAATAGCGAAGGCTGCAATGCGGTCAAATCTCCCCCACGGTGTGTTGTTTCATGTGTTATGGCCTTCCTGCTCCAGTTTGGCTACTTCTTGAATCCACCGGCTCTAGAACAGTGATGTAATCTTACTGTGTATCATCAGACACACGGTAAGAATGTAGCGGGAGGGTAAACCAATCGCACTTGTTACCTTGAGAAGTAGAAATCATGTTATGATCCGTGCCGCTCAAGAAGGTATACAGCAGTCAGCCGTACATTTTTGCCACCTCCGTGTCGTCCAGTCAAGGTCCCAACATGTCATTCACACTTAGGCTGAATGTACTGGTTGCTGCCACTGCACGTTTGACACATGCACTTTAATTCAGAAGAACCTTGAAAGTGTGCCAGCTTCTTTAATCCTTGCTCGTTCTGCCAATCTCTTACAGCCATGAATCCTCTTGATCAATAGTGTAGTTTCATTATCGGACCAAACTCCAAATAGGAAGGTCAGAGTAAGTGCTCCTTGTAGCATTAAATGTCTCTGGCTAGATCTTGGCTGCAGCAGTGAGTTACCATATCCAACAATGAGCTGATAGGAGCATTCAAGCGAGGGAGCCTGATGTATAAAGCTATCATCGGACTCTTGTAATAAACTCTTTCCATTCTCAACATCTGTCCAGCTGTAAATCTCTGACATCCATTCAAGAATCCTCTTAATCCCTACCAAATACTCAACATGAAGGTCCTCTCCGTCCTCGCTGCCATTGTTGCTTCAACCTTGGTTGGCCAAACCATCGCTGCTCCCGTAGCCAACGCCGTTGCTGAGAGATCTGAGTTAAATGACCGTGGACTCGTGAGTGCCACATATTTGCTGTAAAGAACGAGGAACAATAACTCATATCGTGCAGGCAACCATGTTCTACGGCTGCAAGTTTGCTCCCGAGGAGACTGAGGTCGATGATGCCGACCCGGATAAACTCAGAAAGCTCATCAAGGAGAGAGTAGGTCTTCGAATCATTAACTCACATATCATCGCTGACGGAAATACGTAGTGTATCCCCAAGAAGTTGTGAACGGATCACATCTGTGGCAACAATGAGATGGCTTGGATATCTTCGGATGGCTCTAGCTTAACTCAGAGTTTGTAGAAGCATAATATGACACTCATTCTCTTAACTTTTACACCTAGAGCTATCTATTCATTCGCTATGATCAACCTTGTGAAGTCGGTGAAGTTTCTTTTGTGGTCCTTCTTGATTTTTGAGATGAGTTTTTGGAATATCAAACTTCTCTTGTTTTCCATGATTCTCTATACCGTTAAGTTTGGCTTATGTTGCCATGAGCTATCGTCATGTCCATATCGTAGTTTCATCTCAAAATTATAGAAAATGAGGGTCGATGTGAGTCAAGTTTCTGGAGTTTTTGCAATTGAGTTCCTTGATTGTTTTATTATGGATAAGAAAGCCCTAACAAGGGTAGATCCAAGCTTTAAAAGACTTCTCATAAGTGAGTAGACCCAGTAGACCCCGTACTGTATGGTTTCAAACACCGCCTTGGCCCCCCAAGCAAATATGGAAACCAATGCATTTCTTCCCCTACATCCATTCCCCTCAAAATTTAATGACAATAGATACTGAAAACTCCTTTAAACAACTTCAGAGCAATCTTGGATGAACTTCTGCAGATTTCGGAGGATCATTCCAATAGATCGGTCCAATATCCCCAACTCCCTGAGCACACTTCAAATATGCTGTCCCAGTGAACAGCATAGTCTTGATATCTCCAGGACTCCTGACTTCTTCCAGACAATGCTCTGCATGGGAAATGTTCCTTGAAACATTGTCCACCGGGGTGCCATAAGTCAGGCACTGAAGTTGTCGATGGATAAGATACTGGCAATGCTTGAGGTGGAGCAGCCACGAGGTGTATGAATATTCATGCCTTGCAGCGAGAATATCTTCGTGAGACAAAAGTTCCGATCTTGAAGCATCGCTCCAGAATTCGATTCCGTGAGAGACTAGCCCTTCCCAGTACTCATCAGAGAGAGTTTTGTTGAAGCACGGAGTTGGTATCCATGCGTAGTTCATGACATCGAAGACGCAGCCTTTTGACCTAGCTTCTGATGCTGAGGTTCCGCATTCTAAGATTTGATCTGGGACAACTGATGAAGATGTCGGTATCGGCGTCGGGTCTGGATGTCTGAGAACTGCGTAGAATAGACCGAGGATAGTAATGCTGGATATTGCTGTTGCGATAAGGATGACAACGTGCTTAATTCGAAAGGATGAAGGAATTTTGGCCCCTTTGGATACAGCAATATTTTCAGGTAGAAATGGTTGCTGGCTCTCATCATCTTTAGATGACTCCGACGACTTTTTTCTGAAGAGACCTGACAATTGATCCATAGTAGGCATCGTGATCCAATGCTGTCATAACAGTAACCACGAATACTTGGATGGCAACACTACGAGCACTTTGAAGTCTAAAGAAAGTGAGCGGTGGACAAGTCTGGCATTCACTCTCAGCACGAGGGGCAATGTGCTGCTGCCGTCACAGTTCGATGTCGTCGTTTGCTTACCTCGCTTAAGCGAAAAGGGGGCGGGGTCGCAGTAAGCGAGATTTTAGGTCAAAACGGGCTGATTAGGTCCGGCTGATAAACATGCAGACCGGAACTTCCGAGATAGGAATGATTTACATTGCGTGGGATCTTCATGTGCGAGATATAGGTGCTTCTTACCTGAGCACTGATTCTGCGAGAAAGAAAATGTGACTGGTGATATTTCAGTGTTTATCTCAGCACTAGCTCGGATTGTAGGTATGCCCCGCTCAAGTCCATGCACACAGCTTGTTTTGATCCTTGAACACCTGCCACCGGGGATAAAAATCTGGCTTTACGTCAATTCACATTCATCCAAATCGAACGGCACAGCGGGACAAACATACAATAAGCACTTTTGGTTTCAGCCTGCACGATGCGTGCCAAGCCATATGTCGGATTCACATCAGCACTAAACCGATGGCCGAATGAGGAAGGTGATCAATTGATGGATGTCCTGATACGCCCGAGATTTACGATCCCATCGAGACAAATTTGTGGTTGGATCCGAGCCTCTGGACTTGTTGTGTAAAAGCAGCAATACCTGATAGCCTGGTCAACATTGCCCCAATCATGGCGTCTGATATGGAAGTCAACGTCACAAATCATACCCCAAGAGCCACAGAGCTTTTCAAATACTCAAAATCGTGGCACAGCTCTATTTTAGGAAGGTGTTGTACGCAGAATGTTTGATCAGTTCCATGCAGTGAATTTAGTGTTGACGTCAAGTTCAACATCCATCTCTGCCAATAGGATCTCTTTTACGACTTCACAGTCGACAGACTTTGTGCGAGCAAGTTTCCAGTACTCTTCGATCCCCCGCTGAGTTAAGATTTTTAGTGACGTTAATTTCGAATGCCTTGTCTCAAAGGCTTGACACAGACCAGCTACTTGTACCCAAGCACTACCTATTGGCGTAGGGACAATACCGTAAACCACGGACAGTGACCATGGACTGGATCAAATGTCGCTGGCAGCAACAATCATACAAAAGACTTGAACTTCGAGATCAACATTCAAATTCGGACATTACAGAAAAGAACCAACGTCAAGGTCGCCATGAGTTCTCATACGCAGTAACATTGGTCAATTTATTGCTCACAATCTTGACCATCACGATCGTCTTTGTGCATCACAACGGGCCAAGACAACACATATTAGCCAGCGAGGAATGCATCTGTCCAGAAACATGGACCGATGCCCGGTACGAATACCCAGGGATGAATACAGATTTGAAACAAGTTACAGGATACTGTAAGGAAGCAACATCGTCCTCAATATGTGTACAGATGGTCTAACCATTTAGCAGCCCCCCTCCTCGATGAAGTTGACCTCACTCCGCAACCCAAAACTCTCAACGGCGCTTTCCATTCCAACACCACGATATTCATGCAAGACCCCTCACCCGCCGTCGATGCCGCCTGGCTCTTCTTCTCCGAAGACATATTCCTCACCCCTTGGACCAGCGTTCGCTACTCCGGTCGCAGCCTCAGCAAATCCATACATTTCGAGCCCGACTCTGCTGGTAACCCAGGGCAGTACATCGCAACATTTGACGTGTTTCATCAGATCCACTGTCTGAATTGGTTGAGGAAGAGTGTGAATTGGGAATATTATTATGGGGAGGAAAAGCCGACGGAGACTTATTTGATGCATCAGAAGCATTGCATTCATATGTTGCTGCAGAGTTTAATGTGTAATGCTGATGTGGACATGGTTACGTTTGAGTGGATGGAGGGGCACGATGAGAGGGTTGAAAGTTTCGGGAATGAGGAGAAAGAAGATAACGGTGGTGAGGTGCAGAAGAGGAACCGGCAGGATGCAATTCCAGCAGCGAATTTCAATGTTCATAAGATGTGTAGGAATTTTTCGGCATTAGTTGAGTGGGCAAAGAAGAATAAAGAGGAGGATCCGGTACAGACGAGGAGAAAGTTGAGGGTGCCTGATAATATACGGCTGAATCGGCCAGAGGACTATTAGATTGTTTCTGAATACCATCTTTGTCATGCAATTTTTCTCGTGGAATTATGTACAAGCCTGACTCAGTGATTGTAGGATCTCATGGATATCTTCGTGCAGGTGCAATTCTTCACTTTGGAGTGTCTGACAAACTAACCGCCCCTCTCGCAGCAACCACTTCCTCCATCGAAACATTCAACGCCCTATCCATCGCCCAATTTCGAATCATCTCAAAATTCCGACACTGATGTCTCGTGCTGAAATCCGGATACGGCTCACTATACCCATCAACCCACACAGCCGTAACGAGACCAATGTCAGCGGTACAAGTGAGTCTTTGGCGGATCATGTCAATGCAGTGATCTTTTCCGTCTCTCTGTCAGTCCGACTCGCTGACGAAAACCAAATTCGACGATGAAGTAAGGTAAGTAGTAGCTTACCGACATGATTGCGAAGCCAGTGATCGCCAAAAGCATGCTCTTTCTCATAATGTTCCATATACGTCGCCATACGTACGAGATTCTGTATCGCGAACAACTATCAGACTTCAATATCCTGTACTGAAGATGAAAAAGCCTACCAAACAATGCAAATTATGGAAAACTTCCAGCGTAGCAAAGTATCCGCCTCCGAACTCATCTGGGATCTTGACCGTGGCATTGGCCCTAAAGTCTTTCCCGATAAGATGCAGTTCTTCTTCTGAGATGGAAAGGGTGGGACCAGGCAGTACTGTAAGGTTGGGTCAGCGCCTGTGAAATTGTGGTGCTGGATAGGATCTTGAACTCACTTGAGCCGGATGAGAGAGCATCCCAAGCATCATCTAACTCTTTCCTTGGAGTCCCTTTGTACGCTGATTTATGATTAAGGGCGCCATGGAACTGTTGCGTAATATATTCTACGGCTGGCTGTGCTGGAGCTGAGAAATGAAGTTAGTGCATGGAAAACCACCTCGGCGAGGAAAGCTTACAGTAGATAATGGGCTCAGCAGGAGCACAAGAACAGGACTGGTTATTCCGACTGTAGCTCGCGACGAGCAATGTCAAGGAAACAAGGAAAAATGCAGCGTGTGTAATCCAAAGCATAGATTGTTTGGCAAACGTGGCTGCTCGTGTCGGGTGCCGTGGCCGAGCGCCATCTTCTGGTGGGAGGGGTTCATATTTTGACATAGTGAGCTGACGAAAAGTGATACTGGTGATGGCCGTGGCAGGAATGAGAAACGGAGTATAGATCAGAGCTTAGTCATTCATCTGATCGTCATGTGCACAGCGTATGAAGGGGAGGAGGAGGAGAAGTGGGAGAGCTCGCCCCTGGGTAGCCTTAGCGCTGACAGAGCAGCGTACCACTTAAGAGCAGCCTCCACGACAACTCTTTGGATAGATAAGAGCATTTGTTTAAATTATCTAGTGGCAGATACGACGATACAATATGGCGTCAAAGTTCGAGCTCCCACGAAAGTCATTCGAAGACGACACCAGTAATGACCGTCTTTTGCAAGACGAGCCGAACGGTTTCCCTGACAAGCAGCACCATATGTCCGAGTTCCGTAGAACATTACTCAAATACGCTTTTATTAGTTCTACGACATTGACAATTCTCCTCCTATCAATCACCACATCCACACTCCTCCTCCAAAAATTGCATTTCACTCCCAACTCTTCCCGAGCCACCACACCCCAAATATCCCCAGGAAATATCCTCAACTGCGGCACATCTCCATCACAAGCCCGTGCTCTAAATTGCATCTTCGACATAATGGACTACAGCTGGACTCCCAAACCATGCTTTCACGCCTCCCTCTCCCAGTACTACCTTGACCTAGCACTCTCCCGCAACCTAACATTCCACCTCACCTCCTCACAATCCAAGACTCTCCCCACATCCGAAGTGTTAGCCGGAAAACACGAATACGTATTCACCACCCGGATCTTCCACACGCTACATTGCGCATACTTCTTGAACCGGCAAACAAGCGTGTTGATGGACGGCTTAGCGACGAGTCTGATGCGCAACGCGAGTTATGGCGTGCATTGCCTGAACGAGGTAATGGAGCCAGGTAATGCGGAGGAGGAGATTTTCGCAGGGTTTCATTACGAGAGGTGTGCGATGGGTTTGGGGTATTTGGAGCCCAGTGCGAGAAGGAGGCCGAAGGGGAAGGGGTTGGGGAAAGTCGTTGATGGAGGGGCGGGGAACGCGTTGAAATTACCGGACCCGCCGGCGGTGTAATGAATTTGCATTGTATTGTACAGGGTATCTATTGAATTGGATTTGGGGCTGAAGCTTTGATAGCTTTCAAAAAGGCACCGACGTCTCCTTTGACTCCTACGGCGTTGGCCATGTCCCAGTCTACGACGCCGGCGTTCTCGAGACCGACTCTAATCAACTTCACCCGTCCTTTGCTCCTCCGAACCAGATCCTCATTCGGCCACCTCAATACGCCAACTGTAGACATGCCTACTCCCAATTCTAAGATCACCGTCGATCCCTGCGTCTTACTGAGGACATTCCTCCTAAACTCCTTCCACCTCTTTTCACCCTCTTGGTACGGGACTTCTGTAAAAGCGCTACCCGACCGAACACAGAGCATCAATCCACGACCACAGAAAGTGCATTTCGGAACTTTGCTGGCATCAGTCAATTCTTGCGTGACTGGGTCCATGAAAGGAATCGCAGCGTCGAGCAGCGGAGCAGAAGGGAAGTAGGCATCCTGTCTGCACGGTTTTTCGCATTGCAGATATTGGTATCGTCCTTGTGGGGTACTCATAATATCCTCAGGGAAGTCATTCTTGACGAAGAAGCCATCTGCGTTGCTCGTCCTGACATGTACTTTTCCATTTTCGAATCGCCGTGTTATCTTCAGGAGGTCGCCATAGACGTCTGATTTTGGCCATTTCCGGATCATGAGCAAGTGGTGGAAGAAATATCCCCACTTCACTTGCTGGCTTGGCCAGTTGATGGGACCGAAGAGGTCGTACAGGCGACGGAATCCGTACTTTTTGTAGCCGTGCAGATGGGTGGAGAGGACGGATGTGGATGTGTAATCAAGACCTGTAGAAGCGGAAAGTCCTGCGCCGGCGGATATGATAAGAGTATCAGCTTGTGCGAGCCAGTTGGCAGCAGTTTGGGTCGAGGAGTTTTCTGGGATGGGAGCTGGAGCTGTGGGAATTGATGCCACGTCGGATGCAGATAGAAGACTGGAATAGATCTCGAGATCGGCATCCAAGAAGACATCGAAAATTATATCTGTTATCGTTGTTTCTGGGTGTTCGTCGATCCATTTTTTCACACTGTTGACGGCAATATTCGCAGCCAGTGCTTGCGGAAAAGCAAAAATTCCAGTCGAGATGCAGCAGAAAACCAGGACCTTTCTTCCGTTCTCCATGGACTTCAACCCCTCAACTGCATTCAAGCAATTCTCATAAGAGCTCTTCAAGTCATTGATATCAACTGCGCTCGGCTTCGAGCCTTGTTCCAGCTGTGGACCAACAGTATGGATTACATGCTCCGCTGGGAGGCAGTACCCTTTCGTGACTTTTGCTCGTCCGACTGGCTCTTCGCTTCTTTGCGCTGTCATAAGAACCTCGCATTCGTCTCGTAGACGTGGACCAGCTGCTGCGTGAATTGCGTTGTCAATACATTTGTGTTGGGGCTGGAAGCATCCCAACATGCGAGAATGTGCTGCATTGACGATCGCTGTGACACCAGAGAGAGTGGTGATGTCGCCTTTCCAAACGGAGATCTTAACTTTTGAAGCGTTTGATATAGGTGAAGATCGATAGGTAGTTAGGGGCGGGATCGATGAAGAGTGTGTGAGCAGCTTTTGGTCTCTCTCATATTGCAGGGCTCTGTCGATACTTGTGAGAATATCGTCGGGAATGGGTGGTGAAGGCGAGCGGATGCAGAGGAGCGTTTTCAGGACTGCCAACTCATCGAAAGTATCCATATCACCATCGGGATAACGTTGTGCGATAGCAGAAGCGATGGAAGGAGTTTCGTCCAGGAGGAATTGTATCGAGTGTGAAAGGTGATCCGAAGGTGTGTTCGTCATTGTGTCTAATGTTGGAGTCGGATACCGTATTACTGTGCGTTTGCAATTTGAGGAATAATTCAAAGAAAAGAAGGAGAAACGAGGGACATATAAATGAAAAGCAGGATGAAAGTGATGTGCAACGAAGTGAAACCGCTTAGATGTTATTGGTGGGTTGCTGGGGAAAACCTGTGGTGATTGTATGACTAATCCGGATCCCACTCCCACAAAAGGCCGATGGGATCCGAGGGTTGGACGAACAACAGCCTCGAGGCATTATATTTATATCAACTCTGAATAAAAGTAAACTAAAAGAATTTGAGATAATACAGCAAAGGTATATTAAGTGTTTCGGGAAGCTTTTGGTGATTGTGTGGCGTGACTCACGAAACCATCTTCCCTTGCGCATTCACAACAACATCCTCCCAATTGCTTGGTCTTTGTCGTCCATCAGGCGAAACCTCATTCAGCCACTTCTCGCACTCTCTTCCCCATTCCAGCAATCCCAGCTCTGATCCCCATTCTCCCATAGCCATGATACCCACAGGTACACGTCCATTACCCTTCTTAGGCTCCACGTACCCCACAGGGCATGAGATCGCAGGGTTGCCACAAAAGTTGGCGAGCCAGACATACTCCATATTCCTGATACTGGTATTTCCGTCTGTGATTCCATACTTCAGATCGCCTTCCGAAGCAATCGGCCATCCTGCCATGGGTGAAGTTGGCGTAACAATCACGAGACCTGGATACTTCTGATACAAGAATGCGAGATGCTGCATCAACATGTTCCGCAATTGCTGTGCGAGTAGGTAATCCTGTGCCGGTGTCTGGGCACCAACAGCAAGAAGAACTTGATTCGCAGGGTTTAGACCAGCCAGCCAGTTCGATGGGTCGAAAGGCTTCGCACGAGCGCGTACTGCCATCTCGGAGAGAATGGTGAAAGCGTGCGCAAGTTGTCCTTGGGGAACGTAAGGAATGGTGATTTCAACGACTTGATAACCGAGCTTCTCTTTATAGTATGTTATGACTTCATTGCAAAGCTTCAAGACAGCTGGATCGGCACGTTCGAACCACTCTTTGTAGATACCAATGATCTTTGGACGGTGGGCTGAAGGCTTGGCGCACGGTTTGGTGAATAGGGAGCAAGTCGGATCAGAGGGGTCAGACTCGGCCATGATTCGATAAGTGATCTCCAGGTCCGAGACGGTTGCGGCGAGAGGACCACTAACGGTGACTGTGCTTCCTAAATCTTCGAGACGATTATGAGATGGCTTCAATCCGTAGATACCGCAAAACGACGAAGGGATGCGAATACTACCACCTCCATCGGCTCCAATGGCGAAAGGCACGAGTCCAGCAGAAACAACATAAGCCGCACCTCCTGAAGATCCACCAGTATAGTATTGATCGTTATGCGGATTGCGTGGAGTTCCCCAGTTGGGGTTGTTGTTGGTTGTGTCAGCGCCCAACTCGTGCATATTCAGCTTTCCGAGGATAATGCCTCCTGCATCTCTGAGTGTCTGAACAGGCCATGACGACTTTTCGGCGAGTGAGAACACTTTGTCATTCTGCTTACGGCCACTTCTGGTCCTGTAGCCAGCGACATCGGTTTCGTCTTTGATGGCTGTGGGGATTCCGTCCATAATTCCAAGAGACGAGCCATCTTTGTATCTCTGAGTGGAGGCTCTCGCTTCTTTCATGATCTCGTCAACGTTGCTGTCGATGAATGCAATTGAGTGATGTGACTTTGGAGATGCTTCTCTTCTGATGAGGGGGAGAAGAGACTCAACGACGGCCATTGGTGTGAGCTGTCCTGAAAGGTACAGCGCATGATACTCAGCAACGGAACGGTAACGTCCAGGCATATCCTCTGGAAGGATAGGGAAAGACTTCGGATCCAGGCCATTGGTGTTGGATTTACAGCCGCAATCAGAAATTGGTATCACAGTTGGCTACACAAGTTAGATACTTAACGAGGATATCATTTCCTGTACTCACATCCCATCTTTCTCGGTAATCCTTCAGATATGGTAGTTCCCGAAGGCCATTGAAACCTGCATTGGCCCACAGCGTGCGCTGGAGGAACTGGATTTTGGCAACACTTGTAATGTCAGTTGATCTGAAGTAAACTGGAAAAGAAGACAAACATCCAAGCGCCAGTCAGTAGCAGGACACCTGTAAACACAGGATTTGCATCTTCCTTCTTTTTGTATGGGGTCACTGGTGCCTCAACAGCTCGAGGATATCCGAAGAAGCGAGTTGCTGCTTGTTTTGATTCGCCCATTATGCAAAGAGATAGTTCAATCTTGATCCTGACAGATTAGAAATAGTGGAGATGGATGAAATACGTCTCAAAATTGAGCTGCGGATTGACAAGTGTTGCTTCAACCTCAGTTATTGTCCGGATATGGAATGGCTGAGGTGCTGTGTGCAGCTCTTAACGCAGATCACACGCGAGGGGGGGAAAGTCTTCCGAGAAAGATAGAATATGGTCTGTGAAGCTTCAATGTACTGTAGCAACGCTGTAGCTGTGTAAAGAAGCGTGAAGAACTCCAGGCCTCTAGCTGTGATGTGAAACTAGACCATCAGCAGTAATCTGGCTCTGGTTCATGGTGCCTCGGCTTAGAGATGTTCGGGGCGGAACAACCAAGTTCCGATCTGCCGTTAATCACCGCCCACTCATTCATGATCTCATTGCGCCTCATTGTGTTTGTGCTGTGCCATCTCGCATCCAGCTCAGAGCTGTGAATAACCGGCTTGCACAGCCCACTTCCATTCCCTTACTGACATCAGAAAGACTTCAAGAGAGGCGTTGCATTAAATCTCTCATACAATTGAAACTACCTACAAGTACTCAGCCAGGCCAAGTACATTTACTTTCCTTGTCTTTGTTCTTCCTCCTCTGAACGTATCAGCATGTGTTTCGGTAGCAAGCTCAAAGGCGACGACCCGTCATCCAGATTGAACAACGACTACAACGACCATCTCAACTCCAGACCCGTTGAATCGAAACCCTCCAAGACCTCACACGCAATGCCTCAAGACAGTTCCTACCAACCACCAGCAGGCCCGCCGCCTTCTCATCAATATCAAAGCCCAGAGATCTATGGCGCACCTGCTGGGCCCCCGCCAAATCGTAACAATGAGTACTCCGCACCTTCAGGACCTCCTCCAAATCGCAGCAATGAGTACTCTGCTCCTTCAGGTCCGCCCCCGAATCGAACCGCAGATTATTCTGCGCCAGATGGACCCCCGCCATCCCATTCATATGATGCACCGCCGCAAGAACCATACCATGACTGGCAGACAGCTGTCCCAGATACCTCTCTCCTCCCACCCCCACCATCAATGGGCAATCAACGAAGCGCCACGAACAACGCAACAGAACAGCAGGCAGAGCTAGGAGAGATATGGTGCTCGCAGAACCCTATGACAGGCCCGGTGACCTTCCCAGAGGCAGCTCTTGAAGCCATTGACAAGGGAGAGATTGGAGTTATCAGACCAAGAGACTACCAAGGCAATCTCGAGCGACCACGACCTGGAGTTTGGGCAGGGAAGACAAAAGCCAGCACACCCGATAACTGCATAATCTCGACCCTTCCCCTCTACTCCGTCATGGCTCACTCGCCTCTTCGAACTGCGCGAACAAAGAGCATATACTACGAAGTGCGCATCAAGCAGACCAACAGAAGAGAAGTCAGTCTTGCAATGGGCTTCGGCGCACAACCATATCCAACATTCCGTCTTCCCGGCTGGCACAGAGGAAACCTAGCTGTCCATGGAGATGACGGAAGTAAATACATCAACGACCGATGGGGTGGAAAGGACTTCACACAGCCATTCAAGGCTGGCGAAACATTGGGAATCGGCATGATCTTCACGGCCAGAAACCTCGATGCACCTCCTTCTTATGATTCTGCTCCCGCGCAAACGATGTCTACGAATCCGATCGATATTGAGGTTTTCTTCACGAGAGATGGGAGGAAGGAGAGTAGCTGGAATCTGCACGAGGAAGGAGATGCTGAGGAGGATCTGCCGGTTACTGGGTTGGAGGGATTCAATGATCTTTACGCTATGGTGGGTACATTTGAGAATGTGGAGTTTGAGATTGTCTTCAATCAGGGAGAGTGGATGTATCACCCGTAGTGGGGGTATAATGTTTACTGATGGTATTTCAAAGTGTCTGGCCTGCTGCAAGCTCGTCGGTAGTCATACCTATGTTGATTTTCCTGGGCTGAATATTTTCTTTAAATCTCAATGAAAGGTCTTCTTTGCCGAGCTCCCTTCTCATATACCAGTCACTAAAGCGAGCTTGGTCCCATCCTCCCATGGCCTGTGTAGCGTTACTTCTCTAGTATACTCTGAAGTTCGTTGACTAAGAACAAAATATATAAGCTTAGTGATAAAGAATGTCGTGATAATAGACATCTAAATAAGGAGATATTTCCAAGACCTGTCCATCACATAGCTTTGATTACTACGTGCATACTTGAAAGTCGGATTTCGCAAACACCCAAATACCGAGAACTGAAAGAATTTCACACCTTTGCCTCATACTTTGCCACAAGCTTCAGCTGTGCAACTCGTCCCAACTCTTGTATATTTGCACTCCTGATAATCTCCAATACAGTAAAGTCCACACTGATTCTCTGCCGGATCCAGTTTCTCATCTCGATACTGACGAGTGAGTCAATACCCAGATCCACCAAGGGGGCGCTGAAATCCATCTCCTCCTCTGTCCGCATCATAAATCCATACAACGTCTTGCCAATTTCTCGAGCTAGCAGATCGACCGATTCTGGAGCCTTCAGTAATGACATGTTGGACCCGATGTCCTTGAGAAACCGGCTGAGTTCGTGGTCTGAAGTTGCAGGTGACTCAGAAGACTCGCCATTTGTCTCTAGATTTTGATAGACCAGCATCCGGGGGTCGTTACGCCAGGTTGTTCTGTTATTTGGAGAAGTGATTGGTAGTACGGAGCGCAAGCCAATCCCGATTTGCGACTTCTGGACATACCGGAATCTCTTGGAAGATCGAGAGGCCAAAGGATAGACGGGTACTGTTGGCTGAGAACGCTTCAGCATCAATTCGATAGAATCAAGCAGTTGTGGCTCTTTAACCAAATACTGTGCAGTTGACCGAAGCGAGTCTAGAAGGTCGGTATTTTCACTGAGATATCCCACATCTTCCATAACTCCAATGTTGACAGTGGAAGCGGCAAGTCCAAGGGAATGCCTGTAGGATACGAAAGCATCAAGGAATGTATTCCCTGCGTTGTAGTTCGCCTGGCCCCAGTGACCACTCATTGCCCCGGCGGAGCTGAAGAGAAAGAATATATCGAGAGGCTCTGATTGCTCCTTAAGAAAAGCGTGGTGGAGATTCCAAGTGCCTTGTACTTTCGGATTTACTGCGGCCTGCCAGTCATCCCAGGATAAAGTTGCGAAAGCGGCGTCCTGTCACCATGCGTTAGCTCATTGTCTGATATGTGAGATGTTCTTGTATGCGATGCGTTTGTACCTACCCTCAAAACCATCGACGCCTGGAACACTCCTCCGATTGGTTCTCCTGCGGCCTCGATTGCCGAGACAACATCTTCATACTTGGAAACGTCCCCCGAAACTCTGGTGGTCCTACAGCCCTGTACTGCGAATTCTTTGACAAAAGGATCATCATCGAGAATATTTCCGGCGGATCTTGACATGAAGACGATATGTTTGGCACCCCACTCGACCAGCCAGGTTGCAATAGAGCGCCCAAGCCCACCAAGTCCCCCGACGAACAAGTACGCCCGATCTGAACGAAGCTTCAGATCCTCACGCAAGGTCTCAAATGAAAGCTCTGAAACAAGTTCCGGCATTGACACAACAATCTTGCCAATATGCTGAGATTTCTGCATGTACCTGAATGGCTCCGTGATGTTCAATGCGGAGAAAATCGTAGTAGCTGCGGAAGGCTTTATAAGTCCGCGGGCGTAGAAGTCCATGGCTTTCCCCATGACTCTGGAGTTCTGGATTAGAAAGATGCAGGAAAACCTGAAGAAATAATCCTACCTATCAAGTTCCTCTGGGCGTTTGGTCGAGAAAAGTAGCAGATCAAATCCGATAAACGCACGATTGGACTCGAAAAGTTCCATGGCTAGGGTGCCTTGGCCGACGAAATCTCGTCGACCTATTTCAACAAATGTGCCAAATTCCGCGACGCATTTCCATGAAGCATGGAGAAGTTCACCAGAAAGTGAGTTCAGCACGACGTCGACTCCCCGACCTTCAGTTGCCCTCAATATGGCGGGAAGGAAGCTCGATTCCCTAGAGTTGAAAATGTGATCACTATGAATACCGAAGTTCTTGATCAAGTAAGCCGCTTTTTCGTCGTTGCCCACAGTGCAATATATCTGTAAATTTCTCTTGTTAGCAATCGTCATTCCGAAGCGATACGGAAACGCCCACCTCGGCGCCTATCAGTTGGGCGATCTGAATTGCAGCAAGTCCAACGCCTCCAGTGGCGGCATGGATCAGTATAGACTAAATGCTATGTGAGTAGATACTACCAAAATATCCAGGGTGCCTAACTTACCTGTCCTTTACTCAATCTCGCAGCATCAATGAGGCAGTAGATTGCAGTACAATAAACTGCCGATATAGCAGCACCTTCTTCGAACGTCATGCTGTCTGGCATCTTGGTGCACAGCTTTTCGCAGACTTGGTGGGTAGATGTGAATGATCCACTTGAACTAATGATCACTCGATCACCTTTCTTGAATTTCTTGACCATGTATCCTGTTTTTGTCACGATCCCACTTCCTTCATAACCAAATCCTCCGCCGATAGATGACTTCTCTGTGATAACACCCATGGCAATAAGCAGATCCTGTAATGCGTTAGTGAATTATTACAAGCCTACAGCCGGTGGCTCAACCGTCAACCTGAACATAATCATCGGCGAGTTCAGCAAGTTCCACTTCCTTCCAGTGAAGAGAGTTAAGGAGCCCAGGTTTGGACAGTTCTAACTTTCTTACGGCAGAGTCCGTCTTTTTCTTCTTCAATTCATCTGCCACGCGGATATAGTGGTATCGACTGATCAGAAGTTTGCCATCCACCAGCGCCCACTCACTCGTCGGGCTGACGTTTTCTTCAAGTACGCAATCCTGAAGATCGCGAAAGATAGCTGGGATGAAACCGAAATTTGCGTCATTCAGTTTTTCCAGCTCAAGAGTAGCAAGATTCAACGCCATCTCGGTACGGAGCACTCGAGCGACCCCAATGACCATAGCATATCTAGGGTCTGTACATGCGACCTGGCATGATCTCGTTACCCAGAGTATACGAGATCCTTGGAGTTGACTAAGAATGCTTTTAAAGTTGACGAACCTTGATTCGGTGATATCGTGGAAGAAAGGACCCTCAAGATCGAGAATAGAAATGATGTCCTGTTGTGGTCGCGGCGAAGTTGTTTTATCGTCTAGACAGAGGAAGTCGACCTCAAATCCCCCAGCTTCAAGACATTTTGAAATTTTCTCTTTGAATTTCCCTTCTTTGTCAAAATACAGGAGGGTGACATTTCGTGGTCCAGGATGCTTCATAGTCGGCCTAGCGATGATGTTGTTATTGAGATACCCGTCATGACTGCAGGCGTCAATTCGTGTGAATCCTGTAGCTTGGAGCTCTTCTATCCATCTGGCCGCACTAATGTATGGCTCAGTAAAGCGGCCATCTGGTGCTCCGAGCCACCACCCGGGTAAAACACCCATCACGAAGTTGATCCATTTGGTATCTGTAGATAATGTTAGAGAATATGACCGAGTCTCGAAAAGCAATACGTACCTGGTGAAAGCTCTTGAAGTAATAGCCGGCCCTGAGGATGTAATAACTTTCGCACATGAGATAGTGTTCGACGTAGGCTTGGAGTCGCATGCAGAACCTAGGGAAAGTCAGCCAATATTACCAGATTCATTGCAGTGCAGATACATTGCAAGCTATGATTAGGTCAAATTCTTCGGCTTGGAAGCCTTGTTCAATTGGATCTTGGGAAATGTCCAAAACCTTATACTCCAAGCCGTCGAAGTCTTTAAACCTCTCTTTCGCCGCTGGGAAGAAACCGGACGAGATGTCCGTAAAGGTATAGGAGAGGAACATCCGTTCGCCATATGATGACCTTAAGCTGGGCAGCACCGTAGCTGTAGTCCCACCAGTACCTGCACCAATTTCAAGGACTCGCATGTTTGGTTTGCGATGAGCTGCCAGACCAAGAAAGGTGGCGCACTCAGAATTTTGAATGTAATCATAAAGACGGTGCAGGACATTGTCTTCCATGAGAAGGTCCAGCGCTTCCACTTCTCCCCTGAAGATTTCTCGACAATGTTTAGTGATTTTGTAGATGGCAGTTGCTGCCTCAGACGCTGCGGTCTGCTGCAAATCGGCGTAAAGCTTCTCGATTATAACATAGCCTTGACCCGTAGGCAAATTATAGGACGAATATTGAAAAGGAAAAGCTTCTAGCCATTCTTGGTAATGTGAGAGATAATCCTTGGTTGGTTGAATGCCTCGTAGCTGCTGCGTTGTCTCCTTTATACAGGCGAAGAAAAACTCGTCAAGTTTGAGATGTAAACTGGTTCTGTCATGTTTTTGACGTATCAAGGAAGCCACATCCAGAAAATTCAGATCTTCTTGCCATTCCAATTCTACAGCAGCATGTGGATCTATATCTGCGTCTTGGATACTCCCTAGTCTCGACATCTGAAGCCCCTGAAGGTCGATGACAAGTTGGCCTTCCGACACAGCAACGATATTACCGGAGAGTGCAGCCTTCGGTTCCTGGTCTGTAGTTGCTTGAATGACCATTTTGTTTGCCAAAGGTGGGCAGACGTAGATCTCGTGTATGTAGGTTGGAATTGAAAATGATTGAAACCTTCTAGGGAGGCCATTGCAAGTTGCTGGCCCTAAAGCTTGCAGCAAAGTATCCATCGTCACTGGATGAACGGCGTAGGCGGTTTCGTCTTCCCTGATGTCATTTGTGATATTCGCGACGAGCTTGCACTCCACTGGATGAGAAGTCATATCGTTCAGTCCCATGAACCGAGGGCCATAGTCAAGACCCATTTCTTTGAACTTTCGATACCATGCTCGCCTAGAGAGTACGCGTGGCAGAGAAGCAATGACTGGTGTCTCTCGAGGATACTCCGAGCCAGCCATAATTTGCCCAGAACTGTGCTTAGTCCAGACACCGTTTTCAAGGGAATATACAGCGAAATAATACCACTTCGAGTCCAGTGTACTGGTAATAGGCATCACTTGAAGCTGCGTAATGACTTCCCTGTCCTGGCCTTGTTGCATGACCAGCGCGGCCTTGATGTGTATTCGGCGTGCTGTGAATGTTGTTGACTTCGTGAGTTGTCTGATTGCCTCACCAGCCATACAGACGTACCCAACCGCCGGGAGTAGGACTTCTCCTGCAATTTCATGCTCTTTGATCCAAGGGACAACGTCTGATCTTAGTATATTTCGCCAGCTCGGATTTTGATCGGTGCTCTCTATGACACGGGAACCAAGAATATCATGATGCGGGAACTCTCGCAATCGCCATTCCCTTGAGAGCCTACTTTCAGCCCAGAGCGGCTCATCGTAGTGCCATGGGTACAACGGAAGAGCAGGAATAAATTCGCCTTTACCTGTAATGTTCTCTAAATCGACCGGACAATTTCGGAGCCACATCTCCCCAATAGATCTCAGGAACTCCTTATGGGAGTCTGATCCACGAGTTTGCAAGCTGAGATAATCGTCATCAGATTTCAGGCCCTGGAGCGTTTGACGAATAGGGCCGGCGAGAGCTGAATGTGGTCCGATCTCGACGAAGAGTTTTCGGGACACAATATTTGTAACAACACTGCTTACCGCTGTCGAGAATTTGACGGGGGAGACTAAGTTCTGTACCCAGTATGCAGGTCCAAGATCCTTGCCGCGAGCGACGATGCTGCAAGTCACGCTGGAGAACAACGGAATTTGTGGGTCCAAAGGACATATATTGACACTCGCCATGAGTTCTAGATACCGGCTTGTAGCGGGTCCCATCTGATCTATACAAACAAGCAGTCAGTTGAAGGGTTTGACAAGAGGCTGATCAACTTACTTGAATGATAGGCGCGGTCCACATTCAACATACGGACGAGGATATCCGGAAGGGCAGCTTTGATTTCCTTCCCTACGAGCTCTAGAATGTTTCGATCACCCGTCAATGTCGTGGACCTGGGACTATTTTCACAACCTACACTGACACCAGGCCGAAGATATGGTACAACTTCTTCTGGGCTGAGGCCAACAGCCGCCATTGCTCCTGGGGCTTTCGTTGTATCAAGCTCCGCCATAACTTTACCTCTGTAGTAGGCAATGGAAATTGCTTCTCTAGCCGTGACTGCACCGCATGCGTAAGCTGCAGCAATTTCCCCACTGGAGTGGCCGAGGACTGCATTTGGCTTGATTCCGTATTGGCAAAGAACGTCAACTAGTGCGATTTGAAGGGCTGTACAGCATGGTTGGGATATCTCTGCTTCGACAAGGCGGCTAGACTTTCGAGGAGCTGACAAGAGGTCTGAGTACGGGATCAATGAATCAGCTGTGAGTAAAGTGCAGATGGTGTAACATCGTACCTGATAATTTCCATGCTGGGGGCTCAGGAACTGTGCTTAGGAGTGTATCAAGCTCTTCAATGCTTTTCCTGAACACTTCGACGTTGGTAAGAAGTTTTGCTCCCATCTGAGCCCACTGAGCGCCCTGCCCAGTGAAGGCGAATGCCAATTGTGGGGCCTGCCGTTCTGAACGTTGGTGCATAACTGATGGCTCCCATGAGTCCTCGCCGTCTGTGACGCAGAAAGCGCAGTGGGAGAGCACTTCCCGCTTCATAGCCAAAGAGTAGCTCATGTCCGCAAGCGAATCGGGATTGGAAATATGAAATGATTGATGATCAGCTATCATCCTGGTCAAAGCTTGTGGGTGCTTTGCCGAGAATACCAGTAAACGAGGGACCAGAAGGGTCCGATGGAGCTTGACCGACGGCTGAGACAGAGTCTTGTGTATTCCGAACGATTCTGCGGAGCCTAAAATAACCTTCCTGAATGTTAGGTGAAATTTTCAGGAAGCATCACTAATTTTACTCACATGAGCATTCGAGCCTCCCACACCAAAGGAATTTACGCCAACGACTTCGTCCCAATCCTGGGGCCATGGCATAGGGACAACTGGAACATGGAGTTTAGAAGCTTTCCATGGAACTAAGACAGCCAGGTAATTAGTGTAGGCGTGGAAACATACGTAAGACTACTTGCTTTTAGGATTTGGAACTGTAAAATTGATGTTGGGCGGGATGATCTTTTTTTCAAGAGCAAGTGTCATTTTTATGATGCTTGAAAGTCCAGAGGCGCCTTCGCTGTGACCCAGGTTTGGTTTGACCTATTAATGCAAGCATGAGTGAGTGTTTATCCAATTTCCCTTTCAACATACCGATCCGATGTAGATTCCATGCTCGCCGAATATGTTTGCCACCGCTGCAGCCTCGATTGGGTCCCCTGTTCAAGCATAAGTCAGTTCTTGTGATCTTTGAATATCAATACCGAAGGAATACAACCAGAATGTAACTTACCGACAGCAGTCCCGGTCCCATGGCACTCGATCATAGCAGTCTTAGAGAGGTCTGATATGCCAGCAAGCTCATGACCTCTTCTCATAAGAGCCTCATGTGCGGCTGTGTTAGGAGCCGTCAAAGTGGATGCCTTACCACCAGAGTTAATACATGTAGACCGAATAACAGACCTAATAGGATCTCCATCCCGAATCGCGTCGCTGAGTTTCTTCACATATATTGCAGAGACAGCTTCTCCCCGAGCGTACCCATCAGCATGGGCATCGAATGTCTTACATGAGCCTGTCGAGGATAATACCCCTTGTTCTTGCATAGTGATTGACGTCCTGGGCGAGAAGATCAGATTTGCACAAGCGACAACTGCGGCCTCACATTCTCCAGCAGCGATTCCGTGACAAGCGTCGTAAAGCCCTGTTAGAGCTGAAGAGCACGCAGTACGAACTGTGACACTGTGAATTATTAGCCGGCGAGATATGAGCTGTTGGTATGGATATGAGCAGCAGACCTGGGGCCCATGAAGCCAAATTCATAGTTAACGCGATTGGCCGACATATAATCCCCATAGCCCGTCAGCCTGTACATGTGGTAGTGTTGAGGGTCCCTGCCATCAAGTTCCAACCAATCGCCATCAAATGATCCAAGGTACACGCCAATTTTCCTTCCTCGAAGCTCACTTGGCTTTAGTCCGGCATTTTGTAAGCACTCATACACAACTTCAAGAGTGAGCCTTTGCTGAGGATCCATTGTTTCGATTTCCTGCTTGGTCATCGACCAAAATGAGGCATCTGCATTGCCAAGATTGATATCGCCGAGGAAGTAACCATACTTGCTTGTCACATGGCCAATCTTACCTGGCCCATACCACGCATCGATATTGTATCGGTCCTTGGGCACTTTACAGCGCCCACTCCGTCGGTTGCACAGAAGATCCCAATAGCCTTCTGCATCATGAATACCTCCTGGGAGACGCATTCCCATGCCACAAATAGCCATTGGTTCCACCAGAGGCACAGAGTTCCCCTCAGGAGCTTGGTAGCCATTTTTGGCATGAAATTGTTCAGAATGGGGCCCATTCTGCTTTCCATTTGTCGGAGTACCATTGGTGTCGATGCTGACCATTTGATTGGAGACCACCGTCGTGGCTTTAGCTGCGGCTATTGGTTTTTTGTTCAGCCTATGTATAAGAATGGGTAGCTGTTCGATTTACGTACAATTGAGGTTACGAGGCGTAAGTGACTAGTGTCTTCGTGGCGCTGAAGGTACTCAACAGTTTGAAGTGCTTTGAGGTCTGAAACTTTCAGGATGTTCAAGAGCTGATTAGCTTTGAACGATCCGATGCTGAGCTTCTCTAAATAAGCAACCTATCCGTAAGTTTCCCAGCTTTCTACAGAGTCGGCACTCCAAACAATCTTACGCTCCTCATCTCCACACAAACCTCAGCCGCAGATAAGCACACGCAGGACAGCGGTTAAGTGTTGTTCCCTGTCAACAGGGGGATCCCCCGGATGCGGATTTTGACTCCCCGGAATTGAGGCGATTCTGAAGATAGAGTCCTAAAAATTATTCGGACTACTCCTGAATACAAGGGAACATTACGAAATGGTCTTTGATGAGCCTTTTCTTATTTTTGTGGGGTTTTTGCAAGAGAGAACAGTTAACACTAAAACGACCGGGGATAACGATCCCCGGCCTGGAGATGACATTCTTCAGACACCGGGAAATGGGAATTCGATAGCTGTACCCCGCTACCGGAATTCGGTCCTCCGAACCACTTCGGGCACGGGCCGCTTCCTAGCTTCCGAAGCGACGATGGAACAGGTCAGACTTCAACACTAGACCGGGTAATATATCATTCCATTAACTGAAGAGAAATATCACCTCGCTCCCCTTCAAGTCTGTACGAGAGGATTGGAGGTATGGCCCCACTACTGCAGGAGGCTGTTCCCACAAACAGCACGCCTATTTCGATAGGACCGAACCTATGGATCACCGGTCTGGGTAGTCAATATCCTCCTTATCTACTTGGCCCAGAGAAATTGGAGCAGCTTGCGAGCAAGTTCCATGATATTGAAAACCCAGGGTAAGAATAGGAATAAGAACAACGGCTGAATTGAAAACATTACTGATAGAATCTACGAAAAGTCTGAAAAAGCTTTTGCAAATAAATCGAACTACTGGAATTGAGACACGATCATCAATTAGATCCTATGACAGTGGATTCACCAATCAGCCTGATCCTCCCTCTATCAGCGATATAGATCATTTCTTTCGAAAGGCTGGGGTAGATTTGACCGTTCAAGCTTGTAAGAAGGCTTTGAGAGAATGGGCAGGAGATTACAGCGACATTACCCACACGATCGGTGTAACTTGCACCAACCAGAGCAACCCTGGATATGATCTCCTAGTAAATCAAAAGCTGGGACTGCAGCCAACTGTTGATCGTACACTCCTCCAGGGCGTGGGCTGCGCGGGAGGTCTTGCCATCCTGCGAGTTACAGCTCAGATCGCCTGTGGAGCGACGATGCGTGGGCGGCCAGCACGCATACTTGCATTTGCTTGCGAGTTATGTACGCCAAATGTCAGGTGCGATCTGGCCGAAGTCGTGAAGTGCTCTGATCCAGGTGCAGTCAGCATCGCTGGGGCACTCTTCTCTGATGGTGCCGCCGCGTTCATCTTATGCAACGATTTTGGGCTAGGTGACGACACCCAACCCATTCTTCAACTTCTTGAATGGGGAAACGCAACGCTGCCTGATACGACCGAGCACATGGGATTCTATGTAGACCCACTGGGTAAGCTTTTCGCTGTCTTTAAAGTTCGGTGAATGGCTGACAGCTTGTTTCGAGGCTTCCGAACCGTCTTGACTAGAAACGTGCCCGAGCTCGCCACCCGCGCAATATTCCCGATGTTCCAGTCGCTAGTGCCAGAAGTCCAAGAAAGGCTCGGGAAAAGAGATTTGAAAGCTAGTGACTTTGACTGGGCACTACATCCTGGAGGTGAGGCTATTATCGAGAGTGCCAAAGAATTGTTGCAGCTGAGCGATGATCAACTTCGAGCAACTTGGGAGATATACAGAACGCGAGGCAATTCGTCGAGTCCTACGGTTATCATAGTCCTAGACAAGCTGAGAGCGATGGGGCTAGGACGCGATCAGATCGTAGCAACGTCGTTTGGGCCGGGTCTGGGGATTGAGATGTCAATATTTAAGAAGTGCCACCAAGAGACAGAGGATTGGTGAAATCAGGTGTTGCAACCCTCTTGTTATCAATCTCGACGTTAAAACCGCCAGTCTGTTTACAACTGAGATACAAATTACAGATCCGAAAGTAAATACAAGAAATATGTAGAAACGTACTTTGAAAATTTAAGCGAACATATTTAATTAGGAGCCGAGCCTTTTGCGACCGAGATGGCCTTAAACCTCGCCGAATGCCGAATCAAGACTCTTTCACTTCTCCATACTCAATCTCAAGTATCAATTAGCTGCATGGGTACTTCCTCAAACAACAAGGCGTGATTGCCAGTAACCTTGAGGGCCAGTTACTCAGGAGCTGTAGTCTACTAGATAGCTGCTCCCTAGTGGAGCTTCACTGGCGCGTTTTCGCTTACAGCGGCCCCATTCCGTTGGCTGCTTCAACTCCCAACTTTAAGTAAAATGGTATACACTGGTATTGATTGGTATGTATACTTGGAGAACAGCTATCCTTCCACATAAGACCGTAGACTGAGGAGAATTGGGCTCCCCCATAAATCAATGATGCATCAGGATCATCACGGCCATATATCCATTCTCAGATCATGCATTTTTGGGTTTGGGAAATTCTGTTTACAGTCCGATACCATAAAATATAAAACTAGAACCTCGTATCCCAGATCTAATTTGAACCTTAGGGGTGAAAGTATTGACAATATCCATAAATCATATTGGAGGCTCTATGCTAAGCGAGGCAACATGACATGTTGAACGGGCTACAAACATTTGTCCGCACTTTCTACAACCAAGTCATGGAATCTCCCTTCTGGTAAGCCTGTCGCCAGTAGCTGAACGCCTTAAATGTAGCTTTCCTACAATCTCTTTTTCTCTTCGTCATCAACAAGTATTAATCATACACAGTTTCCTCGCCTTGTAAAGTAACCAAAGCCCATCTAATTCTTCATTGCCTCCAACCCCTACGAAGCTGACTCGTTTGAATCTTCTCAGGAAGTCTTCTCCTTGTGCTGTCGTACTGCGGATGTGTACCTAGGCTATCCAATTGATTGTTGAACCCCAATGTAGGTGGTGTCTGTTCTAACGCCGAGCGAATGATGGTGACAGCGTGGCGGCCACGTCGACAGGAGTTATTTATATATCAGATATTCTCTGGTCTGAGTTCTGGTTAGGTGTGTAGGTCTGCAGATGTATTTGACCCTCTGTACTCCATTCCGGTTGGACCGCTTGCTCAATCATATACTCCGCGGACATGCTGAGCCCCCGTTTCCTACCTTAGGGCTTCCCATCCTATTGCGCCGACGATCGGTCTCCACTTGATCCTATATAAACAAAAAGTCATAGAATGTAATCCCTTGTTGGCAAATCCTGTAGTTACTTAGTTGAAGAAGTTTTGTCACTCATTACTCGCCCGACTACTCTATTTCTCTTTAGCGGGTAGATGACGGGTTTGGGGTCCAGAATTGCCTGTTATTGATGATAGATAGTAATGACTTGAAGCAAGCTTTCGGGTATTCTTTTTGCTTAAGAACACCTGTGGCCACGACTAGATACACACACACACTGAATTGCCTACACATGGAAAGACGACTACAAGATATAATCAGTAAAGTAAGCACGATTAGAAACCGATTCAAATAAGTAAACGCAATCAAATTGAGGGTCAGGTCAAATACGGCTTCAAGCATATCTTGAAGGGCTTGGGGGTACTGTGGGGACCCACTCCGCTCTAAGCTGGAGGAAGTGCTTCGTACCTTCCCCATGCACATCAACTTATTGCAACACATTGAGACGCACCTGCCGTCGCATTCAAGGGCACACTATGCCAATTAGCCCAAACACCGGGCAAGGTCTCTTCTCTTCCATTTAATCTTTTCTCCATCCCAACAATACAACACCATTATCATCAAACACAACAGCACGATCGAGAAACAACATTGCAATCCGCGACAATACCTTCTGCAACAGTATATCGTGCATTCCTCTTTCTGAACTAACTCACGGCTTCGCATCATTCATCATACCGCTCGATCACTTCCGTTCAACTCGCTCGAGGATGTTTCCACATTCATCTGCCACGCATTCGTACCCTACCACATTGGCGCAGGACTACCGAGGGCACAAAGATAAAACGACATGGTACATGATCTGCTGCACTACGATGGCTCAGATATCAAGACTTCAAGGGTCGTTTCGGTCTCATCATTGCGCATCAAGGTACTGCAACCCCTATCCCCCCCCCTTCTCCCCTGCCCTCTCCCCCTTTTACCGACAACGGTCTAGCCACTGGATCACTAATATCCTTTGGCTTCCAAAGATTGTCCAAGATCAAACTCTATGCCTAGTTCCATCTCTGGCTTGGAGTTGATAGCAAGTCAGAGTCTAGAGTAGAAACATTCCTTCACATTGCACACGTACAAGACGTCAGCATTAGCTGACGCAGGTACACAGATACTCAGCCGCCCGACAAAGCTCAGTATAGCATCACTGCTCTATCAAGTCAAACTCGGCTTAGCATTCTCCAATCGTCACACGAACAATCACACGAAATCATCTCACATCCTTCTCCCAATCTCCAATCGAAATACCCTCGAATATCAACAGCATACTCCTAGCCAATGGAGCCAGCTCAATATGGAGTTCTTCGCCTTTGAACGTGTACACAAAGTCCACTTGCGACTATTGTGAATATTCAACTTATGGCCTGTCTCGCCTCCTCAGGCACGGCAACAAAAAATACAAGGAACGGCGAGAAAACAGTCCAAAACCAGCAATAATAGTGATTTCTTTTGTATGGGGTACGTCTTCATCAGAGTCATGACTCCTCATCCCCGTCAAACCTTGCTGACTTCAGAGCAACATAACGCCTGCGTGGGTCACCGCCGCTGCAGGTCTTCCAAACATCTTGACGATACCTTTTCACTCTTGAACGCTTCCATCCCTGACAGCACCTAAGACCCTACGTTGCTTAAACAGGAAGGACTCTGGGTATGGACAGTGGAGTGTATGATCAGGATACCCGGGGGCTTGAGGAGATTGAGACTTGTAATGCGCCTTGCAAAGACGAGAACAATATCCCCACCTCGATACTGCCTGCCAATACCAGCAGAGCATAGTTTGGGCCACAAGAACTATGAAAGGACGGAAAAGCAAATGCGATAGAAACAGCATGCGCGAAAATATCTCAGAATGATGGGAGACCAGCAGAGGTTCTTCGAGGTAGAGGACTAGATTGAAACGGAGGCACGTGTAAAACAATGGGAATGGAAGGAAAAGGAAAGGAAAAAAACGAAATATAACGATGAAGTACAAATTGAAATGAATTGAAATGAATTGAAATGAAATGACATGAACACCTGTTTTACGGTATGTGTTCTTGATGTGCGCGCTAAGGTCTAGTGAAGCTCTAACTAGGTAAGTTACAGTGTGGAGCGGTAGAACGCCACTACTGTACTGCTTACTAAGGCGGGTCCCCGGCCTAGGCACCAGACCAGGGGCAGTACAACACAAACCTTTGCGGTACAGAAAGGTACCTCTGGACTCCAGATTGAAACTTGAAATTTCATTGCTGGTTTGCTGACAAGGGTTTGATACGACCGCGGTTGGTGCCAAATAGTACTCGATTTATTTCGTAGGTAACAATCCAATCACAAGAAAAGAAAGTGATGCCTTACGGAATGCCAACAGCCGAACGTTTTCCTATTTTGGCAAGCCTCTCAATCTTAATAAACATGAGCCTAATGGTATTTTACAGCACAGTATTTACAGATTGGGTCAAGGGATATTGTTAGTGCCACTATATTGCCCTCTTCGTCTATTATGATATGCCATGACATCCAACTTGTTACCACCCTCAGCAACTATCTTTACTAGACCGGCCTGAACCGAATCAGGCTTGGCCAGCAAAGTCAATCTTTCTGCCTATTCTGCCTTGAGTGTACCGTCAGAAGTATAAGCACGGCGAGTGAAATATCACCACAAGTAAACTGCTTGCATTGCCACAATTTCAGTAACATCAAATCATTCTTCATGTTCCCATCCCACTACCCTGTCATTCTCAGAAATTACAAACTTACTCCTCAGCTCCAGGCTGCTTTTCAATTAACGAGGTCTCTCTCCGTGATTCGAATACGTCGCTCTTCGGGAATCTGTTCTTGCAGCCGCTTACTCTTCCCCGAAGCTGTTATGAGCACTTTGAATTGCATGCTCGGCTCCTGCCCAATGAGTGTTCCCAGCATGGACAAAAAGTGCCAATAGTCTTCATCCCAGCAATATTTCTCGAACTGAGCCAGGTCATCGATAATACAAAAAACGGTAAGATCTAATACTTGTTTGAACATCGTCTGGAGTAACATCTGGAATGAGAAGCAGAGATCCCCCATGGAAATCGAGGCTCCGTCACCAAAGCATCCCGAAATTTGGGCAGGTACAGAGCCCTGGGGCCATAAACGGAGCAGTTGGCAGAGCAGACTCTGAACGAGACCCATTGGACCTCGTAGGCTATCATTGGAAGCTATATGCTGCCCACAAAAGAAGAGTAGCGTGACGACTTCTTTCTTGTTTTCGAACCTTTGTGCCAAACTTGCGCAGAATGACGAGTTTGGTGATATCTTTCCAAATCTGGAGTCAAATTGCCCCTCAACAAAAATAAGGTCCGAATCATCGGCAAGCATCCATTCTTGGAAACGCGGTTTCAATGTTGTAGCCTCGCTATAAGACGTCGCAGCTGAATGAAATTGATTACTTTGTCGGACAACAAAGTCTAGGTCGCGAATACACTGGTCATGTGGCACGCCGAGTAAATCTATCAGGTACCCCAGGTGTAGTTCTTGAATTGATTCGGGTGCTGCGCACTCGGTGCCAATCCTGAACATTTTATCGCTATGTCGGGCTTCTACTGTAATGAGACATGTGGCTTGCTGTGTAGTTCAGTGGAGGTTAACTAATCAAGATACTCGTCTTTCTGCTCCCAAGTTGTTATGTTATCTGATATAAGATGCTGAAGCTTCAGTATTGCGACTTGAAGTTTTTCGACGCCCGAATGAGTGTTTGCTGTCACTTCCTGTATCTTTCTAGTGGCGAGACAGGTTTCGAACACCAGCTCATCTTGCAGGTCTCTGGCCAGGCTGTCAACAGCTAAGCTCTTTCGCTTGATGAGAGCCAACATGTCTGGTAGATCGAATCCTCGAAATAGGCTCGTCACTTTGGCCACTGTGTTCATCAGTACATGCTTTTGTTCAATCTGGATTGTTATACTTGCCGAATGTGTCAGGCATTAGCAGCTTTATCAAGTCTGGTATAACTGCAAAGAGCGTTCTCTTTAGGTCGACTATCGACTTCTCCAGCCTGATGTCACTGGGAAACCTGTGGGATTTGTTACAAGCCACGATGATGATGGTGGGTATATCTTCAAATGTATCCAGGATACTCCGCCTTACTGATTCCCTTTGCGCAGCAAGCTGAATCGCTAATATTAGCCGCGATCAGAAAGGTAAGAGCCAGTACATACATGGAAGATAATTGCAAGTCCACCATGGAGAAAGCATAAGTCATCCGGAATAGCATTCAAAAGAGGTACAATTGATCTCGATAAAGAGCTCAATTTTCTTCTATTTTTGGTGAAGAAATTCTTGTCGCCTTGTTGGTTGAGACTTGCTGCTTTTGTCGCTATCTCCAGCTCTTTCATCACTTCCTGCCAGGAGCATTGAACGGGATCAAATGGAAGCCTGCGACTGTTGAATCTCTCATGTTCTCGCAAGGTTTGCACGAAATCTCTACTGCAAGTGAGTCCCCAACCTTCAATGTGTTGTATTGTTCAGCTTACTCGTAATATTCCCTGACCCTATCCATTGGCATTTCGTCCACCTTTGAAGCCATCACGTTCAAAATTCATTTATTGATTTGTCTCCGAAACAATGAACAATTTCGTCAGCTCAGAAATGTTGTCGATTCCATGAAATGTTGCGACTTCATAACCTTGAGCCTGAAGCATTGGGCCTGGTGACCGATTGTCACGGGGAGACCGAGACAAGGCAGGTATTGCCAGCCTGATAGGCTTGCACTGTTATCTTCGCATTTCATAAGGGCCAATCATCACCATGTAAAAAGTCCATATGACACGGTGATCTTCACTTTTCAAGTCTCACTCAGCCTCACTCGCCCATGCCCCTCACTTAACTCGGGCGTTGCGAAAGGGCTGCTGGTCAAGCCTTCCTGTCGGCTACGTCAGAACGCCCTGTTGCTTTCCATGAGGTATCAGGCAACCAGCACTACCTATTCAATCCTCCGGTGATCTCATATCGAGGGCAAGGCTGTCAGTTGATCGGACCTTGATCCACATTTCTTGCTCAAGATGATCCTCGAGCACATGTTACATTTTGAATACTTTCCCGCACTCCCCTGCTCCATCGCAGCCCTTAATCTCGATCGCCGTGAGACGGTTTCAGAACAGATAGTAACCATCTAGCAATTTGAAGCTTCTAGTGATTTGATCGACTACTTGACTCCACAAGGCTCCAACGTTACACTTCAAATCCAAGTCCTCTCAGGACCCGAACATGGCATCCGATTTCGATTATAAGGTTGATCCCGAAGCAGAAACGGACGACGATGAAGAGCATCTGGGCTCTCTCTATCTGGGACAGATAAAAATACTCCCAGAGGTTCGGAAGTGTGATCTTTTGAACTTCAAGAATCAATTCAATGCCGCCGAAAAAGGGCTCTATGCCGTCGACGTCCTTGAGTCCGACACTTTCCTGGATCAAGAGGAAATACAAGAAGAGCTAAGGCTACGACGAAGTCTCGCCAAGAATCCTAATCAGGTGAAGAACAAAGGGCTGAAGCTTTCGAAGTCAACATATAGGCTCCCGCACAACACTCACACTGGACAGTCTGGGAAAAAGGTCATTTCGAAAATCCGGATACGATCGCCTGCCATTCTATCAATTCTGTCCAAAGTCATGCAGCAATCTTGGGGTAGCCGTCCTCGGACATTCATTCGACCTTTTGGCCCGCTCATATACTTTCATTCGCAGGTTCTGGAAGCATTGACCGAGATAGAAGTCAAGTGGGCACTGGAGAGTGAGGCTTCGGCAGCGGTCCTTACGTCAGTGAATTGCGATAACTCTTCCGAGAAGACGATCCAAGGTGGCATTCTACATATTAATGGCAGTGCAGCGGCTATTTCAGAAATAAGGTGCTATTTGCAATTCATGTCCACCGAGATTTTACCGCTTTACACCCAATTCGACAATCTAGACGAGTCGTCAAATCCGAAAATCATGTTCCATGATCTGTGGTATCTGTTCAAGACAAATGAACTGGTGTATCGACCCGTTGGTGGTGGAGCAATTCAAGAGACAAACGGCTTCAGTCTTGGTCAGCGAGCATGGCGCATCCATGGTACGCAAGAATCCGTGGCCGGTGATGATCTGAAAACCGCACATGATCGGAATAACTTCGAGGGAAGCGGTGGGGAGAGAACCTCTTTCAATGTCCATTGTTACTACATTGACTACACTGGAGAAGAGTTTTGTGTCGTCACCGAGATCTTCGAAATACATGCATATGAGGGGGAGAAACCCGTGAAGTCCTTGATCGTGTTTCCATACCGGTTCTTAGCAGATCACGAGGAGAGGCTGGAAAAGTACATAGAATATGGACACACTTTCCTGCACAGTCTCGAGACACGACATGCGGCATATAACTGGTGGTCAGTTGTCAAAACTCCTCGTGGAACAGCAACTACCGATATGGAAGGTAACGATCTTAAACGTGCTGAATACGTCGAGAGCGAAGTTATCGTCGACTTTGTTGAGGCCTTTCAAGCATGTCCATCATGGAAACCGGTCCCATGTATCTTGAAGGCCCAAGAACCTCGCCGACTGACCATTGCAGACGACCTTTATACATGTTGGTGGTCTGATATCCATAGAACGAAGCTTCTAGCTGAGACAAGTGAAATCATTGTACTTCAGGCTGGGATCAGCACCTATCAGTGGAACAAAAATCTCTTGGATGACCAATTCTTAGCCAGGGTCCGGGAAAACGACAAGAATAACAGGCTTACTACCAAGAAAGATCTTCGTGAATGTGACTTACCGCTGCTTCCCTCTCGAGTCTTTGGCTACGTCTTACGGTATCGAAAGTTTGAGCAGCTCGACGTCCATGGCCTTAGTCCTGTTAAGGGATCTAGCGATGGCTTCGATTGCCTGAAAATAAACCCTCAGCATAAAGTTTTGGTCAAGTCTCTTGTATGGGACCATTTCCAGAAGAAGGCCTCTGACAGAAGAGATGGTGTCAAACGTCCTTCCTTGGACTGGATCAAAGGCAAGGGAAAGGGTTTGTTTATCTTACTTCATGGAGTACCAGGTGTCGGCAAGACTGCAACCGCAGAAGCAGTAGCTCAAGCCAGCGGAAGGCCATTGTTTGCCATCACCTGTGGAGATCTTGGCTTGACACCTACAGAAGTAGAGTTTGCTTTAAGAAGAATATTCCGTCTTGCCAACACCTGGGATTGCGTCTTACTTTTGGATGAGGTTGATACATTCTTTTCTCAGAGGTTGAAAGGAGATGCCACCTTGATCAAAAATGCTCTTGTATCAGGTAAGCTGTTCTTTCATCTTTACCCCGCTCATCGTAGAGCGAACTTCAAATCCTGTGTCGTATTGACCTGTGATCAACTTAGTGTTTCTGCGAGTCCTCGAATACTATGATGGACTACTTTTTCTGACAACGAATCGCCCGGATGCTCTTGACGAGGCATTCAAATCCAGAATTTACCTCTCTCTCTATTATCCCCAACTTGATCTTCGACAAACCAGGGAAATATGGGAGATGAACATCGATCGCCTGCGAGCTGTCGAAATTGAACGATGCAAAAATACGGACCTTCAACCACTCCAAATCAACAAGCGAGAAATATTACGGCTTGCAGAAGAAAGGTTCAAGAACAGTGATGCTAGTGTCCGCTGGAATGGCAGGCAGATCCGCAATGCAATTCAAGTTGCATCATCACTGGCAAACTCTGACGCGAAAGAAGACAACATGCCACCAAGGCTGACTGCCGACAACTTCAAGCTGATATACGACGTCACTGAAGATTTTGACAACTACTCGCGAGAGCTTGTAGGGAAGTCAGACGGTGAACTTGCCTATGATCGCGGTGATCGTGCAGACCACTGGAGTCCTGAGCTTCAACGGTCCGTGGAAGGTCATTCATACGGCCGTAGAGGACTGTTTCCGCCGGGGAGAGTTCAAGGATTTGGAGATGGAGTGGCTTATGCGCAGGCTTCAACCAAGAGACGACGGCCAAGTGTTTTTGCTGGTCGAGGTCACATTGATTTCTCCGACGCATTAGGTCACTCGGGTCAACGTGCTGTTTCGCCAACATATCAAAGTCGCCAGTCACTCTCAATCCCAGGGGATGGTAGGTCTGAGACAGGTTATAGACCGAAAGCGAGTAACCCGATTAGGAGACATCCAGACGAGTCGAGTTACCCCGATATATATGAGGGCTGGGTCAACGGAGGCACGGTACCAAAAGAGGCTAGCCCAGATGAAGAAAGTGTCCAGATTGGAAAACGCACACTTGAGGACGCTAGCTCGGCGCTTCATTCTACGACAAAAAGAAGGAAAGCAGGTGATAGCGAAGACTAGAATAAGGAACATCTACCACTCCTATTATATTGTCAACTACATATTATGCCACAAGCTGGGAGTGATAAAATTGCAATAATAGAAGGTTTTTATTAAGTATCTGTGACACAGTTTCGTTCACAGATATGCAAGTGCCGTGATACCCAAGGATAAGTGACGTAAAGATCTAAATCTATCTTGGCAATGCTTCAACTGTCATGATTTCATAGTGCAATGCGACTAGTTGTGCCCAGATCAGGCACAGTGGTATGGTCAACCATAATACTCGCCGAGGAGGCACATTTGTTTATAACTGAGGACAAGCTCCGAGAGCTCAGTGTCGAAAATGTTATTGAAGAAGTAGTTAATCTAAGTCAACAAATGTATTCGATGGGCCATTACACAAGAAGGAAACATGAGCTTGAGACACGTTGACGTGAAAAGTAGCAGGAGTTCAGCCGCACTTTTTGGTGGCTGAGTCGAGATGCAGTGATTAATAAAAATTTATTTCTATTGGCATCAACGTGAGCTAGCCTCGTATTTTAGCCATCCATTTCCGTTGGGCTGCGGCTGAGCGAGCCACAATGGACGACATTCAACCTGAAATGTTGCTTCGCAGCCCCCCAGGCGGTAGAAAGTGATCAACACCAGCAAATCAATACCAGAGATGAAATTGCTATACTCTCATCACAGGTCGAGAGGGCAACATCGACAATTAGGGAGGTTCTCCGACCAGACGGAGAGGATCCAGATCATAGATCGTTCCGTCCCGCATTGAAGCGCTTCCGAAAAGGCCGCATTTCGGGAGATCACCAACTGACACGATGGATCAAAAAACAGAGCATTTGAAGAATGATTTTCACCTATGAGCGCGATAAGCAGTGTTACCACGGTGAAGAAAGTTATAACATAAACGATGATGCAGCACAAATAAGTAAGACAGTCAAAGCTATAATTGTTGTTGCAGACACTCGATTCTCTATCTAACCGAATGACGTATCACAACTCTTCTACTTCTTGATATTAAACTTTACAGTATCAACTATCTACAGAGGCATTTTACTAAGTAACAAGGCACACACAAATAGTAGAAATCTTTAGGCCCACCGGCCCAGTAGCCGTAGTCGAGGTAGGGAGGCAGCCGCTCTCTTGTGGAGCTTTATGGGCTCCAACCTGCGTTCTCGCTTATGCAGCCTCATTCTCTACCTCTAAGGAAAACAGTGTGACCTATCGCAAAACGGTATATATAACCAAAAAGCCACCACCCTTCCACATACGACCATAGACTGAGGAAAACTGGGCATCCCGTCCGCTCTGCCACACATAAGCCTCAGATCGGCAGATTAGTAGTTGGGTGGGTGACCACCAGCGAATACCTGCTGTTGTATGTTTTTGCATTTTTACTTCTCTTTTGATGTTACCAAGGATCAGCAATGACTAGATAGTCTCTTTTCCCTATTATCCCTTTTCCGCCTGAGCCCTCCACTCAAAACATCTTACGCGTCCTGTTCTCTTCCACGTGCTCGCTGATGCCAATCCATCTCGGCTACGTGCTCATACCTTGCCAACATGATCAACGCTCGCGCAACTTTTTGCCTTCTGTAATTGTTTATTCGCTACCGTAAGATATTGTACATTTTTGGCGGAAAACATCAAGACTCCCAGTATTCCCTTTTCCTCTTAACATGGAGCGCAATACACCTTCCATCGGTATCGATGGTTTTGCTGATTTGGGGTCAAACATCTCGTTCTACGAATCTGAATACTGGCGAGACAAAGCAAATACACCTCCCCCAAATGCCTTCAATGCTCCTCGATTGATTGTTCTCTGTACATGGCTGGGAGGCGCGACTACTTCACGTATACGGAAGTACACCGCGAGATATCAACAGCTCTTCCCAAGTGCAGATATCCTCCTCATTCGCACAACATTGCTGGACATCACTTTGCGCTCATTTACTCAGATTCGTGCTCGATTGGTAAGTGTTAACATCCCGCCCACCGAACTCTATGGATTCGGAATATTCCTGGCTTTGAGCATCTTGAGACTCCATGTACTTACGCGTGTACCAGGCGCCTGCCCGAGACGTTATTCGCAGGATTTTCGGCAAGGAGCACTGCGTGAGGTCAAATGAGTCGGTTCTTTTGCACATGTTCTCCCACGGTGGATGCAATACTGCTCTTCAACTTCTCATCTCTCTACAACAAGAGCGTACAACCTTGCCGCTTAAGGATGCCATCCTTGATTGCTGTCCAGGAGACGGCACATTTCAGAGGGCATATGATGCAGCTGTAATCTCTCTTCCAGCCTTCCCCCCAGTCCAGATGATCGGAAGAGCTGCGCTATATCCAGCTATTGGAGCAATCACTGGCCTACAACAATTTGGAGTACTAAGTTCTGTGACGGACTTGCGTCACCAGCTTAACGATTCTACACTGTTAGGGCCAGAAGTCCGACGGCTTTATCTCTACTCGGCTACCGATCGCATGGTAAATTTTGAGGATGTTCAATCACACCAGAAAATGGCACGGGCATTACAGTATCCAGTCGGAAGCGTTTTGTTCCAAAATGCCCAACATTGCGCTCTGGTTATGGAAGATGACGCGAAGTATTGGGCAGCCATCGAGAAGTTCTGGAATGGTAAGATGCCAACGGCTAAACTTTAAGTCACTTTGTGGCATATATATGTTCACGAAGGTGGTATAATTACGAGGTCGTTCATACTTAAAACAATTTCACTGTGGCGATCTCTGGGGCAGATTCTGGGTGAAATCACGATTTGCTCCAAGCGATCAATGTCAACGCCGATATGAGATAACAGCCCATCAGACTCAGTCTTGCCGTGTATGGGAAAGCCTGGGTGATGCGATTCTCAGCCTGTCAGCAAAAGGGGAAGGACGAGCACAAGCGCTTCGGGCTTCGGACTTCCATTCATCTGCCTCTGAGCATCATACAGCAAGTCGGCCCAACACGCACCTTCTAGGTATTATCTTCTTCCCAATATTCTGAAAATTCGGGTAGGTATCTGTACTCACAAACCATTCGTCCGAATACCCTATTTTTCCAGTAATCCGAAATGTTGGATTCGCGGATATGTCGGAAAAGCGGCGACAAGGTTGACCCGAATCCAGCCGAGCCCTTTTCCTGGCGTCAGAGAGGTACAAGCCTTGAAGGTGTGGAAAACCAGCTCAATTTCGGACGAAACGTGTCCGAGCTTTGTTTTTCCTGCAGGTCGAAAGGCACAGTGGAAATGCTTCTTTATGGTTCGACGGACTGTCCTTCCCCGTATCATCCTTTCTCCACTTGGTCCCTCCATCAATAACGCAGAGTTTTCCTGGCCGGGTCATTCTCTCCAGAGAAGCCATCTCAGCCTCAACGAATTTCCTGTGCTGGCGCCTTACATTCTTGCTGTTTCTAAACTGATCGTTCCAATCGTCGCTTGCTCAAGTTAACACCATCGTCTAGAAGTTCGCTGGTGCTCTGGTCCAGATTTTTCATTTTGCAAGACTATTGTTAGAGACAAGTGGGGTATGTCCAAGACTTCCATGTCTGTTACACTGTTTGAGTATTATTGGACTGCGAATCAGTCGCAATAGTGGTGGTGTTCGGTAACAGGTTTTCAGAAGGTGGGCCTCCGTTGATGAGGCAGACGGCACGTGATCTCGTTTAAAGGTAAACAATGTAAGGTATGATGCGAAGAAGTTCATGGGAGTACGTGTAGTTATCTTCTGACGTATATGATGCATTATGTTGAGTACCTAACCAGAGACAAATTCTATTAGGTCAAAAATGGCCCAGTGAGTAGCTAGGGCTTTTAATATTATTTATCGATCCAGGCTTGGAGTGGTTCGTACACTGGCTTGTAAGCGAGCACTAGACATAAAACTATGGTGTCAATATCTCTTGAACATACCACCTATCCAGTTCTAAGTAGCACCAAGCTACCGGCCCGTGGAACCCACTTCGAATCCTGCAGGCTATACACTTTTCACCTCAGTAATATGCCCAGGTGCGATAAGATGCAGCAAAACATGCCACTCAGACCTGTCAATGATCGGACCAGAGCACCTATACCACTCAGCACATTCTGATTCCCTAAACCCTAACTCCAGATGTCAAAATATGACCTCAAAGCCTCGAGCCCTCCTTCGAACAACAGCTACTCTCCTTGACCAACGTACTGGTCAAATTCCTGTTCGAAGGAACATCGAGCCCGGGATTCTCCGTGAAGAAATCCACCGGCTTGAGATGCAGCTGCATGATATCCACCGGCCTGTTTCAGAAATGAGCAAAATTACAGAGTTATCGGAGTAAAGTAGACTTACATAACAGGCCAGTCCTCCACTCTCGGATTATGCGTCAGCCCAAAACAACTCCAAACCACCACATCCGTATTTTTCACATCATCTCTCCTCTTCACAGCATCACTGACACCGCCAATCTCATCTTGACTTTGAAGCGTATATCTTCCGCCAGCGTATAACTCACCATCCTTGTATTTCGTCACCCAAACATGATGTTTTGCGAACTGAGCACGGCGGGATTGTATCGAATCCGGCTGGGCGAGCAAGACCTGAGTAGGCATAGGAGTGAATTTATATCCCACCGGGTGTCCACTGACAGGATTAATTTTATTCGGATTAATCATCTTGATGACTCTGTTGTGTTGTGGCGCGGCATCAAGCCATTGCGATTTCTGGATCTCAGTCTGCACGACTTCGTAGAAATTGCCCTTGGGATTTCTATGGGCTGATGTTGGGACAGGATGAGACTCTTCTGTGAGAACCGTGTTATCTGCACCATCGATCGCGGGATCTATTCGAATAGCAAAGATGTGTTGATGGTTCTGCGCGAGAACACCTGGCGAGACAACATTTCCGTACTGTGATTTCTTGCCTGCGTCAATGGAGACGACGCTGACGATGCCGGTGGCTCGAGCTTCGACCATGATGCCGCCTGCTTAGTCGAACTTGTAGGCGAAGATGTATTCGTAGTTGGCGAGGGTGATAATGAATTGGATGACAAGTTCCCGGTGTCTTGTAACGACGGCGCGGCCAGTTCGCCAATTGGAATGTTTCCAGGCGATGCCATTATCTTGCTCGTGTAGACAGACGACGTTCGGGCTGATGGTTATTGTGCCATCACCGGCTGTCTTGACTGTGTCGAAATACTGAAATATGTTAGCTAGACATCCTTTGAGAATTTTTGAAGATCGAGATACCTTGATGTGACCCAAGCAATCACATCCAAGTTGAAGGTTATTGGCACAGATTCCTGCTCCCCCATCTCCAAAGTCAAAAGCTTGCTTCCGCTGGAACGGAGCTCGAGGATCAGCGTATGGAACGGTCTGCGCAGTCAGTACATCACAGCAATCCATAGAATGGAATCATTACCATCTCGCTGACACTCAATCGATACATAACACTTCTTCCATCATATTTGATATCATGAAGTGTTGCACCCTCACGATAATTAAAGCCCACTCTGAATCTCCACTTTTGCCATTCAATCAAACTTTCATCCGTGACCTTAAACGACGGTCCATCCGGCTGCACAACATTCAACTGCTTCAAGTCTTTCCTCAAGCCACCAGGAAGAAGCTCAGGGACGTATTCAGCTGGCTGGTAACGATCCATGATATTTCCCGTTGAAGTTCCGTGGTTGAGACCGTCTTCTTCGCCGCCTGTGGCGAGATGGTCGATGCGGATAATTTCGCGAGTGCGAGCATCCATGATTGGGATTAGCGGTAATGGATAGGCGTAGAAATTGGAGTCTGCGTTCCCGATTGTGGTATCGTTGGCGAAGCAGAGGGCTTGAAAGGTTCGTCGCCATTCCTCGTCCTCGTCGGGTCCTGTTGGAAGATCAACACTTTGGATTCATTGCTATGAAGATCAAGGAGATTCATTACCTCCATATGGCCAAGGTTCGACAACGACTTCGTATTTATCTGGGATATTCAATTTGGCAATCTCTTCCTTGAAGAGAGAGGACGCAGCCACAGCAGCAGCCACATCGTCAAATTCTTTCCTATGAACAAAATCAGCCGTTACTTCCATATCTGTACACTGCATACTCACCAAGTCAAAGCAGCATGAGCCGGCTTCTCCACCACACTCTGGCTGACAATCGTCCCCTTCTGAATATCGATCAACGACTCGCAGTACTTGGCAATCTTGTCTCTCCCAATAACATCGTAAGTCACACGTGCCAGACGGGCTGGTCTTGGTGTGCTAGGTTGCAGCTTTCCATCACTCTCTAGGTCTAAGAATGGCTGCAGTTCTGCTTTTGGTGGCTCCTCGAGAGATATGGCTCGGAAATCAATGATTGAGCTTTTGTGAGAGCCCAGGACGATGTCTCGTGCACGGTGAGATTCCTCGATACTCAGAGGGATGAGGGGATGCGGTGGTGTCTTTGATTGAGGCATTATGTTTGGTGTTTGGTAGAGGATGTAGCTGAGGCTGAAGGGAGAAGGAAATGGTGTTGGAAAGTTGTGGAATGAAGGTTGATATATTATTTGTCAACTTTTAGAGCTTCTATGACCCCATCGGGGTTGGGTGCGGGGACCAGGTCAAGCCGTTCTGGCTTTTCGGTAAGCAATGTGTCGGGTATGAGCCGATCATTGGAGTTATCTTGCCCGGAAATCTGCTTATCGAAGTTTCTAACTACGAAACTGTACCACTGAAACCATGCAACATATGGTACAACTTCGTACACTACTTTCTCGAGTTTCGACTCGTTGGAGTTTCGGGTATCTCCCGGGTACGATTCGGGCCACTGGTTACCCGTGTCGAGGACACCGAAACGACGAGCACTAGAGCTGCACATCATTGGACATTCACAGGAGGCAAGGCTTGAAGCTGTACTGTATTCAGAAGCTGTAGCCGATATTGGAACAGGAGGTCGTGTTCACGACCCCGCCTTTACGGGAGATCAAGTTCAACCCCGCACTGCCCATGTAGGAGAGTGAGATAAGTAACAGGAAAACACACTTCATGTTGCCTCCAGTCCTCTGATTCTTGACTGCACTTAAGAGTTCTTCTGGATAAATTGCAAGACACATCTGTACAAAATAGCATGAATCTGCATCTACAACATGACATCCAGTTCATCCAAGGCTTCCCAAATTACTAGACACGCAGCCTATTTCCTTCTTCTCGGAACGTAAGCGATAGAGCCTGTATCGGTGTGCAAATAAATGATAGAGGTACTATGGATATCTTCCAGAGGTATGCCGCCGGGTATGGGTATCATACCCGAAATACCCAGATCTTCGCATCGCCAGATCAACGGGTATGCAGCGGTAACGCTAAAGACTAGACACCACCAACTTGGAAGGACCCTGGCTCGAACAACGGAACTGGCGGAATAGCCGTCAGATAGCAGCTCCTCCGCAAATCTTGGCTTGAAACCCCGGAATTAATTATCGTGGAGCATGCGGAATGAGACCCGCAGATAGTCGTATTTTGATAGTTATCTAGATGGATATCAGGAAGCTTGGATATCTTAATATTGATCCGTATCTGTATCCATGCCTGTGGGGTTAAGAAGCAGGACTTAAGAAGGCTATGCTGCCATCCCTTGGACCATTCTTACGTTAAAGTAATTCGAGAAACAGCCGTGTTCGCTTCCATTAACACCTAATTACACCAAATATTGCCGGGATGGCGACAAAAGAATTGGATCCCAGTGCGGATATGGAGAAGAAGCTTCCTCAGGATGTCCAAGCGACAAGTTTCGTGTCAGAAAGGGGCTATGCGGAGGAGCTTCGTCGAGACTTCTCGATCTGGTCGCTTGGCTCATTGTGTGTTTGCTTGATGGCAACGTGGGAAGCGTTGGGAAGTGTCGTTGCTGCTGCACTGACGAGTGGAGGAGCACCATGTTTGTTCTACAATTAGTATGTCCTGGCCTAAAGCGCGACCGTAAGAAGTGGAACTGACTTTGCGAAAAGCATCATTTCATTCTTTGGAACTGTAGCTATTGCGGCTTCGTTGGCCGAAATTGCATCGATATACCCCACTGCCGGAGGTACATCCTGCCCATCTCAACTCCTACTTATCGTATGGGCTTTGAATTACGGCTGACAACAAACAGGTCAATACCACTGGGTCGCAGCACTTGCGCCCAAAAATCAAATGCTTGTGGCATCCTGGTTCACTGGCTGGATCTCAATCGGCGGACAAATCGTTCTTACGGCATCTGCAGCGTTCGCAGCTGGACTGCAACTGCAGGCTTTGATCACAGTGAACAACGATGGCTACATCCCGCAGCGCTGGCAAGGAATGCTCTTCTACTGGATGATCATCCTATATGCCGCTGTGGTGAATATCTGGGGATCCAAGGTTCTCCCGCATACAAATCTTGCATCTGGTTCGTCCCCATCACACGCGCATGCTCTAGAGCTCGCTAATACTTTGCAGGAGTACTGCACATCGGAGGTTTCATAGCAATCATGGCAGTCTTGGGTGCCATGGCTCCGAAACATAATGCTGATTACGTCTTCGTCGAAGTGACAAACAGCAGCGGCTGGTCCAATCAGGGTGTTTCATGGTTGGTCGGTCTCCTCAGCACAGTTTATCCTTTCCTCGGATACGATGCCGCTTGCCATTTGGCAGAGGAGATGCCGCGACCAGAGCGGAATGTACCAATTGCTATGGTGGGTAGTGTTGTGGTCAATGGCATCATGGGATTTGGATATGCGATAATGCTCTTGTTCTCGCTTGGTGATCTCGAAGGGCTCCTTACTTCTGCAACTGGATTTCCATTCATGCAACTCTTCTTGAACGTTACCAAGAGCAGTGGTGGAGCAACAGTCCTGATCTTGATACCAACCATGATCGCAGTCGCTGGTGAGTTAACTGTCCTCAAGCCACCTTCCTCCGCCCAGTATTTTGAGATCAAGTCCTCCCAACATGTCAACTCCACTCTCGGACAATCGCTGATTTAGTGGTCGTAGCCAATGCGGCCGGATGTACCTCAACCTCCCGCACATTCTGGGCTTTCGCAAGAGACTCTGCAACGCCGTATTCCAAATACTTCTCGCATGTCAATACTTCATTGCAAGTTCCAGTACGGGCTGTGGTTCTAGTCACCATTTGCGAATTGCTTCTGGGCTTTATCTACCTCGGAAATAGTACTGCATTCAATGCAGTCCTTTCCATGGCAATTCTCGGGATGTATACCTCATACCTGCTACCAATTGTTTACATGACAATATATGGCAGAAGGAAGATGGCCGGCAAATTTGGTCCTTTCAGGCTGGGCAATACACTTGGTATGATTACCAACGTGACTGCGACATGCTGGCTGTTGGTTGCAATTGTGTTCAGTACATTCCCAACATTGCAACCTGTGACTCCACAGAACATGAACTATTCCATTGTCGTCATGGGTGGCTGGTTGGTTGTTGGGGTAATGTTCTTCTTTTTGTCGGGTAAAGGTAAGTATGCAGGGCCTATCTTGTAAGTGGCGAAGAAGCAATTGCAGCCCATGGTTTGAGGTTTCCAGGATGGTTATCAGTACTGTTCCGAATAGCATTTCCAATCGGAAGAAGCGAGCTTTACAAAGTCTAACTTCATAGGCCACTCATATAAATATCGTCCTCGGCGTGTTGGTGTTGTGATGTGAGATTGAGACGCATTCTCAAAGATGGAAAAGTCTCATCCAGGATAGCTGTTGATATTTTCAAGCCCAAACCCACCATCAAGGAGGCCGCGTAGCTGTACATCGAATGCAAAGAATTCATCAGATGCGTCACCAAAGTCTCGCAGAAATCCCCAGTCTTCAGTGGAGAACTGTGGGACTTGCTCAACCGCAGTAGTGTGACTTCCATTGGACAGATTAGGCCCAGGGGCAGGAAGTGCTGGTGTAGCCGTTCCAGACGGATATCTCTGGCTTGAATGGGAGCCTTCAGGTGCTAAACGAGCGAAAACCCATATTAATATGACTGAATTATACATGTAGATATTTCCTGAATATTGCAATGAAATCGCTGGGAACGGATTTGATCGGGCGTGGATCAAGGCAAAGGCAAAAGAAGTCAGGATACTCACTGGGTGACCGCAGGGCCCTGGGGTTAGAGCTATTCAGAGCTCGGAGTTCTTGTGGAAGGTCGAACACTGGCAGGTCAGTCAACTGATTCCTTTCAAAGTTCACAAAGGACGGAAATGGTTGAGAGTTGATGAGGAAATCGGCTGTGAACTCACTTTCAGACAACACCTGGTGTCGAGCACCAGCGCTTTTCCATGACTTGCCCAGTATTGACAGCCAACGTATGCAAAGTTTCAGCCGTCTGCTCGTTTCCGGAGTTGGTTCTTTCGACATTTTCGAGTGGTATAGTAAAGTACTCGCGGCAGTGAAGACGCTAAATACCATGTCACATGGCAGTCCCAGCAAACGATCGATATACTTCTCGAGAACAATGCAAATGTTGTTTGCTGCTTCCAAGCACACGTCAAGTGGGTGGGGAGACTCGCTTGCGGCAGGATTTGAAGACCATCTTGCAATGAAAGGTCGATGGAGGAGTATCGTGCAGTGCCAGTTGATCTGTCCTTATTAGATTATGCGAGACAGAATTGGCTTTTAAACTTACCACATAGTTGGTAACAGCTGCAGGCACAGATGTCAAGTCTTTGCTCAAGTCCAGCCGGAGTGGCGAAGCTTCCATTTGTCGTTCCCACTCCTGCAAAACAGCCCACAGTTCCATCCGTTTTGCTTGCCCGACGGCTTGGTTATCGCGGATGGTTCTCCTGGCAACGATCCCGTAGATTTCTCTGGCCACCCTTTCGAAAATCTTGGACAATTCGATGGTCGAATGAAGACCAGACAGAGTGCGTAACTTGATAGACGTGTTTCGAAATTGCCCAGGAGTCTGTTGGTTCCCAGCCTGGGTAGACATCAACTCGAATTCGTCGGCCTCGGAGACGGAAGGATATGGCGTGTCAGTTTCCTCGGCTCGTAGTATGACTATTTAAAATGTTAGCATGATTTGCTCTAAAGCCCGTCCATAATTTTGTGCATCGGAGCAGGATCCCAAAACCAAAGAGCTGGCTTCCTATCGTGAAGGTGGACTTACCTGGCTTGCCCATGTCAGAAGAGATCATTTTGTCGAGGACATACAGATTCCACCACAATCTAGACTTCACTTCAACCTGGATCGGATCATCGGAATCGCTTTGACGATGTAATCTAAGATCAATAGCCATTCCCGCCGCCACAGAACAAAGAATCGCAGCTTGAGCATACTCCGCAACGCCATGTTGTTGTAAAGTGAGAATAGTCAAAACCTGACAGGCCGTTATTGACGGTGACAGTGCATTTATCATCTGCGGTTCCTTGCTGCCACTACCCTGCTGAAGAATATCCAAAGCCTCCTGCAAAAACTGTCTGGGTTCGGGGTATTTTTGGAGAACACTGTTGGGAGTATGCTGTGCTGGCCTATCTACGCAGGAAGCAATGCAATATATGGCTGCGACGAGAGCTGGGTGCATCATGTCCGCCGGGGATCCATAGTCCATGGACTGAGAAAAACGGTTATTAGCATTAAATTCAAACATTCCAACATAAGATATGAAGAATTGATTGGGAACACTTACGGTATACAGCGGCTTGTACAGCATCGGCCATAGCGGGTGCATACAATTGAAGTATGTCTGCAGTAGTCGAGAAGAAAGCTCCGGCGACACATTGCGGACAGAACTGGGAGCTGGAGTTGGTCGCGGAGGTATTCGAGAAGCTTGTTGATTCTCCAAAGGTGTGTAAGGACTCTGTGAAGCTGTGTTTTGGGCCGGACTTAGGGAAGTATATGTCCGCGGAGGCGGTCGTGGTCGTGGACTTTCCCCAATGCTCGTTCTTGCTCTGCTACGCTTCGATATACCGTACGTGCACTCAATTTGTTTATGCTGACAAGGCGTACAAGTAGGGAAAGTTCCATCGCACTGTATTTATTCCCATGTGTTAGTATGAGTTATGTTAAGATAATTGGAGGTATCTCTCGCTGGATGTACTCGCCTTGACCTTCTTTAACCCACAAGGCTGACAAGCCTGCGAGACACGTTTCCGCGGTGGAGGGGCTTGTGGATCCGAAGACATGGACAGCGCTTGACAGGAGTCGCTTGGTCGGTCTAATGCACTTTGAAGGGGTGTCCTGGGTCGAGTGCGCGACTCTTGGTTCGGGTATGCTGGGTTGATGGAAGGTTGATTGTGGTATTGAAATTGAATGCGCCGGGTAAAATCGCGGCTGGGGCTGCATCTCAACCGGGATACTGTAGCCGAATAACCGCCCGGCGCTAATCCGTATGTCCTGCTCACAACAGTGTTCGGATATGCGAGGACTACTGTTGAACTTGTATTGCTTTGAAGATCGGTAAACAGTCTTACTCCGCTAGAAATCCTGCCTGGATATGGGGGAGGAACTGACGGCAGGGGCTGCTTCCCCGACCGGATGGCTGTGGCAAGCTATGGAAACGAGTATATTCATGACATCTGAGGATGTAAGGCTTTGCTTAGGTTATTAGATCATTATGTATCTTCTACCTTGCACGTTATCCAATAGTCACCAGGAAAGACTTGGGACTCCCATTGACATATCCAGACTGATCGACCCCACCACCCCCAGCTGGCACATCATCATAAGGAATCGCATAACCCCTCCCATCAATATTCGCCTCATGCACCAACCTCGCATAATGATTCGTGACCGGCAACTTGTAAAAATCGACAACCTTCTCGGCATTTGGATGGACCTGTTCGTTCAACAGGGTCGTCCGATTAAACCCTGCACTGATCCTCGCAGTCAGCGGTCCCAAAGCCCAGCATTGTTAGCAAATGGACCAGAACTGCATCCAAAGATATCTGCTGTGGATGGTTTGCAGAAAGAACCTATGCCGGGAAACTCGAGCTCGCCGCTTCCGCAGTGCCCGCCGACTTTACCCCATTGGGCGTGTGTGTCGATTGCGAGATGGCATTTGCTGTACATGTCCCAGACTTGATTGACGTAGGGCTCGAAATAGCCTTTGAAGAGATTTCCTCCCGCCATTACGATTCCATTGTTGGGACTCATGACTCGTAGAGATTTTCTGCATAGGAATTAGTGATCAAGCACTCAAATGTCACCAGAAGCGGGAGCCACATACCCATTGGCTTCATAGACAAGCTTACTCCAATCTTTGTTATCTTGTGCTCTTAAGCCATCAACTATATGTTGGAATCCGTCTGGTTTCAATCCAAGGACTTTCTGCTCCGCCCCATCTTTAGGTGTGAGCGTCAATGACACCGACAAGCTGACAAAGTCCACATAACTGATATTCGCGTAGATTGAATTGTTCGCGAATGTAAATTCACAAAAGTCCCAGGTCAAGTTGATATTTGGATCGCTGGGATTTGATATTGATGGCTCGACGAGAGCAGGGCCAGGATTGACCAGAAACTTGATAAGGTGGTCAGCTACCTTTCCAAAGAAACAGAGTCGAGGAACGTGGCTCCCCAATAACTCACCTTCAATTCAGTATCAACGGAGAACCAAATACGACCTCCAGCAAGCTGGGGAATGGTGACCGTGATCGTACTCCCCGGAGCACCCAGTTTAATCGAACAATTTTCCGACAATGGTTGAAGGATATCCGAAGGTGAGTCAGGATAGTACGGAGTTTTGCCGTCGGCTTTCATCAAGCATACGTGATTTCCTTTGTCGAGTGCGAGACCAGTGATATAAGCATAGACATTACTGGCCTTTGTTCGATTCTGAAGCTGGATATCCATTGTAGGAGACATGCTTGCGGCGGGTGCTGGTGGTTTTGGTGTAGCGAATTTGGAGGAATGAGCTGCGCCGAGGACTTTCTAGAAAGCTGAGCGTATTGCTTGATTGAAGTGAGAACGTCTGCTTACCTTAAACAGAGACATCGAATAGTGTCGAAGAGATCAAAGACACGAAGTACGGGATGTGGAACTTTATGTGGGAGTGAGATGTCAACAATATAGCCGAATGGTCTTCAGCCCAAGCCCGGCGACAGGAGACTCCCCAAACAAGTGGTTCACTAGCTCTCCTTGAAGCCCGGTATACTGCCACAAGGAAATTATTAATTGCTGGCTTGCCAGTAATGGTCTTTTAAAGGTGTTACTGTAGGTTGGAAATTGTGTTTGAAAGTTGTCAGCATCAAAGAAACCGCCAAAATGTTGGAATCCTTGGAAGCAAGATAGCGTCATGACAAGACCGCTGCTGACTAATGATGCAGATGCAACCAGGTGGTGGGGGAAGGATGCAGCAGGATAAGAAATCTAAATTGTTATTGAAGTTACTGTCATACTTGGAAATCTATGCCAGAGTATAGATTTAGGGTGGGTAACTACGCGTTACATGAAAGCTTATCCCGGGGCCAGGGTAACCATAGGATGATAGGATGGCCAGCTTGTGACATAGTTACCATCCTTAGCTAATTCCTCAAGGCTCATAGGGACTGCACTTAAACCAATCGGCTTCGAACGTAGACGAAGCTTTGAGCTGAATGTATACCAGCAGCTACTTATTAAGGATAGGAGTTGATGTCAGAAGAGACTCCGGAGCCAGTTCCACGTGACATGTTTCCTTACACGTCATGTAGGTAGGTACCTTGCGCAACTTTAGGTAGATATCTCTCCAGCGCACAGGGCGAATCTCTCTTTTTTCATCCACTGATATAGTAATGTGACGGAGCATTCTTCAACCTCACAATTGGAGACCGATATCAATGCTTGTAATAAAACGAGATATCACAAATGCTCATCTCCTCCGACATCAATTTTTCCAAAGAAACGGTCGACCTCGAAACCCCACAGTTATTTCAGTAGCTATGACACGGCCACAATTTTTATGCGCTTTAACTGTCCAATCAAAATGTTTCTTAAGAGTATTATCTAGAGCTCAATGGTGATCATTGTGGATGGCCGGCTGGGCGGCGATTATGAGTCTCGAGTTGGAGGGTAGCACTAAATCACCAAATGCGGGGTACGGGACGGGAATGCGAAGCTTGTGAACAAAGCATCTAAATATATATATAGATCACAAATTGATGTTATCGACATAAGAATTCTTGTATATTCTCAAATACAACACTGTAAGCTCGTCGCAATGCCACTCCAATATCTTGATGCTTTGGTTGTGGGGACTGGCTTTGGTGGGATCTACCAGCTGAAGATGCTTCGAGACCAGGGTCTGAAGGTCAAGGCAATTGACAAAGCATCGGATGTTGGGGGAACATGGTATTGGAATCGCTATCCAGGAGCCATGTCTGAGTGAGTTTGAAAATTTTCCATTCACAGAACCTCAACTGACCAAAATACAGCACATATTCTCTTCTGTATAGATTCTCTTGGGACCATCAAGATCTTATGGAGTATCCCTGGAATACACAATATCTTCAAGGGCCTGATATCTTGAAATACCTCCAACATGTGGTCAAACGACACGACCTCAGGAAAGATATGCAATTCGAAACGGAAATGCAGTCCGCCGAATGGAACGAGTCAGAGGGACGATGGATCGTGGGACTTTCAACTGGTGAAACCTGGAGTGTGAAGTACCTCGTGACAGGCCTTGGTCTACTCTCGAAAACCAACTTCCCAGCAATCCCCAACCTCGAAAAATTCGAAGGAGAGCTGTATCACAGCGCAAATTGGCCCAGGGATGCCGATTTGAAAGGCAAGCGAGTTGGTGTGATCGGCAACGGGTCAACGGGAGTGCAGCTCATCACCGCAATTGCCCAGCAGGATGAAGTGAAAGAACTGCTTTGCTTCCAGCGTAACCCACAATACACCGTACCAGCAGGAAACGGAAAACTGTCCCAACAGGAACGCCAAGAAATCAATGAGAACTACCAGGAGATCTGGGAGAAGGCCAAACAGAGTTATTTTGCATTCGGGTTTGATGAAACCTCGCGGCCTACATTTAGCGTGAGTCCCGAAGAGCGTGAGAAGATTTACGAAGAGGCATGGCGGATCGGCAACGGTTTCCGCTTCATGTTTTGGACATTTGGGGACATTGCCGTTGATGAGAAGGCCAATGTTGAGGCACAAGATTTCATCAAGAAGAAGATTCGGCAGATTGTGAAAGACCCGGAGAAGGCTCGTAAACTATGTCCAACCGAATTGTACGCCAGAAGACCTCTCTGTGATTCTGGGTACTATGAACAGTTTAACCGAGACAATGTTGACATTGTGGATATCAAGACCAATCCGATCACGGAGCTCACTCCCGTTGGCGTGAAAACAGCTGACGGAAAGGTGTATGAGCTCGATGTCCTGATATGCGCAACGGGTTTTGATGCTGTCGATGGAAATTACACACGAATTGCCATCAAAGGGCGAGAAGGCGAATCGCTGAAGGACCACTGGTCAGCCATCGGCCCAACGTCATACCTTGGGATCATGGTTCCGAATTTCCCCAATCTTTTCATGATTCTAGGTCCGAATGGACCCTTTGCCAACTTGCCCCCTGCGATTGAAGCTCAGTACGTGTTATGTCCTGACATCTTGGCATCCCTTGTTCATTCATTCTCTCTCGTTCTGGGAAAGACTAATACCTGCAAGTAGACTTGCTAATTTTGTTTACAGAGTCGAAATTATCTCCGATCTCATTGCCCGTACTGAACAGTCAACTTCAGCCAAAGCTACCAGACAAAAAAATGAAGTCAACGGAGCCAATGGTGCACACGCGAACGGGAGCACCAAAGGAGAAAAACCAATACGAGGGGTAATTGAAGCAGAGCGCGAAGCAGAAGATAATTGGACACAACGCTGTGAGAAACTCTCTGCTTCTAGTCTGTTCCGGAAGGTGGACTCGTGGGTGTTTGGTAAGAATATACCTGGTAAGAAAAAGGCTGTCATGTTCTACTTTGGGGGCCTTGGTCCATATATTAAGGAAGCCTCAGGACTGGTCGAGGACATGAAGGGATTCAGAATTTCTTGATCGAACGATCGAAATTCGGACCTTCATGTTATCCAAGTGTTTCGTCTATGCGTCTCTATTCGTAAACGGTCGATGTCATTGCCGTAACCTTTTGCGTTGAAATTTTGAGAGAGTGTCTGTCTCACAGAAGTTTAAGTGACTGGCCTCGTGAGAAGGGGCGAGGAAAGCACAAAGATTGCGGTCAGATGATGGTGGGATAATAATATCCTCTATTAATTTGAAAGCAGCATAATTGATCGATTCAATTGATTATGTAGAATTTAAAATTCAGCACTGACAAAACAAATGCGACCGCACAATCAAAAAACCAGTAAATATCGCCGTGTGGAGTTCGGGCCGGGCCAAGTGTCCGATAACCGAGAACCAAGCCTAATTTCATGAGTTTGTTTACATTTGATTCGCCACCACCAAAGCGGGGGTGATGACATACATGAACTCGCAGCATGCTCCAAGTTTTCAACTTGCCAATATTCAGTTGGGATCACTAGTATATAACGCAGCTTCAAACTTCAGGTTTTGTCTACCCCGCTCGAATTCTTGATCCATCTCCGGGAACAAAATGGCTGGCAAAACAGTATTTCTCATCGGCCCTGGCTTCATCGGTCTTGAAGTACTGGCCGAGCTCCTGAAAGAGGGCTACCAAGTCACGACACTAGTGAGAAGGGAGGAAGCTGCCGCAGACCTCAAGACGAAAGGCGTCAACACCATCATGGGCACCCTCTCTGATCTCGACCTCATTACCAGCACCTCCGCCGATTCAGACATCGTCATTCACACCGCAACTGCAGACGACAAACCATCAGCTGAAGCTGTACTGGACGGTATCACCAAGCGAGCTGCTACAGGAAAGAGCACCATCTACATCCACACCAGTGGGTGCAGCGAAATTGTCGACGACTCACATGGAGCCTATGTCAGCGACAAGATATACGAGGACGACAAACCCGAAACCATTGATGCATTGCCCGACACAGCACATCACCGAAGCATCGACTTGGTCATTCTCAAAAGACGAAAGGAATTAGGGACCCAGGCCAAAATCTCCATCATTCTCCCACCCCTCATCTATGGGGTTGGCAAAGCATCCGGGCGGCTGTCAATCCAAATTCCTGCTATGGCAAAATTTGCCCTCAAGCACGGCTATGCTGGCTATGTTGGAGCTGGCGAATCTGTTTGGGGACATGTCCATGTGTCCGATCTTGCTCGGGGCTATCTGCTCATTCTTCACTGGATGGAACAGGCTAGTCCCGAGAAAGTTTTGGGGAACCCGTATTTCTTTGCTGAGAACGGAGAGGAGCATTCGTGGAAGAAGTGTGCGGAGGAAATTGGGAAGGCTTTGTACAACGGGGGCAAGATCAAGGATCCTAAGCCAAGAGAAATACCTGAGAGTTTGTATGGAGATATCTTTGGAGAGATGTCGTTGACCGTTGTTGGTGAGAATTCGCGGAACCGTGCGAATAGGTTGCGCGCTCTGGGATGGAAACCAGTTGAGAAGTCTTCTTTCCAGTCACTGCGTGAGGATGAGATTCCTGCTTTGTTGAAGCAGGAGGGGAAATGATTGGCTTGGCAAAATTGACTGCTGTGGTGTGAGAATATGGGCTGTTGGGTGCTCAATGTTAACCAAGTTTCCTTACAAATAATAGAAGCAATCTTGCCGCATCATACTTCGAGCTACAGTCATGAGATGGAGACCTTTGACGACCGTAACCTCGCCGGGCGTGTATTGAGATAAGTCCAAATTTATTCACAGCTCTTTTTCCTGATCAAACATGCTCTATTGTCTTCCAGGTGGCTTCCGAATTCTCACTCGCAAGATCGTGGTACAGCATGTTGCACAGAAATTCAGTCACCAGATCTAGTTTGATGTACTCGAGCCAAAGTTTCGATCCAATCCATCTGGAAATAGAACCTTGGGAATGGTTGAAAGCTGAGTCGACTTCAGTCCAATGTGTCTGGGTCCACAAGGGACACAAGATGATTACCGTTATCTTGGCCGAGCCAGCTGAACCCTAGACATTGACATCGGTTCCGTGTAACATCGATTCGACAGCATGCGCGAACAAAAGTACCATGAACACGAGAGTAGTCTAGCTACTCGGTCACCGTCCCAGAAACCTCCTTGAATATAGCTACCGAAGTGTATGTAAGGTTTTGACCCAATACAAGATCAAACTCATCAACAGCCACCATGTCAGACAGCCTCATTTTGAAAGCGATCGTCTTTGTGAGCTTCCTCGCATTCTCACTCTGTCAGAATGCAACGACATTCAATTACGGATTCCTTCTTCCAAGCGGCACTAGAATAATCCACGGCGAAGGAAGTTTCGTCAAGGATGCCTACCCTCCAGAACTACATATCCCAGCCACACTTCGCATCCTGAATCCAGGTCATACGATTGACCCAACGACACCAAGCGTGAGTGGTCTAAGCAACTCTCCCACAGCATTTCTTACCCATAATCAACTGACCATACACCCCCCTTCTAGTGGTCTGGCTCTTTGGGCATCGTCGAGTTCAACACCACTGTCCGAATGCCACGGCACGTTCACCTTGCCGCCAAGAAGCACGGTCCCGGCCAACGTCTCGTTGCAGAGAGAATCACAGTCCTTAACGGCGTTGCAGTCACCGAACAAGCAGGCAAATTGTTCGTTATCCCACCGAACAGTATGGTTATTGCAGCTGCAGGTGTTCCACACGCCTGGACTGCAGCTCCTCCAGGTATTGACTTCCAAGCACTTGGAATCTCGGGCAGCGAGAAGTTGGTTTCAACGGGGAAATTCACGGCTATATTTGAGTATGAGGATAATACTGGGTTCTATGCGACAGCTCAGACGGAGGTTATCAAGAGGGCCGAGGATTATGTGCAGGCTACGGATTTGCAGAGTATTCGGATTCCAGAGTTGTCGATTGAGCAGTTGAAGAGGAAAGGTTCTTGGGTGTGGGGAAGGGAAGCAAAGAGGTTTTAAGCACCTTATGATGTGAACAATGGGATGTCAAGCAGCCGAGTTGGTCTGATTGCATTTCGACTATTCACTGTGATGTCCGTTAGGACTTCGCCTCCTGTCCAAAATGATGCCAGCTAAGTAGTTCATCGATAAGTTAAAATGATCAAGTCCAGACTAGTTCAATGTATTGTTTGGCTTGCTGAATTATAGTAATTTGCGGACTTCTGAAACTTGACTGCAGTTATGTGTTTACTTCGGCACGACATATTAAAACCAAAGAACGGGTCGGCAGAATAAGCGAGTGCACTGTTTCAGAACAACATCTGACAATGGGGCATGTTGCTAGCCCCAGCTGCTTGGCATGTCTTGCTTACTTTTGAGCAGATCTTGCCTAGGTCGCACTACTTTATATCATAATGCTAAGCTGGGTAGACGCTAAGGATCTCTATTGCAGCAAAGCACTCCAAGGCCGCGAATGGAAACCGGGATTCTTCATCAGTCACGGCATCCTTCAAGGCAGTGCAACATATTTGAATGTACAGCTCTAGATAAACTGTATGAAGATGTGAGAGTTGAGATTATATAGCTGAAGACACCCAGACACGTAAAAAAAAAAGCTCGCTTGCAAACTAAACACTATCAACAAACAGACTCTCATCAATATCAAACGCAGCAATCAGCCCCTTCTTCGCCTCTTCCATATCAATCCCCTCAATCTTCTTCTGAATACCCTCTCTCCTCTTCACCAACTCCCTACTAATATCCTTCCACTCAAGAACATCATTCTTCACCCCACTCCACATAGCCCTACCAGCTCTAACATCCACATTCTTCAACCTCCCCGCATCTTTCCTCGCAACACCATCCACAATTACCATCTCTATATCCTGAGGACTACTATGCAAGATAATTGCACTGACCGGATCATGTTGCGCTGCACACACCATGCCGGGACTCAATGCGTCCCAGACAAGAATATCCGCAAATGCGCCGACTTTCAAGGTCCCGATCTTGCCTTCCATCTTCGCAGCTCGGGCACCGCCCAATGTGCCGAGATTAAACGCCTCTTCTACAGTGCGGTTTAACTTTCGAGGGATTTTACCCTCGTCTGTAAACTTCTGGTTGTAGGTTCCGCGGGAGGATTGTAGGAGCAGACGGAGTTCTGATGGAATGGAAGCGCTTTGATTGGAATGGCAATCGATGCCGACTCCGCATTGAGAGGTGATGTCTACCGTAGGGTTGAAAGCAGCGCATCTGCCTAGACCCATTTGCAGCTCTGTGCTGGGTGTTGTGGAAGCGTGACTGTTGGTTTTCGCGAGAAGGGTTGCGTCGGTGGGTGTTGCGTTTGTGGCGTGAGAGAAGAGGAAGCTGGAGTCGAGGAGGCCGTACGAGTCGAGTTTTTCGATGTGAGATGAGGGCCCTGTTGCTACGAATCAGCTTGCTGCTAGATGAGCAAAGGATATAAAGAGTTACCGGTTACTCCATTGCGGCCGTAGTGGACTGTGTTGACTTTGATGCCTAGCGATTTAACATGTGCATAGATTCCAGCAAGTACATCCTTAGGTAGGTAGAGGTCGTCGAATGCGAAACCAAGCGAGACTCGGCCATCTCCGAATGGTGACTTGGCTGCAAGTTCGTCTAGTAAGGCGACAACCCATGGTTCCATGGAATTTTGAGCTAGAGTGAACGGTTTCCAGGATTCGACACGCCCGGATGGGCAATAACAAAAGATAGATCTGATGCCAGATGATATTGTTGCTGCAATCGCTGCTTTGCCTGTGTATTGTGAGATTTTTCTTTGAGGAAAGTTTGCAGTCACTTACTCGCGTCTGGAGAGTTGTTCAGATGGGCATGATCTACCACAGTTGTGGTGCCGGCATCAAGGCACTCGAGACATCCGGCTAGCTGTCCCCAGAAAAGGTCTTCTGGGCTATGAATGGAATGACTAGAGTTTCCTACAAACATTAACATATAATGTGTTGCGAACTTGGTTGTAGGTGCACTTTACCAGGGGCAAAATAGTCGAGTAACAAGTCATTGCTGTGACGACCTTTCAGAAGCGTCTGCCAAACATGATGATGTGTGTCCACGAATCCAGGACTGAGAATCTTGTCTGTGCAATCGATCACTTGAACACCCGAGTCGACCTTGATTCCAGCTTCGATCTTTGTGATAGTATTCCCTTGTATCAGGACGTCTGCTGTGATGCGGTTGACATGTTCGTTCTCGTCATGAACCAGAACTGTTCCTCCTTGAAGAAGTATTGAAGACGACATGACGAGAGTGCAAACAAGAGTATGAATGTATTAATCAAAACTTTCAGTGGAAGCAAAGATGAGCTACTTATATATGCGTTGCAATACAAATATTCAAAATACGTCACTTTTCTATGAACGAATCCAAGCTCACAGAGTTGGGAGAACCAAACTAGATTTGGAGATCGGCTTGCCAAACCATACAAAGGAACCAATAAGAACAACATACAGCTGCACAGCAAGGAATTGAGAGATAGCAAGGTACGCTTGGAAGAGGGGAATTAATCTGAGTAGTACTGAAAAGAATGCCTCTACGGGGATAACGGCTTGAAGGACAAAGTCCGACGGACAATCGTTTAGGACAGTCTCCTTAAGACCGACTGTCTAAGAATGTTTGATAGCTTTGCAAGGAAGAGCGAAGATGATGTAAAAAGACGTAAAGTAGAACTTGAAGATATATTCTTTTTGAGGTAAAAGTGCGGAGAACTCCTCGTTATTCTAAAAACAAAATTTAGGACGGCCACCCTTGGAATTACCCTAGATTGCACGGGCCACCCGCTCGCCACCAATCGACTCCAGTCCTCGACGTCTCAACTGCCTCGCCGCATCTTCACCTCTCAATGTAACCTCCCTCACCTCCATTTCCACAATGTCTCCCTCTCCTCATCCTCACCAGAATGTCCTCGTCCGCATTCCCGACCTCCCTCCCTCAATACATCTCCGATATGTCCCACGATGACGACAGCGACCCCTCAAAACAACTCCACCAGACCCTCCGCGAATCCATAACTCGAAACCTTTCCTCTCCGCGGCGTCCTCTCCTCACACATCTCAACGCAGACACGACATGGCTGCTCTCGCTTCCGTATCCCGAATCCGCGCCCTCGAAAGATGGGCGCGTATATTATCATATCTTGATCGATCCCTGGTTACGCGGCGGGCAGAGCGATGTCGCGAAGTTCTTTAGCCAGCAGTGGCATGTAGAGGAGAGTGCCGTGCAGACGATCGCAGAGTTGGAAGATGTTGTGAGGGGAATTGAGGATGTTGCAAAGGGACAAGCACTACTGCCTCCTCCTCCGGGTGGTTACGAAAGCTCTGACTCCGAGGACTATGAAGAGGTCGTTGTGGAAAAGAGACGTGCGGAGATGGCTCCGCCGAAGTCAACAAAGAGTCCCATCGATGTGATACTCGTCTCCCACGAATTCACAGACCACATGCATAAGGAAACACTCCTCGAAGCTGCGCCCTCCATTCCTGTCTTCGCGGCTACTAAAGCCGCCGTGGCGATCAAATCTTGGAAACATTTTGATTCCGTGGCCGAGATACCGCGGTTTGGAGGGGATTGGAGGGAGAGTTCAACGAGTCCGTTGCCGGGGTGGGTGAGTGTGAGTAGAGTTGCGTATCCCGGCAAGGACTTGCTCTATTACCACTCTGCGGTAATGGTTACATTTCCATCTTCAGAGCCAGCTGGTGGGATAGATGGGGAAGCAGAAGCTGTCATCTATACACCCCACGGGATATCACCTAGTGATCTTGCTCCTGTAGCGACAGCAAGTCCTGCGATCAAAACGCTGGCTTTATTGCATGGTCTACAGGACATCAGACTCGGCGCACAGCTGAACATGGGTGCGCATAACGGGTTGAAGGTCCAGCGGCTGCTAGGGGCGAAATACTGGGTTGGCACGCACGATGAGGTGAAGAGGGGTGGGGGAATAGTGAGCTGGTTCTTGGACAGGAAGAAAATTAGTTTGAAGGAGGCGATTGAGAGGGAAAAGGAGGAGAAGGGTGAGGATTTGAGGGGCAGTGCTGTGGAGGGTTTGAAGGAGGTTAGGTTTGAGGAGTTGGGGAATGGGGAGAGTTTGGTGCTGGAGTGAAGATTATGAACCACCGCTTTTAGTGGTCTAGGGATCTGGATAAGTGTCTCCTTGGATACGGTCTCTATCTAATAGTCTCACCCTTCCACTCCTCCAGACTTTCCCTGTCTCCTCCTTCCACCTCCTCCCTCATGCTCTCCCAATCCACTCAACTTCAAACCTCCTCCACACCCTCCCCAGTACTACCCTCCCCGGTAAATCCACCCTCCCCCAGAACCTGTCTCCCTCAACACCAACATAGATGTCCAAAGTACGCGCTAGCAGTGGGATATCGACGCTGGAGATGAAAGTACGCTGTTTGAGCTGCTGGAGGTCGGCGGAGGAGATGTAGTGGAGCTTGTGGGTCGTGAGGGAGAGTAGGAGGTTGGTGGTGGGGGAAGTGGATTGCTTGATGTTGGAGGTAGGTGAGGAAAAGGGAGTAGAAGTGGCTGAGTGAAGGGGTTCTGATGACATGTTCGGGCGCTGTAGAACTTGGATTCAGGTTTAGAAGTTTAGAATGAATGCATGAAAACCGGAATCTTGTCTTGTTGTGCAGTTCTACTCTTTCGTGCTGCCGTTACGTGGATTTGGCACCGCGTCGGGAGTGTTGCTATTAGAGATTTGAATCTTGCCTTGCCTTCCTTTTCTCTCCAGAAGAGCCGAAGTTTCCTCTATCTATCTAGAGAGCCGTAAAAGCCTCAATTGATTGGGAAACCATTCGTTAAGAGTCATTATTACTACGAGGAGAGAGCGGCGTTGACTTGACTCTCATTAGCTGACTGTTTGACTTGACCATCAGTCTGAATGGAAATGAAACATTCTGATGCATCATCATACGTATCTATTTAAATAATTACCACTTCCCTCCCCCTCCTCCTCTTCACCTAACCTCTTCCAGTCACAACAGCAAAGTCATGCGCTGTCATTTCTATATGTCGGTACCTGGTTGAGTACCATCGTCTATCTGGGTAGATTTGATAGTCAGGCAGGGAAAGAGAGAGAGAAAGAGGCTAGATGGATAATTGAGTGAGGAAAAGAAGGAAAGGGGGAAAGAAAGATTCATCTGAGAGATTGTTGGACTGGAGTGAAAAGGAACAGTTGGTGTGAGAAATCGGTTTTCTGAACGTGTGGAGTGGCGTGGCTGACATGAACGTGAAGCTTGAATAGGAAACCAGATGGTAAAGTGGCGGGAAGTGGAAGGGGAATGAGCGGAGAGATCACGTCTTCGCATATTCTGATATTCACAACATCTAAGTCATATGTAGCTAACTTAGTTAGTATAAAAGCAAGGTTTAAGTATCAAAGGGAGCCATTCATTTCTTGCTCTACCTAACTAAAACGCTGATATCATCTCGTCCCGTCACTTCCCTTCCCTTCCCTTGGGGCATAGACAACGCAATCTGCCTCATCTCCTCCCATCCATACCCTCCATTCCATCCCATCCAATTCCTCGATCTGTATCTGTATTTGCATCAGCAGCGTAAAGCAGCCACCAAGCAAACCCACCCCTTCTCTGCCCTGCAAAGGAAATCCAAACCATCATCGTCAAAGAACCACACCTCAAACCACAAAACCTGCATACACCAAGCCAGCCGACTTGACATCAAATTCCCGCCCTCCGCCTACAAAACCTGAAAAGAAAAAGAGGTAGACTGCCGGTGTTTACCGCCTGAAAGGTGGCTTTGCTCATCTAGCTAGCTAGCCACCGGAACGTAAATACAATCTGTACATCCCCCAGGTCGCCCGGTCGTTTGAGAAGAAAATAACGGGCAGAAAGAAAAAGACAAAGATTTCGCTTTCTTGCTTGCACGCTTGCATGAAACAAAAAAAAACCCCCCAAACTCCACGCTGATGTTGTGCTGAAAAGTTGAAGAAAAACCGGAGGAAGGAAGGGAAACCGAAACCGAAACCGAAACCGAAACCAGAAACCGTGAACCCAAACTGGGGTATGAGAAAGAAACCAAGTCGAACCGAATCCTATGTGGACGCTGTATGTGCAGTACTGTGCTGCGCTGTGCTTTTCGTTCTGTGGTGAGTGATTATTTGTCGATAAGATGTGCTGTTGAACCAAGCTCCACCGCTCCACAGACTCCTTCCATGCATCCAGTGTATGTGAGAAGTGAAGTGTGAGGACACGCGGCCGTGGTATGTAAGGGAAACCGTAACGCCAGATCATGAAGAACGTGAATATGTGAGAACGTATTGCTGGGGAGTGTAGAGGAGTATGTGAAGAGTGGTGAAAGGCGGAAGGTATGAGGTTGGTAAAGAGAGCTGGACTGGACGCGTAGAATGCTGCGCACATGACCAGAATCCAATCCTATGTAGGTATGCTAGACAGCTCAGTTCTTCTTCTTGCTCATGCGAATGAACCGTGTGCGGATCCACATGACGAACTTAGTCCACGCAGAATGAGTCTTGAGCTTCGCAGTGCCTGACCGTCGTGGCTGGGAAAACTGCTCCTCGCCCACACTCATAAACGTAGGAGTCTGCTGTTGGGGAACAGAGTTGTAGTCCCTGCCTACAAAGCCGTCTTTCTCCTGCATAGTGAGATCGGACTTGGAGCGCTTGGAGCGAGTTTCATTGCTTGCTGAGGAACGACGGTGGCCGCGCTCGATCTGACGGGCTTCTTTCTGTTGGCGCTTCTCGAGAGCTCGGATTTCTTCACGTGCGGCTTTCTCTTCTTTGGCTTGCTCTTTCTCCTGGAACTTGCGGCGGGCTTCTTGGATGGTCTCGGCTTGGAGACGGGTGTCTACCTCTGAGCGAGATCGAATGCGGAAACCCTTGTCCAGGGAACCTCGAATAGCGGAGACGGGAGACATGGTTTCCGTGGGAGAGGCGATGTCTGAGGAGAGAGTGGTGTTATGGAGGGATGTATGTGAAGTTGCGAGGGCAAGTCGAGAAGAGCTTCCTTGCTTGCTGGTGAGGACTCGGAGAGCGTGTGGTTTTTGTGATTGAGAGATATTGGGGGAGGAAGTCGAGACGCCTGTTATGGATGGCGTGGAGGTGTGGTTTGAGAGGTTGGAAGGTGAGCGGAAGGGGTGAATATGACTCTGGCTCTTATTTGGTGATCGTATCTGCGTCTGTTCCCGAGGGTGGTCTTCATCTTCAGTCAGGGCAGGGCTGTGGTCGAGTTCACTTTCGCGCAGAGAGTTCTGATAAGATGCTGAGGCCGCGATGGGCGGAGTATAGGGACGAGGAGTTTGCTGGAACGGATGCACAAAAGAGCCAGCACGATGGCCACTGCCTGTGGTGGCAGTAGAGAATTGGGAGGTTCCACTGGTCGAGCGGTGGTGGTAGCCTCGTCTGAGCTGGACGTCATGGGAGGAGCGAGGCCCAGACCCATTGCCATTGCCAGTCCCAAGCACACTTCCCATTCCCATTCCCATTCCCATTCCCATTCCACTTCCACTTCCATACCCATACCCGTACTCAATACCGAGTCCATTTTGCTCTGCCGCAGACCGATCCAGGTCCAGCGAGTTCCTTTCGCTCTGGGTCAATTTCCTCAGTATCGGTTTTACTATCGTCCCCCGCGATTTGGCCGGATGGCCCTGGTAGCTGGTCATGGTGCTGTGCTTCTTTTCTGCACGCTCCTCCGACAGCAAGGGCAGTTGCGATTGCTACTCCCCCTATGAAAGTCACCGACACTCATAAACCGGTACTTCGCATCACTGCACGCCTGCTGAGGGTATGGGTATATAGATGGTGGATCGGGTGCTGTGGTTCGATACGTTGCGCAGGTGGACGAACGACTCGGGTTTGACGTCTACACAACTGACACAAAGCGTCTATTCAGAAGGATGCGATGGTTTATATATTGGCGCACTGGCTGCAAAGGTGGTACAGTTCGAGGGGACGACTCGAGGTTGGATGTTGGTGCCGCTTGCGGTGAGTTGCTGCTGTTGGACTCTTGGTGCGACGGCTATGCGACTTCTCCTCCTGAACAATTGCAAGGCCACAACAAATGCACTCTGCTTGCGGATATCGATACAGGGTCTATGAGAGTCGGACAGGTGGGAGAAGATATACGGAGGATAGGATCGTGAGGGATTTTCGGCGATGCTGCACCGCCTTCCTTCTGCGTACGAAGCCGAAAGTGCTGTGCAGTGGCTAGCCCCAGGCTCCTCTTTCTCTTGCAGCAGATCCAACAGAACAATCAGGATGCCAGCAAAGGATTCCGAAAGACTGATCCGATTGTGGATGCGTCGTGCTCGACCTCTCGAGGAAGATATCGTGTTGAAAGCTGTGGAACGTTGTCGTCGTCAGATCAACAATCAAACGATCAGCCTCAGTAACACATGCCTCTGCCCTCATGCTGGGCGTGGGTCGTGGGCGGATGTCTGAGACCTGGGCCTGGCTGTCCTCCTATCGTATGGTTGCTCCAGGCCCGCTCTGGACCCTCTGCGCTGTGATTACTGGCCAGCCGAGCACTCCGACCCCTCTTTTCTGGCTGTGCCTCCCACTACTCTTATCGTGGTCCCTGTACATGTTCCCGGCAAGTCCGGGGACCAGACAATAAGCTCTCTTTGACAGAGACATGACTTTGTTTCAAAATCGCGGCTTGGATGTTTCTCTAAAAGAGAGAGATGGTTGTGAGGAGACGGGAATCAATTAATGAGGAACATGTCACTGTAAGTGGGGGAATGGTAAGTAGTGCTGGCAAGTTTTCTGGATCTTCACTGGTAGCAGGCACTTTCTACGGGTTCCTGGTGGCATGGTTGCGCGATGTTCTTGAAGCGGTTCATGATCAGCATGCGGCGACGCTGGGCGGTTGGTGCGGGATGAAAGAGAAGGGGACCTGGAGACGATCTCTCCCGTTGTCAGATCATAATCTGGTCGATAAGATCGCTGGTAAGGGTTCTCATCCTCACCAGCATCATCTTCCGACAAGATTTGGCGATGACTTCCTCCTTGGACTCCTTGGAGTTCTTAAGGAGGTTGATCGAATTGTCAAAGTCCCATACCACATTCCTTTCCTGTCATAGCCTGTTCTGCGCTGCCAAGGTTTCCCGAGAACAGCGAAGCTCACCAACAAATGGAGATCCAGACCAATCAGGCATCGAGAAGGTCAAACCAAACAAAACTGCGTCCCTAAGCGCTGTCTCCTTGCGACCAACACCACAGTTCAAATCTCGGCTCATCTAGCCTTCTCAGCTCAAGACTAGATGGAAATGACGAGATCTGTCCATAACTTCTTAGCGTGAACAAGGGAAAGAACAAAGATATATGGGGGCAAAGCGAGCGAGGCACGAGGTAGAGTAGATTCTCCCGCGGTACATGACAGCGGCGTCATTCCCTCTGGGTGAACTGCAATCAATAAACCTCAACCAAGGTAAACTGGAAAAAAAAGGAAGAAAGGAAAATCTCAATCCGAAACGAAATGAAAGCGCCAACATATGTACATATGTATCAACTTCTCGCAATCGTGCAAGCGAGCAGCCCTGTCTCGGACAGGTCCTCCGCTCGATCTTCAGTCAGACGCTTCATGTACCCTTCATATGGGGAAGGAGAAATATATTGCCGGGTCGAAATGGTACCTAAGTAGGTAACCAATATGTTGTATCCCGACAGCTCATCTTGACGTCTACTTCTCCCCAAAGAAATAAACCACTCACTCTTGTTAATCCGTTCCCTTTTCGAGCCTCATCTCCGCTCGTCCCCTGTCTGTCTCCTTCGCTTCGCTTGCTAGTGCAGCGAGAGTCTTGATTGACCCTTATCCTCGTGCGCAGTAGTTCTCGAAGTAGATCTTAGGTTACAAGACGGAGAGTGGAGCCGACTCATGACTAGAAGATCTTGTACAGATTATCGATTTAGTCCTCTTGTCCTAGAATTTTCTCGATTTGGGAGATTGTGTTGCATCTGTGATGAGATTGTACATACCTAACAGGGTGACGTGAGATGAGAAAAGACGAGGATGAGTTTGAGGGCGGTACAGGGCCGATGGATAATCCGGGCCGTGAGGCCTCGCTTCTATTCGCTTGTATTGGAAGTGTGAGGAGGACGGGGGACGGACGCGGGGATGGGGTGGGAAAGACGGAGAATCGTTCCTGCTGTTCCTTTTACACGTCTATTGGAAAGGAAGGGAAAGAGATGGCCGATAGGGTTTTGGTGATTTCAATAGAAGATTTGTGAAGAATAATAATGATGTGGTAATACACCTTATGGGACTGGTCTACTCCGTAGAAGGATTTCCTCCCCTTTCCCTTTCCAGGATGTGGATGGGATAGGACTTTGGGACTGGCCAGGGTAGGTAGTGATGTACGGAGTGTGTGCATGGTGATACAGTAGTATGTACCGAAGTACATTGCAAGTCGGAAAACTCTGTTCCTAAGCTCAGGTACCTGTATATCAAGTGAGATTTTGCAAGGCATGGTAAGGGAAAGGCAAGGATGGGAGGTCAACCCAAGCGCATCAAAATATAATTTTTTCTTATTGCATTGCATTGCATCCTACTGAGGGAAGGCCAGCCTGCAGCCAGCTACAACCTACCTACCTACCTACCCACCTACCTACCTACAGTACCATAATGCTATTGATTCCTTCTTCTTCTTCTCGCAGGCAGGGGAAAAGAAAATTCAGTCGTAACTTTGAGTCTACTGTATGATTTTAGTCTTCGTGTTTCTCAGATACTTACTTGCCTACGGACTTCTCGATACAGCAAGTGATTTACCATTCCCAAGCTTCAACTTTGTAACTTTGTATGAACCTGCTGGGTCGAGAAAAGTTACTTGCGAGTCTCGGCCTGGTCGGTCGATGGCTGGGATGCCTGAAGTGTGTACTGTATGGAGGAGGAGTATTGAAGTAGGTTCCAAACCCCTGCTTGTCCCCGCTAAATACTATGCGCACACCGAATCCTTTCTCTTTCCACCACATACAGTACTCTAAAATCGAGGCAAGCGTGACGATGTCAGCAAAGCCCAGATAAGTTAACTATTTTTTCCATCCAGGTAGGTATTCTATCATCAAGATCATCAAGCAACATTTCACTTCTGCTATCGCCCAACCTATCTCTTTCATTATTAAACAGCTTGAAAATACGGCACGCATTATCCAGACTATCTATCTAGCCCTGGTATCTCTCCATCTCTCTAGCACTACCCTCTCCTCGCGTCGATACAATCAATTCCGCTTTCGCCTCGCCTCGCTTGTTAGATCCACCTAACCTAGCTCCTAGGTAATTCACTTTCGGCCGGCATACGGGAATCGCGACATTGCGAATTGCGAATAGGTAGATTTGATTCGAGTGACTTGCATGCAACCGTGCGAGCCGTCCGCTCCCCTAACCTTAGTGTACTGTAGTGAAGTAAAGTAAATGCACGCTAGGCAAAGTGCGGCACCGTGGTCCCATGGCACCTTGGTGGTGTGCTGGTGTGCTGGATGGCGTTCCGTTTCTTTATCGATACTTTGGGACTTCCAATTTGTTGGCGGGGGGGGGGGGGGGGGGGTGTGTTAGGGGATGGAGGATTATTTGTATTTCTGAATGAAGAGAAGGTTTGAATCTTGGGTTTGGGTTTGGGTTTTAGGTGCGGGATCGTGAGGTGAGGTGAGATGAGATGAGATTGATGGGACACTGGTGGTGGTGTCAGCCTTTTTTAATTTAAGAATATTAGGCATCTTACTGTATGATTTGGAGGAGAGTACAGTCTGGAGGAATACAAGTATGAGGTAAGAAAACTGGGGTAGCGAAGGTACGGAGGGAAGAAATCGGGTGTCTGCAACGCGTACTCTACTCGACAGTAGTAGTAGTGGGAAGTTTCGACATGTGAAATCCTGAACCCGCTCCCTCCACCTCCACCTTGATACATACAGTACAGTACCTCCGTACGCATGAAAGTAAAATGTAACTTTCCTCAGTCTGTGGGTACATAAGCTTCGGCTCAAAAGCTAAAGTATTTGAGCGCATAAAAAGTTTACTTTGCGTTCTACTGTACAGGAGTAATTTACTACTTCCATAGAAACAGCGGGATTTATTTTGTCGTAAATTCATGTATGGCTGGGAGTTTTTAAGCCTCATTTAGTAGGTACTCGTAAGTAGGTAGGTAGGAAGGATACGTATCTAACCCCCATCCAGGTCAAGTCAAAGTCCGCCTGATCGATCTCACTACTGTATTATTTCCAAGAACGTTGCGTAACTAAGTAACTTCCTAAATGCCTGCCAAACTCTGTTCCATATGCCTTCCGTTCTAGACCTGCTTGCTTGTCTGTCTAGGTACCTACCATTTATTCGCACACATCCCTAAATTTTGACTTCCCAGTGGTGTGAAACTGTTGAGCCGCCTTCCCTTCTACTGTACAGTACTGTACTCTATCATGTGCGGTGGTGCGGTGCCGTGGTGCGGAAGGAATGGAAGGAAGACCAACCTGTCCTGTACTGTCCTCGCCACAATTTTCCCAGGATAATAAAGGAAGCAAGCAGGCAAGCAAGCAAGCACGCGCCACTGAGTGGACATGCTACCTACTTCCTCCTCAGCTCAACCTCAGCTAAACTAGGTAGGTAGGTAAGTACTTCGCTTTTCTCGCTTTTGTCTTTACGGAGTACCTAGGTAGGGTATCCTGCCTGCCAGCCCCACTGTCTGTTCTCCCCCCACTACACTGCACTGCACTACTACTGGCGTGCGTGCGTGCGGCCGCGCGGGTGTGTGGTGTGTGCGCAGAGCGATCGATTGATTGATTGATTGACCCTGAATTGTTGAAGTTAAATGCGATCGAGTCGAATCGAATCGAATCGAATCGAATCGCTGTTGGTTAGTTAATTAGTTAGTTAGTTGAGATGGCGGTTGTTTAGTTTCTAGATCCTAGTGTGAGTTGATCTCGATTGCTGGGCGGCTGGCTGGCTAAGGTGGTTTAGACAAGAGAGAGGCGGACCTTGGGACGGGGCTTGTTTACTGCGTAGATGGGGTTTTGATATCATGGCTGGAAACGGAGAATTTCGAGGTCTGATCTGGAGATTTCGGTTTTTGAATATGAGAAAAGGAAGCGAGAGGCTGGGAGGATTTCTTTCTTTCTTTCGTTTTGTTTTTTTGGCGCTGCAGATAGATATGCATGTCACTACTACATACTCCGTACATACATACATACATGGCTAGTGATAGGTAGTCTCGGAGGCTCTTAAACCTCGAGACCATGTACCAATGTATAGAAATGTGTATAGTTCACACGTATACACGTCCGGAGCATGGAGTTAGGTACCTACGTTCGGTATCTCACGCATAGGCGATGCCAGCACTACTTTACTCTAGTTCTTGAGTTTCTCCCTGAGACAGTACTGCTACTGGGGATAGATAAACTTTGGAAGGATGAATTGCTGCAGGAATGACATATTGCGGTTTAATTTGGGGAAGCACGAAGATGCTTCCGTACCGTTGACGTCGCCGTTACCAAGATTCGGATCGTGGGATGGAGGGATGGATGGATGGGGGGGTGGGTGATGTGCGGCCTGGCGGCTAAGTATATCCTGGCCCTTTCTTTGGCTTGGACGGAGCAGACTGGCCTGGATTAGATGAGGTTTTGATATTGGATTCAAAAAAAATTTCTTCCTGATTTTGGACTAGGAAATTAGATATGATGAGATTCGTTCGGGAGAGACAGAAACTGAGAGAGGGACAAGTCGCAAGACTGTCTGGATGAGGTGATCTAAGCCGTCTTTACGCACCGAGAGAACCAAGTAAGAAAGGAAGGTGGATTAACACAGTGGAGCGGAGTACGCAGGAAAGGTTGGAAAAATAATGAGATACAGAAAGTCGCCTGCATCGTACCTTGCTGTGAGCTTGAACCTTCGGGGTGCGCGAGCTAGGACCACAGAATGGCTGGCGACCTCGGGGTGTTTGTGGAGTCCATTCAAGGTTCTGCCAGCCTGCGCGTACATACGGAGTTATCGTCCCCTCCTCTCCTCTCAGCGCACCATTCTTGAATTTCCAGGTTCGGTGGTGGAACTTGTGGTCTCATTTGTCTCGTGAGGTTTATCCATACATACTGCAATACTTACAGCGCGCTTCGCCAGCCTGTGATTTCGCTGCCCCTCCACAAGCACGGAGTGTCCTTTGCCGCTGAGGTGGCTGTTTGTTCGTAGCCTGTAGCTCACAATCTACCCCGCCCATAGCCGTATGGAATGTCTCATAACCGCCCCTCCATCCTTGAATACCTATCAAAGACTTTGAGCTAGGAAACAGCTCCTCGAGCCATTTTAGTTTTCTGACACTTAGCTGGCTTCGAATTGGCTAGGTGGATTTTAGGTGTTTTGTTGCCGCTATCCTCGTTCTTATTTCCAGGCGGCAACAGCGCGTGAGTGGGAGCAAAGCATCGCTTACAGAAATCCTCGTCACCAACAGATCCATGGAGACAAGGCCAGAGTGGGGCTTGATGGAGATTTGAAAATTCGAATGGAGAAGGACGGCTGGCATGGGCACAAGAGCTGAGAATCATGACTGGGTAGATTTGCGAGCTAGACAATTCTGTACGAGATTCTTGCTCCGTAATGACAGTATTTCCGTTGGCCTGTTTGTAGGTTAGGTTGCTTGACGATTCTGTATCTATTCGGAGTACCTCGCATGTCACAGATACGTGCCATGGCTCCGTCTCGTCCGTACGCACGCACACGCACACGCACATCCACTTCCACATCCACATCCAAGCTTAAACCTTTTTGTTTTTCAGCGTGCATGAGCACCTGCAGCTCATCGCGTCACCTTGCTTGCTGACGAACTAAAGCATAATAATGCAAGCGAGAAAAGGAAGAGGGAACGAAACGAACGAACCGAAGATTTCGAATTTGTGGGAATAAGTCATGTTTTGCCTGCCTGCCTGCCTGCCTACCCGCTCCGAAGTCTCATGCTCGACATCTGGATCCTGGAGACGGCCTGCAATAGTTGAGGATCCCCTTCTATTCTGGCATGGTCTGGATGGCATTGCTGATGAAAGCAAGGTAATAGCATGAATCTTCTGATCTGGCAAATGTTTCATCTCTCGTGATGATATGGATGGCGACGTCAAACGACAAGCCCTCGTGCCAGTGTAAGATTTTTTGCCAATTTCTGATTCCGAAATTTGAACCGAATGGGTTACTGTGATGTCTAGTCGAGTCAGAAAGGCGTCTCTCGCTCCGTACTGAATCCTGACGACTCCCGTTCGAGATTGTCACTACTACTGTCATCAAGCACACGGCTCCCAAAACAGTTACTGCTGCCATCTGCCCCTCTTCGTTGCCCCTCCATTCCTGAGCTCGCTACACATTACACATTGCAACGGCCATGATGACCCATGCTTGTAAGGGTAGCTTGTCGTGATAGAACAGATCGAATAGAATCGTCGTTGAAGAGATCTCTCGTCAGACGCTAGGTACTTGCTACTCCTTAGACATGTATCCTCTATCCCACTTAAGTGGCTCTCACTGGCAGCTGCTGCAGACCATCGACGGCGCCGATGGCGCATGCATTGCATTCTGTAACGAGAATCAAGCGAAACGCCATCGTTTCTTTAGCCTGGCCTCACTGCTCTTCTGCATTCCTGTTCTTTTTCATTCATGAAGCTCCGGCGGAATTTCCTTCAGTCTTGTCTCGAGATGTACAAAAACGTTCTGCTGCAGCGGCCGAAGTGTCTCGAAGTTCCTCGACAATAATAATACAGTAATAAAGCCACCGAGGAAGGGGAGCCCTGCCCTGCCCTGCCCTATCCTTGCCACCAACCACTTGTCAAAAGCCCGGCTTGTTGCTGTACGCAATCAATCGAGACCCTGGAGGGTGCTTGGATGGGGTTGCAGTGCTAGGGTCTGACAGACTAGGGACATAGCCCCCACTGGCGCAAAGTCAGGTCGGTCCCCTGTACGGTCAACTACTGTACCTATCCCAGCATAAGCCTTCGCTCTATCGCACCTATTCAGCCTGCTGTCCCCGCCGCGAAACACTGCACTGCACTGCATTGCGGGCTTGTACAGTAGGCTTGCAGGCTTGCAGAAATGCGCTGAATGCGTAGCGAGTATCTGTACAGATCGCAGCATGGACTCAGCGCAGCGCAGCGCTGGCTGGTGGGCTGGCTTGCCTGCCTTTCTTATGCTGATCCCTTCTGTCTGTGGGGGATGCACTTGTTTGAGACCATTCAAGACTACTGAGGTGTGTACACCCTCTCGACCCTACTACTGTACTATGGTAGCAGGAATGAGAAATGCCGTCAGAAGAGAAATATAAATTACGTGGTTTGGACTGTCCCTGATCGCTCCGCTGAAGAAGCTATTCATAGGCTCTCCCGTAGGTTTCGTTAGGTGTCGTTGGCCAATCCATTGTGTTGAGATGTCTCGCTAGGAGATGCCCTATCCTATGGGCTCGATACTGACCTACCTATCGAGGAATCCTCGGCGCGAGCTGTCCCACTCTATCGTCCCCTCCAGCCCTCCTCCTCTCCTCCTCTCCTCCTCTCCTCCTCTCTTCCGTAGCGACTCAGATGTCGCTCAATAATGTCTCTCCTCCCCTCATTATTTTCCGCCCCCTCAGTTGTCAACAATAAACCTCCACCAGTAAATGCCTCCTCCACTAAAGAAAGGCCCACCCACCAGTACAGTACAGTATCGGCACCAGCCAGGCCCTCGGCCATCTGCTGGTCCTTGCTCTCTGTCCCCGTTGTCTTATCCTCCATTTCCTTGTAAGTATCAAAAGCTGTACGAAGTACTGAGGGTCTGCAATGTCTGTTTGTTCCTTGTATCGTGCCATATCTACTGTATTATCATGCTGTATCCATTTCCTTAACAAACTTTCCCCCTCTATCCCCACCTATCCCCTCATACTCGTGTCCTAGACATGGTATGGTGGCTCCGGTAGTAGGCAAATGTCGGGTCCTCAGCATCTAGCATCTGAATGGCAGACGGACTCTGTCTCATTTCCTGGCTGTTTTATTATTGACTGATTATTATTTTCTCACGCGGCTTTTCTTCAATCCATCAGCCATTAGCCATCGGCCATCAGCCATTTACTATCTATCTTCCACCACCCAATCCTCTCTAGCCGTCCTCCTGCTTGCGAGCGAGCGCCTCCATGTACCCTTCTGTACCCACTCCACCACTACTGTAGCTACCCTGTCATCCACTACCCCTCCCTCATGCCAGTGTGGCCACCATATCCCTACCCCTCCACTCCACCCTTTCCTTCGCGATCCCGACCTCGTCAACCCCCTCGACCCTTGACCATGCCATGCCATCAATTTAGTATCCGCCGACTAATGTCAGACTACTGACTACGACTATTTCTGCTCCCCTTCACCCACCAGCCAGCATCCAGCAGCCAAAACCAGAAGCACAATATGACTGATCGGGTTTCGCGTCCGCGACTTAAACGCTCGTCTCTGCGGCCTGCTCTCCATCATGGTGCCGTCTCCGTTCTGGCGTACCCGTGGCTGAACTATATAGACCTCCGCAGGACCCTGTGGGGAGAGAGAGAGAGAACGTTGGAGGTATGACATCTCGGCGACTCTCGTGCACCGAGCTGTATCAAGGGCATCGCCGGTTCTGTTGTATATTTATCAATTGAGCTCCAGCACCTGGGCAATAACGGTCTTTTGGTGATCTTGGTTCTCGGCCCTTCGTTGTTCTATCACTTAATCGCCGGCATATCAAATCATATCGTGTCCTTGTCAGATCATTGTCCCTCCATTGTCGTCGTTGCTTGCCGCATACAGTACAGTCAGTCATTGCCTTGCTTGTTCTGTCTCGTCCTCGAAATCGTCTTCGTCTGTCTTCGTCTGGCTCGGCGTTGCGTTGCGTTTTGTGGATCACGGTACGGAACTTTGGATTGCATTTTCCAATTGAATCTTGGATCTCGATTGTCTAGGTTTTCTGGCTTTCTGGCTTCTGGCTTGCATTTCACTGCTGGATCCAGTGAAAAACACCATATCTGCAGACTTTGTCGACTTCCTGCCCCAATTGGCCCGGACTCGACCTGCTGCAGATTTCCTCCAAAAGAAGCAGTAGCAGCCCGCTCTCGACGCAGCCGACCTCTTCATACGCTGCACGCGAAAACGCCTCGACACCCTCTCGAGCATATTTCACGCCCATACAGCACAGCCTTGAAGCAAAAACACATTTGAGCCTCTTCCCCTCTATCTTGGCGTCGGCACGCTCACCCTCACGAATCACCACCCCCGCTGATTCACTCGAATTGCCTCCAAATCATATATATCTCTCCAATCGCCTTTCCTCGTCTTCGACACATGACCCCTCAGATTTTGCCTCTCAAAACCACTCCACAGTGGCAATTCAGCCTAGGCACTCAGAGAACTTGCACCATTCCTGCAGGTGATCTCTCAATTGTCTTTGACAGTTTCCGGATAGCCTAGACTCTGTACCCCGCTGATTCAAGATGTTTACCTTTTGGGATCTGGGCCCATGGGCAATCACTTTCTGGGTTTTCTGGTAGGCGCTCACATTGTTCTTTTGTTTCCGGTGGAATATGGTGGCAAGCTCCAGATCCATGTTCTACTACGCCATTGGTCTCGTGGCTCAAAACTGACTTCTTTAGGATTCATCGGTATCTCCGAACGATTGTCAACTTCATCAGCCATTGGTGCTACAAATCCATTCCTATACCCGAAACCCCAACCTACACCGCGAAAGACGTCACAGTCATCATTCCTACGATTCATAACAATTTTGAGGAGTTGAGGGAATCCATACAAAGTATCCTTGCCTGCCAGCCTTACGAGCTACTGTTGGTCACGACATCCGACAAATACCAAAAACTCGTCCAGTTCACGAAGTCATTGGAGGCGCCGAATGTCCGCACATTCCATACGCCAATTGCAAACAAGCGGATCCAGGTCTGTGAAGCGATCCCCAAGGTCAAAACGTCGATCATTATCATGGCAGACGATGATGTCACGTGGCCAAGCACCATTCTACCTTGGCTCCTGGCACCCTTCGAAGATGCAAAAATTGGCGGAGTTGGACCCAACCAACGAGTGAAGCGGATTCGTTCTGGACCACTTGCAGCTCTTTGCTACAACTGGCTCGGAGCTGCCTACATCGAGCGACGGAACTTCGAGATTTCAGCCACACATGGAATTGATGGTGGGACCTCCTGCATGTCCGGACGCACCTGTGCCTTCCGGTCTGAAATCCTCCAAAGTCCCTTGTTCTTGGATGGCTTCAAGACTGAGCGATGGGGCCAGTATCAACTCAATGCTGATGATGATAATTTTGTCACGCGATGGTTGGTTTCGAACAGATGGAAGACATGGATCCAATACAACCCGCAATGTGAGATCGAGACTACGCTTGAGAACAACATCAAGTTCCTCTATCAATGTTCTCGATGGGCTCGTAGCAATTGGCGAAGCAATTACACGAGTATGGTCATTGAGAGACACGTTTGGAGGTAGGCTTCTTAGCAGCCATTATATTTCTTTCGCTAACATATTTAAAGACAGCAGCCATGGTCAACATACGCTCTGCATCTCGCAACCTTCACATCCCTTTCGGTCGCCTTCGATCCTTGGATTATATGGTGTACTCATAAAGCCGCTTACAATTTGCCCGGAAATGGATACTACTACGCCATGTGGGCTCAAATTATTTTCATGTTTGCGTTCATCAAGGTCATCAAGTTGGTTGGTCTTTTCAGACGAGAGCCGTTCGACATCATCTTCCTTCCACTCTCGATCATGTTTGGATATTTCCATGGTTTCGTCAAAATATACGCTGGCATAACTCATCGCATGGTAAGTCATTCACCTTTCTTCACATACTTCGTACTGACCACAGCCAGACCTCATGGGGCAGTCGTGAAGACGGTGACACCAATGACAGCGAGCGTATGAGCCCAAGAGGCCGCCGAAGTGAAAGCATCACTCTTCCACCCGGCAACCACCCCGGTCTCGTCCGCTACAACGATGGGAAAATGTTCATCTTATCGCCAGATGAGAAAGAGCACATCTTCGTAGCGACGGTCGAAAGGGCCGTCAGTCCAGACGGCTCGGCGTCGGACACAGATAGCGACTTACTGGATGCGAGAAGCGACAGTTCAGACGACTCTTATGATAACGATTCAAGTTCGAATTCTAGTTCGATGGTGACGAATTGATGGTTCCGCTTGGACGCTAGTGCAGCATAAATCCAAGTGTGGTTTCATCAGTCGCATCAAGTACATTTTTCATTACCCATTCTCTGGCGACGACTTTTACGATTCATGAATGGATGGAAGGACATTTCTGTCTAGGAGCCCACGACTTCGATGGCGGATCTAAGGAGTTAAGCATACTGGTTTTCGGGTCCGGGTTTTTAGCTTGTTTTTATTCGACTCGGCTCGACTGCATTGGTGGAGTTTGGGCTATGGGATTTGCAACTTTCCATACCGTCTTCATTCTTCTTCCTTTCTTCCTCTCACTTGGCTGCACAGAAGGAGATCTGTAGGATCCACAGCACTACTTCTCCTTTGCTGGCTAGCCCCAAAATTCCTCTTCTTGGCTCGGGATGGAAATGGAGGGATCGAGTCACACACGTGTGATTCGTGGATCTGGATTGAAGGCATTAAAAATCTGATTTCTTACTTCATCTCATCATCGCATCATATTCTCATTTTGATTCGATGGCTTGTGCTCTGGGTTCTTGTATATTTCTGGGAGGCAAAGACATGTTTTTTTGATCTGACCATCGGGCTCGCTCGACTTGGTTTTGCTTTGTGGTTGCCAGGAGAAATTCCAAAAGCTCTCGCGCTCCTCATTTACTTCATCGTTGATGTTGTTGGTTTCAAGACCGGGGAGAAAAAGAAAAATTGAGATAGAGAAGAGAAGAGAACAAAAGAACATGGATGGACTTCACGGTTGTGCCATTTGGAAAACTGGCTTTGCTGGTGAAAGAGGGCCAGAGGGCTCGGCAAGTGCAAGTAGAATGATTGATAGGACAAGATTGGGGATGGTGGTCCGAGACTAGATGAGATGAGATGGTATCAAATTATTGAAAGCCAATGAAGCCAAAAGCACCACCAGAATAACACCCCTTTTCTAAATCTATCTATCTGCCTGACAATTTTCCTAACTATATAATTTTTCTTTTCTTTTGCTTCTTCTATGACAACACTCACTCACTCACTCACTCGTTCGTATTCACGGAAGCCCCGGAACGCCAGCCGCATACATCTACCAAACCCAACCCCCACCTGGTCGAGGGTCCACAAAACGAACAAATGACCTGATTGAAATGACTGGCTGATTGATTGACTGATTGACTGATTGACTGCCTGGCTGGACTGGACCCCCATTGAGGCTCAATTGAATCGGAGGTAGGTGTGTATGTATATATACTTTACCGACAATCGAGGAGAGTTTGGCTAGATCAGCCAGCACCAGCCAGCACCAGCCCATCGGATGGTTTTTTGATTTTTTATTTGATTTGATTCTGAGTGATGTTCCAGTTCGGATGTGAATCCGAATTGAGGATGAGATGAATCAGTTCGTTCATCCGTACCAGCCACGGATAGGAGGATACTCAATGGGAATGCATGTATATGTACATGTAAGATTTGGTCAACGAACTTATCGATCAACAGCGGAGCGGGAGTGAGTGAGTGTGGAGTGAAGTGTACTCGACGTCATTGAGGCTTGGAGCTTGCAGTTTGGAGTTTGGAGTTTGAAGCCTACTCCTGACGATCGAGTCGAGCAAGGCTGACTTGACCAGATGAAGAAAGATCATGAGGAGGATCGATCATTCGTCATAGCTAATCCGCATCCGCGTCTACCGGCAGCAGTTTCACTATCTGCTGCTGCTGATGTCTGATGTCTGCTGTTGTGCTTCAAGCAATCGAGCAAGCAAGCAAGCAAGCATGAGGAGGCAATTTTTTTAATAAAAAAGAAGTTAGAGGAGCTTAAACTTGAGGGTGTCAACTTGTTATTATCCCTGCGTCCTGCGTCCGGCATCCTGCGGCCTGCACGTTTTTGGTTATGTATGTATGTATGTATGTATGTATGCTGTGTGTGTGTGTGACGGTGGTGTGTGTGGAGCTCATGCATGTGTTTGCAGATGCAGATGCAGCTGCGGTGATGGGGAAGGTGTGGTGTGGTGTGGTGTGGATGCAGGGGACTTGGGGGGGGTGTTATTGACGTGCTTGACTTGGGGGGTTGGTGGGATAGCTGTGGTTATTGAAGGGAGTTGGAGGATAAGGTAGGGAAAGGAAGGTAAGGGAGGGAAGGGGAGGAAAGGGAAGGAAAGGAAAGGGAAGGGAAGGAAAGTGTGCGGAGGTGGAGGATCGGCCGATGGAAGTACTGATTGAGAGAGAGAGAGAGAGAGAGAGAGAGAGAAAGGTACCAAGAGAAGGTGGTGGTGGTGGTGGGTACATGATAACAATGTATGAGGTTAGGATGGGCTTGGGTGAAGGGTATTGATACCTAGGGAATGGGAGTGGGAATAGGACGGGACAGGTACCTTCTACTTCTGGAGGGAGGATGATGTAGGGTCTTCTTTATTGGGATGGACGGGATAGCATGTCCATTCTGATGAACGATTGGGATGATGATATGAGGAGAGATATGATGTATACATCTCGCTTATAACGTATGTACAGATAAGTATTCTGCTGTTGAGTAGCATTCATGTAAGGAAGAATAACAATATCACAATTTCACAACGGCTTTTTTCCTTTGGAAAGTCGGTACAGCTGTCACGTTACGGGACGCCCTTTACCCGGGCCGAAATGATATATTTTCGGGTTACATTGAGCACTGAAGGCTTGAGGCTTGAGGCTTATTTGTATTCAAGAATAGTATTGGGATGGAGTTGCAAGCCGATGATATCAGGCTGGAGGTGCTTTGATTGTTGGCTGTACAATACTGCATCACCCAGACTAGAACGAGACTTCATTGTTGGTTGTAAGCGAGTCAGTGGATGAATGTTGTCATATTTCACATGTGTTTTGTCGCGTGTGGGCAAAAAAATATGATGGATATTCGAAATTATATGTGTGGTTGTTTTGTTTAGAGGGGTGGTCATAGGCTCGGCTGATTGTTTGTTAATTTGTGGCGTTGAAAATGAGCTGATGGATGTGTCGGGTTTGATCAATTGGTGGTTTCTCTGGATGAAAAATGTTATCCTCTGTTTGGGATCAAGTCAGATTCGATAGCATTGAAGGTAGAGGTACAGGTGTTTTGTTCCGTGGAAGTACTGTAAAGTACCGTCAGGCACGGAATAATATAACTGCGAATTAGTGGGATGAATGGCGAGAAGCTTGAAGGGAACGAACACGCCAGGGTACGCTGCCCAGCCATGACGAGAGTGCAAAGATAGTGGAATTTCTGCAGCGGGTATTTCAGCGCTGTCTTACTGGCTGCTATGTATCTTGGGTGGTAGGCATGGCATGCTGAGAGGGTCTAGAGCATGCACTGCAAATGCAGCGACTCATGCATCTACATGCATAATGCAATGCAGATGCGGTGATTCTCGCACTGCAGATAGTCTGCATTAGCTGGATGTACGACGCTCGATCGGAGAGGGACCTGCATACTCGAAGGTGGGGTGGGCTGGAGGGAGGGTTCATGGATGGATGGATAGACAAGCAAAGGTGGAGAAGTGAGGGAAGGATAAGAGCGAACGTTCTAGAATTGAAGTCCACTTTGAATTAGTGGTGAGATCGATCGAGATTTGTCTTGGGGAACCGGAGTTCGCGAGAGGAGATGTTGGAGTCAGTCAGTCAATCACTTGACTGTAGCTGTAGACGAAGAGGACAAGGGAGGTTGAATTTAGCGAGAGCCACGGGCGGCAGGACGTGCGATTTGCCAGGTCTGTGCCAAAGAAAGTTCCGCTTGAAAGGTAAGGTTTGCTGGTCTACCTTCATGTCAGGACATGACAGAGGCAGCGGCTTTCCAACGAAACTAAAATAGTACATGATCGGAATGGGTCTTGATCTCGACATGTCGATCTTGTCTTGTCTTACACCCCTAGGCTTTTTTTCGATTCTCTTAAACAGCTAGTGCGAGACAACAGACAACGGCTTCTGTAGCACTTGCTTTAGTTGCTCTAGTTTTGATTCAAGCAAGATTGGGTTTGCTAGTCGCTCAAGTGGCTTATCTGTAGTGTCGATTTTGATGGAGAAGAGGGACAACTGAAACATCGCCCTTGAGATAAAAGTTGGAGGTTTAGTGTGGTTTGCATGTGAGAATGGCCCAAGGCTGAGAACGTACCCTCGTGTCGAGTGTCTGAGAAAGTACTGCAAGAAATGGGTGGAATGAAATCTGACATGACTGGGAACAGGGTTGAGAATTTAACTTTTGGCTTGCGCCTTTGGTCCTTGCTATTGTTTTCTTTATCGCGTGCAGCGGCGATTCAAGGAATTGAAGCTCCAACTGCGGGGTAGGTGGGCACGACCCTGGACGGAAATTATGTCACCGAAGGCATCGTGGGAAAGTGACAATGGTAGAGTAAAAAGAGCATATCGAAGAATCAAATCAGCTCTTCTTTCAGATCTTGTAAAATGCTTAACATGGGCCGTTTGGACTAGCTGATATCTTTGGCCTGCCAGCAGGACAGGTTGACAATCACATAAAATACGGAAGGCTCATGGCTTGCGACGCAGACATTTTCACCCATATATCTCCTATGCCAAGTACTGCTTCTTGGATAAGAACATATGATTGATCAATTGACGTTGGAAGCCATCATGTACGTCAAGCTCATTCGAGCAAGCAAGTCCCAGCTCTTCACCCACACACACCTTTCCTACATCCATGCCACTGCTGCTGCAGAAACGCCAGACGCCTCCGACGGACATCTGAGCCGGCGGATCTCTGGCGGTTCCTGCGCAAAAAGCAAATGAATGAAAATATTCCACTGGTCGGTACTGATTCTGATGCGCTTTGGCACCGAGGAGAACGAGGGCGGCCTTGTTACTGTATGAGGGGTACTTTAAGCGAGGAGGCTGACTAGATGCTGATTGAGGTTTTGATAGAATGGAGTAGCAAGCCCGTGCTTTCAGGAGCTTTCGAGAACGTGGATTTCTAGTTCTGACATGTTGTCTCGGATGCAGAACACAGATGGAGACGGAGCTACTTCTAAGTGCAGCATTGTTGCGAGGCTTGAAATGGGGAGTCCGTTTTAAGTATTTGCTCAGGTTGCCTACTGCAAAATGTGGCGCTCAATATCCTTGTAGGTACATCCTCAGTCAATAGTTTTGACTACGGGGTTAGACTTGTCTCCCCTTGTCAATGTCTCGGGGCTGGCTGAATGCCAAGGAGTAGGGGACGACTGTATGTATGCTGTGCATGGCGAGGTTGGAGAAGTTGGTATTCGTGAGGCTCATGCTCATCATTCGTGTCGATCCCGTATCATGCCAAAGTCCGTGTCGTCGTATTATGAGATTGTGGGTGTTGCTCGTGATTGAACTGAGTGAGCATCTCTCAGGTTAACGGCGCTTCTGGAGACGAGATCTGGTGAGACGCTCTGTTCCAAGAGAACGGATGCTGGAATGGAGGGAATTAAGACCGGCATGGTAATAGATTTTGATGTGCTATCTTAGTTTGTATAGATCTAATGCTACATTGTACATCTTGCTGCATTTAATCGGCCGTGAAATTGTGATCGAACATAGCCCATGTCTTTCGTCAAATCTAGGAAACGTTACTGGCAGACGCAGGCGGGAAAGAGACGTGCAGGGGTCATTATAATTCCAAGGAAACGGGGTATCCTCAAGCAAGCATGTTGCGGCCATCAAGTCGTGAAAATTGATGGAAAGTACAACGAAGCCGTGCAGAGGAGGAAATTGAAATAGCCAAAAAGGAGAGCCATCAGTCGAACCCGTCGCGAACGGAAACAGAGACTTTCCACTCCCCCTCCATTCTGACCTGTCCACTGTTCACTGCCGTTGATGCAGAGGTACCGGAATGGACGAATCGAATCGTGATCCATGCGTGGTGAAATCTGGGTGGGACCAGATGGGTTGGTACGAATTCGGAAGACGTTCATTCACCGTGGATGATCGTTCAACGGTAAAGTGGTGTTGCAAGTCCGGCTTCGGCCCTGCTGGTGTGACATGCCTCATGCGAGTGACTATGCGTAGCTCCGAAAACAAACGTCTGCATCAATAAACGGCCTTATGATGGAGAAGGGTATGCAAAGCATGCAAAGCCGGAACGAAGAGGAACAGAAGTATGCGCTCATGGAAAGGCGGGACCCCGATTGTGGCAACAACACTCCTGATTAGGCGTGGCCGGCTAGGAAGAGGATATTCTCTTTCATGGCAGCTGTGAGTCGTCCATGGTTTCCTCGACCGGTGTAGATGTAAGTGAGGACATCTCGCCATGCGTCAGGGTGTGGAATTGGGAGGTCGATAGAGTCTCCCTTTCGGACGTGGCCGGACAGCATCAGAGCTCCAAGGACTGGTAGATAGTGCAGTGCATATTCTATATCTGGAGCAGAACAAATATCAGTGAAGAACAAGCGATATGGGTTTGGAGACTCACGGATGGGGAGGGAGCCATTCCCAGGAGATGGAGATCTATGCTTTCTCTTTGTGCTAGTGATCTCTGTTGGAAAAATGTCCGTATTTACTTGGGTTGACGACCGTCGAGTTCTGGGGGATCTTCTGAGAACAGGAGAGCCTTCGCTTTCTCCTGGTTCGCTTGTAACCTCGGGAATGCTTTTTCTGAGCTCCTCGATATCGAATTGCTTCTGCATCAAGAATGGCTTCCGGTCTTTCCCTCGTGGCACAACTCTTGCTCGGATAGTGACTAAATGCGTGTTTAACTTTATCTCTGCCTCATTTCCCAGTCCAACAGCCATACTTGGCCGACGAAGGCTGACAGCGTTGACAAAAGCATCTGCTGTTGCCGAGTTACCTAAATAGGCGAATCCCCAATCTCTGAGGTGATTGTGTGTGTACTGAAATGGAACCTGGAGAAAATACTCCTGCGGTTTTGCGCACAACGTAGACGCACTCCATCCTGGAGACAAGATCTCATGTGCATCATGGACTTCATTCGTAGATACATCCGACAACTCTTCTACCTTGACTTTCGTTGAAATCTCTCCGGCTTCCGGCACAGGTGACAAGCCATGATGTCCTGCGGAGAAACGGAAGCTTCCCAGTTGCAATGCCAGAGTTTTGGTTGTAGATAGCAGCGAATGTCTTCGTGGAAGCTCTTGACTCTCAACGAAGCTTTCACGCCTCTGCTGTTCAATTGGTATTGTTGCAATATGGTAGGCGCGTGCTGCTACGATACTTGGACTCGGTAATAATGTCGTGGGATGGGCGGAACTTCTCGCGCGCTGTCTCGCTTGTGTTTGTGATTCATATGGGGTGTCGGAGATAGTTTTGATGGGTTGTAGTTCGCTGTGATGTCGTCTATCAATTGCCGAGAGTGCGCCCATGGTCTGCAACACTTTTGGCCGTCAGACCGCTGTTGTGGAGTTGAGGTTGACGATCTCCGATCTGAAGAAATAGAAAATGATACTGAGATTGGCGGCGGACTCCTTCTATTTGCGCGTGTTGTTGGTTTTCAGATTACAGGGAAGACAATTGAAAGTTGGATCGAGATGTGTGCTTTGAGGATGAAAATAAGCCAGTCCGGATCGACAAAGGTACCTGAGTTATACAACATTCGAAGTTTCTTTGAGAGTTTGCATTCCCGGTGTGGTTGGCGTGCTTTCCGCACCTGCAGGACAAAGAAAAAAACATTCGGCGTTGGGTCATGCCTTGCATGAAGCCGAGGCTTCGAAGTAGCTCAGGACCGTTTGCAGCCATAAAAGCGAGCCCTCATTTCCGAGATAATTTGTCACAGTTCACTTGAAGGCAATCACTCTCTGACTCACGGTGCAGTGGTGGGAGGAACCCTCCCGTTCCAAAAGTCTCATCGGCGTGTCAGAAAATAGGCCCAGGGACTCAGTGGCTTTCCAACGGAATGTCGTTCTTCATATTTTGCTTCGAGCAATCGATGTGTCGGCTCGAAACAGTGGGAGATGAGAGTCGTCCGTGTTTAGTATGAAGGATTCGCGGGAGGCCGTTTGAAGCCACCCGCAGCCAAATCTCAACTTCCGAAACGCAGCCGCGAGCCCATCAAAGAATGTTTCGCCACTCGGCAGAGGGTAGTGACAGCCGCAACCCGAGACCATGGGCGAGCGCCGACTAGGAGCGTATGACGCGCACGATCCATGGCTTTCAACAGAAAGCTGTCCGTTTAGACCTCTGAGCTTTGATTCGACCTGTCTGCGACATTCGTTCAATATCATGTGACCATTGTAGACTGTGAGCCCATGTGCCAAGGGTTGATGAAGTGACTCTGGACAAATTGGCCGGCGAGTTCATCGCCGAGAGCAGGGTCATCGACTCCAAGCTACCACAACGAGATCGTTATTGACATGTGCGTGAGAAGTGGTAGATTGAATAGCCGATAGAGATGGTGTTGAGACCTCGTCGTGTTGCTACGACATGATGCTGGCTTCCCACACCTTGTAGGTTCCATGCTCGTCGTGTCGGACAGCTTGACCATCAGGAGACTCATGAGGAGACAAAGTCTCTTCATATAAATAGCTGGTGTCGGCCGAAAGGAGTTCAATGCAGGAAGAATGGTACGGAAAATCCTTCCCGAATCGACTGGACTTTGAGCACAAAGGGATGAAGACCATGGAATGGCGGGTAACAGTTCCCGAAGGATGGATGGAGAGGTCAAGCTATCAGCATGGTGTGTAGGACAGAGTTCGGAAGGACGACCCTGTGTGTGTGGAAACTTCCAGAAAAATGAAGCTACTTCAACAGCATTCGTCTTTGATCATACCTGAAGCGAGATGCCTAGAAATCAATCTCTTTTAAAGCAGTATCGGCTGTCATTACCACCAGATAGCAGTCAAGGAGCGACCGATCGAAGCTCAGCCCCAGCCATAAGGCAAAAGTTTGACACAGGAAGGCACGACGGATATCATTGCTCCGTCACATAATAGATGTACCGCGAAAAGGAATAAGCAACAAAACAAACGAGGTATGTCGAGCCTCAACTTAGCTCTGACCGTATCTATTCGTCGACGACTCCAAGCACGCGATGCAAGACAAGTAGGGTAATACACAACAGCGGCCGAAGCGCTAATCACAGAGAGTACTGCATGATATCCAACTATTCGGGAATCACGCATTTCAGACAAAGGGAGAAATGCGATGATGAAGACGAGAAACTTACAACTTCAAGGTGTTGAAGTTGCAAACCTTTGGAACTCAGGAAGATGGAACTCATCGCGAAGTCACGAGCCTGGTAGCCTCGGTGCGGAATTACATCCGTCCGCCTCGCGACTTTCGCGTTGTCTGGCATCTTCAATCTTCACACGTCTCTCTTTACGGACTCAGGACATCGCTCCTGTGAAGGTGCTTCTCACTCTATATTCTTCTCAAAATGTCTCGAGCAGCGGAACAAGCAATGGCTGCGAGCTACAAAGCTCTGAAGGAGGACTTTGTGTCGAACCTTACCGGCGGGAAGATTTCAGAGATCAACTATGTTACTGCTGTTGCGCCGGTCGGTTTTTGCCTTCTTCTCATGACTTTTTCTAATTCACAATATACTTGGCTCCATCCTTGGATATACTAACAGTCCGAAGGCTGCAGTAATCCTCTGGTCCGCACTTCAGGCCCGTCAATCCTTCTTCAAACCATATACCCCTCTTGCCTTCGCGGTCGACTTCCTGCTGAACGTCTCTGCGATTCTCCTTGCCATAACTCTATATGCTCCAACTCCACTACTTCTCAATGCCCTCCTTCTGGCACCCGTCCCTATACTATACTTCCTCCCACGACCTCCGCCGCCGAAGAAAGCGAAGCTTCCCCCCATTGCAGACAAGCAATCAAAAGAGACACCGAACCAGCTGCCTAAGAAGGCATTTGTGACGACGTATAGAGGTGCTATGATTGTCGTTACGTGTATAGCAATATTAGCTGTGGATTTTCGCATATTCCCAAGACGGTTTGCGAAGGTGGAAAATTGGGGCACTTCCTTGATGGATGTGGGTGTTGGGTCGTTTGTCTTCTCGGCTGGCATTGTGGCAGCAAGACCCATACTGAAGGCACAATTAGCTGGGAAGAAGCTGGCTCCGCTGGGAACGAGGTTGGCACAGTCGCTGAAGCATTCACTACCGCTGATTGTGCTTGGACTGGGGAGGTTGTATACCGTGAAAGGGTTGGATTATGCTGAGCATGTTACCGAATACGGCGTACACTGGAACTTCTTCTTCACGATGGGTTTCCTGCCTCCATTCGTGGCATTGTTCCAGAGTGCATTTGAGTATGTGCCCAGTTATGCTGGACTGGCAGTGGCACTCGGACTTGCATACCAGGCTGCCTTGGAGTTCACAGATCTGAAGGCCTTTGTCCTTACAGCTCCGAGGACGAATCTATTCGACAAGAACCGAGAAGGGATATTCAGTTTTTTCGGATACCTTGCGATCTTCCTCGCAGGGCAGGAACTGGGATTGTTGGTTCTTCCACGAGGCGAGGGCTCCACAGGCGGAGAGCAGAGGAAAAGACTCCTTGTTAGGATGGGAGCCTGGTCAGCAGGTTGGATAGTCCTCTTCTGGGCTAGCACCAACTACTCGTACGGCCTCTCCCTAGCCGTATCACGACGTCTCGCAAACCTGCCCTACTTCCTCTGGATCGCAGCATTCAACACCGCCCAACTCACAGCTTTCTGCCTCGTTGAAACGCTGTTCATGCCCAACGCGCATAAAACATCTGCAACCAAGAAAGAGGAGGAGGAAGTATACAGAGCGAGTACGAGTCGCGTGTTAGAGGCTTTCAACAGGAATGGGCTTGCGATCTTCCTGGCTGCGAATTTGTTGACGGGCTTGGTCAACTTGACGGTGCCGACGCTGCATGTTACAGACTTGCAGGCGATGGGGATTTTGGTCGGCTATGCGGCGACTGTGACGGGTGTTGCGGTGGGCTTGGATGTGTATGATATTTCGATTAAGTTGTAATTAGCGATATACCAAATATGAGAGAATTGTGTTCATACCTCCACGCGTTTCAGAGCAGTTTTACTTGTTTGCATTGTTTTGATTCGCTTAAGGAGGGTTTTGGATGTCTCGCCTATAGATATGATCATATGCCTCCACATCATGTCTCCTCATTCCCTTTACGAGTCTGTCTACTTCACCTGCAGTTTCACGTTTGTCATCACTCGTAGGTACCAAGCACGTGGTTGTGTCTGTTCACTACTGTCGGTGTATTCTCCTAGGTGCGAAGGTTCGTTCCAACCACTTGAGTTGAACAAAGAGAGTGGCCTCCCTAGTCAAGATCTAGACTACAACTCCGAGTCCGTGAAGTGAACAGGACTCTACAATCGGTGTCGTACACCACCGGCTCAGAGTTTAATCCTTTCATCAAGACCGGCTGATATCTCAGCAGTGAGATGTGTAGAAGGGGATTTATCACTGAGATTGATACTGCGGCTTACGAAATTTGATGCCCTAGACGTGATCTAGGATATGTTTCCACAGCACAGTACTAGCCAAGCTTTGCGTGTTACATATCCTGGTGCTTCGTAGACTCGTAGTTGGGCTCGTATCAGCCACTTGCTGAATGTAGGTGGCTCAATTTTCAACGGCGTTGCGTGAATGATGTTGCTGGGAAGTTATACTGGAGAAGTTGGACTCGTAAATTATTCTGCCTTTTCCAAGGGCTAAAAAGAAGGAGCAAGGTGAATTTATCTCTCGCCAGGTAATACAGTAATATCATCGTGTGTCTTCACATGGTTTCTGCCGTCAAACGAATATCGCGACTAGGCACCTTCAAAACCGTAGGCCCATTTAGTACATTCTCTCTCCTCCTCATGTCTTGTTGTCTCTCTTCTGTAATCAGAGACACCTGACATGAACTGTCTTCTTCACTTGACAGGTACAAGAATGGTTACATTGGGGTAGAGTCTTTGTGTTACTTGGGCCAGTGAGCAGTGTGCAACTTAAAGGACCAACACAAATGCTAGAGAAGAGGTCTGGATATGAATGCTGCAGCCTGTGAAGTCTTGATGTTTGAGATTAGAGGATATGATACGATAGAGGGGTGATGTCATTCATGTGTTCCTGGAAATACTCCTTTGAATGGTTGGTAGGTGACGGGAGGGACAGGAATATATTTTTCCTTCGGAATCAGACATGGGAGACACTGAGGAAACCAGTTGGTAAATTGTCCGAACGCATTAGAGACTATTGGAATTTGGAACTGGATGGATGAAGAGCCAATGAATGCACAAGATGACAGTGCGGGAGCTGATTTCTGGAATCGGTTCACGCTCTTCTCGGCAAGGAAATGGTTAAATGCTAACCAGAAGTCTGGAGAGGTCTAATGGTAAAATGAACCGGAAGAAAGAAAAGAGGTATACATCTGGGGGGGAAAGAAACAGTAACGCCGGATCTTGACTGATTCCTAATCATCTACCAGACCGATCTAATTATCTTTAGTCCTTCCCTCCCATAAGTGACAGACACTCGCTTCCATATATGCTGCTTTGTGCAGATACTGACCGGTACATTAGATTAGGCAGGTTGTCAGTCACTACCCATTACAGGACCTAGGTATTATCGATTTCAACATTCCGTTTCGATTAATCAATCCCTCGACATCAGACACATGGCAGCCCAGCCCTCGGCATGACTTCCCTTTCCTTTGCCCCTTCTCCTTCCACTTCCGAACCCCATGACCGTCACCCATCTTGTAGCCGAGCATTAGGTAGGTTCACCTCCCTTCCTTCGATCCACGAGCTAACCCCCACCAGCGGACCACTTTACCTTTTATCTAACCACCACACGGAATTATTTCTTCCCGTAGTAAGTTTATGACATCTCTTTCGTTTGCTTGCTTTACTTTACTTTAACATCAATCTACTTTGGGTTGGATTGGGATTGGATTGGGTTGCTAAACTAGATTGGCTAATAAAGGTAGCTGATGGCTTTAAGCCAAATGCGGTGTGGATTCAGGTACCGTTTGGACTTGGCGGGGAGGGGAGGGAGGTTGGTGCCGGGTGCTTGCATGCGGGTAACTTATGGGATGCATGTGAATGAGTGAGTGAGCGAGTGGTGAAGAGGCGGGTGAGATAGAATGGTAATGACTCGTGGTAGGGAGGGACGGTGTGATGACCGAGGACCAGCTGATGATGAGGAGGAGTTTGATGGTAGAGGGATTGCAGGTTGGTACCTAGGACGGTGAAGGGAACTTGACTTGACTTGACTTGTCAGGTGATAGATTGATAGAAGCCGAGGATACCTCCGTATTTCCTAAGGTGGAAGCGAGACGGAGACGGTGAGGCTTGACTCTTCTTCGACCCAATCTGGTAATTCTGGCTAAACTGGGGAGATCGTCAATTCGGAAGTGAGCTGTCAGGACTACGGTACTTACTCGTTGCAGCTTCAATGCCTTGTAGGTAAAGGTGCTAGAAACGATGGAACAGAACAAAAGGAAGATCAACCGTGTCAATGGAACCTTGAGGAAATCAACCTCGGCAGTGTGTACTGTACTGTACATCCCCCTCGAAACCCTACAGTCTTAAAACGGGAATCGGAGAATACTCATCCCATCTCCTTCCAACCAAACCAAACCAAACCAAACTTACCCAAGTGCCAAGACCACAAAATATCAAATGACAAAAACAAAGTCGGAGTAGTCACATACAATAATACGGAGGTACCGAGCACCAGCAAAAAATACAGTGACATGATGTACAGAAAACCTTAAAATAGATGAGCAGACCAGGATGGATTGGTCTTCCATTCCATTTCCTCGGGGACATGTGGGGGGGGTTTGAGGGCGTCTGATTGGTCCTTGAACACTTGCAGATTGGAGATGGGGTCTGTGTGCGGCGTTGTTCCTGAAAGCCTCATTTCCGGTGGTTTATGCCTGCTGGGGTGGGATGACTGTATTGATGAATGGATGGATCATGGATGGAATGGGAAGATGAAGGTTTTTATATGTATTTTTCCTTTTTCTTTTTCTGGTGGTTTGGAGAATTGTGTTTGGAATTGACGGGATTGAGGGCAGGCAAGCAGGCAAGCAGGCATGAAATGCACTTTCTTGCTTGTATGGAATTAAAGGTCTAGGGGTCTGGATTCGATTCTCCATTTGTTTGTTTGATGGATGCTTTTGGGTATTAAGTTTCTATGAACATGCCATGAACATGGGGAATTATTTTTGGGCCTTATTTTTATGTGAAAAAGGAAAGAAAGAATGAAAGTATGTGTGATTTACCCACTAACCGAGAAATCAAGAATCTCGGAGATGTAAATTTCATGCGCTGCCGCTGTGAGTGGATGTTTTTCTACACGGTGGGTATACATCGGTATTCCTCTTTTTTTATATGATGATCTTATGCTGATGTCTGGTGATGATGCGTGCACGTACTGTACCTACGCTGTCTCTTGTCTCTTGTCTGTTGATGTAACTCGACCCGACTCGACTCGACTCAACAGCAAAAGCCGAAAGACCTTTGGACAGACCGTTTTTTTGTTTCAGGTTTATCCCTGCGTTGCCACGCAGGCGATTGGTTGGTTGTGTTGTTTTTGTGGGCGGACGGGCGCGGCCTGCCACGTCAATGCAAGCAAGGTAAGTAAGTAAACAATGTTTATGCCTTTATCGACGGTGTGGACGGTGAGAGGAGGAGAGAAGAGATGCAAGGTTGGTTCTGGTGAAAGATGTGATGTGAGGCTCGCTTGCATTGATTACCACTGGGATGGGACAGGAAACGGTCGGGATACCATTCGGCAGACTGGCGGTGATGGCATGTGTTTACGGTACATGAGTGAGAGAGGGAACGCGCGCGCCACGATGATGTAGGTAGGGAAGAGCGTGTTGAAGGGATGAGGGATACAGAAAGTAATATGTGAATAAATGCATGAATGACCTCCTTTTTTCTGCTTCCCCTTTTTTGGCCCTCTTGGAAAGGGTTGGCTCGTGAGATCCGGACTTGATACCGTACCATCGTGTACCTCCTCCCTTCCTTCACTTGAAGAATCGGACCTCCCGAAGGAATAATTTCCACTCAATTCTTCATTCCGCATTCCCCTCGCTTTGTTGGTGACGAGATAGATATCCATATCGCGGTCCAAGGAGAGAAAAGAGTCCTCATTCGGAACGAGAGGATTGCGGCTGCTACTAAACCTGGTCCAAGGCAGTATTGATATTGATATCCAGCCTGACCCGGCCGTCAACCATACCACAACAACCCCTACCAAAAGCCTCATATCGTCCTGGAATCTGGTAGTTGGCACCCTTCCAACTTAGTCAATATCGTACCGGAACCTTCCACTTCTAGCGTTCGAGAAATAGAAGTCTCCCTTTTACCCCAATCCAGCCACTTCCTCCTCGACGTCAGCCCAATCTCTGCTAATATCAGACGCCACTGCTGGATATTCTTTGCACCACTACGCCTCGCGTTGCAGATACAAACAGCCGCGATCAGGTCAATCGGTTCACCCAATCATAATAAGCTTAAACAGATATTCGCCGACGGCAGTCTTCGACCAGAACCACCAAGCAACGAACTACTTAGACTGAGTTGAGTTGTTCTACCGCAGCTGCATCCGCGCTTTGCCCTGTGCAGCACAAGTGCCCACTGCCCACCTCACGCCTTCCCCCTATTATTGCCTTTGCAGGACCTCAAACTTCGCTAAGCCGAAAGGAAATTACACGCTCAAGGGGCCAGGGAGTAGGGAGGAGAGGAGAGAAGAGAAGAGAAGGGAAGACGTCGACCAAGCACTTTTGACTGGTCTGTACCTACTACTGGACTGGACTGGACTGGACTACTGGACAATAATATCGTACTCGAGCAATTCGATCTCACTTCCATCCTCCAACCTGCGATTCCGAGCATCAACAATCCCTCGTCGTCCTCCTCGTCCGCCGCCGCCGCAATTGTTGCCCAGCCGCCCCGTCTCCTCGCGATACCGATAACACACCACACCACAACACGCCCAGGTCAGGCTTCTACTGCTGGACGCCAGGCCAACAGCAGTCAAGACATTGAACTGTAGCGCAAAAACACGACCCAGCACTGGCCCCGTTTCGCCGTATTCAGTACTGCGCTGCACTGCACTGCACTGCACGGCACCCGCGTTGTGTATTTTTTGGGCGACCGACCGACCGCTTGCGACTTGACCTCATCAACAACCTCCCTCATCCTCCTCCTCCTCCTCCTCCGCCTCCACCACTCCCGATCTATCAGGGCTCCAGCGGCTGCTGTCAAGAGACCACGCCCTCAGCACCGCACAATGGTAGCTGGCCCATCTCATTGGCGATAGAGGCGACACACTCGCTATCACAAGCTCACAGGAAACCGGATTGGACCTCGACCTCCTTTTCGACCTGGATCTGCAGCACCAGAGCAAGGTCTGCCGACGACAAAAAATAAGGTGATCAAGACATCACCACCTACAATCCCGTGCGCATCGGAGCAGACAGACAATGTCTTCCGCCGCTCTTCAAGCTGCACCGCATCAGCCAACGTCAGTCGGATCACATTCTCCAGTCGCTGCGACCTCGAGCAGGCCCTACACTGCGGGCTCATCCCAATCTCGAGACGGATATTATAACCAAGCCCAGACAAACGCGTCTCCTTCCTCTACACGTCGACCCTCGAGAAGACCAAGTGGAAATAGCAATGGCGCATCTGCAAACAATTCTACATCCCAGCAACACTACTCACCACCTGGAGGAAACCCGAATTCGGCTTCGATGACCTCCCGGGGTCCATCGTCGAATCACCTATCTTCGGGAGAGGTGACCGCTACTTCTGGATACCCTACCATGTCTCCAGGTGATCATCAGCGTGGTGTTCCGCCAGTTGTCTCAGCACGAACATCGTCGAATCGATCGGCTGCACAAGCAGCTGCAGTTACAGCAGATCGAACAAGGAGGACTGCACACGCGAATGAATCCTCGAATTCACCCCGTCAAGCTATAACGGGCGACGGCCAGGAGCGGGTGGACACACAAAGGAGTAATGGGAACAGACAAGTGAATGGGGAGGACCCAGCCGTCGCGGCCGCTAACGCTGCTACGAGGAGACGAAGAGCTCAGCAGTCTCCGCCAGAGAGTATACCACACAGCTCTAGTGGGAGCAGGGAGCCAAGATCGTCACAATCGGCGACTGCTGTTCAGCGACAAGCTATGGCAGCAGCTACTGCACAATCGCCCAGTGGACCTTCGAGGGAAGCCAGCGCAGTTTTAAATAGAGTCATTGTCAGCAAACCCGAGGTAGATATAGATCGAGAGCGGGAACGGATGGCAGAGGCAATCCCATCATCTCCAGGAGCTACACATTCTACACCCGGCGGATTGAGCGTTGTCGGAAATGAGGGTGTTGACGATCAAGCTCGAGGGACCCGGAGTCGACATGATCACAGCACAAGCAAAAGGGAGAAGAATACCAAATTTGGCGACTACTACTTGGGCAATACCCTTGGAGAAGGAGAATTTGGCAAGGTCAAGATGGGTTGGAAGCAAGAAGGTGGTGTACAGGTAAGTATGCCAGTGAGGCCATTCGGCATCCGCTAACAGCTTCAGGTTGCGATCAAACTTATCCGTCGAGACAGTGTTGGAACGAATCCTACCAGACTGGCAAAGATCTACCGAGAGATTGCTATCCTTCGAGAAATATCCCACCCAAACATCGTACGACTACATGAAATGGTTGAGACTGAAAAGCAGATTGGTATAATTCTCGAGTATGCTTCTGGAGGAGAGCTTTTCGACTATATCTTGAACCACCGGTATTTGAAGGACAATGCTGCCCGACGGCTGTTTGCACAACTGGTTTCTGGTGTTGGATACCTGCACAAGAAAGGCATTGTCCACAGAGACTTGAAGCTGGAGAACTTGCTCCTGGACAGGAACCGCAACATCATCATCACCGACTTCGGTTTCGCCAATACCTTCAACCCAGATGACGAGCTTGGAGACGAGATCGAGTACAACCTGTCAAGCAGAGACTTTGTCAAGCGAATGGAATTGGACAAAGTCCTTCCTGGAGGACACCGCAGAGGTGATCTTATGCAGACAAGTTGTGGAAGTCCTTGTTATGCGGCTCCAGAACTGGTTGTCAGTGACTCGCTCTACACTGGTCGCAAGGTCGATGTTTGGAGTTGCGGTGTGATCTTGGTAAGTTTTGGACCTGTCTGTGGTGTGTTATGCTAACATTGCTTTAGTATGCAATGCTTGCAGGCTACCTTCCCTTTGACGACGATCCAGCAAACCCTGAAGGCGACAACATTAACCTTCTCTATAAATACATTGTTTCAACCCCTCTTACCTTCCCCGAATACGTCACACCTCACGCTCGAGACCTTCTACGCCGCATACTTGTGCCTGATCCAAGAAAGAGAGCAGACTTATTTGAAGTTGCGAGGCATAGTTGGTTGAGCGAATACTCCCATGTTGTGGGCTTCATTACCAGCACTACAACCACCACAGAGCAGATTGGAACAACCACAGTTGGAAGTGATGAACAGCAAGATGCACCACTGCTGAACAGGAGCGCATCTGTCAGGGAACCCTCGAAGACACAGAAGTCGCCAGCAGCCGTTGGGGATCTGTCAAGGAAGCATGGTAATGTGGATCCGGACGAGCCAGAGGCGTATCCCAAGCCCTCGAAAGACAACAAGAGGAGAACTGTTCAGGTGGAATATGTGGCGCCCAAATCACAAACCCAACGTGGCGAACCATCTGCCGCAGCACCACCATCAGTTTCAAGAACAAGGGCTCGTGCTGGAAGTCAAGGGCCTGTGGAGGTTCAACCGATTCAGCAGTCGAGAAGAGCTGTTTCTACCGAGAAGCCCTTGCCGCAGGATCCTCCTTCTCGCGAACAATATGCAAACCAAGGCAGACGGGGATCGAATTCATCTCGCCAGCAAGGCATGCCTCCCCCGTCTCGACCTGATCGACAAACCCCTCGGTCCGCATCCGATGCTAATTATCTTGCAGCTCATGCGGCCCCTCCCGTATCTATCGCAAGGCCGAATACTGGTGGCTCGATGACATCTTCAGGAAGCAGACCCGGATCATTGGCTCTCAGAGATCGTGGATCCTATAGTCAACCAGCCGCTCCAACTGTCGCGGGAACGAATGCTCAAGGTCGTATGTCACAACCGAAGAATACCAAGCACTACAATATCTCTGCGCCGATGATGGAGGGTGATCAAGACTATGGAAGACCAAGTGCTAACCAGATACCAGCAAAATTTGCCAAGGTGGCAGGTTTAAATGAGGGATCAGTTACTTCACAGGATTCCAAGGGACACAAGAGATCGAATACAATTGGAGGCATTTTCAGCAGGACGAACTCGATATTCGGTGGAAAGCGAGACCAATCAGAGAAAGCAGAGAAGCCAAAGAAGTCTTACCCACCGGTAAGCATGTCTGGCACTGTGGGACAAGGACAGCAGGATACCCCAAGGCAGTCGATGGACTCTCGACGTTCGATATCTTTCGGATTCGGCAAGAAGCGAAGTGGTAGCATCAGTGGGTCACAGACAACAACTCTACAAGACAAGCCAAGGCGGTTCTCACTTCTCCCAGCGTCCTTCTCATTGAAGTCAATTGGGATTGGAAAGGATTATGGTACCCCTGGAGCTCCTCCCGATGACCAATACGATGATCGTCCAGACAGCCGTGGAAACTATCTTGATCCTCCGCAGACGAGCAGGACTACCGATAGTCGGAACATTTCTGGAGCTACAGCAACCCAATACACTTCCGATGGTGCTTATGACCGCGGTGATAGCCCAATGGACCGCAGGGGTACTAGCACTTCAAGTCCAGCCCAAAAGCGATACACCTCCCAAGGAGTCTCCGATCCTCGAACTGGCGCCGCTCCACAATTCCTCCCACCGATGAACTTCCGACAGGGCGAATCTGCACTCAACACCGAGTCCGAATCCTCCCTCAACGAGACCGTACAAAGAAGAGGCGTCTACCCACCCGGCTTCAACTCATACGATGATGGAGCAGGGCGAAGACAGACACCACAATCCTCTCAAGGCCAAGGGTCAAGACCTGCGCGTGGTGTCCTACAGAAGAATAATCGCAAGTTCGCCGATGCGTACGAGCAGGAGCAGAATAACGGATATGGACCTACGCACTCAGACCATGCGGGGAGCAGTGGTGCCGCGAGAAAAGTCATGGATTTCTTCAGGAGAAGAGGAAGGGATCGTGGACAGTAGTCTTCCAGCTCGCTGAGAATATGAAACGCTTATCAATACCTGGGTGTCTAAAATGGGAGATGTGGTGGCATATGTGAGGAGTTTTACCGTTTGAGCGGTTGTTGGATTGGATCGCATTGAATCCTAAATCCTCTGAAGAATATCCTTCGTATGGAGATTAAGTCCGTCCTCGAATAGTGTAGGATGGAAGGGAGTGGAGTGGAGGAGTTTAATACGATGTGGGGCCGGGGGGTTTTGCATGGGAGGAGGGCGAAAATAGCAAAGAGGGTAATTAATGGTTGGTAGGGAGAATTACTTGATTCGAGCGTGTGTGTGTGTGTGTGTGTGTGTGTGTGTGTGTGTGTGTTTTTTACTTTTGTCTGCTTGGTGCTCTCTTTTTTTTATTTTGGAGACTGGATGCATGGATGTAGGGATGGAGATTGTTTGTCCTGCAGAACGGAAATGGCGGAAAGATGGAAGGATGGATGCGTACTTGCCTGCCTACACGCTGTAGTAGGCAGGGTGGATGGATGGATGGATGGAGGGATGGATATGTTTTGGAGTGGGGTGTACTTGCGCTGTGTGAGGGAGGGAGGTTGTGTACGGGGGGTTACTTCCATGCATCTTATCTACCTATCTACCTGGTGGAATGCAGTGGAGTGGATTGGCAGTGGAATGCGGTGGACTGGTAGTGGAGTGGAGTTGGGTCGGGTCGGGCTTTTGTTTGTTGCAGTCTGCTCTGGTGTGGTCTGGACTGGTCTGGTCTGGTTTTTGGTCTGGATGGTGTTGGTGCTGGACTGGGTTTATTGAATGTTTAAGAACCTTAAGTAAAGTCTATTATACTGAACTCTCGTTTTTTTTTTGTCTTCCTCTTTCTTTTGTCTCTGTGTGTTGGGGTGTGTGTGTGTGTGTGGTTATGTGTGTTTTGGAATTGGGGGTTGGATTTGTGAAAGATTGAAGGGGGTGAAGTGAAGAATAGGAAAAGTAAAGAATGATAGATAAATAGATATTGCGAGGACGTGAAACTGGAGGCAGGAGTAAGCAAGCTTGCTAGCATACTGAAGTGAAGTGGAGTGTAGTGGAGTGAAGCGAAGTGAAGAGCGGATATTGTAATAAAATCATAGGTACTCTTTTTTTTTTTTGGTATTACAATACACCTGTCACCTGTTACTGCCTTGTCTGTTTTCGCTTATCTTGTGATGTGATGTGATGTGATCTGATGTGATGACATGGGATGTGATGGGATGGGATTTCCTAAATCAGTTTGTTCCGGCCCGGCATATATGTATGTACTATGTTTGGGAAGAATGTATATGGTTTGGAATGTAGTGAGTGGATTTTGAGACTTTACTTTCAGGGATAAAACTCAAAGACGGTGAGAGGGGTGAGGGAGGGTAGGGTGCGCTGTTGATGTTGAATTTGAAGTTTTTGGGATTTGGGACTTGGGAGAGAGGAGGGTGTATGAGAGGGGATAAGAGGAGGGGGTAAGGGTGTGGAAAGGCGGCGCTTGTATGTATGTATGTATCTATGTGCGAGGGAGGGTTCGTGACATTTACATGGCTAGATACTTGCTATTTTGCTATTTTATCAAGGAAACGGGATTTCCTCTGCGTTGACACATTTGTAACCTATTTCGAGAGTGAGGTTGGGATTGAGATGATGGTGCTGATTTGAAAGCTAGGTAGGTAGGTATATTGATGGGGTCTTGGTACTTCAGATGAATGAATGTCGTCGTAGTTTTGCGGGACATTAGAGATTGGGTTGGGGTAGAAGCTAACATGAGTTCAATGCTGCTTCCTTTTACAGCTTCCGGTTTGTAACCTGGGTAGAAAGGGATGGAGATGATATTTTACGTAATGCTCAACCGAAAATTGTGTCTCTTATGTTTTGTTCTTTAAACAGATGCTGGCTTGCCCATACTCAATTCCTCGATACCAATCAGCAGCCACCTCCGTCCCAACAATCACATCCACCAATTCAGGGAAATACTTCCCCCTCTCCCCCGACGCCCAAAAATCAAAACTCCCATCCAACCCAACCCCATCAATATAATGCAGCATATACGCGAAATGATCCTTCGGCCCAATCGGTCTCGTGTCATTCTCCGGTCTGCAAAGTCCTCTGATCTGAATATCAAGACCAGAGATACTCTCTCCAAACGCAATTGTCCGTTTCATTTCCATCACTGCGCGGGAGAATCTGAGGGTGTATTCTTGTCTGGGGGTTTTCTTCTTGATTGGTTTGTGGCGGCGCTCTTTGATGTATACTGCGAGGCAGAGAATTGTGTAGATGATGATGTATACGGCGATGCAGATTCCAAGGGAGATGAAGAATGATTTGGTGGTGAGGATGGGAGATGAACATTTTTCTACATGTGTTGAGGACTCTATTGCGGTTGTATTTTGAGCATCCATAATTGTGACCAGTGTGGGGGAATCTTCTTGGATTTGCGTGTGATGAGGAGAGTTTTGAATGAGGAGAGTTTTGAATGAGGAGAGTTTTGTGGATAAAGGAGGATGGGTGACTGCTGGTGTGAAGCTTCAGCGATGCGCGTGACAGGAGGAAACGAGAAGATTTTACTACAAGTCTATCTTGCTGATTTGATCTCAAGACGAGATCAGTGTGGGCCAGAGGACGAGCTAGTTAGTTTAGGTCGATTTGCCTTAAAGGCTCGCTCCAGATGTTCCTCCGCGGATTTGATAGTGCCCGTCGCTCTACGCCATACAACTGTTGCGAAGCTTTGGGAAAAGGAAAGCTTATGGTAAACGAGTTAAGGTCTTTACTAGCCATCAGTCCAATGTATGCAACTAAGTGAAAATGCTTATGCACATACTGGGTCATTGGCATGTTGTGAGAAATGAGTTTAAGCGAGGTTCCGTTGGCCACTAAATCAAGGAATCCACACTAAGGATGCTTCATGGGAAAATTCATCAATGGAGGTACACAGTACACATGACCCGATATCTGTATATCTGGTGTGAGCAGGACTAGGAATGTCTCTGTGGAAGTTTAAGTTATCTTTTCGACCCTGCTCCATAAAGCCGCATCATTGATCTCAATCTCGAACTCGCCAACTTTCAGCTCTCGTCTTCGATTCCAGCCCCAAGAATCTCATCTGACTTCTCATGCGCACTCCCATCGTAGTACTTGTTCAGAACAGCCTGGAAATCAAAAACCTTCTTCTCCGGATCGGTACGAAGAAAGAGCGTCATACTCGCGTGCATCTTGGTGACATCGACAACTGATCCCATGAGCTTGAGAATGCTCGCGGTGGATGAATTTAATACCGCTTGAGTGATCTCGATAAGACGTGAATTTAGTACAGGATGTTGGAGGTATGCTTGCGCTTCTTCGAGGCTGGAAATTGCATATTTGTTGCCCTTGGCTGATGTTGATATGCCGATGAGTGATGGGAAGATATACCAGATCCAGTGGGTTGTCTTTCTGCCTCGGCGGATCTCTGATAGTGCCCGAGGATATTGTCTTTCTTGAGCTGTGATGAAGCGAGTGAGATCAAATTTGTCGACGTGCTCCATGGTTTGGAAGTATGAGAGTTTCAATCTGATGGTCTACGCGAACGTTAGTGCTGTGACCATGACTGAAGGTTTTAACAAGGTGCACCTACAATAACGAACGATTTGCGGAGCTGGAAACAAAGGAAGTCCAGGAGCTACCCCCGTTGTTGCCCGCGTTTTATATTTTTTCCGAAAACCCCAGAATGAAAGATTCGCATCAACAAATATCTGCAGTACACGTTAGCCGCGTCCTTTCAGTTCCATGTGGCTCAGGGCTTGCTACTTGCAGTCATGTATATGGATCGATGACCATACCCCTGTTTCGCCAGCCCTTCCTCGTAACTTATGATACTTTTGCGATACCGCTGGCACTTACATATCGATGTTACCAGAGAATCTAAAGATTGGATATGTCCGTGAAGGAAGGAAGACAGAATCGCGAGAGAACAGACAAGTTGAAAGGATCACCCCGAAAACGCTAGGCCCAATGAGGTTACAGGCCCCTTGAAAGCTCACCATGTCGCAACTTTATCTCAACAACATCACCACCAATTCATGGAGCATCATGGTTGTGATGCCAGTGGCGCCACAATGAGCAATAATGCTGCGCGAGTCTCGCCAACTTTCACTTCAACGGGTCAGGAGCAGAACACACCTCAGCAATCGTCCCAGCATACGAGAGCGAGGACATGGTAAACTTCGTTTTCAACATTCATCGCAGGCAGGTTCATTGATTTCTTGGATAGATCATGCTTTGGAGACATAATTTACAAGCATCTTCTCCTTTCTTGTCCCCAAGAACATATTCCCACCCATGCCATACCAACCGACATTCGGGGGCTCCTCAATGCCAGCGATCTCCTAGTGCCAGTAGGTTACGCAAACCCCTTTTACCGTCTTCCAACCTTCCTCAAGTGCCTCCACAATATCCTCAGGAAGGGGTCCCTTCTCCAAATTCGTCAAGTTCTCCTCGAGCTGCGCAGCGCTACTAGCACCAATAATGATGGTGTCGCCATACTTTCTGTCGAGAAGGGAGTGATGTGAGATCCATCTCAGGGCACATTCAGCTTCTGGAAGATCGTGCTTCTTCGCAACCTGTGTAAGGGTCAGCCTTCATTCCCCAACAGAAATAGTGATTCTTGGAGTGTGAGACTCAACACGACTTACCGATCTCAAAATATCCAAAGCATCAAAGTACTCCTTGTTGAAGTACCTCAACCTATAATTCTTCGCCTGTTTTCTCTTCGGGTCAAACCTCGAGCCCTCCTCAATCCCTGTGTCCTCATCCAACATATTTCGCGTATATCTCGACGTCAGATATCCTCCCGCCAGCGGATTGAAAGCGTACAGCGCAATACCGTAATACCTCAGACACGGGATCAATTCCGGCTCAATGGCGCGGTGGAATGCATTGTACAGGCCCTGATAGACGGCAGGCTTGACCCATCCATTTCGCTCACACAACTCACACATCTGAGCGACTTCCCACGATGCGTAGTTACTGATGCCGTAACGGTTGAAATAGCCTTCATTGTACAGGTTATTGATCTCACGGAGCGTGGTCTCAAACGGCGTGCTTCTCTCAGGAGCGTGGAGGTACCACATATCAATCTTATCAGTCTTCAATGCCTCAAGGGATTTCTTCAGCGCGATACGTAAGTGTTCCGGTCCATGCGTGACTTTAACGTCTGGTGCGAGGTCGAGACGGGAAGCTTTGAGGTTGGGCGAGAATTTGGTTTCCAAGACGAGGCCGCGCTCTTGCCATTTCAGTTGGCCGAGATATTGCTCGGAGCTGCCTTCGCCGTAGATGAGTGCTGTGTCGATTTCTGAGTGGCCATGTTTTTGGAAGACCTCTAGAACGCCTGCACATTCCTCGAGTGTGTGGATGCGGGTCGCTTCGACGCCTCGAATCGACGCCTCGAATTTTGTTAGTCGGGAGACTCAGGGAAAAGGTGAGGGGGCCAGGTACCTTTGGTGCCGAAAGTCATTGCACCGAAGACGATGGGAACGGTAGTTTTTGGAGACTCTGCCATTTTTAATATGGAGATGTTTGTCTGTGAGCAGGGATGGTTTTCTTGTTGTGGTGTTGAGTTGATATTGATGTAAGATCTCAGAATCGAGAAGAAGTTAGTCCAAGTACTTATTCCATTTTAGCAAAGGTGATGCGAGACTAGGAAGCAGAGGAGTTTAACTGCTAGGTGAATAGAATTTCAATAAGCCTTCCAGATCGTAAATGAATAGATGTCCCGAGCTAGTGGGGTACGGCGTTATCGCCAGGTTTATGTCCGAGCTGACGGCAGAGGCATACGCATCATTGGATAATCAAAGTACATAAACTGGATCAGAAAGCTTGTTTCAATCGGTACAGAGTATGAGTCAGATGGGGGCGTTCTCGAATCTGAATCCGGCTCACCTCTGGCCGAGAAGTGTTTGTTTGGATTACTGATAGGCGTAGCGAGCATTTTCTTGGCAATTTACTGGCGCTGCAACCGTACCAACTCGACCTGAAGAGATCGTGAGTTGACTAAAGAATATGGTCCAAACTCAGCCAGCGGTTTCATACTCAGTTCAGTACCCGTGTTGGCTTTTGTGCCGAAAGGGCTATACGAATTGCGACTAAGGGGATAGATATACACGTCTAAATCCTTACTGGTAAGCTGACTTGATCTCCTTGCTTATTGCTACCTAATCCCAAAACGCAGTAACTTGGAGAATTAAGTTATTCATCTTAAAGGCCAGATGTTGTGAGAAAGTCAAGGATCGAGCTAAGGTACAGGAGGAGAGGATACACTGCTTACCAGAACATCGACACTTCTAATCGCCTTCAACATCCACTAGAAGCCAGAAGACACTTAATAGTTCAAGGATGTAGTAGATTTCTCAGAAGGGATTGAGATGTCGACCCTGCAGAAATCACGTTAAATGATATTTCGGTCTGTTGTGTCAAAACCTCCATGTCGATGGGCAGTCACGAAGACACGCATTCAGGAATGGATATGTTGACAAGAACTGTGATGATACATTGGTGTCTACTTCTCTGCTTATGATATTTATCTTTTGGTGAAAGTCCCTGGATTTTCAGCTTCATCCCAACCCCATGTGAGTGATACGACAGGACTGCGTCTGGAATTTGAAGTCGTTGGTAGTGCCGAGACTTCATCGATTTTGCGCTCCTCAAATCTACCACCACGGCTGCCATTCTCGATAGCGTCTCTGTCATCAATATCCGCCAGATCACTAGTGGCAACAGTGTCAGCATCAGCCGGAGTATCATGCCGAGATTGGCTGTCTCCCTCGCAATCCCTCTTGAACTTCAATAATCCTGTGTCTACAAAGTCCCAGTTGAACATACTTTCTCCAAGCCACTTATCCCTGGTCTGCGGGAAGAAGCTCAACACATCATCGCGATACCATTCCAGGCTCTGGGCTGATTCCAGCACGCCATTGAACACCAATTGCAACTCGACTTTCTCAGGTTGTTGTCTTGTGTCCTTGGACATATCTCGTTCACCAAGAAGCCCGCCGTGAGGAACAGGTTCTGCAGCACTTGTTCTGGCTGTACAGACGACTGATATCTCGAGAGTAGTTCCAAGCCCTTCGTATACACCCACATAATCGAGAAGACAAACTTCCCCTGGAAACTCAGACTGTCTTCCGTCTTCCCACTCACGTATCATTCGCTCGTACATGGAGCGACGAGCTTGTGCCTCGAGCTCAGCAAGTTTGAGGAAGTCGACTTTTTGATCGTTCGGAGCCAAGAGACTCTGTGCTAGTATTTTGGCAGTCCAATCTGCAGCATCACCATCCGACGCAGCATTCGCACAGGCAACGATCACAGTCTGGGTGCTTGGAAAGGTGTAAATAACAGCCGTCGAGCCATTCATAGTGCCGTTTGTTTGGAGTACCGGGGTAGCTTTCTCTTGGAAGTCCAGAACAGGACGATTCCCTGAGCAACAATTGAAGCTCAATATACCCAGCCAATCTGTCGGAAAATGTGTTCGAGCCCAGCCCATGTGATAATGCCATTGTCGTCGCCCTTCTTTCCACGAGTGGCGGTCTTCGATAAGTGTGGTGATTGTCGAAAGAGCAGGGGGTGGTTGAGGAGAAATTATCGCTGCGCCCCAGCTGACAAGGTCACTAACGCTGCTTCGCATTCCCATTGGCGCTAGAAAAGTTGTTCGATGCTCGTCGGTGGTATTGTCACACATCAGTCTGCAATGAGTCCCATCTTGGAGCCTTGCGTAGGGGAAGGCGACATTCTGATCCGGGTTCCTCGAATTTCCATGGCCTGGATGTTGACCTTGATGTTGACCTTGAGCTTGACCTGGACTTTGATCTTGATTTTCACTCCGAATGGAGGCAACATCTACTGCTTCTCTGCCATAGTAGCCTCCTTCTTTTTGCAAACTTACTCCAGGCATGTCACAAGCATCAGCTTTGTTCAGTGCTGTCCGATGAAGACCAAGGGGAGTCAACAACTGCTCTTGCACAAGGTCCGCATAACGACAGCCATAAACATTCTGTAGCACTAGCCCGACAAGACCATAGCCCAGATTGCTATATGTCCAGCGCCCAAAACGATCACCCTTCTTGTTTGACGTTGGAATCTGATTGGTAAAGGTGACAAAGTCTGCCTCGCCTTGTAGGGCGCTATCGCGAGGTCCATTGATGAGGATCTGCGGATTGCCTAAGCCGCTCGTATGGCTGAGAACCTGCCTGATAGTTGCATCACGAACTCGAGGATCGCTGCCGCTCTTCGGGTTGAAGGTAGGTAGGTACTTCGAAAGGGGCGCGTCAAGATTGATTCTGCCGTCGCGAACAGCAAGGCCGACAGCCGCTGAGAGGAAGGTTTTGGAGATGGAACCGATGAGAAACTTTGTATCTTTGTTTGGGCTGAGTCGGCTCTCAACATCGCGATACCCGCACGCATCGGTGGATAGCAGAACACCATGGTGGATAATGCCGTAAGCGATGCCTGGTGCGCCACAGATCGAGAGAAGCTGAGTGATTTGAGTATGAGCCTCGGTCAAGCGTTGTGTAAGGACTGAGGGGTTGGAGGTCGTCGCGTTCTTTGGAAAGCTCTTGGGAGAAGCCATCTTGGTATGTTAGTACAGTACCATAGAGGAGTTTGTTGACTTGGGATGTTATGAAAACGGTGAGTTGCTAGGTAGATTCGTGGACAAGTTTTGGGAACGCGACTCAGCCGAGAAACCCGCACAGAGTGATTTGGGAAGCGGAGAGAGTTGGGATACTGACCTGAGATAAAGGAAAGAAACTCGAGTGAGTGGGTGAGAGATGAATCGTGTTCTGTCACGGGATAATCAAGCGAGAAATTCACGGAGACTGGAGTGATCTGATAACACCCGGCTTTGTTGACTGAGATGAAGCAGAGGCGGCGCGGAGGTGAGTGAATCTGCACATGGGCGAACATGTCGATCATAAATGATCAGTGCATTGTTTAGTCAACGAGATACTCATGAAGAAGGGCTTGTAGTATGAGTTGCTTCAAGTTTCATTCGTTGAGAGTAAATCTCACATATACGACTGAAGTTGACATGTAAAACCCCGCAGCGATCGAGCGATAGTATATATGAAGGAGCTGGCTTGCCCGCTGGATATGATACTTGGTATGATGGCTGAGAAAGGTAAGTGAGCACGTCATTGGGGAAACTCAGATGTAGAGAGACATCGTGTACAATAATTTTACAATGTGTTGAATGCGGATATTGAAGTTCCAGCAGCAGAGTTCACTCCGATATTAACCTCAAGGACTGTCAGCACGAAGACTATATCAACACTCATATATGCACCAACATTCACCGGCAGGAATCCGACAATAATTTCGACCATGGCCGCAGTCATTCCAATATATCAGCAATTTCAATATCCACCTTCACTTTAAGCCCAACTCTATCTCCCACGTAAGTCCAGAAAATCAAGGCATTCTCAACAACTCCTCAAATATCTGCCTCAAATATCGAGTCTACCTTGATCGAAGGCTCCATTCTTCTCAAATCCGTACCCATATACTCATACTTATTCACTTTCGCTTTTCCTGATCCTGACAACCTCATTCTGGCGTCTGACGCTTCTTCGTTGAGTCTCTCAGCAGCTTCGTTTTTAAACCTTTAGATGCAAGTAATTACCACTACAAGTATCTGAAGGCGCAACCACCAGCTTCTCCATCGAATCTTTAAAGTCATAGGCTTTGCCACGGCGATATCGCCATCTTCTGTGCTGCACTCTCCACAATCGTTCGACAGAAGTGGGAGTTCGGTGACTATACGAAGGATAAATTGATGGATCGAATAACGCCAATAAACACAACCGCCATGGATGAGTTGGACGACCCTGCTATGATCCTCTCCCAGGTAGCAGCTTGTTTTGGGAACGTGGGGGTGACATGGAGTCTCTTTGACGGCCCCCCTAAGACAATTTAGTAAGTCAAGGATTCAAACTCGTGTTTCCCCTCAGTCCTGGGAAGTTAAACAGCCGACTGACTGCTTGTTAGTGACTACAGAGGCACCGTCATTCACTACATACCTAGCGAGGCTGAGAATAAGCTGATGATACGTGAAAAGTATGTACTACTGCAACTTCCTGATCCTGCACGGCACCACATAAACTTACCTTCTCCCCCCATACCTCTTCAACAGAATGTCCACTGACTTACGATAATAAAGTTTCGAGGCAGCCTGCCGACAGCTACTCAGCCAAGGCATTATAACCCCGACACCAGATGGGGGACACTGTGTACATGCTTCTTTCCATAAAGATATCCTCACCCGAATGACTCTATCCGTCCTCGAATCTCGATATGCTTGGGCAACAAGCTTGATTTACAACAAGACGCCACAACAGAAGGATGGACACTCGATTATCCTGCAGTGGCCCAACGCGCAGCAGTGGTTGCCCTCCATGACTTCCCTTCTCGACCAGGCTGCAGAGGAATTTCAGACAATGAACAGCAAGACGCTCTTCCTGTTAGCCGAATGTGGGAGGAATTGGTCCGTTATGCTATCGGAACAAGGAAATTACGTGGACGCCGAAGTGATACAGCGCCAGGCTTTCATGATAAACAATCGCCTGGTCTTCGATGCTCGACTCAGGTATGAGCAGCAAGATCGGTCTGTGTATCCGAAAACCACGGTCATCGATTATTCCACGCTGCTCCTCTTGCATGCTGATCTATACAGTATCTTGGGAACCATTTCCATCGAGCAGAATCTCGGACTGTTGGCCATCTCAAGGATGGAAAAGGTACGGAAGCTTAGAACAGAAGCCTTGGAGATTCAAACACACGGCAACCTCAAGTACATCGAACTGCAGAAAGAGCATATCAACATGGCCGTACACAACGTGGCTGCCTCTTATATCATTGCGGACAAGCCAAGACAAGCATTGAGTTTACTGAATGACTTGCAACAGAAATTCAAGGAACAGTTTAGGCCACGATGGCGCGGCAACCAAGCTCTCAGTCTCTTCCAGCTCAACAGACTTCAAGAGGCAAATGAGCTCATCGACATGGCTTTGGCCTCGAATGCTTCCCCATGGGAGATGGCTCGGTATATATTCTTTTAGTTTTCTCAGCCCTGAGAGTGTTCTTCTTTCTTGAAATGGCCGAACTGACCTGACCGTCTCGTAGGTTCCATTTCACGAAAGCCAACATCCTTCTACATTTACCTCTTCCTGACATCGAATTGGCTGAGGAAGCCCTGAACGACTGCCTGGCTCTGAGACTCCAGATTATACCGAACCACCCTCTCACCGGCCTCACATATCACAAGTTAGGGAAGCTCTACCAAGATCAGAAGAGACTTTCGGAAGCTAGGTAGGTTCGCTCCCAGATTTGGGGCTGACGCTTTAAAATCCTCCGTCACTTCGCTCGAGATTGCCTCATTTTTCTTGCTCCCTGAACAATGTCCACTAGAATCCCAAATTTAGTCCTATACACGAAACTGACAAAGCTCCTTCTTTAGTGTCGCCTTTTCAAAAGCCGTAAACCTCCTCCGTCCAGCATGCACAGAGTGTATGGCAAACACCGCAACACCTACAAGTACTCGCAATACATCTACACCCAGCTTCGAATCAACAATCACCACGTCAGCCTTGGCAATAGGAGAAAACATATCCAGAACGTCCCAGTTCAAGACATCCCTCCCAGTCACATTCCTAATCCGATCTCTATGGGCATATTCGCGAGCTTTGTACTTGCAGAATCGTGGCCAGGAAGCTGGTAAATATCAAGATGAGGCCTACGATTTAATCAACAGTAACGCCGTTCTTCGACCACAATAACATCCACAAGGACAGGAAAGTGCTCGAAGCAGTGCTAGCGCTCTAGGAGATGATGATATGCGGTTGTGTGGGATAGGTTTGAAGGCTTGCGACGCTTCGTTTAAAAGTGGCGCTTGGGATGGTTGGATTTCAGTATCTCATCGTTGATCTGAGAGTTCGTTTCGTGATCCTGCTGGTAGGAGTTCTTCCTAGTTCGGGAGACAGGCAGGCAGACTGGTGTTAGATAATTGAGGTTAGAGTGGACCACTCTCGAGATGGAGCGAAGCTGCTTCGAGGTTTCTTCTTAGTTCTGCGGCGATAGACAAAATACGTTGAACTCTTCACTTAGGGTATTCTTGAACTCTCGTTAAATTTTGTTGTGCATGTGTAACACTAGTGATATCACCAGGCTAGGGCGACAAGAAATGGATCTGTGCTGCAGGTAAGAAGTCCCCTTGAGATCGTGGCTATCGGTTGCTACAGCGGAATCGAGACATCTCGAATGAAATAAGAAGAACGTGGTGCAGTCCTCCCTCTGAAAGAATAATAAAGCTCCTAATTTGTCTCTTTGGTCGTGAGATAAAATACACCACAAGAGACCTGTCGTCGGCGAGCGACCAAACCAATCATCTTCGACGCCGTCTGGTCATCATGCCGCTCGAAAAGTTTACATTAAGCTACACAGGATATCAGGCTACTCAATATGACCCTTGAAACCTAGAAAAACTTCTATAAACCTCTTTTAAGACGCATCAAATCAAAATATACTTTCTATCCGGTAATCGGTTGAACATTCAATATGACAACAACGTGAGGTCTACAGAATTTGACCCTGAATCAACGGGAGCCAAGGGGAAACGACGCAACAATGGCACAATACTCAGTCCTCCAACCCCTCGATAACCTCCACAACCTTCTCCGGCATACTCAAAAAAGGACTATGCCCACTCCCGCAACTAACCTCCTTCATCTTCACTCCAGCAGCTTCAACTATAGCTTTCTGCTTCTCCAACCGCAGACCCTGATCATTCTCACAGAAGAGGTACGTGCAAGGCACATAATCATATCCCGGGTTCGTCAATGGCGAGAAATTTGTGACGGCTGGATGAGGCCTCAGCTCAGCGACCCATCGCTTTTGCTCTTCAGGTGAGAGGTCGTTGTAGAAACGCATTTCGGGGTCCATCATTGTGGTTGATCCGTCGTCCTGGAGTTTTGTATTAGTAGGAAAATAGAAGCGGGGGAGTATGTGGGAAGGGTGACTTACCGCGACTGGGATGAAAGGTTGGAGAGATCCTCCGAGGGCATTGGCAAGTGTACCGCCTACTTCCAGGACAAACGCTGCCATATATAGCAAATGTGTTACACCTCCCTTCAGACCTTTCTTGGCCCGTGCTTTCGAGCTGAGGTCCTCGGTCAGAGCTTGGGTGCCGACAATTCCACCGTACGAGTGCGCGACCACGATCACATCCTTCTCTTCTTCCTCGATTAGGTGTTTGAGGATGGATTGAATGAATTTGGAATCATCATATAGATCCTTCATCGGTGGCTTTGAGTTGAAAGTGGGCAGTGTGGGACAGACTGTTTGGTAGCCTGCTTTGGTGAGGAGTTCGATGAGAGGACCGAAGTGAACGGCTGAGTGCCATGCTCCGTGTACGATTAAGATCGTTGGTTTAGAGGAGTTAGAAGACATAGCTGTGCAACTAAAATGCAGAATGTTAATGTGAATGTGAAATGAGATTGGAAATTGAATTGGAATCTACTTTGAAGTGGAATGAACAAAGAGTAATCTGGTGAGCGAGTACTTCCTCCCATCCGCTGAAATGAAGGGCTGCGAAGACTTTTGTGGTCAAGACGGTGACCACTTCTTCTTTGGAATCTGGTGAGATTTTAGACCATATTCTCCTTCATGGGCAATATTGTCTTCAAGAAATAGGTATTGGCTCCATGTACGAGTTGGCACTAAATTTCGTAGTCGCTTAACTCCCGAGACCGCCGTGCTGATTGGCGAGCAAGTGTTTGGGTCTAAGCAACTACCTATCAATCGAGTTCTAGCCCCCAACTCACCCGAACGTTTTTCAGCAGGCTTAAATGTGACCACCCTCTTATCTAAGTTCCGGATGACGTTAAATCCATATTCTCTATCTCCAATATGCTCGGAACTCAAACCCGCCAGTTGAAGTTCGAATCGAGTTGTGGTTTCATCAAGCCCAGTAATCACTATGGGCAATTTGCATTCAAATGTCTGAAAATTAGTTTATCTGTGAAAGTAAAAGAAATCGTCCATGCATCTAATACTATTCTTGAGCCCAAATCAAACCCCAGGCCATTTCCTCTAGCCCTTGATCTCATCCTCGTCCCATCCCAAATACCAGTATTCAAAATCGAAGCCCAACGCAGTCCAGTCTTTCCATCCCAGAAATCACGTACCCGTTCCAAGATAGACCTTTGCTCCAAATGTAAGTCTACACATATACCGCTAGAGCTGAAGCCACGCTTGCAAATACAAGCCCAAGACTAAACGACATCAATGATACGTAGCTCTTTTCCGCTTTCGTCGGTGGTAATCCTAGAGAAAACGCCCTCGTTGAAATTGCAACCTTCAGGCAAGAACAGCGGAGTCATGTTTCCAAACTTGTCAGGGGGAGGAGTAACGCGGAACCATCCAATCCTCCGATATTGGCCTGTGGCAATGCCCGTGGGAGCAAAAATTAACCCTTGAAACTGGTTACTAACCACCCCCACTGGCGCAAGATAAAGTAGTGTTCCTATGCAAACCGTCATTCCGTCTTCGATTGTGTCCGGACATATTACACATTCGATCTCTCTGTCGCCCATGCTTACAATCCAGAAATTATGACTTTTGAGTCCTTTTCTGAGGATCTCAACACGTAGTAGATTCTCACAATGGAGAGACAATATACCGCTCAAGACAGCTCCGTAAGCGTTTCCTTCCGTAATGCAACCAACAAGAACATCATGTACTTTAATATGAGTAGGATCTCTCTTTCGGTCTATGTATCTCCATTCGATCGGGCCATCAATAGAAGCCCACGACCAAGTCGGTGCTGTGTAACGATCTGGTCTTTCTTTACACAAACCCACTCCATACCAGCAGAGTTGGTTCTCGATACGATTTGTCCATAGTCCAGCTACGTACCGACCAGAAACGTGGCATTGGATAGCTTGTGCAAGACCGGAGATAGCCACGAGCTTGTCAGTGATCTTCGTTAACCGACATTCCGAATAGTCCTGAACAATCCCCTTCCACAAGTCGACGGAGTCAGATGTTACACCATTGAGGCTTATCCGAGTTACTCGGCCTCTTTTGTGATAGCTGTGAGGTATTGACTCGCAAGCGTGAAGGTGTCTGCATTCCCAGAACAGTTGGGACTGTGCGAAATGCAGGGTACGCCGGGCCAGAATCCGTTCTTGAATCGCCCACCCTCTTGTCATCAATGGCATAGTATCAAGAAGCCCTTCATCAAATCGCAAAGGAAGAGATGTGTACTGTACTTCTCTTTTCCCTGAAACAATAGTAATCTTGTCAAGCCAATTAGAGTTTCGAGGGAAAAAGCATCCAATGGTCCCATCAACTGCACCAGCAGCTGAGATATTGATTCCTGAATTACCATAAACCATTTTCATTGAAGCTGACTCTCGTTTCCAATCCTCTTCGTCATCTTGAATGATGCATAGTGAGTCGATCCAGATGTAATAATAGCCGAGATACAGAGCGATTTGCATGGCATCTTTGATTGTTTGAGAGATAGCTGCATCAGGTATTTCTTTGTGGTAAGACAGTAACATGTCTCTTGTTAACATAGGATGGTGATTGAGACCCCAACAATGGCCCAGTGTTGCATACTTCGAGATGGACTCTTCGTCCTTGAACGTGCGTAATAATGGCCTAGTCGCTGTCAAGTCTACAATTCTTGTTGGCTTGAATGTAGAATGAATCGATCTGTTGCATTTTTGGTGTGTGGTCTCACAATTGTCGTGCCAAAACTTGGAAATAGCCAAACCATCGCGCGTGGATTGCGTGAGATTCATTGAGACACCAGCTTCTGTTTGTGGCTCTGCGATCATGTGAGTTACCCAGGTGGAGCATAAAGATCTTGACTTGAGTCTGTAGGTAGCATAGCACTACTGAAACTCACCTCTATACGGAAAATATATTTGCACTCTTTCATGATAGTAACGGGCCGGAGGTTCTGAATTTATCTCCGAATCCATGTCGAGCGGTGTGTGGACATCAATGCGGAAAGATGTGCCCCTTCTACCCTTTCTTGCCTCATATATACTTACAAGAGCTTTGCCTGGTAAGGGTGTCAATGCAGAAGAAGCTGGAATGCGTAAACTTGAAAACAACCATGAGCCCCAACAACCACCTTTCTTTGAGAATGTGTAGCGCACTTTGTTGAGAGGTCTGTGTGCCGAAAGCTGAACACATATCTTGCATCCGGCTTCTGCAGCTTCTTGGAGCTCTTTTTCTGTACTGTGATGCTCAAAGGTAACATGCTTTACTATCGTGGAAGTCGGCCAATTATCGCATATCTTCCGGCAGTACGAACACAGAGCTGGATTTCGCTTGAGACTTTCCAGCATCGCTGCTTCGTCATGAGATGCCGTTCCTAGTTCATCACTGTCAACCTTGGGTCTGCTTGAGACCCGCTCAACTTCTGGACTGCTCTCCACATGCACACTACCATGGCTGATCTCGGATTGCGGCTGACTAAAGACTTCAGAAGGACTGCAGAGAGATGATGATGTCTGCGGTAAGGGCGAGGGCCATTTATCATGAGCTCCAGACGTTGCTGCGGTGAATTGCGTCTCAGCCTTGCCTGGTGTGTCCATCTTGACTGACGCTTGAGCAGTGCCGAGTGTGGGTTGCAGAGAGAATAAGTGTTGTGTGAACTCTTGGAGAGGAATATCTCCGATACATTGATTGTGAAGCTTGATTTTGATGGACAGATGAAGAGGAGAAGATGGATGTTGGTTTGTGAGGGGAATTCGGTGGTTAAATGCAATCGTCGGATGCCAAGAGAAAATGCAAGCACGACAGAGCATGTCGTGTAACCAACAGGAAGGAGCACATGATAGGGCAAGGCTACATAAGGTAGAAGCCTGAAATCGAACATCAGACTGGGAGTCAACAAATTCTCATGAGTTCTGGCTCTGGATTCAAGGTCTGGCGAGTATAGTGCCAATGCGAAGGATACCTTATCCAGCTGTCTCCGGCGCGTGCAAACAAATGCCCCTCATCTCATCATACGAGGTGCTCAGAAACCACGAATAAAACATCTCAATACCATAACTCTCACGACACCCCACGAACGAAAGTATAAGCAGAGATTCAAGTATGAACTTCTAAAAGATTCTCAAAATTTCAACTGCTCAGCAGAAGAGCATGTACATATGTACAAGTATAAACAAAAAAAGCTGTGGATATATACAACGAAGATGAAGCTTCTTTCTTTTCCCGTGTCTCTCTTCTCCTTTCTCTTCTCTCATGGACATCCTCTCATCATGCGTCCAAGGCTCCTCTTCTCATAACAAGCAATAAGCAATATTCTTGAAAGCTTACTCGCAATCCTCGTACTCCTCATCAACGGGAGTTGTAACTGGTGCTGCAGTCTCAACTGGTGAAGCAACAGGTGTCTCAACTGGAGAAGCAATAGGAGTCTCAACCGCAACCGGCGCAGACGTAGCAGCTGGTGCACTAGAACTCGCAACAGGGACAACAGCCGTACTCGACGCACTCGGCGCCGCAACAACCAAGCTCGAGCTCGCACCTGGAGCAGGAGCCGGAGCAGGCGACGAAGCACCACCACTAACATAGACCTCCGGGCCCGGAATCTGGTAGACATCAACACCATTGTAGATGTTGATCAGGATTCCAGGGTCGGTAGCAGAGTATGCGCCGGGGAAGGAGACGCCGGTGGGGGTAGCAGAGCCGGTGCCTTCGACGTGCACTTGGTAGCAGGACATGTAGAATTGGGCGCCTCCGGCGGAGCCGGCGGCGTGGAGGGCGATCTCTTCGGCGCGGATGAGGTAGTCGCCTGTGGCGAGGTCGGAGGGGACGGTGAATGTGCGTTTGCCGCAGTTGGCGTTGAGGAGGTCCTGTTTATGACATGTTAGTGTTATGGCTTTGGTGAAAGTTTGAAGGGATTATGATGTTGGAAAAGAGGGAGAGGGTTTGGAGGGACGTACATCTGCCCACTTCTTGGTGGCGGAATCGTAACCGTCTTCAGCGACCTTGAACCATGTACCGGCTGAAGCATCGGCCTTTGTGGCGTCGTCGACCTTGGACATGTATACTATGACTGGGCCGTGATGAGCACCTCCAATGGCTTCCTCGGCACAGTCACGGCTGTTGTGTTGGTGCATCTCGACTGTGACTTCGCCACCAGCTATTCATTTCACATCATGTCAGCCACAAATCTCGCAGACAGCCTTTTGCGAAGATTGAGAAGGGAACTCACCATTGATTGCGCAAATCCCGGCAACAGCAGCAGTCCCAGCATTGCACACAATATCCTTACTCGTCACATCGCTAACAGGCGAGTTGCTGAGCGGCTCACGCACACAAGTTCTCGCCTGATCAACACCATCAACCCAGAGTTGTTGCCAAGTAGCGTGTCCGAGGACGGAAGAGGCCGAAGCCAGGAAAAGAAGGGATGAGGAGAAAGTCTTCATTTTGATTTGCTGGTTGTTGTATGTGAGGTATATCAACACGTTTTTCTTCGTTTGTTTGAGTGATTGGTTGCTTGGTGTAAATGTGGGGTGTAGGTAAAAGAATGGAAAGTTGATACTGGTCAACAGGTATTGTAACGAATGAACGAGCAAACAAGCAAGCAAGCAAGCGAATGAATGTGAGAGAGAATGAGAAGATATTGCATTGGCAGGACTCCCTCTCACCGCGGACACCACTTTCTTAAATACTCCCTTCTCTTCAACTAATCCATCCAACACTCCACCCGATTGCACCAACCCAGCCCATCACAGCCAAACTATTGAAACACATCAAATCTCCTGCCCCTCACTTCCAAATCCGAACACACCACTCTACAACCCGGCACCCGCCCGCATACCCGAACAGCTTGGCACCAGCAACAATAGATTAATTTATCCCCTCCCCTCGCCTCGCCTCGCCTCGCCTCCCAGCAACATATCTACAGTAGTACACGTTTCGTCTAAACAAAACACACACCCGCCTGCATTGCTTGGCTCTTAAGCGAGCGAAGAACGCACTGGCGCGCTTCCTCAAACCAGCACCCCCTGCCCCTCCCCACAGCAATAACCTTCATCCATCCTGACAGGAGCCAAGACACACGCCAAGCCACGCTCTCCCGCAGGTTTGTGTGAAACAGTAATAAACAACTGCCCAGGGGGGGGCCACTTAAAATAAACGAGAGTAGAGCCGCATGCGAAGTAATATATTCCTCACAAAACGGGAGGCGCTAAGGGTGGCAAGGCCGAAATGAGAGTTATGCTTTTGATGCTTGGTGCTTGGGTGGAGGTGACAGGTGCTTCGTATGTGCTCGGAAGTCAGAAATAAAGTACGGCGTAAGTAGGTAGGTGCCTATATGGGGAGTGGAAGGGAGGGGAGGGGGTGGTATGAGTGGTGGGATTTCGGGTGTTGGTTGGTTGGTGGGTGGAGAAATACTTGAAGGTGCAGTACTGCAGGTGAGGATTTGATGGTTTCCAGGTTCTTTTTTTCCACGTCGACACTGGGACCGCGCGCTTGGGAATTGACCTGGGAGGAACGGGAACAGGAACAGGAAGAGGAACGGGAACAGGAGGGTGGTGATCTAGTGGTCACTGGTCAAGGAGGTCCGCTGAGATCCGAAAGAAGGTGTGGAAGTGGAAGAGGAGGGATTGGTGGATGGAGTTGAGTTGTACTCAAGAGTTGTACTACACTAAATTAAAGTGATTTGGATTGAGTGCCGAGTCCAGATTCTGATTCCACGCTGTTCTAGAAGCAGAGTACACGCCTGGTGAATCTCGAGGTTTGCAAGACATAAATCCAGTTGGTCCAAAAACACGACTTGTAGAATCCATTGAAGCTGCGTTTTCATCGAAAACAAGTATGCATGCTAATTGTAGGACCAGAGACCCTACACACCGGCAAAGCTGCGCCTACAGGTGTAGCTCTGCCGGGTAGTGATGGTCTTTGGTCCAAAGGTTAGTTGTAGAGATGGTCTTGCTTCTGCATCTGCGAAGCTATTTTCACCAGAAGGTAGGTCGGATGGAGAGGCATCAGCGACAAATCGAATTCCTGGACCTGGGGGAATCAAATATCTACTCCTCGAAACCACCCCACTCCCCATCATCAGCTGCTGTACTCGATTCCTTCTCTCCCTCAGCACCACCCTCTTCAGCCTCAAGTTTAGCTCGCCTCCTACTCCCACTGATAGCACCCTTCCGATTATTCTCCAATTTTCGCTCATAACCACTCTTCGTACTAATCTGCACCTTCCTCTTCCCTTTGCCCTTATCCTTCTCATTCTTATCTTTCCCCTTCTCAGCCAAACCCCCACGTCTAGCCTCAACACCATATATCTTCAACCTCTTCTTCTCCTCCTTACTCGGCTTGGGCAACACATCAAGTAACCACTTCTGCATACCCGCCTCGCCCACCTCCCTCCCAGCCTGCTTCTCACTCGCCGCAATGACATTCGCCACATCGCGCACATACGGGATGTCCTCTTTCGTGTACAATGTGACGGCAACTCCGCCATCGCGTCCACCACGGCCAGTCCGCCCAACGCGATGGATGTAGCTGGCGCCTGAGTTAGGCACGTCGTAGTTGACTACGCCGTTTACGCCGCGGAAGTCGACGCCGCGGGAGAGGATGTCGGTTGTGATAAGGATCCAGATTTCGCCGGTGCGGAATCGCGTCATTACGTGCGAGCGGGCGGAGTCAGAGAGGTCGGAATGCAGGACTGCGATGCGCGCGGAGCCGCCTGCTTCGGCGGGGATGTCGTAAAGGAGTTCGGAGTGGAGGGCTATGGCGCGGGGGATGGTTTGTGTGAAGACTAGGAAGGGAGGGCGGAGGGAGATGGTGGATGAGGAGGTTCCTGCGGTAGGGTGGAGGAGTTGGCGGAGGGCGAGGAGTTTTCCGGGTTCGGTGGCGGCGTAAGTAAGTTGGTGGGTTATGTTTGGGATTGCTGAGTCTTTGAGGCCTACAATGAGGCGGAGGATGGGTGTATTTGGGAGTGAGAGCTGGGTTCGGCGGCTGGTGATGGTTGATATGGCGAGGGTTTCGATGGATGAGCCTATGGTGGCTGACCAGAGCGTAACTCGTAGGTCCGGATTGGTACATGAGTTCCAAATACCAAGGGTTTGGTCTCTGAATAGGGGATCGAGAAGAACATCGGCTTCGTCAAGAACCAATGTTCGTATTGAAGGCAACGGCGCATATTTGGTAGGATCTCCTGTTGACAAAGCGCTGAGAAGAAGACCAGGCGTGGTGATCAAAATGTCGCCTTTAGAAATAGGCTGAGATGACTTCTTCTCGTCTTCCTCCTCTTCCTCCTCACTAGAACTCTCATCCACCTTCGTGCTGCCCTCCACGATTCTCATTCCCTTCCGCATCCCCACCACCTTGACCCCAGTACCCAAACTCAATTTCTTCGCCTCGTTCACAATTTGACTTGCCAATTCCTTCGTAGGCGCAACCACAATAGCTTCCAGATTATGCTCCCCTTTGTCTTCCTTCTCTCTTCTCCGCTGTATAATCTTGTCCACGATTGGAATCAGGAATGCCAATGTCTTCCCACTTCCCGTCGGCGCAACAGCCAGTAAATCCACCTCGGAAGCCCCAAGCTCAGATTCTCTCAGAGCAACTTCAGGCCGTAAAAGAAGCGGCAAACTTCCCATCTGAACTTCCGTAGGTATCTTATATCCCTGCTGTACCAAATTGTCTGCCATGCGACCAGAGATCCCGTATGTACTCCGCAGATCTCCGAATGCGATCAGCGGTTGAGGATACACCTGTTTGAAATCCTCTTTCGAAGATTTCTTGCTTTCCTTCGTTTTCTTCGACTTCTTGATCTTCTTCTCGGGCGTTTTTCCATACGTCAGGAGAGTAATCTTCAACCTATGCGATTTGAGAATCTGTCGGCATTCATCTTGGTCCAGAAGTTTCGGCTCTGCGATGGTAGTCACATTTTCTGCTGGCGCAACCTTCTTCACTATTGGAGCTGTGTTTTTCGGCGCAAAGAAATCCACATTGTCGTCCTCGTCGTTCACGGTCTGTTCTTCAACTTTCTCTCCTCCGCGCTTCCTCTTCTTTCCTCTGGAATCGGGTATCGCATCGTGGTATAATTGAGGGTTCGACGAGATACCAGCTGATGGCAACTTGGCAGAAGCATCCTTCGTAGCACCTGGCCTGTTTGTTGGTTTTGTCGATCGCGACAGTAGCTTGAGGATATCCATATTTGCGTGGTGAGTAACGCCTTTGGCAGCAGCCTCGGAATTTTATTTTCTGGTTCGCATTCTGCCGCCTCGCTTCACCGCCTTGGGATACTTGGCCATCCCGTGTTGACCTTCCACTTCCCCTCGTTTGGCTGTTTCATGTGCCAAGGTTAAGTACAAATCGTCATTTTCTCTTTCGTCATGTTTTCCTCACTCTCAAATTCTCAGCTTGACTCTATGTTTTATCCAAGATGGCTCAAAGTACTACCAGCAAGTTAATGGTATCTCTAGGCCCTCCAAGGCCAAGCGTCTCCCTCACATCCACAGCAACATGTGTTACCAGTACAATCCTAGGAGTTACCGCTTGTATCAGAACGCCTCTTTGCTTGACCTCTCCTTGGACTGTGGTTGGAACGGCTGTAACTCTTGATTCCAACGGTCTCCCATTCTTGGAGTGCATCAATACTACCTCTGGCGCTGCTGAGCCAACTACGAGCGGCCGGATCAAGCCCAGTGGGATAGCTTCGGTTTCTTTGCAGCATACTCCGTTGGATTCGACTTTTGAGGCTTCTGGGACTTCGACTTCTAACATACCGTCAACAACTTCGTCTGCTACAGGTATTTCCGCACCAGCTGCAACTCAAAGTACCAATATGGCGGGTCATGCAGGTTCACCTTCTGGAATATTAATCCCAGTCTTCCTTGCTTGGCTTGGAATTTTCACAGTTTGCCATCCTGGGCATATCTAACCAGTACCGGATTATCTTTCTCTTATTATAAGAGGCAATGGACACTTTCGTGGATCATCGTCACTCTCCTTCAACTTGCCGCCCAGCCATCAAATTGCCACACCAATCATCAGGAAATCATTCATCTCTACTCGAGCCAACACACCGTACCACCCAACAATACCACCCTATTTATCATCCACTTCCTCCCAAACCCAGGGAATTTCTGCTTTGGAGCTCCTCCGATCTAATCACGTGTCTGCAAGTCCACCAATTCGCGTCTTTAATTGGCGCGGGTAAAGCTGTCTCCCGGATAAATGCTTGAAGCTTGACATCCCTAGCTCTGGCGGGGTCGTGTCAGTGCTGATCTCGTGGGGCAAAAAAGAGGAGGACTGGACTTGACTGTCAAACCACAAGCTACTCTCCAAAGACACTTTCTTCTTTCTCCTGGGAAACTTTTTAATCCTCTTTTTCTCCTCCCTCAAGTCATCACAAAACAACAAACCATATTTCCATCAATATACGAACGTCGCAACAATGGCAGAGACCACAGATGTGTGCAACCCCTCCCCCGCTTCTCTTCAATCAACACAACAGCTAATATATTCTCCACAGAACCTCTCCTTCATCCTGAACAAACCCTTCGATGTAACTTTCGCCCAACAACCAAAGCCCGAATTGACCTCTCCCCACGATGTTCTCGTCGCCATAAACTACACTGGTATCTGCGGTTCAGATGTCCATTACTGGGAACATGGCCGCATTGGATCTTTCATCCTCAAGGAGCCCATGGTGTAAGCTCCCCTCTTCCCCTTCTCTACCCTCCCCAATCCTCAATTCAACCAGTCCATAGCTCAATAACTAACATCTCTCTTCCCACCACAGTCTGGGCCACGAATCCGCCGGAACCATCACCGCCATCGGCAGCGAAGTAACCAACCTCAAAGTCGGCGACCGCGTCGCCCTCGAACCTGGCACCCCCTGCCGCCGCTGCACGCCCTGCCTCAGCGGACACTACAACCTCTGCCCCCTCATGAAATTTGCCGCCACACCCCCCTTCGGCGGCACCCTCACAGGCTTCTACCTCTCCGCCTCGGACTTCTGCTACAAGCTGCCTGAACACGTCTCCCTCCAAGAAGGCGCCCTCCTCGAACCCCTCGCAGTAGCAGTCCACATCGTCAAGCAAGCCGAGATCAAGCCTGGGCAGTCCGTGGTCGTCATGGGTGCTGGGCCAGTCGGATTGCTATGCTGTGCGGTCGCAAAGGCATTCGGCGCAAGTATTGTTGTGAGCGTGGATATCCAGCCCGCGAGATTGGAATTCGCAAAGAAATACGCAGCGACTCATACATTCACTCCATCGCGCGTTCCAGCCGAGGAAAACGCCGCCGCGCTCCTGAAATCCATTGACCTCCCCTCCGGCACCGACGCCGTGATCGACGCCTCTGGGGCGGAACCATCTATCCAAACGTCTATCCATACGGTGCGTCGTGGCGGCGTGTATGTGCAGGGCGGGATGGGTAAGCCGGACATTACGTTCCCGATTGTAGAGTTGTGCGTCAAGGAGGTGACGTGTAAGGGGAGCTTTAGGTACGGGAGTGGGGATTATGCGCTGGCGTTGGAGTTTGTGGCGAAGGGGTTGGTGGATGTGAAGGCGCTGATTAGTAGGACGGTGGAATTTAAGGATGCGGAGCAGGCGTTTAAGGATGTTAAGGGGGGCCAAGGGATTAAGGTGCTGATTAAGGGACCGAATGAGAAGTAAGTGCCAGGTGTGAGAGAGCGAGCGGCAGCCCTGAGAAGTCACCTCGTGGCTACTAGTCACGAGGTATGAAATAGGCTTATTAAAAACGATCAGCTGTTGATGGTAGTACACATTTATATTAACGCTGAGTGGTACGATAACACAGTGAATTAGAAATTCAAAGTAAGGAGATTAAGTCTTTATATAAGATATATACAGGAGTCAAGCCAATGTAGAGGTATTTTGTCCTGGCTAGGAAGTACTTAAGTTAAGCGACGTAGTCAGAATAGTGGAGTGGTCGAAACAGTTGGGAGGGACGTTACTCATAATGAAGTAGAAATTGAATAGGTGTAGGAAAAGCCATAGCTCTCCAAAGCTCTATTATAGATCTAAGTGCAATTCTTTCAATTAAAATCCGAGCTCAAGACGCACCTTTCGCTTAGCATAGCACAGCCGGCAAAGGCTCATTGATCGATGCTTACTTTTCAGCGGCGCCCGGCTTCGATGCAGTGTTCCATCACCATGTTGTGAACAGAGGAGGGTGAGGATTGGAGAGGATAGCTTCAAATCCTGTACAGGCCTTGTTCAGGCTCAGGTGTCACCCTTCAGCTGCGCCCAGCAAGTGCAAAACATAGTTACTGATGGATGGCTATTGGGCAGCAGAGCCTGTATGCGGTGCGCAATGTTTGTTTTTTCAACTCGCATGCAGTATGTTGTGATATGATTGGATTATGCAACGAGTATCGGAACAGACAACACATCATGAGGCTCAATAGGGCGATTGGGGCTGGATGTCCAGATACCAGCCTCATTCCTATTGATATACAATAGATCTACCCGGGTCATTTTTGTCAGCCGAGATTTCCCCACTTGACTGACAGATTCGTACCAGCTAGTGAAGACATGTCTGAAGGCGAGAGCAACCACATTGATCTATTCTCCTGCCGAGAGCTCCATTCTGCATGCGATCACGACGAGTGCCCACAACAAAATCACAGCAGAGATGCTGGTGATACTGTAAATATGGCGAAGGACCTGCAAATAGAAGGAACTATTGCCGGGCTGGAGAAAAGCGCAGAAGCTGGGTGCAAGACATGTACCATATTGTTCAGCGGACTGAATCTGCCAGAAATTCGACACATCCGGAATAATGGCATTCGTCAGGCTATGGAATGCGGAAAGACTCAGCCGGGAGACTTTGAAGAAGGAAGAACGAGGATAGAAGTGATGTGGGGTGTTGGAACTGAGGTTGAGCGAGTTGTGGTTCGAACTGGGCTGCCTGAAAAGAGCACCTATGTCGACCGAAGGTATTTCAACTTTGGCTATCAACCTTCTGCGCAGCCAGCCGGCTGTAGGGTGTTTCCTATCTTGGAGAGCTTCCCAGTCAGTGATACGAGGTCGAAGGAGAGCTATGCGCATTTGAAGCGGTGGATTGATCTTTGTGATGGAACGCATAAATGTACGCCAAAGACACTACCTCTCCTGCCAAAGCGAGTTTTGAAAATATCCGGAGACAGTGTTAGGTTGTACCTAAGACCACATGAAGGAAAAGCTCGTTATACTACCTTGAGTCATACCTGGGGTTCAAACACGAACTTTACCTTGACAATTGATAAAGAGGGGAGGGAAGGTACTCTCAATTCCTTTCTCAAGGATATACCATGGATGACTATCCCCAAAACGTTCCAAGACGCTATCATCATCAGTCGTGAGCTTGATATCGAATACCTTTGGATCGATAGTTTGTGCATCATTCAGAACGACAAGCAGGACTGGGAGGAGCAATCGCGCGAGATGAGACCCATCTATGGCAATTCATGGCTGAACATCGCCGCAACTGACTCAAAGGACTCTCGTGGAGGATGCTTTAGGATCTGCAACGCAGATCAGACGCATCCATTACAGCGCGTGCCAGAAGATCTCAACATTGTGATCATGGATCAACCAGTCAACACGCACAAGGATTTTGGAACAAATTACCGCACCGATTCATCTTCGCCGCCTCTGCTCCAGCGTGGCTGGGTGTTTCAGGAGCGTGTGCTTCCTTCGCGTATGATCTATTACACCAAGGACGAGCTGCGTTGGGAATGCAATGAGATGGCCGATTGCCAATGTGGCGGCATGGTCGTTCTCGCGCGGTTCAAGCCTTACTACTACCAGTCACTGGCGGGCCTACAGGACCCCCTGCCTTTCGTGTGGATGAAAATGATAGAGAGATATTCCTGGCTGAGGCTTACTTACCCAGAGAAAGATCGAATGATAGCTCTCGCTGGCGTCGCCAAGGAAGTGCTCGATCACGGTGGAGCTGGGGACTATCTGGCTGGGCACTGGAGACAGGATCTATCTTTGCAACTATGCTGGACTGTGATTGACAATCGTCGACGTCCCACGCAATATTTTGCCCCTTCTTGGTCATGGCTCTCTGTTCTAGGGTCCATTGAGCACTCGAAAATCGAGTTCAGACGGCAGAAACGCCCTCAGATAGATGTCCAGATTACCGATGCAAGCTGCCAGCCATCTGGTGGCGAGGGGCTTGAGAGAGTCACATCGGGGATGATCATAGTCACCGGTAAGATCCTGCATCTGAATGCGGAAGCCATACATACATCACAAGATGATCGTCCTCGATATAGACTATGGCACCAAAACAGCAGCTTCGAGTATTCCGACTTCAGGCCCGACTCCATCTTAGACTCGAGTGAGGCAATTCAAATCACAAGTCTCTCAGTACTGTTCTGGGGAAAAATCTGGGTCGGAACAGGCGGTGTCGGTTACCAAAATACATTCATGGTGTTGCGTGCAGCAGGAGATGATGGATCAGGCTCATTCCAGAGACTAGGGATATTCTCGCTACCGGACAGACAAGAGGGCCCAGGGGCAACCCTGGCAGAGGAATTTGTAAGCCTGTGCGTGCTCATGGCTGATATACGCATCATATGATGCTCGTACATTACATTGGTTGGACTTTATTCATTTCGTTTGTCAAGAGCACAATACAAAGCTTACGCGATGGACTTTCTTATCGTTCGATACTCTCATTATGATGCCCGTATTTTCTTCACTTCCACCAAGCGAAGCGATGCTCGCTGCTCTCACATCGTGGCAGGTTCTATTATCATCCCATGCCATCATTCAGATGCAAAACCTATGCCAACGATTCCTACCTATTCTCACTACGTAACCACATAAATACACGATTCAAAAACGAAAAAGAATCACTCCGAAAAGGAGCATAGAAGAAATGAAGTTATTGTTGACTTCTAAGCCTGCGTCGTGTCATATCATATCATATCGTATCTATCTCAATGAACATTCCCTTGGGCACGAAAGAAAGAAAGAAATTAGAACGAATGCCAGTTTCAAAAGTGAAAGCATGTCCCGGAAGATATATCCTTAGCCTCATTGACGGATATCTATATCTGAACCGAAAAAACTCATATCCCACCCAAATAACACTCAGCCAGAGCAAACAACGGGCTTCCCTTTCTTTCCCACACCTTGACCTCACCACCCCAACCTAAACCATCCCCAAATACCTCGTCTCCAGCACCGTCTCCCTTCCCGCCCCCGTAACAGGAATACAAACCACCTCCCCGGGAACAAGATCCACCAAATTATCCCCAAACCTCACCCCCTCATCCCCACACTCGACCGCCACCCCCTTAACCGGCACCTCGGCACTAACCTCCACAAACTTCCCATCCTTGCTCAGCACAGCCTTCAACTCCCTCGGTTTCTGCAAATGCACATACTTCAACGGCTCCGGCCAGTTGATGTACCGCGCGATCTGCTCGCCGTTTGCATACAAGTACGCTGCGACGACGGTGCGTGACTCATCGCCTGGGTTGGATACGGGCACGGGGAAGGCGGCGATCTCGGTGCTGCGGTTGGAGGGGAGGGAGAAAGCGGACTCGATGGTCTTGGAGTACGTTTCCTTGCCGGATATGACGTCGAAGGCCTTGATAACCACATCAGCAGTGATATCCTCAAGCGTGAGATTCGAGCCCCAGACTTCGATCTCGGTTTTCTTGTCGATGTAAGCGCGTGTGTGTTTATCTTTCGGGATGAGATGCTCCTTGCGTGTGACGCCGAGGGAGATGGGCGCCATCTCGCGCTTGACGGTGTAGTAGGCGTGCTTGGGGCGGAGGTAGTAGTCGACGATGGCCCAGGATGTGACGGGCCAGCAGTCGTTGATCTGCCAGACGAGGGCGCCGCCGCAGTATTCCTTGCCGGGCCCTTTCCACTGCCGTTTCCAGAGGCGGTAGGCGCTGGCGAGGCATTCGGCTTGCATGAGTTGGGTGGAGTAGATGAATTGCTCGAGGGGGTCCGGGGCGTAGCGGAAGTTCTCGACAAGGTAGAGAGCGATGCGGCGTTCGTGCCCGTCGGCTTTGTTGTGAAAGTCGACGGTTGAGGATTGGGCGAAGCGGTCTGGATCGTCTTTGCCGAGGGGGAGGAAAGATTCGATGGTTTTGATGTTGGGGAATGCTTCCATGCCGAATTCTGAGACGAATCGACCGACTAGCTTGTCGAAGTTTTGATACTTCTCCTGGGAACCGTGCCATACATTCCATTGATGAAGGTCACCGATGGTAGGATCCGTGGTATCTTTGCCACCCCATGGACTACCGAAGTGGTAAAAGGTGTCTGGAATAAGTTCATTGCATGTATCGAGGAGGATCTTCTCGTAGATGTATCGAGCTGGAAAGTCAGTCTTGAGCCAACTCTCCGCATCCTTATTCTCAAAGTCGTAGGTAAGCTTCATTGACTCTTGGTATTGGTAATCTTCGTTGTTGCCAGCCCAAATGACGATGGATGGATGATGACGAAGAAGTTTCACGTTCTCTTCAGCCTCTGTCTTCACCAGGGTCAAGTACTCCGGGAAAGCAGGATAGTTTCCGCAGCCAAACATGAAATCTTGCCAGACTAGAATTCCAAGCTCGTCGCAAGCATCATAGAATGCCTGCTCTTCGAAAATACCACCGCCCCATACTCTGATCATGAACTGGTTGCCGTCTGCTACCAACTTGACCCAGTCATAATATTTCTCCTTACTGATTCGAGGGATGAAATTGTCGGCTGGAATCCAGTCGCTACCTCCACAGAAGACAGGGACGTTGTTGATCTGGAAGAAGAAAGTGGTTCCTGGCTGGCCATTCATTGGTCTCTGAATCAGTTCTGCTCGTCTCAGGCCAAACTTCTTGCTTTGCGTGTCGATTTCTGACTTGCCCTCGACTATTGTCGCAGTGATTGTATATAGCGGTTGCTTGCCATAACGAATCGGAAACCACAGAGCTGGGTCATCAATCGTGAATTTGTGAGAAGCGTGACCTTTCTCGGCCGTGACCGTCTTGGATGCCACTTCCTTCCCGTCCAATGAGATATCAAACTTGATCTCAGTTGCCGAGCCTTCAATATCGGCCTTTGCAACAAAATCTGCGGACTTCAAGGACTCGTTAACATTGCTTGTGAAGTACAGATCCGAAATTCTCGAAGAAAAAATCTCGAGGTTGATTGGTCTCCACGGTCCGCAGGTCATGAGAGTTGGTCCCCAATCCCATCCCTGTCAATGGTCAGTATTTATCCTGCAGAGCGAAATGAGCCTCATACCCAGTGATATTGCGCCTTTCGAACAGCCAATCTAGAAGTATCACCATTCCAGCATCCCCAGTGATGATCTGGATATTTCTCCACAATAGCACATCCCTTCAGATATGCACTCTCGAAAGTGATCTCGAGCTCATTGTCTCCCTCTTTCTTCAAGAACGTCGTCACATCCACCCGTTCAGGAATGAACATGCTTTCCGTCTTGAGAATCTCCTTGCCGTTCAGAACAACCGTCGCATATGTATCCAGTCCATCGAATGCAATAACTGCCTTGACAGTTGCCCGCTCTTTGTCAGATAGCGACGGAGATGGGAATGTGGTTTTGTAGATCCAGGGTACTTCGCCTATCCATTGTACATCGTTCTCATTCTTCCCCATAAATGGATCAGCGATTATATTGTTGGCAATGAGGTCCAAGTGGACATTGGTAGGGAATTGGGCGACTGGGAGGAACTTGGAGTCTTTGTTGTCGCCTTGCTTGAAAGTCCAGTTCTTGTCGATTGGGGTGATGGTATGTTTCGACATGGCTGGAGATTCTGATTGAGTTTGAGGGTTCGAGGAGAAAGGGTGTTCCGTCCGCATTTTTATTTGTTCATGTATCTGCTGGAGGAGGTGGGGTGTTAATTGGCAACACTTGGGTTGGCTCAGAGTTGCAGCTGATCTCGAGAGGGTCACAAATCGGAGTCTCGAGATAATTCCCTTGTATTCCAACAGTTCTGGACACCAAAAATGTACTGGGCAAGGCCTAAATTGTATGGGAGGTATAAGTATGTATATAATTTAGACAAACAAAAGGGCTGACTAGTGGAGGCCCTAGAGTGATGGAACGTTTCTAGCTGCGGGGTCTTGATCCCGTTGATGGTTGAAGACTAGGACGAAGTGTCATGGCCGGCGTACCCAGAGCTCCCCCAATCCCTGGGCGGCGTATCTGGGAGTGGGATGTGATCCGTTAACAGGGGATCTCCTGCTTGCGCGGCTTCAGGGGGGATGAGGCGGTGGACGCATGTTGGTACGGAAGAGGAGGGGACTTGATGGGTGGATATCCAACGCCTTGAGCTAGGAGGGATGTTGGGTCCTGCATCTGATGCGGCGCTGCTTGATGCTCATCAGGCTGGGCGTGGGGAGGTTTCGTATTTTGTGGTACAGCGGCAGACAAGGAGAGGATTCGATTGGACTCGAGGAGGTGTGTAGGTAGGGATTGGATCGCATAGGCTGTTATTGGTGAGGGGAGCTGAGAGGCATGTTTTCTGATAGAGGGGCACGGTAGGAATTCTGAATTGCCTTCTGGGCGTGCTATTTGGCGGGGAAATTCCTCCCGGCGCCGACCCTCGTTGAGTCCACCACTCCGCAATATCATGCCTATCTACCTATGCTCCTTATTCTTAATTTATTCTAGCGGAGGTAAGAATATTTGCAGACTATTCCTATGAAATAAGCAGAAAATATGCCGATAGCAGAGCCAGCAATGCAGCTCGCAACCCTCACCGCGCGGTATCAACCGGATAGTGGGGAGGGGTCGCCATGTGCTGTGCTCCTCTCTTCTGGGCATCATCCTCCCCCTCGTCATTCCTCATCCAGTAAACCGCAAGCCCAACTCGAGCCTCATTTCAGCCACTCAGGGTCTCTAGAATTTTAAATGTACCTGCATTTAACACTACTGTATATCGGAATGCCTGGCCGAGTGCCAGCAGCTGGGGTCTCGTCAGTGAGATTTGGCTGTCCCAGATTTCGCTCGCATCAATGGAAGGCTTACAGACGCAGCCACATCTACTCTTGAGACGTACCGCAGAATCGCAAATACGGCATCAGATCTGATCTGCTGTAACCTGCGCAGCATCTTACTGGACGTCGTCAAATCTGTCGCCCGAAAGAAAATGCGGAAGACTCGGTCCTGAGAATATCCAGCGCGGAACGTGTCCCTCCGTATGTCCCGTTGGGGAAAATACGGCTTCGTCTCGACGACGTCCAGTGTCATCGTCTTGCCATTTTTGCAAGACGAGAGACTTCGAACTCCACTTTGAGAGGATGCATGGGTCTATGTTACCTTCAAAGGCTTTCCGGGCAGGTATGATACTTGTTCAGCGGCATCATGTGATGTTCTGCTTACGGCACCGTGTATTGACAGAAAGTCTGATGTCCAGGAGCATGGTTGATTCTCAAATTCCTCCCCTTGAACGGTTTCTGATTTCTTCTTCCTTACTTTCACATGCTTTCAGGGAAGTCTATTGATTCTTTTTGACCTCGTAACGATCAAACGTATTATTTTCCTACAAATGTGGACATTTCTAGCCCTCTTCGGCTGTATCAACCAAACTGAACTCGATTAGTACAGCCTACTTTTTTCATCACAGTGTATGTACGCCTCAACAGCTGCGTCACTTACTATGGAAGTATTTCACAAGCACCTAGCTTACCAAACTTCAAGACGGAGAGTCAAAGTTTAGGACCCAGCACCCCAAACTCAAATCACGGCTGAATGAAAAATGCTTGCCATCCAGGTTCTGACACCAAGTCAGAAATGCAAGCATACATCAGTTCGGTCACGGAGAAGGAAAGCTCCGTCTTCATTACTACTTCTGACAATTTTGTTTTGCAATTTTCATCATATGATGCCAACTCATTTTCAGCCTGAATTAAGCTCATGTTCAGAGTTCTCTTACTTGAAACAACTCTGTCCACTCGGTGTACTGGAATCGCATAGATGACCAACCGTTTAGTATCGTGCTTGATACAGTCTAAAAATTGAAGAAGATGGAAGTCTCCCTATTCGTGGAAGTTTGACGAAGTATTTATTTCTTCACCACGTGGACTGGATTTTCCTGCCTACCTAGATTATCTCCTCTCATCGTTGAAAGCCAGCTTGTTCAATTTACAAAAGACTTACCAGCAACATATCTTGCCAGTTTTCAAGGCAGCTGAAAACTTACCTTCATGATAAAGTTCACGACATCTTATCAATCCAACAATTCCGTGGGGGCACACCATCTCTCACATACTTTCCTTCCATCCAGTAGTCTCTCCCTGCTCCACGCTGTTGAGATAAGCTCACCATACCCCGCAAGTTAGTTCGCGGGAGCGGGATGCTGCGTTTGTTTTCAATCTATTCATAGTGCGGCGGACACGTGGGCAGCGCCCGAGAACGCCTCGCGCGGTCTATCTCCACGATCCGTCTTCCCAGACGGGATGGCACACCAGAAATGTATTGTGACTCGAAAGAGTTGCGCATCACGAGACTTCCTCATAAATACTCGGTGCTGTGATGTGATTCCTGTACCACTACCCAACGTGCTCTGCCTCCCCATTCGATAAATGTAAAGAACTAAAATGTTTTGATTCTTTTGGGTCTACTACTAATCAGATATCGTTATCTGACACGAAACTCTCTCGGTTCACAAGGCATGAACCGAAATGCCTATGTCAGATATTGTTCTATGTCACTTAGTCTCCTGACTTCTCTGACTGCGTTGATAGGATCGTCGTGGTCATGTCAAGCGGTGTACAAGTGCTATTGTACGTCTTGGGATTACAATGACACAACACCAACATCAATACCATTTACATCCCATACCAGAGGAACTTGTTTCCTGTCGAGCAAACTCATCGTTGAGAATTGATGGGCCTCCTACCCGGGGTCATTCAAATCCAAGCGCTATTCTCTTCTAGGAAACCGAGCACAATTCCCGCGAACTCCCGAGTCCGCGTCAACACTCTCTAAGCGAGTTGATCAGAGAGTAAACTGTAGACCTTATAAGTACAATCCACAGCCCCATGGTAAAGCTCAAATTCTACATTCTCTTTTTTGAACTTACGCAATTCTCTGCTTCTCACCAGTTACTAATAATGTCACAAGACAAGAAAGTCGTCTTCATCACAGGCGCCAACACAGGTCTCGGCCTCGAAATAGCCAAAGCCTTATACAAAACCCCCCAACCATACCACATCATCATCGGCAGCCGACTCATCAGCAACGGCGAATCCGCCATCGCCGCCATCCAACAAGAAGCCAACCCCTCATCACCCAGCAGCACCACCCTCAGCGCCATGCAACTCGACCTCTCCTCCGACGCCTCCATCACCCAAGCCATCCAATACATCACCTCCACCTTCCACCGCCTCGACATCCTCATCAACAACGCCGGCGCCTCCTTCGACGCCCTCCTCCGCGACAACGCACTCAGCATCCGCGACGCATGGAACCAATCCTGGGACACCAACGTAACCGGCACGCAAGTCCTGACCAGCGAAGCCATCCCCCTCCTCCTCAAATCAAGCTCGCCAAGACTGATTTTCATCACGAGCGGGACTTCTGCGCTCGCGTATACGGACAGGTTTGATCACCCTGCGTTGCAGCGGATTAATGCCTCGCCTGCGCCCGGGTGGCCGAAGCGGGAGATGGAGAGGGAAATTAACCCGATTGAGGCGTATAGGAGTGCGAAGACGGGGCTGAATATGATGATGAGGCAGTGGTTTCGGATTTTGAGGAATGATGGGATGAAGGTTTGGGCGGTGTCGCCCGGGTTTTTGGCGACTGGTTTGGGGGGCGTGGGGGTTGAGGAGTTGAGGAAGGTGAGTGGGGGAGATACCTAGCGTGTTCAAGAGATGGTGATGGGCTTGCTTGCTGACTGGTGGGCTTTTTAGATGGGAGCGAGAGATCCGGCGGAGGGTGGAGAGTTTGTCAGGCGCGTTGTTGAGGGGGAATATGATTCGGAGGTGGGAAAGGTAATTGGCGCTCATGGTGTGCAGCCTTGGTGATCTTCTTAGATAGACAGTGACCTGCCCAAGGTACTGAGACTGAATGGGGATCTCCTATGCTTGAATGCGGACGTCAACTTCTGTCTCTGTCTATGTCTTTCCCGCAATCGGGTAGTTCTCTCGTCATGTAAGCCCAGGCGCGTCTTCCAACTCCTGCATCAACTCCCTCCACCAAACCCCCTCAGCACCAGCCCGTTCACCGAGCTGCAATTCCCAAAGCCGCAATCGTACCGCCTCATAGTCTCTCCTAACCCGCCTCTCACACCACCACGTTCCTTCATACCGACACATCAGTCCCAGCCAGTACCCAAGCAGCCACAACGCCCTCTCATCCCTTTCGTACAGGAGAGATTTCAGTCCTCCATGTATCTTGGTGAGAAACACCCAATTGACGAGAATCATCGATTCTGGCGGTTGAAGACTCCTCAGATAGGCAAGCGTCATCATTGCCGGTCCGAAAATCTCATTCTCGTCTTCAGCGCAGCAGTTGGAACCAGAATCACTACTGAGATTATTGCTTCTATCGCGCTTCAATTTGAAAGCCCGGATCCAAGTCTCAGGAACGATATCCAAGGTTTGGAATTTCCGGAACTCCCTCCACCCGGCTTTGCCAGGACCGAACATGATAGGGTTTAGAAACGCTACCGTCCGATCCGTGTACGCTGACAACGAATTCGAGAGCGGTCTCAAACCAGCTTGTAGAGCCAGCCATCCCATGCGTTCTCCTCCCAAGCCGAACACCCAAGATGATTTCGGATCATCCTCATCCTCATCCTCAACGCCATCATCATCGCGATGCGGAAGTGTGAAAGCAAGCATGTTCAACAGTAGTGCAGCCAGTAGCAGGGCGTTTGCCCCTTGCTGTCCTAGAGACTTACTTGGCGTGCCAAGAGCGACTTGGAAATCCTGGATAGCTAGAGACTGGAAGAAATGCTCTGCGATGCGATGCTGCAATATTCCTGGAGACATATGCCGGAGGTGGCTTGCGGCGATGGCGAGGAATGTGTTGCGGATGAGGGGATTGGATTGTGTGAGAGGGACTAGCTCGTCGTGACCTGGCATGCGGAATATGGCATCCCAGTTTGTGCAGAGGTGGTGCAGGAGTTGGATACCAGGGGTTCCGGTTTTGGGACTTGGGTATAGAGTAGTTATTGAACTCATTGGCGAGAGCTTTGTATTCGTAACACTCCCCGAAATATGGTGTTGATATAAGCCCTCATCAGGCATGTCATATGTGCATGCTCTCTCATTTCGTCGACATCGGAGGCATACTGGCTTGCACTCGTCGCACTAGTTTCATTAACATAAGCTTCGGATGCCAAGACCGTAAAATTGGAGGCAAAGAAACAGACCTTGACCTTTTTGTCCTTGCATGGACGGCAGCCAGATCTGGATTTCCTATGCTGTCTTTGCTTTTTGTAATCACGGATTTTCAGATCAGAGTTAATGAATGTGAGGACTTGAAAACCAGGCTTTGGGTTTTCTTTCATGGTTTGGTAAAAAGCGGAAAGCGAGGTGATTCGAGTTCGATCCATCAACAGCATGAAGAGTCTTGTCTCGAAGTGGTGTAAAAATGGGATGAAACAAAGTGCTGACGCACTGCTGTTCTATGTTTACAGTGGGGCTTGCTCGGTTTCCACTTTCGGTTAGCGTGGTATGTCTGTGGGTAAACCTCAACCGATGTGAAGCTATCAAGATGCCATGTATGGGATTCAATAAATTGAATACTGTCTGAAGGTGGGGATTCTAATTCTAAGAGCTTTCTGGGGGGTCATCTCACAGGTCATCATACGCGTCGTCCGGCTCGTTGACGCTGCTGCTGCATCGTATCAAAGACGGTTCCAAGCACCCCCACTCTTATACAGATGCTACGTAGGTTTAAGAGATTTACACAATCAACAACCAGCCAGGAATACATACAATAAAGCTAAAGTACTTCTTGTCTCAAAGCCAGGGAGGAGGTCTTCTCGTCATTAGCGAGCTTCGGCGTTAAGCTTCTTGGCAAACATCCAATCCCTTAGCGAAGCCCATTCAACCTTTTGAAGTAAACAGGTCCGCTTGCAGTAATTTAACAGATTTCGCGTTCCAGCTTCTAGAGCTCTTGGAAACCCCGAAATTATTCGATTTACGATGCACAGATGCAATCTTGTATGTTCATTGGATGAGGAACTTCCAGTACGTATTAGAGCCAAGTCTCATTACCCCACATCGACAATTGGCAGCTTACAAATGTGCATGATCAGGTGTCAAAAAATACCGAGTATCGCAACAGTGGAGCGGCTTTGTAATAAGGTCGAATTGTTTTCCCGAGTCCATCGAATAAAGGCTTGGTTTTGATGTCTTTTACTGCAAAATGGAGCATCGATCGGCTGGGGAACAGATGCTGGAGAGTTCCCGGAGAGATGCGCGGACTGTGAAGATGTCCGGAGGTACATAGAGACTATTTACTTGATTAAAATATATATCAGTACAGATATCATCTTTCAAGAGCCGTATCAGCGATTTTTCTTCTCGATCATTTCAGACCGGTGAAACCCCAACAATAAGCAAACATGTCAAAGCTCATCGTCGTGGTCGGCGTCACAGGCGCTCAGGTACCTTCCTCAGCCCAGTTAAACAGCCAGATATTAATCTATATCAGGGCTCCTCAGTAGCAAAGACCTTCCTCCAACTCCCAGGCTGGCGCGTCCGGGGTATCTCGCGCAACCCTTCCAGCCCAGCATCCCAAGCCTTATCTACCCTCGGCATCGAAATCATCAAAGGCGACCTCGATGACAAAGCCTCACTTCTCGCCGCCTTCCAAGGCGCGACCACCATCTTCGCCAACGTAGATTTCTTCATCCACATGTTCAGCGCCGTCCAATCTCCAGAAATAGCATCAGGTCGCGACCCCAAAATCTACGGCCACGACCGCGAAATCGAACAAAGCCTCAACATCGCCGAGGTCGCCGCCTCTCCAGCGATAATCAAGACCCTAGAGCGATTCATCTACTCCTCGCTCGCCGACGCCACGGAATGGAGCGGCGGAAAGTACACGGCTGTGTACCATTTTGATTGCAAGGCGGAAGTGATTCGTGTTATTCGAGAGAAGTACCCTGAGCTTGCGGGGAAGATGAGCCAGCTGAGGATGGGGCACTACGTGGAGAACTGGAGGACGTTCCCACCGATGGGGCCGCAGAAGCTGGAGGATGGGAGGTTTGTGCTGAGGAGACCTACTGCTGCGGGCTTGCAATGGCCGTTTGTGGTTGCGGAGAAGGATACGGGGGAGTTTGTGAAGGCGCTGGTGGATTTGCCGGTTGGGAGCATTTTGGCTGGTGTTTCAGAGGTATGTAATGCGACCTTTTCTCCATTTATTTGCTGCTTTTGCCTTTCCAAAAATGCGGAGTATTGCGATAATGGACTGTTTAGAGAAGACAAGCTAACCCACCGACCAGACCATGACCATGCCGGAGTTCATCGAAACATGGGGCAGAGTCCACGGCAAAAAAGCTGCGTACGAACAAGTGCCGTATGATGAGTTCTTTCAGGGAGTTCCTGTTGCGATGAAAGAGGAAATAGGGGATTCATTCAAGTTCATTGAGGACTTTGGGATTTCTGGCGGAGAACCGGATATATTGACACCGGCGCAGGTGAGTTACGCCCGAATGTTTCCTTTGAAGTAGGAAGCTGCTGATGAGATATAGCTCGAGTACAAGCTCAAGCTGACGACCGTAGAGAAGTGGATAAAAAATGAGGATTGGTCGTCTGTTTTGGGGGCTCAGAAGTGAGCTTGGCGAGTGATTTGATTGCAATTGGGAAGAGGAGCTCAGGGACCACAAAGTTTCCAAGTGCTTGTAGCTGGTGGTAGTAGCCTTGTTATATTTCAATTACCGCTTGACAGGTTACTTAATGTAAAGAAAGGGTCAAAAAGAATCCGAACACTTGTTTTGTTCAAAAAGCAAAAGTGAAAGCCCCGATATCTCGGATTTTGTAGAAAGCGTGTTCCTTCCAGGGTTCCCCGAGAGAAAGTACCCCTCCTCCAAGCGTGAGCCAGATGTTCCCGTCCACGCCAGGAACCCGAGAAGGTGCCTCTCGGGTCGTATTCGTGCTTTAATCGAACCGACTTCACAAGACAGCGAGCTTCAGCCAGGTTTCCCCAGCTGAAGGTTCTCCGATCGCATCCCGCAACATCCGTGAAGATAGACGGACTTGTCTTCAATTTGCAATACTTATATAAAGGTCGATGACCAATCCGAGTTACTACTGGAGAAGTTAGCTGGCTGAAGTCATGAAGTGTACTGCATGACGCCTAGAGTTGTCAGCTTTGTATTTGTATAGCGCTGTGGGGGGTGTTAGAACTTAGCTTCTGCTGAAGTTAGGATATTGGGTAGCCATGACCACTTACGCGACCAAAATGACTGCATGACTAGCAGAAAAAGTTTTACTTCGCTAGAAATATCTCATGTTTTGAAACCAACAATCACATCACATTTAACCAATGCGTTGAACCTTGCTGTGATATCGCAACCTCTCGAGTCTAGAGCTTTCTTCGTTTACTAATATCACAAGATTTCAGGGGACTAGGTAGGCTATTGTGGACTTCTTCTCCTTAGAAGACAAACTGTAGTGAGCTATTTCTTGAACTGTTGAAACTTGAAAGTGAGGCGTTGCTTTGAAGCATGTTCCATACTCTTGACTCGCCACCAGGTCAAATTTGCTCATACGCGGTCAAGAAACTTTGAATCAGCTTCGACGTAAGCGCATCGCTTTGATAAACGTCGTTGAGTCCATTCGCAGAATTTCGTTGTATATGCTGGTAGAGATCGTGGAGAGCCGCATGACACCGAGCAGCTTCATATGTGCTAAGTCCCAGACAATGCCTTCAAGTATGTTCCACACTCTCTGCTCTCCTCCGACAGAGACCTGATTATACGCCTTGAGAAGGAAACGGACAAGAGTCGCAGTCATCTCATCCGTTTGTTCGATGTCTTGGCATCGCAATGCAGCATTCTCTTGGATATGTACGAAGAGGTTGTTGATTGATCTGTAATATCTCTCGACCATGAGAATATTGAAGTATGATGCAGTTCGTTCGATATCCGTGATGCCTGGATTCCGGCTGTTTGCACTCCCTGCGTGTGTCTGAGCAGTGATTGTCGATGTGGGACTCTGGAGTGGGTTTGTTTGGAGGAAGAGGGGCGAGACAAGGCTCTGATCGCAACTTTCTAGCCTGGAGAAGGACGCCGGGGATTAACGCATGAAAAATGAAGCTTGAACATCATAACAAACCACCATCCTCCGAATTAGACTTGATTGGTCATGACTTACTGAAAAGAGAGAGAGGGATCTCATGCACTGGTGAATACTAGGTACTCATGACTTGACCAGGTGAATCGCCTCATGGGACGAACAATCTACAGCCTCGGTCACTTAACTATTCTTATCGTGCTTGAAGATCTTTCTTTCCTGCACGTTCAGCGACTGAAGCTTCAAAAACAGTCGTTCGATACGCACGGCAAATATGGATAGAAAAGGAAACGCGAGGAAGGCAAAATCAAACATGATTCAAAAGGACTAATTGCGTTGCAGCACATTGACACGCTACGCATTGATCACGTTCAGGAGATCCTGGCCTTTGTGCCATCTGTCCACAATCTGTACTTGCTCTTCGTACCAGCTGTTCATCGTTCCCTATGTGGAGTCAGCACACTTCCTGATCTGACACATGGCACTGGGGAGATAAATTACCTCCTCCACATATCCCATATGTGGTGTCAACAACACATTACTTCTTCCATCCGTGCCCCATTTTGTGGTCCTCCATTTCGAGTCCAGGGGCAGAGGCTCAACAGCAAAGACGTCAACAGCTGCACCTCGAATCGCTCCTTTGTCCAGAACTTGCAGCAAAGCATCCTCATCCACTAACGGTCCTCTCGAAGTGTTTACAAACAGTGCATTCTTTTTCAAAAACTTCAAATCTTCAGCCCCAACAATACCTCGCGACCGATCACTCAGCACATAATGCACACTCAACACATCCGCCTCTTTAAATAACTCCTCCTTACTGACAACCTTGAACACTTTCTCCCCATCCTCCTCAACCGGCAAGCCCAATGCCTTCGCCTTCTCATCAGCCGCCTCTTGCGTCAAGCTTGAGCTCCAAGCAAGAATCCTCATTCCGAAAGACTGATACATAATCTTTGCCACATTTCCACCTAATTTGCCCAATCCAAGAGTCGAAAACGTTTTTCCGCTCAACCCCGTCGCAAAATCAGTCTCCCACAAGCCGTTCTTCACATTCCTATCATCACTCGCCAAAAGCCTCGCAATACCCAGAATCAACGCAACACAATGTTGTGTCGTACTATCCGGCCCTCGTCGCTTCTTGCGATCCACAGCAGCAGATGGCGTTCGCCCTGCTTCTCCCGCTCCCGTGACTGGAATGCCGAGAGCTTTTGCGGCAGCCATGTCGATTGCCGCATTCCGGCCACCAGTGGTGAGAAGAAGCTTCAGATTTGGGAGAGACTTGAGGAGGTCAGCTGGGAAGGGCGTACGTTCTCGCATGGACGAGATGACGGTGAAGGGTTTGAGACGCGTGATAAGTTCTTGTTTAGTGGATTCTGGAGTTGTGGGGTTGTTGAATGCGGGGAGTGTGTCTTGGAAAGTTGTGATCTCAAAGGTGGGCTTGAGAGACTCGAAATGTTTGGGTGCTATACCCTGATAGTCATCCAAGATAGCGAGCTTGATCGGTCCTTTGGGTACAGGAGGCATGGTGGTGATCTGGCGGGATAGATACCGAGGTGGGGTGAGGTGAGTGGTTGTTGAAAGTTGAGTTCTCGTTGCGAAGCAGAGTTGGGTTGATGAAGTAGATTGGCTATTGGTATGAAGATATCTTACAAGTTTGATGGATTTATAGCGTCGCGATAATATAGCCGTTGGCGTGTTGGTGCACATATTATTATCGGCGCATGTGGTGTCGTTGAAGTCTAGGTACGTGGGGTAAATATTATTCCGACCCTCGGATTAAGCTCCATGACGCAATCTAATGGTTCGTAAGCATGAATTCCAATATCTAACTCAATTATAGTTGCTTACATTACGAATATGAAAAGAGCATAGAGGTTCTCCGCGGTTCGAAGAATCTGACTGCCGTAAAGAAGCTATACCAGTCCTATCTTGCTCTGTTGTCACAATATTCGAGCAGACTTGGTGGGGTTGAGAACCAGTACAAATCACGTGACTCTGGGGTTTGAAATGGAGTTTCGTTCGACCAACGTCGGATGACAGTTAAGTACTGTTTCAAACTGCTTGACAGTTTTTAATAAATCCTGATCTATTCTGAATGTATGAACACGTTGAGATGTACACGTAATAGCAAACTTGTTGTGGTAGCCAAAACCCACAAAGAGGTTACATTCTATATGCTGTTGCAGCAGCGATTTGCTGGTCCGACACACTCTGCGCACTACCCAATAAAATAAAGCTCGGAAATAGGGTACAAGTTCGGATGCTGCTATAGTGACTGGGATAGTACCAACAATACACATCGAATGATTTCTCCAATAAATTATCTTCTCAAGCTCGGACAATCATTTTTGCCCTCAGCATCGGGCTATGCCATACCTAGTTCCTTCTGTCCTGAATTTGGGGTTGGAATATCCAGGGTCATGAGCTTAGACTAGTCTCCAGCATTTCTTGATACAAGAATGAGTCCTCGAGGCCGGCCATCATCCTGCAAAAACTCATGCCCGAACACTCATCACTCCTTGGGCGGGAATTCGGCATGCAATGAGGCGACTGTTCATAAACCTAGGCGTTGTTCATTACTCGCTGTGATTTTTGTTGCTGTAGAAAAACAAAGGCTTTCAGGGTTGGGTGAATCGAAGCTGAACTCAAATATCCAACCTGAGGCACACAATAAACAAACTCGCTTAGGAGAATTCACTTTTGCAACAATGATCCCTCACCATAAACTTCCCGATAGTTCAGGTCTCTTTCTATCTCGATGCCAAAATCCTTATTTTCACGCGTAGATCGATCTCTTAGTTTTACAGCCACGAGACATCTTTTCGCCTACCAAGTACAACACACGACCATTTTCTTCTCTGCGGCACGCAGGATCCTGCAGAACTGAATTGCTGACAACTCGCAGTTCATCTTACAACAACAATTCAACTCACCATGAACAGCCAGACGATATCCCTTTTGCAACGACCACCGGTAAGATCGAGAGCGATACGCAAATCTCTGCCAGCACGTCCAGTCCAGGATGTCGTGGAGCTTCCTCGACAATCAGAGTCGGCTCCCGACACCCCGCTCAATTCCTGTGCGGACCAATCTAGAAGGAGAGAAACCAAGCCAGAAACAAGTAGCAATCTTTATACTCATACTGCCCAAATACCTCCGGAGAGCAGTCAAGTTGACCCAGCCGCAGGGACTCTGTGGGTGCCAACATCACGCCAATCGAGCGCAACTCTCGGCGAATCAAGATCACTTGTTCACAGCCCGTCTCTAACCAATGAGGCCTTACGTAAAGCAGATTTATTCGGCGACCTTGTTTTGAGCGGGTTCAACAGTCTGTTCAATCCCAATCGTTCGCTCGCGCAAGACCCGCTTATATTTCCATCGCCCGTTTTAATTCAGACAGCACGACATTGCTCAAGATACAATCCCTCTGTACTGGAGCAGGCAGAGCTAACGCGTAAAGCGCATATTTTGACACTCCCAGAGCGTCGAAATCCAAATCTTGTTGTGTCTCGAGGCCATGAGGAACTCATCCCACCATTAAAGAAGATCTACAGAGATGACATCGATCTATTTCTGTTCGTGTTTGCAAGATGGGTAAGTTTGAGAGTCTGTTTGTGCCTCACTTTACCTCTCCAGCTTTGATCCAAATACCTGTCCCCTCTTTTGTTCCATCGCATGCATTGACAATTGCTAGGCCTTCAAAGTGGACGCCGATGCCGAAACCGGAAACCGTATGTACGACATCCTCTCGAAGTTCCAAACTCAGCTGGATTTTATGGAACGCAACCCTGTACCCCCACCAGTCAGCCATGCCGCACAGAATGGGCTCGATATTGGTCGCATGATTGCCCGTCGCGCTTCTCAGACCCAGAGAGAATGGTTAATTCCCGCTGTCAGCCATATGTTTTTCACCTGTCACCAGCAGGCCGAGCAGACTTTGAATGTAATGGATGAGGAAGAGTATGCCGCATACAAAGAATGGGGTCCTGGTAGTTGGATGGATGCACAGCTCAGGGAGAAATTCTTCTTTGAGCATGCTTTTAGGTCGCTGGAGAAGTACAATGTCGATGAGATTGAGAGGAGACTAGGTGGTGCTGCTGGTAGGGGAGTCAGTGCGAGTACTGTTGTGGATCGAGGAGACAGTCGTGACAATAGAGAGGGACGATTACTGACCTGGGACGAGATTCATGAAACCGGCGACTACATGGAGTTGTTGTTCTTGAAGACTGGAGGATGTGGATCTTTCCAACTCTGAATATCTCCGATTTGTGGGGCACTGACTTCTTTGGTTTTTTTATATTTAGCTTCCTCAGTAGACACGTGGCTGGACTTGGAGTTGAAAGATATGTAACAGTGATATCGGGAACCTGCCCATGCATTTGTATATGCAACTCTACACTTTGTATTCCGTACTGTTTGTTTACTCATTCGTTTAATGTAGGATTATCAGATCATATGACCCCATCTTGGCCAAGCAGATATAGAAGAGCTGCATGAATCGATGACACATCTGCGTTGGGAACTACTTGTGATATCAAATGTGGCAGCTGGTTTGGATTGGAGCCGATTCATTATTTGTCGGCCTAGCTGCCAAGAGGAAAGCATTCAGTCGTTGGATCGCCCAAGACGAATGTATAGAAACTTATAAATAGATCCGAACTTCGTGTAGTTGCCAGTAAAATAAATATCACCGTCTGTAGTCATCGAGCTGTGTATGCCTAAAACTTTTACAAGATCTGCTTCTCTTTAATAACTGGGTTAAATTTGGTCCACTGATGTTTGAGAGCACGAATGCATGATTGGAGGAAGTGCTTCACCTTCAGATTTTCTTGATTATGGTGATTTCTGATATTGTACGTTCAACTTTATCTTGTTCGATATTCACTTGAATCAAGGATATGTTCCCGATATGAATTTAAAGATTGCTGTCTCTCAACCAATTCACCACGAAATTTAAAATCAACCTTTAGCATCAGCCAACACCTCCACCTAAACTATCCTCCTACGACCAACTGCACTATTCCACTTTCTGTAGAATCACCATTTACAACCGGAATATCAAAGAAATCAACAATCTAGCAATCCTGATCTCGACCTGACACAACAATGGGGACCCGCGTGATTTGCGTCTCGCCCTCGCCACCTGGATCCATCACATCTACACTGTCATCTTTTTCGGAAACACACTCTCTATTCTGCTCAACCTCACCCTTGCCATCAAATACAAGCCTCAAGACATGTTTCACACATCTGGAACTCAAAAGCCGAACTCGTGCTGCATGTCAGTCCACAGTTCCTCGGGCTCACAAAAGACGGAAGAGGAAAGGAGCAGATAAGGACAGAAGAAGAGTTCAGGTCGGCGATCCGAGACAGATTTGTGCAAGTACACTCGAAGGATGTGAGGGGATGAGAGTTAGGAAGCAGAAGGTGGAAGGATGTGGGGACAGGAATGGTGAAGTGAAGTTACAGCAACAGGAAGTATCGAAGAAGAAGAAGACGAAAATACCACCCATAAACACCCCTCTCATCATGTCCGTGGCGGCTGATAACGCTGCGGTGAGGTCTGGAATAGATGGTACTGAGGAGCAATTCATGGATGACGAAGTTCAAATGAGCAATATTGATGAGTTCATCTCAATATGGTTTGCCTTGGTGAGTTTGAAGCACTCTCTTGTGTTCTCACATCAAACATCCAATCTTGTGTATCTAGCTTCAAGACAGTACCACTGACATGCAGCTCCAATACAGGGCCACCTGAAAAGCGACATTCCCTTCCCACCAATTCCCGCACGCGACGCCTCACCCAACGAAGTCTCTAGCCTCGCCCGCATCTTACACACCTGGTTAACGCACGAATCGAAACCCGACATTCTCAGTGCCATTACATACGGCCGTAGCCTCGGAAAACAGCTCTGCCACGTTTGTCTGAGCAAAGGTATCATAGATCAAAGCCTGTACAACTTGGTTCGTGATATCGCAGATTTCTATGCGGCGTATGTTCAGGACTTGGAGGATGAGGCGGGGAAAAGTCTGAGTAAGAGGAAAGAGGAAAGCAGGGCGAGAAATGGTGGGCATGGAAGTAGAGGTGGAGATGTGAATGAGAAGGAGAAGAGGAAGGGCATGGGCGAATTTCTGGAAATGGTGTTGGCTAATGATAGAGGTAGTAGTAAACTTCCCGGGTGGGGACGCATGATATGGGAGGGGAAATTGTTGTTTGCGCTGTTGCATGGGGCGACGGAGGCGATTAAGGGTGCCTTAGGGGATGCTGCTAGGAAGGGAATCTGAGGGAGGGCTGGCTAGAAATGCTGAAGGACATTTGTTCAAAGGGGCGTTGATTGAAGGAAGTGAACGGCTGGTACGCGCTGCTCTGCACTGCGTTGAGACTACACATCAACCAAGATAGGGCACGCTGCAATTGGTAGGGTACAAACAGCAACTAAAACCCACCTCAGGGATTTTTGTGAGCCAACCTTTGCGAGCGAGCATGATAGAGATAAATAAATTCGCGATCTATTTCGCATGGTTTTGAAGGAAACGTCGAACATCTGGAAAGCACCTCGCTTGAACGACTGAGAGGAAAGAGACAAGTAACTAGCACCCTACGTTCCAGGCATCGAAAGGTGCCCATGATATGAAAGGATTATTATTGTATTACTCTAATATCTCACGCTACCTCTAGCTCAATATCAACAACAAATATACTGTTATCTGCAATCCCGAATAAAGCCTCGCTGAGAATATTGATAACCGAAAGAGCGAAACGAAAGAAGAGGTATGCTTGACCCTCTATTGGTACTGGCTAATGAAACACCAAATGCCGTGCCAGGTCCCGAGCTAGCTATGAGCAAGAATGAATCGTATATACGAACCAAGGAAATCTTTCTTACAACAGGTATGTACTGGCCTCTCCTCTGCTTTCTCGGCGGTCCAGATTCAACAGCATCCTCTATTTCTTCTCCGACTCCCGCTGAGCGTGAAGACTTCTTCCCACTCTCTCATCCCACCTAAAGTTCCACCGCTTATACCCCATCCATTTCTGCTCCTCGGTTTCCTCCTTCTCCTCGCACCCTCATCGACCGTCATTCCACTCTTGACGCTCGCTCCATCACCATCTCCCTGCCACCCTCCATCTCCATACTGTATACCACTCATAGGATCATCAGGATCAATTTCTCCGAGTTCAATCTTCGTCAGTATCATCCTCGCCAGCCGGTTGAATACCTCATCAACATTCTCTCCACTCAAGGCTGATACTTCGACAGATACAGGGACGTTATTGCTGCTTGCCCACTTCGATGCTTCCTCCGCACTCACTTCCCTCCCATCCGGCGCCACGCTCGCCCGTAATTGTGTGCCCAGCCCAAGGGTTCCAGCCCCAGACGCAGACCCATTTGTAGACGGTACCGACCCTCCAGCATTGAAGGGGAAGGACGAGGCCTTGCTACTGATGCTCGACGGGGTAGCAGGCGGTAAAGGCGAGCTTGTATCGATCAGTGTCCCGCTGTCTGCCAAGTCTGCTTTGTTTCCTGCCAAAAGGAGAGTGAGGTTCGGGGATGCGAGGGCTCGTGCATCGTTCATGAACGAGGGGAGGGCTGTGAAGGTGTTATGGGAAGTGATGTCGTAGACTAGGATTGCGCCAGCGGCGCCGCGGTAGTAGGAGCGTGAGACGGAGCGGAATCTTTCGGTGCCTGCTGTGTCCCAGAGCTGGGGGAGGGAAGGTCGGTTAGCTGAGCCCTAGTCGGAAAGAAAATAGAGGGGTTCGTAAGGGGGCAATAGGAGGGAAGAGCTTGGTATTTACTTGGAGTTTTATCCGTTTCCTTCTCGCGCCAGTTCCGACTCTTATAATCTTGCTTGCGAACTCGACGCCTATCGTCTGCGAGGATACGATTCTCCATTCGTTCTTCACGAAGCGGTGCAAAAGGCAGGATCTGGTTGCCATTGTCAATACTGCCTCTTCTCTATCTGCGATAACGGGGATGGTTCGTACTTCCCACTTCCACTGGGCCCGAGCAAAATGATCTTTGCTAAGTAGTCGTACATGCTGCCCAGTTCCTATCCTTTCTATCAGCATTATTCTCCTTCATCGCGGCTATCCAGAGAAGTCAACAAACCTGATCGCGCGCCGTCCCCCCCGACTCGTCGCTTGCAGCGGATGATCTCCTCGGGCGCACCATCTTGTATTATGCTCTCTGCTCTCTTCCAACAGTGGGGGTGGTATCTTGTCGTCCTGGTCGTCTGCTCGCTTCCTTGAATCTCTCCTCACTCACTTCGTCGTCATTTCAAGCATCGGATCCCTGCTGTTGAAGCGTGCGATTGATGCGTGATGTTGTTGTCTTATCGTCGTTTGTCGGCGTCTGAGAGTTCCAGGTCCGATCGACGCCTGCCTGTTTTGGGAAAGGTTGCAGGGCAATCGCGAGCCGAGGCTGTTTATTTGACTACCTCTTCCATCTCACATCAGTCTTCTCTTCTGTCTATGAGTACAGCCAGAACGACTCAACCACTTATAAATATGAAGATCGAAGGCAGAACATTCATCGTGTCCGGAGGGTGAGTTTTCTACCTGCCTCATCAATGTAACAAAGCTAACGTACAATAGAGCATCTGGTCTTGGCCGAGCATGTGTCGAAGACATTTGCCGGAAAGGAGGCTACGCAGCAATCCTTGATATGAATGAAGAGCTTGCCGCAGAAGTCGTCAAAGATATTGGCGGGGGCAAGACCAAATTCTTCGAGGCGAATGTATTGGAGACCGACAGTATAGCTGCTGCTGTCAAGGGAGCTTTGGAATGGGTCAAACAGACGGGAAAGGAAATTGGTGGGGTTATTGCTGCTGCGGGTGTTTCTACGCCAGCCAAGGTTAGTGATCTATCTTTGCTTGTTACCACCATCTACGTTGATCAACTAGTATTTTGCAGCATGAAGTGTTTGCTTCTCCATGAACAGCGCTCTCAAGTCCTCCTAGTTGTCACGTGAACAATCTCTAAGGGGGCGTTCACCACTTAGTATCGCCGGTTGTATAAGATACAGGCTTCCTTACGGATTCTTCCTCACTCCAACTCTCTTTCTCATCCTGCGTCATATCTATTCATTCCCTTGGTATAATTACATCTGACAAAACGAATAGATTCTAGACCGCAACTTGAATCCCTTTTCGCTGGACGACTTTGGTACGTTTATGCTGCTCATTTCTATCCAAGCAGATATATCATCCACATCCTACATGTGCCACACGTTACATTCTTATTTTTGTGGTCATTGTTGAAGACCAGTAAGCTCATTCTAAAACCCTCCACAGACTTCGTCATGAACGTCAACGTTCGCGGCACTATCGACCTAATCCGCCAAGTCCTCCCACACATGGCAGCAACTACACCCGTTGGGTCCGACGGTGAACGCGGTATTATCATCATGGTATCATCTTCTGCAGCCTTCGATGGCCAGCCAGGCCAAGTCGCATACTCTGCATCCAAAGGAGCTATTGCCTCGCTTACGCTGCCGTTGACGAGAGACTTAGCGAGGCATGGGATTCGGGTGGTGACGATTGCGCCGAGTTTGTTTGAGAGTCGAATGACTAGTATGATGAGTGACAAGGTTAGAGCGAGTTTGACTAGGGTTATGGAGTTTCCCTGTGAGTTTGGATTTTTCCCTGCCTTCCGAGTTGCGTTTCTAATGATATGCAGTGAGACCCGGTCAACCGCATGAGTTTGCACAGCTCGTTACACAGGGTATTGAGAATATCATGTTGAATGGGGTGGTGCTGAGACTTGATGGCGGTATGAGGATGCCAAGTAAGATGTAATTTTTTGTACTTTAAAGAAAGTGGCCACGGAATGGCTTCAAAGACATTTTTGGTCTTGGCACACTGTCCAAAATTTGCCTATCTGAATTCCGCGCTACATATGTGTTCCTTCTAGCCAGAATCCCCCTCAAACGCCAACCATGCACATCCAAACGTGCTTCTCCTACCCATCAACGCCGTTTCAGGTTTCTCGCAGCCCAACAAGAACAGGTTAGTCCACGTGTGACCTTCCTTCCCGCAGCGCAGATAGAGTACATGGAAATTTTTAACTCTTTTAAAAGAGACTGTCCTGCTGAAACATAAATGGAACAGTGCAGGGTTCTCTTCTGGAGTTCAACTCGTGTTGATTATCGGAGTATCCCGCATTACGTTGCGTTGGTGTTAGCGTCTCGCTTAGCTTTGTCTATTTTGTCACCCGCTAGACCAGCGCGGAAAAGCATAGAGACAAGCAGAGCGTCGCGTCGCTAATTCTTTTAGTATGATCAATTGAGATTTCTGATCACGGTAGATTTACTGAAGTAAATTACTGGTATATTGGAAGGGAGGTGTGGATTTCTTTGGGAATAAGGTGGTGCATTTGCTGAAGGAAGTCTTGTCACTTGGTAAAAGGTTAAGTAATGTCTGTTTGTAGGACTATAAAAGGTAGAATAAGGCAATAGGTACGTGATATAAGAATGAACGAAAATGAAAGACAAAAAACACCTGAATCTATCTGCCTCTCGCAGAGGGGACCGGAGAGGACGCATAGATTGAGCCTACTACATGTAGGATTTTGACTGTCTACACCATCAAGACAGGTTGTGAGCCACGAACTGATTAAGGGCCTCGAGATGCAACTTGGGGCACCAGACTTAAGTCAGGTGTGCGAGGAAACACCAGAGGAACTTTTCAAGTTGTAGATCGGAAGAGCAAGCATGGGATCAAGGAGGTGACACTAAATGTGAACGACATTGATGATTGAACTGCCAGCAGAACTCAATCGTGGCCGCAATGTCCATTTACCGCCACTACCGCTCCACCATACTCACAAGTGCAAGGAAATGCGTTATTTCGTTAAATGTAGTGGACAGTTCTCTCGTTTAACTTAGCCAGAATAATCTGTAACCGTCAGATTTCTAACGTCCTACGCATAACGGGCTGGCTAAATTACATATACATCAAGAGAATACTTACTCATTGGCTCTATCATTGTATCAAGCAACATGAAATCAAGTCTCTCAGAACGAAGCCTTGTACAGATTGACTTTGATATGACTTAACTGTCGAATCGAGAATATGGGACACGTGGTAGCACAAGGATAAGCTCATGCCTTCAGCTTCAAATCCTAGGACATTCACTTATTCGACAAAAATATTCCTTGAAATTGATTCGTTCAGATGAAAGATCTGCTTTCCAGAAGCAGCAATACCGCTCTGAGAGCATAGGTATATGCTCAGCTATGGCGCTAGGGAATTTCACGTCATTTGGCAATGACCTCCATTAAATCTCCTCCTTCCATGAAACGTCCGCAACTACCTCAATAATCTTTGCTCGTCGCAAGTTTCTTCCTCAGCACATCGCATCCCGCTTCAAAACCATGGCAGCACTTGGTCGAAAGTGAGATTTGACACAGGTCACCACGGAAACACATGGAGCCAAGATTCGCAAGCCGGATGAGAATACCATCGATGGCCCTGTATCGAAGACCCCAAAGATCCTTCACAATGTTCTGTTGCGGTCTGAGGACATTGGTATTAGAGGGGACTTAGCAAGAACCTCATCTTTAGCTCTGCTGGAACAATTCTACGTGTCTAGGGCCAACCAAGCAGAGGTCAATTATCTCAACCCGATCTCCGGACGTCATGTGTGGGTGGCTGTGATGGAATTTCGTGGATTCTGTTGAGCTAGTGGCGTCTTCAAAAGCAGACAACATGCAAAGATAGGAGTTTCAGAGAGTGTAGTTGAATGGATCTAATCGCGTGATTGGCATCCTCCCAATTCTGGTCTGCTGCTCTTCAGCGGAAAGGCCTCTGAGATTGAGGACCGTCAGGGAGCATAGCTTTGGGAAATGCAATTCGACTGGCAGAGTATCCTGGATGAATCAGTGAGGAGCCTATCCCCGATAGCTGCCATCAAGGCGGTGACATCAGAGCTGACAGTCAACCTTAGATTGGAATTCAGTTTCCTCAATGGACAAACGCGACTGAGCCGTTCTTTGCTTTCTTAGTACGTCTCAAGACAGATCACACCAGGAACATGCTTTGCTAGCATGCTACTCTCAGGGTGAACCCAGAACGAAGGCTACGACATTTCTCAACTACGGCGGAGTAAGCATACCTATTCCAGCCTCCACCATGTTCTTTCCTTTCCGTCCGACCCCTTCAAACACCACTACACATTTGGATCTACTTGCGACTATCTCAACTTCCCTCAATGTTTCTTCGGCTTTCAGATTTGAAGAAAACAGCTCCGCTGACATCAACGAAGAGCCTGCCACGCCTGCTGCTCATAAGCCCTAAAAGAGCGGACGTCAATCTGCATACTCCAGCCAACAGCTTTCAGAGCGATATATCCCATGCCCACAAGATGAGCAGGTCATCAAGTACTAGCCGATGATGAGCCCTGATATGCTCTGTGGCGCTGTGCAAAATGCGACGGCATCTGCAACTGAGTCTGTTATTTCGCAGGCCAATTGCGATGTCTCCTCCGCCGCGGTTTTGCAGAATTCTGCGACCGGTGAACATACTCCGACCGATGGAGAGCGAGGAGTCTGTACTGGCAGCATCTTCTTCTGAGATCCAAGAGGATACTGCAACAACGGCTGTCGCTTCAACATCCGGAACAAAGAAGAGTTTGTTGTATAGAATGATACTGTAACAGCTGGTATCGATTCAATTGCTGAAACAAATGAAGATTCTACTGTGCCAAACGATACTGTCAATACTACACCGTCTACAAAGAACGTAGACCAGGAGGAGGATCTGCCAGCTTCGCCACGCTCAACCGCGGAAGAGTCCACCATTCCGAATGTTACCATCAACGTAACTCCCGCCGGCGAGACTACAGGCGCGGATCAGAACACTACAACAGAGGATCTGTCGGCAAGTGGTGCGCATGAAGACTTTGCTGCTGTTGGAAATAATAATCTCAGCGGTGCCCCTGTCTCTGAGATCTCGGGTCACAGCATGAAGCCACTCCCCACATTCCTCCCACCAGCAAAACACCCCCTACTGATACCACAACGAGAGAAGATGTCGCTGCTCCTGCTACTTACTCTGAAACCCGTACCAATGACGAGATGGAGTTTGAGTCAACCTCATCCACCAAGCCACCAAATCTGCACGCATCTCAACAGCAAGGACATGTCTGTGTCCTCTTCTATTTTAGAGACTTCCAAAACGCAAGTCGACGACTCCTCCGAACCAGAAGTTGAATAAAACGACACCGAGATACAAGACGACGGATTGGACCCAACCAGCGAGGTTTTCTATCACACTCCTGGTGTCTGGGCGTCAAAAAGTCCGGAAGACATGGCCATGGAGGAGGTGGAGCAGTTGAGCCAAGATAAAGACGAAGAGGAAGGTGAATACGAGAGTGACTTCTCTGACTCAGATTCAGGCCCCGATTTCAACCCAGATCCCGAGACTGATATAGATATAGACGTGGACATGGACATGGACATGGACATGGACATGGGCCTGGATATGGAAGCAAGTGAAGGTATTGACGACGAAGGTTCGGACACTATTTCCGAGCCACCAAGTGATTTTGAGGAGGACAATCCCTTCGAGGAGGAGGTCGAGATGGAGGTAGCAGAAGAGATAGAAGATCGCGACGAGATGGCTGCTGAAGAAGAAGAAGAAGAAGAAGAAGAAGAAGAAGAAGAAGAAGAAGAAGAAGAAGAAGAAGAAGAAGAAGAAGAAGAAGAAGAAGAAGAAGAAGAGAGCGCTTCAATTTCAGAATCCTCGTCCGATGACGATACTACCCAGCCACCACCCCAACCCGCAACACCCACTACCGTCAACGACGACGACACCGATTTCATCGCCGGCCAATTCGGCTCAGTGTCAATATCCGGCCCTTCTCGCTCCATCTCCTCATCCACGGTCCCAAGCTCAGCTGAGTCCTCTACTGTAGCCGAAACCAGTTCTTCTCCTATGGATAATACTACCGATACTGAGATATCGACTGATTTCAGTAATGCGCGTCGTCGTCGTCATGCTGAGGCGGGCTCAGGCTCGGCTTCGGATGATGAGGATTCAGAGACGGAGATGGATTCGGAGTAGGAGTCAGGTGATGAGACATCAGATGGTGGAAAGAGCTATGAGGATGGAAGTGAGCCTGGAAGTGAGATGAATGCCAGGATAGTAACGAAGATAGTAGTGAAGAGGGCAGTGAGGCCGACAACGAAGGCCCGGACAGTGATTCCACTGAAGAGTCTGGCGACGATGAAGAGTATCAGAAGAGAACAACGGATGAGGAAATTGATGAGCTTGCGGATGGAGCGATGTCGGGCTTGAAAGTCTAGGTTGGATAATGTCCTTGCAAGTACTGTATTAATGATACCCTTGTACAAGAAGCGCGAGATTGAGATGGATGCTAACCAATAAGATGTCTGTATATTAGCTACAGTACCTCCAGTAGAATGTCTCACATGACTGCAATCAAGAAAATTGAATTAGAAAGTCTATCCAATCTTGTCACGTTGGTCAGAGTCGTGAAACAAATGATATAAAGTAGAGGCATAGTAATTACAAAAAAAATTGACAATCAATCGTCACTGCTCTTCTAACTCGGCTCCATCACACCAAACCAACAGTCCACAGAACAACAACAACAACAACAATGACACCCCTCGAGAAATGAAATCGACAGAAAACAGAAACAGAAGTCAGGTTGATAAAGCTTTAAGAAATCGACCATCATTACATCTCTTCAGTAGATTAGAGTAGCAAAACCCTTGATCGACTTGTCTCACCTACTCAACTCCCGTCGTTGGTCTGGTCTCAGAATCTCGCTTAACACAGACAAGGAGACTTCTAGTTGTTTACATTGACGAAAGGGAAGTCCATGTCATATTAAACCTATGCAGAATATCCGGAACTTTCCAAAAAGAATACGATAGGTTTCTATCTAGTGATAGTTCTCCAGGAATATGAACAATATAGTAACAGTGATAAGAATAAACTTGAAAAAATAATGTGCCTCAGAGATGCAGCCATCGTGATTTGCGTACTGAACCCCCGAGAAAGATTGCAAAACAGCATCACCGAAACACTGAGATACCAAAGAACATTTCTCACATTAATGTTTTGAATCGTAGAATAGTGATACTACATACCCAAGGACCTCCTCTCTCTCTATCCCCACCGTCGGCTTCCAAATCCCCTAAACCGACCACAGCCGAGAACCGCCATCGATCCAATTTACCGCAACATCCGCACGATCCGCTCTGCAAACCTAAAGATCCAGAATTTCAAAAGGTCTTTGTAGATTGCAAAGAAAATAATGAAGCTCCTCTCCCCGAGGAAACGCTTGCCAAGAGCCTTACAGAAACAATGAAACGTTGCAAGCAAAGTGGATCTAAGATAATCGATTCAATCATGCGAAGTCTTTCTTCTTATCCTGATTGATCAGAACCATCACTCAACCTACATCTCGGCGCCTCTAACCCACCTCTGGAATCATGAAGCTGGTACTGAGTCCACTTACCGCTTGTAAGCGAGAGGCAGCCATGCGGAGATAAGAGGCAACCCCTGAAAGCCGGAAATAGTGAACTGTAAAGGGGCAAGCATCAGAGAGGCAGATAGCGACCTCGCTTACCGTGTTTGGGACTTGAGACATGGATAAGAACTGGGATGATGGGAAGGAAATGATGCGGATGGCTTCATCCGTGTCTACAATAGAGTTTCAGAATGGGGAGGTCATTACTGTAATACTGTATTGACAAGGTTCGGGATTTGCCTCTTCTGGCATGCGAAAACGAAGGCTCTAGTGGCCCCAGGAGACTGGAAACTAGGAGAGCGAGGAACAGAGGAAAGTGGATAAATTGTGTAAGAAGCCTTCTTTTTGCGATGACAGGAATAGATTTGAAAAAGAAATCCAATTTCGGAATACTGAACGAGTGTATGATTGAGTCTGCGCACGGCTATCGTGGTTGACCAGAATCAAGTTTTCACGACCCGACAGTCTGGTTGGACATCAGGTTTTGGTAAGCATTGCGAAATTCTCCGAGTCATGCTGGGAGGAGTTCTAACCCTGCCCTTGTCCCTGTACTGTATCCTTGCTTCTGTTCTGCGCCGTTGAGTTGCGGGGATGCGACTCCAAGGATCCAAGAGAAAAGGAAATGGTGGGCCGTCCATCGCTAGGGTGTACAAGTACCGTGGAATTTGAAAGATCGCAGGGGGTAAGAGGTTTCGGCAGTTGGCTTTGGATCAATGGTTGGATGATGGTTAGAGAGCCGAATATGGGGGAATCATATGATGTCTCTTGTGGTTGGCGGCGGTGTGCTTCATGGTGCATTAGGGCTAGTCGGCAGCATATTCCGTGCAATTACGCTGGATTGTATTAAAGTTCCATTGGTTGTTTCGTTTTGGGGACAGCAGAAGAACAAGGTACAGTTTTTTGTCTCCAGAGAACAAGGGCCGTCCTCTTCAATACCCATAGACTCAGTATTATTTTTCCTTTCGCTTGTTCCGTTTCAATCTGCGGACATGAGCAAGGGCTGCTTGAACCTGAGCTGAGGGTGTGCTTACTTAATTAGAGGGTGAACAAGCCTGAGCAGAGCAGAGTCTACCTAGGTAAGCATCCTAAGAAGGCCCGAATCTGTCTACACACTATAATATAGAGCTCATTTTGGCCTCCTATGTGCCCCTGCTATAGCTTCCAGACTGAATTCTGCCCGGGAATCCATTTCTGCTCCTTCACAAGATTCCTGCTGGAAGAGGCTTTGGATCACACTTGTCGTGTAGCACTGTTGTAAATCACGATAGTTACCCCCGCGAACCCCGCGGCTATTCTATGTTCATTATCCCACCCACTCTTTCGTTCAGCGGCACTCGGGTTCAGATTGCATTGATAGGTAAAACCTTAAGTTGCAAACTAATCCAAATAGACACGACATGCCTGTATAAAAATTCTATGTCTTTACAACTTTGCGTTGATGCCTGGCATACAGTCGAATATACATTTCCTTGCGAGAGACAGTCTCTATGAAACGGAAAAGTCATATAAATTTAAGGTCTCCTAGTGAAGATGAACTGCCGCAAACCAAATTCCGGCTTGAGAAAACACGAAAATATCACATTTCATGATTTAAGAGGTCAGGAATCATCTTTCTCTTATGACAAAAATGGCTTCACCATCGCCCCCCTTGATAGCAAGATGGCGTATACAAATTTTGCCAGCCGAGAGATGATCAAGACCGTCTTGTTAAGGGAAGTTTCGACAATTCTTCAGAGTGTACTTGGGGCCACGACCGTCCAAGCTTTTGAGTATATAGTAACTTAAAGCATTGTACTCCTCCTGAACCTGAAGGCGTATTGATATGATATGCTCTTAGATTCGGAAGCGTTATTTGAATTTTACTCTCTCTCTCTCAACTGGACAGACTTATCATTACAACCAGCCAATTTCGGTGGCACACATTGGTCAGCAACAGATCTTACCTTAGCTCTCATGGGTCTGGCATGAGGTTCAGAGCTGATACAGTTTCTAGATTCACCGCCATCGTCCACCGTTGCTACTATCAAGAACCGGAATGGAGACTGAACTGTGGTACTAGAAGTGCCGCACGCATCTTTCGAAAACCCGCTGACTCCACCTGATGAGAGCCCAAGGAAAAGTATTGAGGCCCGCTTTCTGGTATACTACGAGGGATAGAGCTGGCCAAGGATTGGGTTTGCATTAGGTTTAGCACAAGATGTAGCAAGTATTTGACAACAATAGCTTGGTCTTCAGTTTCGCAACATAGCTTCAACAGAATTATCTGACGGAGTCGGAAAGTGAATTCTTGTTGGTGACAGCCCTGTTGAGCCAAATATTGCATATTTTAAGCAATTTGAAGAATCGACAAAATTTTGGTGGGGTAAGCGTGGGCGGTTGAACAGTTTGGGCTGTCGTTTGGGGTGGACGCTTCTACCGTGCTCTACTCCTGCTGCCTACCTAGAGCAACTTCGAGGTTCACGCCGAAAACGAAGTCGCCTACCATATCATAACATTATTTCTCCTTTGCACGACAAGTTTCGAAAGACCTTTAAATCATAATCCTCAAAGATGAGGAGCCATCCCCTCCACCAGCCGCAAGAGTTGGCTGCCATCGTCGATCGATTCCGTCCCGACTGGTCACCTTTTGAGGACATCTGCAAATATATCCACTCGCACCCTGAATTAGGCACCCAGGAGTCTCAAACGGCGGCTCTTGTGGCTCGGCATCTCACCGATCTTGGCCTCGATGTGAAAGAAGGCATAGGTGGTTACGGCCTCGCCGGTATCCTGCGCAATGGCCCTGGTCCCATCGTTCTGATCCGTGCAGAACTTGACGCTCTCCCGGTGCTAGAAGAAACGGGGCTCCCATACGCGAGCAAAGTTTGCGCGCGCGACAGCAATGGAGTCGAACAAACACTGATGCATGCCTGCGCTCATGACCTCCACATATCCTGTCTCCTGGCGACCATACACCTGCTCATAGCTGCCAAGTCGTATTGGAACGGAACTGTGATCTGTGTTTTTCAGCCGGACGAAGAGAGGGGGAGAGGTGCCACGGCTATGGTGGAAGATGGGCTATACGAAAAGATCCCTATCCCCGACCTGATTCTCTTTCAGCCCGTCGACCATCAACGGACGGGCACCGTGTCGATCGGTTCGGGCCCCACACAAGCGGCAGCAGGTTCCTTCGACGTGAGAATCTTTGGACGCGGGGGCCACGGAGCCCAGCCAGAAAGTTCCATCGATCCGATTGTCATCGCCAGCTACATCATTGTCCGCCTCCAGAGCATTGTGAGCCGAGATATCGCGCCGTCAGACGTGGCCGTCATCACGTGCGGGAGTATCCATGCCGGCGAAGCCGAGAACATCATCCCTGATTTCCTAGACTTTAAACTCAACATCAGGACTTTCAATTCCCAGGTCCGGAAGAAAGTGTTGGAGAGGGTCAAACAGATCATCACGGCCGAGTGCGAAGCGTCCAACGTCCCCGAGCCTCCCCAGATTACGGTGAGAACGACATTTCCAGTGACGGATAACAACGTCGCCATCGTCGAGAGGCTGAGGAATACGTGGCAACCCTGTTTTGGTGACAGCTTGCAAATAGACGTGCCGAAAGCAGCCAGCGAAGATTTGCCCAACTTGGCTAATCCGCATAATATCCCGTACGCGGTATGGTTCTGTGGAGGCACGGATGCGGAGAAATGGGACGACGCGGCGCGACGCAATCAGCTGGACCAGATCCCCAGAAATCACAGTGGTCTCTTTGCCCCCGTCATCGAACCCACTCTTCGTACAGCAATCAATGCCATGTCTCTCGCAGTTCTCACATTTGTGACCAATGGATCTTCTTTAGTCGCTTAAGCAATCGCTTCACCCGGGTACGATTATTCCATCCTGCCACTGTTTACATGACCCACTAATTGCCTTATTTAGGTACTTAAACGAGAATTCTAGCCGGGGAAGTTGGTGTCTTACCTACGAAAACAGTGACAGAAAAAGCGTACCCTTTCACCACATAGAAATCAGGATGGAAGCCGACTTTATTCAAGGAGCTAGAAGTAGTAGGAAAGGAGGCAGAGGAACATCAATATGCGGGCAAGAAAGAGGGGAGCAAGGGGGAGTGAAAAAAGGGACTGGCAGACGGATGACATTGCTCATTCATGAGGGCAGGAAGTTAACTTCAGGGGCATCAAAAAAACATCCAGAAGGAGAAGCGGAAGACCTTCTCAAGTCTTTAAATCTAGTTAACTCAAGGAGGGCTGTAGGTTGTAATCTACTCGCTCTAAGGTCACATACAACAATGGTGAACACTTTTCAGACACCACTAAAGGACCACAGAGTTTCTAGAGCAGAAATCCAATATGAAGTTCTACCGAGTTACCAAGGAAGTCCTGTCCGTAGGTAGCAGCCTTCGCGCCTGTATTCTGGGTCAGGTAATCGCCGGTAGTGATACTGTAGGTAGATTCCAACCCGCCCCGCGTGATCTCGCCATGGAGAAAGTCTCAGTACTCGGGCGTCAGGCGTCGGGCGTCAACAGTCAACCTGTCGAGGGGAAAGATTATTGTAGTGGCCTGCCCGAATTCCCATCTCGAGCGATCCTCGCTCAAAGTCTATCTGATCGCGCGCTCTATTCATTTGACTACATCTTACCGCCCGCCGCGGAGAAGTTCTGATGGCAGAGTTTGTTGGGCCAAAGGGAGGATCTACTTCCTTGCTTGCTTGGTCGAGCTGGCCGAGGAGGAGAACGTAAGTCATTCGCACCATGAGCCTCAGGTCAAGAATGAAGGGATGAACTGTTCAGCAGGGGCTGTACTCGATTGTCATTGGGTGGACTTATTGTCAAAGAAGTGAAGGCCCACCGCTCCAAACTAGGTAAACCATTCTACTCTCCCCGCTGATTTGATGAGGGGCTGTGTCTCGCTCACGAGAAGAGCCTCGAGCTACGATCCTTGCTGCGCGCCCTGGCTTCGGTGATCCTCCTGGGAGGACCGCACTCACTATTAGACAGAAAACGCGAGATACTGGACGAATGCGGCGTCCATGTTGAGGCCGAACGCGCCCATCCAGAAATCAGATCTCGATTACCAAAGAAGACTCCTTAAACCTGTCCACTTCTTCTCGAAGATTTGAGCAGGCCAGTGTTTGCACCCCGATTTTATTAATCTTTGTGACCCGGGAGACCGAGCAGCGAACTGACTTGATATTCTCGACCAAGCAGAATGGGCGCGCAGAATCTTTCCAGACAGAGGTTGGATGAGTTTGCTGAACTAAAACCCTTGGATTCAAGTCTCGCAACTCCAGATACATCAAGGCAGGCAACTCAAGGATCCGTCTTAAGCGCGGAGATGGTGTCAATGGCATCGGATTTCTCTTTGGCGAGAAGAGAGCCCCGATGGCCCTAGTATATTCATCCCAGTCGCAACGCAGATTTCCATGGCCGATCGGATATCTTGCAACTGCTGAATAAAACATTCCTTACAACCCCTGAAGAAAATGACCTACGGATGATTGGTAGGACGCAATTAAGAAGCCTCGCGATATGTGGGCCTGGCGGCATTGGCAAGACGCAAGCCGCTGCAGAATACGTCCATTCTCGAAAGGACCACTTTGATGCCATCTTCTGAGTGTACGCTGATCAACCAAGTAAAATTGCGGAGGGATTCAGCCGCATCGCTATCGAAATGGGGCTCGTTCCGGAAGACTCATCCGATGCTAAATACCAGACAGTGACACGGGACATTGTCAAAGGATGGCTTGCAATTGCCTTCATAACTTATGACATTATCGATACTGACGCGCAGGATACTGCTAAATGGTTCTCAGTTCTTGACAATGTAGATGACGCTGAGATGCTGACGGACTACTACTGGCCCTTGGACGGACCTGGATGTGTTTTGACTACTCGCCGTGACCCCCTTGCTAAGAAGAGTCGATTTTTGGCAACTGATGGAGTTGACCTCGGCCATTTCAGCCGTGAGGAAGCAGCGGATTGACTCCTCAAACTGACTGAGCGTGATACCGACACTGATGGAGTCGACCCGCAGCTGTTTGACGTGGCAGAACGTCTGGGAGGATATCCCCTCGCCATTGCACAAATGGCTGGTGTTGTCACACGGCGGCAGCTCTCCTTCGCAGATTTCCTTCAAGCTTAAAAAGAGGAGGAATCTCTTGAGGAACTATTCAATCTTTTTCTCGATACTCCCGGTCATCGCAGCGGATATGAGCATAATGTGGCCACTGTTTGGGCGATTGAGGGCCTTGAAAACGGCGGCACGCTGTTGGACGCACATTCGTTCCTGGGCCCCGATCATATCCCTGAGCGTATCCTCCCTAACCAACCAGGGATTGCAGCCTTGGAAGGCTTTCTTACCACCGCGATGGTTTACCAGAAAGCGATATCCGAGCTCCTACAGTCTTCTCTAGTGTCGAGAGACAAGAATGCGAATGAATTGACAATACATCGACTGATTCAGGACCCTGCTCGAGGGAAGATGTCAAACGCCCGTTTTTGGGCTATTTTCTCTGCCACGGTCAGATTACTAGCATCAGTCTGGCCCTAAGATACGTCTGATTGGCGGCATAGTGTGGCGCGCTGGGGTTGTATGCGAAGAAGAGTTTCCGCACACTGTGCGGATCAAATCTTCCGCTTCCCGCTTTATATCATCTCGAGTGGAGCAAGAGGAAAGTCTGCAACCAGAAACAAGTCTGGAGCTTTCAAGGCTTTTGACAGGCGCTGGCTGGTAGGCTCCTAAATTCCACTTGAGTCAGTGCAAATGACTGAGATGTCAAAGTACCATCTTGAACAGGGCGACCCAGAAGAGTCAGAAGATTTCTACGACATTTCGAAGGTGATCTGCAACATGTTAAAAATGGTGGATACCAAGTCCGCGACGCAGACACAGCCAGCTGGGGCAGCTGGGGCCACCATTGTTCTCACGTATCAATGGTCGTCTAGCAGAGATTATCCATCACGGTGGTTGTGCTGGAACCGTTACTAACAAGTCTCCAGTAGCTCTCTCATGTTGTGAGACATATAACTCGCTCCTGAGCGACGAATTTGCCATAAACCCATCAGGCGTGGGAACGGGTCTTGCAATATCGTGGAACGAACTCGGCGTGGCTCAGATGATGAATCTGCAATGGCAAAAAGAAGAAGAGTGCTGCCAGAAGGCAATCGACATAATGCGGGAAGAAACCCTTCCTCAAACCATGTGGTCTTTCCTTCGTGTCAATTTAGGCCAAGTATACTAGCTCATGGGCAAAATCGAAAGTCACTCTCTGTGCTTCTGGAAGGGCTTTCTATTCGTGAATTTGCGTATGGTCTTAACGATCGCGAGTCATTCATGTAAGTTCAAAATCCCGCAATAATCCGAACCCAGGGTATTCTGACATACTTGCCATTAGTACCGGAAGATTCTTCCATGCCTGGGGGAATGTTAAGGCTACTCAAGGGGACCTGGACGAGAGTTTGGCATACCACCAGAGGGCCTTGCTTCAATATCGGTCCACGGTCGGTGACAATCACCATCAAACGGCCGCTGCGTGTTACAAAGTCGCAGTGCACTATGCGCGACTAAACCAAAATGAGGCTGCAATGCCCTTGATCAGGAACGAAGCTCATACTAGGATATTAGAAAAGTGCTTAACCAGGCTCTCAAGGTATACAGTGCCCTTACGGCTTACAGGCCAGAACGAGCGAGGGCCCACTATTAAAACAAACAGGTACTATCATCCCTGGGCAAGGCGAAAGCCTCGTTCGAGGTCAGCCGGCAGTTGTATGTTGAGATGGTGCTGGGTGGTAAGCAGCCCGCAGGAGAACTCAGTGAGGCGGACCTGTAAAAACTCGTAGTGTTCTGGTCAAGATAAAATAAAGCTCTGTGCGCGCCACCAGATGCGGCACTGTGATTGATTTAGTTTGGTCAGTGAAGGATCATGACCTTTCAATCATTTGTCTTTTAAGGCTGCGCCTATCATCTGTCATTTTGAGTCTCGACTAGGGCAAATCGCTGTTTGATTGTTACGCAGGAGTGTCATTGTGGACCTGTGGCATGTAATTCCATTCTACAGGCGCAACTGTAAAGCTGATTGTCGAGTGATTTCGGGCGGTTGAATCGAGGTGAGGTCTGGTGTCTCCACTTTTAGTGACTTAGAAGCACGACGATCAATTGAGAAGTGGCGTTATGGAAGGAGTTTGCGGACCGAATAGAAGCATAGATTGAAAATTGTGATTTGCCAGCGTGAACTATTGGTGGCGTATGAGAGGGTTGCATGTTGTTGTGATTCTTCGGCACGTTTGGAGCAGGCATGTTCCAACCCGCCAGGGACCAGATGTCTGTCTCCTTCAAGACAGTATGGTAAGACTTCCGTTCCGGACCGAGAGCTTAATGTTCTGAGATGTGCGAGGTGCGAGGCAACATGTATCGTCCTTCGTTCTCAATGGGAGACCTCGTGTTTGGAGGAGCGTAAGTGTCTGGTTTGAGAACCGATACTGGAGTGCGGTGAGCCGAATACCCAGCCAAAATCAACCAGGCGTAACACAAGTCCCAGACCTGCTGCATACTAATGCATTCGATGCTGCAAGAGGTGCATCGAATGCATGGCTAAATAGATTGCTTTCAGACAGCGGTGTGTTGCACCATAAATGATGCAACTGGAGCCGAGAGCACTTTGGGTAGCCAGAGTATCGGAATCGGCGATGCAGAATGGTCTTCGATGTGCGTAGATCTTGCGAACGTGCGAATCATGTCTCGCTTTTAATATATGGCAATTTCTGTACTGGAGGGGTAAATGGTGTCTTCACTGTTGATGTGAAGTGGCTGTCGGAATGACTGGTTGTTGCCGGGGGTTTCTGTCTGCGGGGCAAGGTAGGAAGCTCCTGCAGGCACATGAGAGAAGCGAAGAGTGAACTTGAAGCCTGTAAAAGAACCAGGTGACTGCGCCAATTCCAAGGGAACGGTACACTCTCACCGAATTGGGGGTGATCCGACTTCGGGGATTTCTCGAACATGGGAGGGATGTTGATGCAGGTGAGTAAATGCTTGACGTCAAATGCCTGTCCGCTGATATTGTAAGGATGTGATGATAGACGGATACGAAATGGATTGCAAGGCCGAAGTTCAACAAGCCGAGCTTGCACTTCCTAAATGCAGTATATCCAATTGATCGTGCTTTGGCTAGGTTCGGGCACCAGGGAACATGGTGTCAAGGCACCATGCACACCAAACCCGATCACCATCTGCAGGTGAGGTGCCCAAATATCTCGTCGCACACCAACCTTTAGTATCCTAGACCTGGAAGCCACTCTAGAACAGCAGACTATGTCGAATGTCGCTCCCGAGACTCCCTGTTTCCGTCGCTACTATTGTCCGATGCTGAACACCAGATCCCCGAGGCTCGTACAGGTACAGCCTAATCGCTGTGCTCGCCGGATGATACAGATTCATGTCCCAAGAACCAAGATATTGGGTTGTAGCATTTTGTGTGAGGAGAGACCTGTAGGACCAAGACCTGGATTTGTGGTTGCTGTGGTCTTTGAAGATTCCCAACCATCGTATGTGAGACAGGCGTACGAGGTTGTGCCTTTCGTAGCAATTGAGGCTTGATCCTATCCATTCAGGTCTTGCATACAATAAACCATACTTATTGGAATGCCATTTTGGAAGCGAGCATTTTACAAAGACAAAATAAAAGGTGATAAGAATTAGTTGCGATCGTGACTTATTAGAGGCGACAGACCACAGAAATGGAGGAAGAAAGGAAATTGGAAAAGAAAAAAACCAAGGACAAAAACATGAATATGCTGCCATGAAGTAGCAGTAACTATTTAAAAGTCACTCCCTCCTTCCTTCGACTTGAAGAATCAAATGGTGAGATAGCAGGTACGGGCTCCAACCAAATCATCCCAACTGGGAAAGGAACCTCAAAAAAATCATCCTCATCAACCAAAGCGCATCAAACAAAAAGGAATTACCAACGGAACCATCAATGGAAGTCAACCAAAGTCAATCCAATCCAAAAATTTAGTACCAGGAAAGCAGGCATCATCAAGGCCCATCCATCCATGCCAGACCACTCTCTCGGTCTCGGTAGAGGCCCACACCATCAGATCAGTCGGGTGCGAAAGCCACCAGGCAAACTCTCATCAACAGAACAGAACAGAAGAGAATAGGAATCCGAAAATCTCAATATGGAAAAACAGACTAGACGAGACAAGACTACCTATATTGACTTCTGTCCCATCCCATACCGGTACTGTACTGTAAATTTACGTCCAGCAGCTCTCACAGCTCTCACCGTACCGACGATCACGGCCACGGCACTCACCTTTCCATCGCTACTGTAAGTTAGGTAGTGCTCAACCTCCTCTCCTTCCTGTTCCGTATCTCGACATGCAGATCCCCCATCGCCAATTCGCTCATCTCTTACTCGAGGAAACGGACATTCGCCGACCGACTACTTGAGCTTTTAGATCTGAAGTTGAATTACGATTAGTCGACCGCTGTATCGGTACCTTATCCCTTGAGAATTAAGATGATTGTTTTTAGGTAGGTAATACTCGTATTTCGCCGCGCATTATTATTGTGGGTTGGGGTGGGGTGGGGTGGGGTGGGAAGAGGATTGGTGGGTGAATGCATGAGGTGGTGATCATGAAAAGGCACGTGGGATGTGGTGTTGATGATGATTGCTTGGAGGCTGCAAGTACAGTATGGTGATGTGTGAAATTGAAAGAAGGAAGGAAGGAAGGAAGGAAGGAAGGAAGGAAGGGAATGTAGATGGAGTGGTCATTTTCGGAAAATTTGGAGAACAAGAAGGGTGTATTTGAGAAATGAGGTAAGTACCTAATAAGAACGAAAGGCAAGCTGTAGCTTTGCTTTGCTTTGCTTTGACGCTTGCGTGTGAGCGAGAGAGGAGAAGAGAGCTCCGTGGGATTTAATTTAGAGCTTGTGCTTGCTTGCTTGCTTGCTTGACTCGTGGTAACCTTACCTACATCTCCGTCCGGATATACTCGTAAATTTAGCAATCCTACCTCCCTCCCTTTCCGAAAATACGAAACCCTCAGACAGTACAGTAGTAAAAACGAACAGATGTTTCCCCCTCCTCTTCTTTTCCTTTTCTCTCTATTCTCGAAGTTTTTTTTTTAAAAAAAAAACAGAGCATTAATCCTAAATCCCTTTCACCTTTTCCTTTCCTCTTCCCATTCATTCTGCCATTCTCACAAGCGAACCCCTCCCCTTCAACCCAGCCAAACCTCGGCTCCTCCCATCCTATCCCATCCCATCCTACGAGTATCCCACCACCACCACCCAATCCATCCCCTATCCCAGCCGAGCATATCCCTGCACGCCGCCCCGTCCCATCCCAACTCAGCCGGACAGGGGCATTGCTGACTGATGGGATATGATGGGATGGTGGCTCGCGGGTGTGTGAGACATTTGTTTGCCAGGCTGGGAAGACCCCTGTTCGCGAGCAAGCCCATCGAGCAGGGAATGTGCGTCCCAGACCGTCGGGTGGGTGTGGTGTCCACCGTGTCCTGAGTGTTCGAGTGTCAATTACGAGTACGGGAGGGGAGAACCCGCTTGGACTTGGGCTTGGGCTTAAGATAGTAGGTAAGATGGGATTGGGTGGTTTGGTCAGAAGAGAAGGCTGGAAGGAATGAAGGGAGAGGGGATGAGGTTGCTGGACTTGGAAGAGGATGAGATGCAGGCAACGCAAGACCTAGATGGGGAGGGGGAGGGTTCTGAGCGGTAAATGCGATGCGATGGAGGGAGTTTATTTGGTATATACCTACCGAGGTAGGTAAGTAGGTATGTTTACAGGATCGTTTGCAAAAGTTTCTCATTAAGTTTTCTATTGTTCAACACATCTGATTGGGTACCGCCTGGAAAGTAAAGTACAGCTCTCACATATCGCGCCCTACCTAGCCAGCGCTTACCTACGCATTCCAAGACTAAAATAGAAATACCTGAAATACTTCCTCGTACGGCTGTACCTCCGTGTTGTGCTGTGCTGTGCTGTATTGTGTTGTTTCGTATGTACACATGTACTGTACTGTACTTCTAACGCAAATAGTTTATGACTGTGACAGAGGTACAAGTACATGTGCAAGGGTACCGGATACAGTATTGGTCCGTGGTTGGCCGTCATGGAGTAAGTGGATAGATGTGGTTCCGAGGAGCTGGGTGGAGCCAGCGCTGTGTAGGTTGATGTACTGTGATGAGACGTGCGGCGTTGTGCTGTGCTGGTGAGCTTAACCATCACGGCGGGTGGGTAGGTAGGTATGTTGGGTTTTACGGACCGCTTACCGCCATGATTTGGAACCTGCCATGGCATGAATAGTCTCTCCAAGAGGGAAAAGTGAGTTGAGGCATAAGTCGGTCGAGCGAAATGCAACACAAGATGAACCTAAGGATGAGATTCCGGTCGTTGCTCCGTCCACCAGAAATGTCCTTCGATTCCAGTTCACCTATTACGTTAGTCGCCTAGATTGCAAGCCGCTTGCTATCTCCCACATATAGACACCGCAATCATATATTAAAAATCCAGAATCCAGACTCTGTGTCTGTCAGTCTTGGCTGTTGGTTCTCCTCCTCCCCGACCCAAACGGATCTTTCTACTGGTAAATCTTACGCAACCAATCCCCGATTCGAGGTAATGCCATCCCGTGCTTGGCCACCACATGGGCCGCCATCATGCATGTATGATTGCATATGCTATGCAAGAGGCAGTCCTCTCTGTTGGGAAAGCTAGGGTGGGTCGGAGCAGGTGGGGTGGTTGGAGGGATCGATCAATGAAAGCAAAGCGTCACGCTCTCCGGCGCCGCAGCGTTGTTGGAAGTGCGTGCGGCTCGGCTGTGGAGATTTCCGATTTCTTTGCTTGATTCCTGTTCGTTGGGTCGGGTCGTCTTTTGTTGGTTTTTGTTTGTTGTAAAGTGGATTGGAATGCAATACGGTTCAGACTTTCCGATTCGATCGATGATCGTTTTCGGTTCTGGCCGTGCCGTCCAAATGGGGAGATGCTTTCCAGCATTATTGTCATTTTGTCAGCTGGAATGTCAGATGTTGTGAATATCCAACATGAGGCGTAGTGCTTTCCAGTCATGTGGATGTAGAAATTTATGTAAGCGCGGTATGAGAGGAGGATGCTAGTCAGCAAAGTCAGCAGTCCGAATCCTTCGGCTTGGGATCGGCTGAGCCGTTTCGACCTACTTACTGGATGCCCGATTCTATGACATGTCCCGGTTACCATAAACCGCATATAGCGTCGAGGATGGTGCGGAAATGGTGATGGGGTATACACCGGGATTGGGTATAATACGAGTGTAGGACAGCCGGTTGGTGTGAAGATTTTGGGGCTTCAAGGATGGGTGCGGCGCAGGGTACCGTCAGCATGAGGTCGAGCATGGCATTTGCCGGGATCGGAATGTTGGTGGAATAGGAAGGATGCTCAGTGGTTGGAGATGTGCAGACTTTATTGTGAGTTGGTCAGAGTACATATCAGATGTGCAGTTCCAGCTCAGCTGTATCGGTTGTCATGGATGTGTTGTGTTGTGTTGTGTCGAGGACTCGAAGTGCTGGTACTGTACAAGCGGGTGCGGGCCATTCAATCGACCCGCCTCTGCAAACCGCCGGATCCTGGTTGGTGAACCGAACTGTCGGGCCTGATGACGGTACCGCGCCTCCACCGTACTGTACCGCTGGACGGAGATGGATGGATGGACACCTATATCTCCTTCAGGACGCAATATCCGTTCCCACCACTGGAAGAGAAGAGAAGTAGTTTTGTCTCACCGACTGCGCTTAATCTTGCAGACCAGAGTTTTCACCTCGGAGTTCATTTCGTATTTGCCATACAAGTATCGTTGGTTACTTGGAATGATGAATGTCCGGTATTGGGCATGCAGACGGGCGTACCGCCGGCTCGGTATCCCATGAATCATAGATTGGATGGAGACTACCCCGTCCCGCCTGGCTGGGGCTGTTGTTGCAATCTCGGTGCGGCTGGGAATGATCATCCCCAAGGATGAAAGGGCCGAAAGAAACCCAGCTTGACTTTAATCTTAAATCAGATATTGAGAATCTTGTGCGAAGATCTCCTCTTCCAAACCTGCGCAGAGAGAGGAGAAGATAAGAATGAATCGTGTCAACTGAGCAGGCCAGAACTCTAACCACAACTTTATTACCCTGCGACACAAATCCTCAACTGCAGGAAGAAATCTGACGAGTCTGTACCACGCCATAGGTGATTCCCGTGTGACGATGAGCAAGGACAAGGACTAGGATACGCTGGTTGCTTGGGTGGTATTGTAGTGGGACAAGAATATATCCGAGCCCTGTTTGTTGGTCAATTTTTGCTGGTGCAGGTAGACAAATTTGACGTTGAGTGATCCAACGCGCTGTTTGAACAACAGAAGGATCATTCATCTGATTTTTGACCTCTGAGACCTAGAAGAAGGGAAGTATCAAAGGGAGGTCAGTCTGCATTCGCCTTGCTTTCCAGATCAACCCACAATATCAAAACACGGAGAAAGAGACCAAACCAGACAGACCCAACCTCCTGTTAGCATTCCTGCTATTACTAAGACCAGACCTGTTTCGTTTCATTTCACTTCATCTCCGCGGAGGATTCCATCATTCTTTCTAACCCTAGGTGAAAACTCGTTCATCACGAAACTTAAATTATCCTGTACTCGATCGGTTGATTGGATTCCCAGAGATCGGTTCTCTGGTCCTGACTGTCGGTAGAGTACACGAATAGGAACGACACCCCGATTCCAGGCCAAACACCAATACCAACATCTGCTTGAACGTGGCACAGAAATTTGAGTTTTGAGAGAATCGTCAGACTGGGTGTAATTCGATCTGCAAGCATTTGTTGCTCGCAACTCTCCTCTCGGATCCGAACAATCGCCAGTAATTCTGATACAGACAGACAGGGTATATTCGGCCCCCATCACAAGCCTCAGCCTTCTTCGGCCTTTTTCCAACTCGTCTGGTCCAAAATGAACATGTGAAACACCTTCTCCCTTTATTCTGTACCCGCCGACTCCCGCCATTAATATTTATATTGTTATGTCGGGTCCGTTGTCCAGGTTCATCGGGCGGTGGAGACGAGATAGAGCAGTCGGTCCCCACAAATATGTTACCGCCGTTGGGATTGAGACTACATGATGCACCAGAAGCTTTTTATATCTTCTAGCGCGTACCTGCATGACTTTTAGTCCTTTTGTGAAAATTTGGTGGAGACTCGCGACGAAAGTAATCCGACCCAATGCGAGGCAGGTACTACAAGGTACAATGGGGTTCTTGCGAACCTTTGTCTTGTCTCAGGCTATCCGATAGACTTCGATGATGGATTGTCAGCCCTTACGCCTCGATTAATGCCGAGCTTTAGTATCAGGACGAGCAAGTAATCTAAATCCCAGAAGCATGTCAAAGATCGACCATGCGATCGATCGATGAACAACTAACCCTAAGCATCAACAAATCTCCGAAGCAAAACCTGCTCTCGTCGTCCCCTTCCAGTCTGGTCGTCTGCCCGCGAGTCAAACACCACAGATCCTCAGTCCCCTTCCCCCAAACTCTCCAAGCGAGGGAACACTAGAACACCAGCCGATGTCTATCAGCTGCAAGCCACCTGTACCAAGTGAATTTACCCAGCAAAACCCCCAAAGTCTAATTCCCTTCTGCGGGCAGCTACAGGCAGCACGGAACAGCTACGGGCTTGGGAGCGTTCGGGGTCACAGGCGACACAGCGCTACTCTGCCGCTACACTACGCTACGCTACGCTGCCGTCAGTGCCATTCCCGTCCCAAGGACAAGGTCAGCGAGGTTGCACGCTGGGACGAATCTGGGACTGGGAGGTCCAGAGGAGCTGTTAGCGGTGTAGAGGCTTGCCCTAGGCGCTGCTCCATTCGTTGGATTCCAGATTGTACCGCCGCCACTGACCCTGTCCTGCTGCCCTGATGCCCTGCCGTGCCCTGTTCTGACTGCTGGGTTTCCAGGTCTGCCATCTCCCGTGCCCGAGAGTACTACTGTACTACTGAGGTGAGGGACTACGGAGCAGGTGGGTGAGGCGCTTTTCCAGAAGAAGACAGCTCCGCCAGTCAGGGAAGAGCCAGGGAACATTTAGACCAGGACAGGGTCTTCCAGAGGGAGGCCAGAGACGACGAGCACCATTTGCAGGGTGCCAGTGGACCCCGACTACAGTAGCACTGTGCAGTACAGTACTTACTTACTGTAGCAGCCAGCCATCCAAACCCAATCCCAATCCCGTACCCAAACCCAAACCCAAACCCAAACCCAAACCCAAACCCAAACCCTTCTGGGCGTCGAGCTAGAACCAAAGCTAAGGTAGACCGTAGCCGTGCCCTTCGCCGTCTGCACTTTCTTTGGGACCCGCTACCAGGACGTCGACCACCGTTCGTTCAATTACATACATACCTACCACGACCCAGCAGTACTTCTCGTCTCCTCGACTATTCGTTCGTTCGCTCTCCTTTCCCAGGACCAGAGACTCTGACGCCAGACGCCAGCGACTGTGCCAACACCGGCAGCCGTCTTCACCGTCACCGTCACCGAACCCACTACTTCAACAGCCAGATACCCACCCACTTCCACGTCACTTGCATTCTCTACGCACCACCACTTCACTTCGATTCAATCCGGTCTCTACAACCTCGTCTTCTACATACCTCTAACCACGTCACAACATTACATTACAGTCTATTACAGGCTTCCTCGAATACAGCGAAACCCCACCTGCTACGAACAGCAGATGATAGTATAAAAGCAACAGCGACCTCTGCGACGAATTTCCTATACATAATTGTCTCGATGGTTGTGACCATGGCCAACAATGGGTACGTTTGATTTCCCTCTGGTGGTTGAAGGCCGTGTCTTTGCGGGATATTTACTTCCCCCCCACCAAGTCCGCACCCTTCAAAACTCTGCAGAAACTTTTCCAGCACTGCACAGAATCTGCGACCTCAATTCTGTGTTCTCCTTGTCGGAGAGCAGTCACTGACAAGAACCCCGCCAGAATGCCCCTCCCTGTTCGCCCCGAACACCAAACCAGCCAACCTCCCCCACCAAATTACATAGAGTATGGGCGCACCTACTGTGGCTTCAGAAATGGCAAATACATGTTTCCAATTGACGAGGTGAGTGCTACGATTCTTCCAGTACAGTGCAGGGCAGAAATACGAGCCGGTAGGACATAGGGTGGTGGGCTAACTGAGGGGCAGTCTGAGATGGATCGCATGGACATCTACCACAAATTCTTCTCGGTCGCCAGAAATGAAGAACTGCACGCCACGCCCTTTAGCCCGAACTATGATAAAGGGCCCAGGATATTGGATTTGGGCTGTGGAACAGGCATTTGGGCGATTGATATGGCAGAGTAAGGCGCGGATTTAGGAGACAGTGAACGAGGCTGATTTTAGCAGGAAATATTACCACCATCACGCAGAGGTGCAGGGGATAGATCTGGCACTGATTCAACCTGCAAAGTAAGAACCAGGAGATTGCGGGAAGATTCAACTGCTAACTATATGCAGAATTCCGCCGAACTTGACTTTTGCCCAGCGAGATATCGAGTCCCCATGGTTTTGGTGCGATGTTGATTCTTGGGATATGATCCACATGCGGATGCTGGCAGGAAGCATAACTAGCTGGCCAACCACATATGCACAAATTTTAAGGTGGGATACACAAATCTGGATGGAAGTGAGCAGAGGCTGACAGAATTAGGCATTTGAAACCAGGCTACGGATGGCTGGAGCATGTGGAGATTGACATAGAGCCACGGTGCGACGACGGTACCCTCCCTGCGAATTCCAGCCTCATACAATGGAGCAGACTGCTATTGGATGCGACAGAGCGCGCTTACAGGCCGCTGGCATACAACCACGACACAGGAGCAATGCTTCACAGAGCAGGCTTCGTGGACATCAAAGAGCAGGTCATCAAAATTCCCCTGAACCCGTGGGAGAACGACCCTCATCAGAAAGATATTGGGCGCTGGTATAATCTCGGTCTTACGCAAGGCTTGGATGCACTTACCACGGCGCCTCTGACACGGATGAGCCAGTGGACGAAAGAAGACGTGGATAGATTGATTGGAGATGTCAAGAGGGAGGTCTGCTCCAAGAAGCACCACGTCTACTGCAATATGTGAGTTGTGATTCTGCCTATCCATTGCCCTATTCGCGCAACAAATTTTTCCTAAAATTGCCTCTATGACGTCCAAGCTAACATGTTTCCGCTAATTAGGCACATTTGGATTGCTCGCCGGCCAGCCAATGCTTGAGTCCTTCCGCAGCGAGAATTAACAAGCCACCCTTCAAACGCCAGCCTGCAGCACACCTCGCGGCTCTTCTCTCACACCACCCTCGGATTCGACGGGATCTCAATGACCAACCTGTATTCAATTTACCCGAACAAAATACAAAAATGCGGTACAGACAACCCAACCCGTCTAAGCCTGGGCAAGGCAGACCTCTCAATCAAACGAAATGGGCCCCCTCCCTTCCTTAACCGCATTGTAGTACCATATGCGCGCGCGCAGAAAGACTGGGTTAGATGCATATGCAGCTCTAAGCGCCTGCAGATGTAACCCCTCCTCCCTCCTCTCCCTGACCTGGCTCATTACACTTCAATTACGGCCGAAATTCCGCTCGGTACGCGAACAACCTGCAATTTCTGGCGGCTGCCCGGATCGATTTACCACCTTCCCCGATGAGCTGTTCTGCTCCGTGTTTCAAGCGTGGCGCATCGCATGGTCATTTCAAGAAGTTCACTGCAGACCATACTACGGCCTGCTTTGGTGTTGTGTGTTGGGGTCGGGTTTCGAGGTTGAATAAATGTGTGTTTTGTGGACTCGTATGACCAGTACGCCGAGAAAACATCCAATCGGCATTTCGTAGCTCTTCCCTGTCCCTCAATCCCACTGTTGGTTTTTTTTTGTTGGAAAACATCCCTGTACGACGCTCCGGACCGAAGCGAAGCGAGGACCCCCGCTCAGCCCAGACCAACCAGCACGGGAGGAACGAAACGAGTCCTGGGACAGGAGTCGCAAAGTGACAGATTTTGGGCATGTTGGTGTTGGATTTTGGGTTTTGTGTGAGGGTAATGAAGATTTGCGTTTGGGATGGATTGACCACTAACCGGCACTCCGGGAGCGCAAGGATGGCATGATGTTGGTGTTGGTGTTACATGATCGAGAGGGTGATTGCAGAGGCGCAGTGAACACTGTGTTACAGACCAGACCAGGTCAGCAAGCCAGCAAACCAGCCAGCTGAAATAGGGAGCATGCCAATTTGTCGGAGGGAGACCTGTTCGTTGGGTGGTGGATCGGCTGGGAGTTAAGTCAATTGGATTTGACCGGACTCGATTGGATAGGAGTAACATCGAAGGGGTTTTCGGCCATTCTGAGGTCCCAGAGAAAATGGCTATGCGGGCGTGGTGATGAGACATGTCGCAGGCGTCTTGGAGAAAATGACGAGAAATTTTGGACACGCTAAACCCTTTCGCCGTGGGGGTTGCGGAGCGATCTGAGTAACGAGCTGGCATGTACGGTTCACCCTTGGATGCCAGTTCCCTCAGGCAAGTCCTGTGTCTCGGCATTGAGATTCTGTACCATCAAGATTATTGTCGACCAGGCAACCTCACCGCCCTAACAATGTAAGCCTGGGGTCGTACAAGGTTTCCTTACTTTTTCCCACTGAAATCGATTCTCAAGAATGACGGGACTGGATTGCGACATGACGCAGATGAGATGAGATGAGACATGACAGGATCAGACAAGAACTGTCTCTGACCCAGGATTCTGGGATTATGGCACGCATACCTGGGCTGAGATGAGATGAGACGGAACTTTCCTTTCTTTTTTTCTCGAACCGGAGCGAGCCGGGTGGAGGGTGGAGGGTGGAGGGTGGATAGAGAGAAGGACAGACAGACAGGCCGGCCGGAATTCCAGACGTCGGCGGATTTGGATAAGTCAAGTTCAGATGGTTTGCGTTCAAGCCCCTTGAGCTTGCTTGCTTGCTTATCTACCTAGGCAGTTAAAGAAGCAAGGAAGTGTGGGATCATATGTCGATAACTTTGACGGTGCTGGGAGCTGAAGCCAACCGGCAAGCAAGAAAGCAAGCAAGACCACGAAACTGACAACTGAGATGGGTTTTGGCTGGGCTGGGTGAACTGGAAGAATGTAGATGGGTAGATGGGTAGATGGGTAGAAATAAAGAATGAAAACCTTGAGTCCTAAAATAATGTAACTCGAAATCTTGCATTGATGTCGGTCCGATAAATATGTCGGACTAGGAATGACTCTTTCGCATTCTTTCCAAAGTTCCATTCCCCATTCCTCTGCTTTTGCTCATAGTCATACTCATACTGTATATAGCGAGCTACACAAAACCCTCGGATCCTCTCCTCTCCTCTTCCATCCGATCCCATCACATTCTGACCTCTTTACAATTCGTTCGTTCGCTCGCGAGCTCGCTCAATCAATCAATCAATCCATCCATGCATGCATTAACACACCGTTCCTTCCCTTACTTCTTGTCTTTCCGAATTCATACTCAAGGCATCCCGGCATGCTAGCGTGCTTTTCCTATCCCTCTTTTCGAAGTTCGCAGACGACAGGTAAGCAGGCAGGTAGGCAGTCATTTGCGCGACTTTTCTCAAATCAGTAAAGATACCTCAGGTAAGGTCAGTAGATATCAATTGCAAAGCAGAGGAGGTTCGACCGAGGAATTAAAATTTGAATGATAAACGCAAAAGGAGTAACTTAGCAGGTAGCTTGCAAGATTATCGCCGCCTCCCTCACATGTAAGTTGATGAGACTTTGATTGCTGGCACGTAATGAGATGAGATAAGCAAGCAAGCAAGTAAGCAAGCAAGTATTATGGCAGAGGTTTGCACTGTGTTGGTTGGGGAGGAAGTTTGGGCGTAGAAGGAAGGAAGGATTTGAAATGGGAGAGAGAATGTTGAGAATGAGAAATACGCAGCGTAAGGGATAAAGAAAGTCTGTTTGATGTAGGGATGGAGTTCTTTGAAGTTCACGGGTTAGTTCTCTCCAAGGGACAACATTCTCAGAAACTGGATATAAAACAATCCTTGGGCAAGCAACACACACAGAAGCACACAGGCATCAGCGCCAACGTATCATGAGCAGAATATTAAGCATGATCTCTGACCGTTCTCTATCCCGAATATCCGGTTTGGACCGGGGTTTTGTGACTATGTATAGTCGGTGTTTTTACTGGAAATATAGCATCTCAACAGTCAATGAAGCACAGCAGGTAAGGTAAATGAATATTCTCAAAATACATATTGGTTAAGGAGTGTAAAAATCGTCATATCTGAAGCAAGTATTGCTAATTCCAAAACTGGCACATCCAAGTAAGTCACAAAGAACTCCATAACACAAATGCGTCCAACCTTCATTTTCCACCACCCATCCAATCTAAGAATGCAAAACCATCCATGCTATGCAAAACCAAGATCTAAACCAAAACAGAACACCAAAAGTACAAACTCCTCATCCCCTCCTACCCACCACCAAGCAGCAAGCCCCCCCCACTCAGTACTTAACACAAGCAATCTGCGCACCCACCAAATCCTTCGGCTGCGCAACAGGCGCAAACCCGGCAAAAGTACGCTGCTCCGTGATCGTAACAACATAGTTATCAAGATAGAGATCGCACTTGACGCCCTGGAAGTTGGACTGCAGGAAGAAGGACGTGGCCAGGAAGCTGTGGTTTGCATCGAGAGGGGTGTTGGTGAGGAGGGCGGCGACGCTGTTCTTTGCGCCGTCGAGGGAGACGGGAACGTTGGCGGATCGCCCGGAGTAGTCGTTGGTGAATTGGACGGTGGTTTTTGCGATGGGGGAGGCGGTCACGGAGGTGCCAGCGGCGGCGGCGAGGAGGGCGAGGGTGAGGGTGGTGAGGGATTGCATTTTGATTGTTGGGCCGGGTTGGGTTGGGTTGGGTTTCTTGGAGAGAAGAGAAGAAGTTTTTGTAGAAAAGGGTGATTTTTGATGTGAAGTCGAGAGTGGAAAGGGTGTTGGAAGGGTTGATTGTTGATTGTTGATTATTGCAAGTAGTAGATGTGATGAATGGAGATGATTGTTGATACTGATGAGGTTTCGATTCTGGGACGAGGACCACGAGGTTTATATATCCATCCATCTCGTATCGACAAACCTACTTACCCACCCATGCTCGTGTTTCCAAACCTTCCCCTCGATGCCTCCCACTACATACCTACACCTACCTTTCTCTCCACACCAGCCGCCAGCGCAGCATATTGCTCGCCAAGAACGGCGAACGGCGCTGTCTGTCAGCCCTGAGGGATGTAGACTATGTGCACAGCAATCAGCCAGCCCGCCGCCACGGTCACGATAGTGTAGTTCGGATCAGAAAATAGGACGAGGCGCGGGGTTCGATTCCGTAAGGCTGAGGAGGGGAATGCGGGGAGGCTGTGCATCGTCTCATCTCATCTCACCACCCCAACTTCTGTAACTCCCCGTCCAAACTCCCGACCTTACCTTAAACTCAAAGTCAGCTGACTTCCTCTCCCCCGCTACACCACAATTCCAGAGGAATAGTAGAAGTGAAGTGGTCTCAGCTGCGCCTTGGATACGAAAAAGGCCCGGTGTTTCTATTTCAGGATGCGGCTTAAATGTAGGCAAGGAAACTCGAAGGAATAACCAATGGTAAGCAGTGCTGCGTTTCTCGCGTGATACGAAAGAAGCTCAGCCGATCCATCACTTGAATATAATTGTCGTGTGAGATGATCAATCGACCATATTATCGTCAAGAGATGGGGAAAGTCGGATAATCTTTTAGGTTGGGAGTACCAGACTCCCGGAGTTTCCAGCGTTGAGTTTCTATTTTCGTTGCTGACCGCAGCTGAGATCCAGCTGTACTGTGTAAGCCTTGCACGTGATTTGTTTAGGGCTGACTTCGAATCTTTTACTTGCTGAGAAGGGTTTGTTGTTCTGATTGATGATTATATGAGAGATCGTTGATTGGTAATTCAAAGACTTGTTGTTTTATTGTGCATCATATTGTCGCAAGCTTATCTTGAGCGCGGTGTTTTGTCGTTTTCGTCAATATTGTCAAGACTTCGGTTAGCAACAGCCTTTTGGACACCTCCGTACTATCCGCAGAAACCGACAAGCTGAAGAGAACGTCTTGGTATCTCTCCTCATAACTCCATGGACATAGGAAAACACTTATAAGCATGTCGTTCAAGTGTTAAGGCTGACAGTGGCGCTACAGCATGGAGCTGGCTTTTGCTGCGGAAACCCGGCAGCGAAGCACAGCAGGAAGCTAGAACACTAAACAGAATTTTGTGAACAGCTCAGCGCAAAGATTTGACCAAGCCACTTGCTGGAATTTATGGTGTATCACACGACACTTCTGTATTGTGCCGCTATCTCCTGACGCGGCTCAGGTCGATCATTCAGCCTCGAAACGTCAACCTCCATACTTCTGCAGATATTGCCTTTTGCATGGAAGGAGATCTTTTTCACTCGAAAGCGTTTCATATTCTGTATCATTGGCTCATCTCTTTGACCTATGTCGCTGTTCTAGGAAGTCGAAAGAAGTCATGGCACAACATGCCACGGTCTTTTCCGTCCGAAAAACCTGCACATGCCTTCGGAAACTTTTCTTCGGCCCTTCGGGCAAATAATGATGGCGAGGAGCTCCGGCTAGAGCTCGAAGAGCGCAGAATAAACCCTGCGTTTGATCACCGCCCTCTTTCAGACCTTCTAGATCCGTTGCCGCTGCGACAGAGATGGAAATTATAGAAGATTAAAGATTTCACCTAGAGCAGTGTTCAGTTCGAAGATATCTCCGCCACAAGTCCAAGACATCCTAATGCAACCGTATGACGAACCTCCTCAGTTATGGGCCTACCATACTAAAGTGAGCGAAGAAGCATTGCCAATTCCACTTTTGAAGCTGGTTCGGATATCCAAGGCGTACAATGTCGTTTTTTAGACTTCGACCTGGACGGAGGGGTTGACAGCTTGGCAGTCGATGCCATACTTGGTAATACGAGCATTTGCGCAAGACACGGCTTAGTACAATGAAGGCTATTCTGTGAGAGGATAAGTTGTGGTATGAGATCAGGTAGATAGGAAGCGCTAACCATCTTTGTGCTTCGTCAATAACATAAGACAGTTGTTGCGCAGACGGAGAGAGATGAGATGAGTGTAAGACGCTTTGAATTTGACAATTTTCCCTTGCAAATTTTGTTGAGAGCAAGCTTGACCGTTGCAAACACTTTTTCCTCAACGGGGAACGATGATTCGAAGTTCATTTCCGAATTTCTCGCACTGGGAAATAATATCCCTTCTTCTTACCAACTCACCAGCAACTAATGAAAGCACAAAATTTCGTATGACCGGTGAAATATCGCCGGTTCGAAGATTTCCAATGTTGAAAAGATGAGATTGACCGTCACCTGCTGCTGATGTTACTTTTAGTGTTGATGTCGTTCGTGCTGACATTTCGCTGTGGGGCGGCTGGGCCCGATCTCCTCGCTTGCGTATTGTCGTCCAATCATATGCAAGCACAGTTCGTGATGGGTTTGGAATCTTGCCGGTAAAAGCCAAAAGCTGACTTTATATGCGTATGCATATGCAGTCGTCTCACGGAGTCACGATGTATGTTGCCAAACCCTGATATTGATGTTCAAGCTATTAGCTTAGTACTGTTCACGAGCCACTGGGGCGGAAGATTTGATGCTGACTTGAGATGCTTTAGATTTGAGGCTTGGTTTGGTAGAAAGTGCATGTCAGAAGCAACCTTGATAGCGTGGTTGAATTGTAGCTTGCATTGAAAAGTTAAGGCAGGCGAGATAGAGTGATCGTCCATCTAAGCCCATGAGACCTCTACTGCTGCGAAGGATAGTCTAATCGTCATACACTCTCACGGAGAGCTTCCCTTGCTTCTTGTCCAGAGCCATACCATGTCCCGACGAAGACTTTTGAAAATCATTCGTCTTCTATTCCGGGCTGAGACTTGAGTCTGCTGATGCGAAACTCGCAGAGATGGCTGTAGTTTGTTGTCAAGCAGCATTGCCTGGCTCGAATGATGCTACTGTTCTACCTCGCTTCAGAGCCTTCATTTGTGAAGAGATTGTGTCCTCTGCCCAATTCCACGCCAAGAGACGTAGCTAATGATGACCATTTGCTGCTGTGCAGAATATTGCGGTACGGAGGTACATAGTCGCATTCGAGGAGATGAAACTTGTTCTTCATGTTCATCGTGTCTCGCTAAGCATACTCTCATGGAGCTTCTAAAGTTGGTACGGAAACATCTTAAATCTGGCTGATAGGCGGTCTTGGTGTGCCCCGAACGACTGGTGTATGTCGAGGTGATTCTTGAAAAGACGACTCCAAGGTAACACGATTTCATCGTCGTCGATTGCGACTTTCAATGCAGAGCCAAGAAGACCCTTTGCTGTGAAGACTTGCAATAGCGATCATATAGTCCGCGCAGCGTAGTACCCGAGAAGTCTAGACATTAAGCTTCAGGTCCGAGATCTAATAGAATCCCGTCGTGTTTAGGAATAGTAGTGGTTGAATTGAAGACAAATCCTGGGGTCAGCCAAAGCTCGAACGCACAAATCCAACAACGATGGGAGGAACATTGCTTTGGATCTGCAAATCTTTGAGTTGCAAGAAGATCTGTAGACTGTTAGAATCCAGACATCAGCCATCATGGCTACCACTTGCCTCATTCAACGACGACTGTTCATTGATTTCCTCGATAATCTTAGCAAGTTCAAATTCCTTGAGTGACGGATCGCGAGTGACCAAAGCATTGTACGCGCTCTTCAAATGCGTAATCGCTACCATGGAATTGTCTTGTATGCTCTCAAAAATGAAGATCAACACAGAGGCGTGTAGGAGCAATTTCGTGGGATGAGTCTCCGACGGGGAGGATGCGATCTCTCGGATCCCTTCAAGCGCTCGACCGTACTGTCGAAATGCATAATTGAAGTGAGCAGATGCCAGGCCTGACATGTCTCCTGCTCGTTCCAAATTCTTTGCTTTGCTGAGGGCGGCGATAGAGTCATTGAGCTGCTGGATCGTGGGCTCCGTGTGAGGAAGGTCGGATTGTCTGTGGTCCCAGGGTATATTGTGAAGGACTTCTTCACCAAAGTCCCACAAGCTGCTGTCTTCTTCGGTGGTATTCTTGATACCTAGGTACTGCTGGTCTTCCAGACCGCCTTTTAGTTGCGATGCAGCAAGAGGCTGCTGTGGGGAATGAGGAATGGGCTCTGATGCTCGACGAAGTATCAGTTGAGAGTCATTGGGAAGAAGGAGACGTTTTCGATGCGCTGTCGTGCCCTTGGTTGCTTTGGCTTGTTGTCCTGACCGTTTGGGTCGGTAGCCTTCACACTCAGTTCCGAACTTCAGACATCTTAAGCACCCGGGCTTCCCTTCATCGCACTTGACCTTCCTTCGTCTGTCGAGAGAATAAGTTAGTAGTTCAGACGTAATTGTTGGTTCAGAGTTGTATGCAGTTGATGGTGACTGGATATGGCTATGTCTAGCTATGGCCCTGTGTCCAAATGGAGAACGATTCTGGCAATCAGGGGCTAGGGAACTGTAACATACTTGCAGGTTTTACAGCCTGTACGGACCTTTGGCTTACCAGCCCGACCCTTCAAAGATCTCTCTTCATCAGAAGCCATGTTTCTGGCAGATCGAGACGATTGTTGTCGGTTTGAATTCAGTGGGGTGTCAACGTCGATGGTCTTGTCTGTACCGAACGATGATTTCAGAAGACCAGATAAACGCCTTATAAATTCTAAGCAGCTGTCGCCTCTCAGGGCGTAGCGATCTTGGCATCTAGGGACCCCTTTGTAGCGTTTGGAGTACTGGGTGAGATCCAGGCCTTGGTAGTAAGCGCCTACCGAGCGTCGAAGATGGCGCGCATGGAACCGTCTTCCACGGCCTCTCCTATACCCCTGACTGTCAGCACCCCTCTCTCAAAAATCAAAGATATGGCCCAAACTGGCCGTACCCTTATATTCAAGTGTACGGCTCACCTAAAGAGGTCTCTTTAATAATCAAGAAGTTGTGTTGCCGAGTCATAGGCATTGCCGCTCGGTAAGTCATTCTGGCATGAATGATATCACACCGGACACAGAACCATTATGCTGGATTGATTTCAGGTATCGAGGGTCTAGTCCATGTCTCCCTAACTATTGTTCCATGAATCGAAGCTGCGTGCGGTCTCCCAATCGTAACAAGTTGTGCTTACGGTCTTGCCCCTTTTGGGCCACAATTCCATACAAGCGAGCCGAACAAGTGGAGATTGACGAGTTCCGACATGTCAGCAGCGACCAGCCACTTGAATGAGCTTGCTTGACAGCTGTCAAGCGTCTCTTCGCTGTAAAACATGAAACACATTCCAGCACTGCCGTCCCCGTCGTGGAAAGATACCCAGTGCTGAGAGGTAAGAGACGCTAGCATCCTCGCTAGTAAACAAACTACATTGCTTGGCGGGAGTCTCCCTCCACTGAGACGGCTCGCAGCGTATATGCACAGACGGATTTAATAAGACGGACTCCGCCGAGGAGCCGAACAGGCAAATAACAACGCTTGTCGTATGACAAGTCCATACATGGATGAAGATTCACTCGTGAGGTTGGGAGATAGACGCCGGGAAGGCTGTGTTCATAGAATGATAAGTTGTTCTAATACCGCCCACCAGCCGTGTAAGCTGATGAGGGGACGAGCGGCCAGCAAGCCATCAGACCAGTGCTGACCATATCAGGCTTGGATCCCTATGGCCAACCTTCCAGGGGAGAAAAGAAATCGAAAACATTAAGAAGAGTTCTCGAAGTCAACAAAAGAGGTGTTCAACACGTAACCCATTCCGTCTAGATATACCGATCCGTACTCCAATTGCTAAGTTTTTGCTAACGAGAAATCCTGTCATATTTACCATCCCTTCTTCTTAGTAGGGATTGGAATGCCTGGCCAACCCAAATGTGGGATTGGCTTAGGGAGAATAGGAATTCCTGTTGGGAAGCCATGGTGACCACGATGCACAGTGGTCGTTGTAGCACAGCTCCTGCATTAATGTTAGTCGTGGTCAAGCACCGATTTCTGGTGGTCTAATTGAACGCTCCTACGAGGAAATAGGTATGTATGTTTAGATGAGGCATCTTGGTCTGACAGTGACGCCACATACTTCGGCATCTAACCGAGAGACGAGTAAATAGCCGTACCGGCAACTCGACATGGCCCGGTATCTACCCAATTTATCCACCACCAGCCTGGCTGACTGGGGGTTTCGACGCCAAGAATAAAGAAATAGACTCACGTTGGGTGGTGATGGCCGGGAATGGTATGGTACCATGTCGATGTCGTCCAGCTGTAGGTGATGCATTTGGTAACGACGTAGTCATGACCTTTGCCGTTCTTGTTTTCACTGTCGAGAGGCTCGCCATCCTTTCCATGACCAGTGACTACCAACAAATCTTCGATTTTCTCGGCATAGTACTCCTCAGATTGCCCGAAGCCGAAGACAGGAGCCTTCAGGGTGTAAGGGCCATAAACAGTCTTGGTCTTACATTTAGGAGGATTGTGCGGCCACTTGGGAGGGTGATGTGGCTCTCTACCACTACACAGTGAAGTCGGTTAGCACATTGACGAAGAAAACAGTTAGGGTTGCTTCGAGAAAGCATTGAGGTTTGCTTACAGCAGGACTGCAGGCGAATCTGTGAGTTCTACTGTCTCTGCGATGATTGGGCTAGCGAGCGTACTGGCTCCGAGGAGACCAAGGATAACGACTGGAAGATACATGGCTGTATGGCTGAAGGTTCTTGTCTTCAAGGACCAAGCAGTGATGCTCGCAGGACTGAAACTCGATGCAGGGAGGGAGGAGAAGCAGAAGAGTTGGGAATCCTGGGGGATCTTATGGTTCTCCAACTCAAATCTGAGTATGGTTTGCACTAGAAATCCTCTTGCTCATCATTGTCTGTATTCATGTTGATGCTGCTGCAGACTTGACCCACAATCCTATCGGAAGGTCCAGTTTTCTTCGGCATCATACTTTTCACATGCCTGGTTGCGGAAAATGATGTTCATTGCGTGGTTGAGCTGGCCAATCTCAACAAACACCCTCGGCAGATACAGGCCGGAAGCCATACCGTCTCCTGTCGATCCTGAAACAATATGGATAGCGATATCAAAAGGCGTACATAAGCTTGAACTATGTCCTGAACCATTTCCACATCAGGTATGATGATCTGCGGCAGGCTGGTGTTTCCCGTGCACTAAAAACGCCACTGATATCGGGAGCCGCACTGGTGGCCAGATATCACACCAGACGAACCGAGAGTGTATGCAGCCACGGCCCTCACCATGCTGTCGTCCTATCAAGAAGTGCAGGTGGGGGTCAATCCCCGAATAGCTGCAGACAGAAAGCGCAAAAACTTCAGATAGTGGTTTCAAAATCAGATGAAGTCATGCAGGAAAGAGGGGATAGAACTCAAAAATATTCGTTCTCAGCCTGATTCTCTCTTGAAGATGGGGATCTGCTCATCCTGCCTGCGGAATACCAGGAAAGGAGACAGCACATGTTGGATGGAATTTGCACCAACGGACGTCCGTATAGCGCTATCGACTGCTGCAAAGCAATCATCCAAACGCAAGCCTAGAGGATGCGTAGGTGAGCACTTATGCTGGATACGTCTGTCCATATCTCTGGCCTTGCAGAGAAAATTGGAGGACAATCGTGATCGGACGGTCCAGGAGTGCTTGGACCTTTTACCGTAATATTATCAACGGTGATAGACGACAATACTCGGCGCGGTCGAATTCTCTCTTGGCCCATGACGGGAATCCCGCAATTTCCAACAGTACTCCAAACAAGTATAATAGTTATAAGTAGTAGTATAATAAGTACTTGTTTAGTAGTAATAACTCTCTTAATAACTATAAGAAGAAAGAATTACAGAAGTATATTAAGTCCAAGCTCTTAACTAACTTACTTATAAAGACTCCTAGCTTATCTTCTAAAGACCCTTCTACCCCTAGTGCTATCTGTGTTAAGAATACTATTAAAAAGAAGAAGCTTATTAAGAAGGAGACCTCTCTTATAAAGAAGTCAAAGAACACTAATAAGTATATAAATAATACCCTAGATTAGGATAATTCTAATAAAAGTAATACCCCTACTATTAAACGTAAACCCGTATCTATTACCGCTACCTCTACTCTTATAACCTCTAAGAAAATCTTATTCTAAGTTACTTAGTCTTCTAAGACCGCTCTCTCTCTAGAGAAGGCTATTAATAGTGATAAAAATACTAAGGTTTATACTAATATTAATAATATTAAGGATAAGGATAATAGTAATTATTTTAAGAAGAAGAAGAAGAAGAGATCTACTAAGTGTTAAGCTCCTAAGACTACTTCCGGAACTACTACTAGATTACACTAAGCCTGCCCCTATTATAAGGCTATTATAACTACCTCTACCTTTATTACTAGCTATCCTCCTAAGATTAAGTTACTTCTTAATAAGTACCCTTAGTAATACCCCTGTAATAAGAGTACTTCTAACCCTGCTAATACTTAGTTCTACCTTATTACTTATTAGATATACTTTAATCTTAAGTATATTAGTTATATTAGTAGCGCCCTCGCCTAAGATATTAATAATAAATATTATTATATAACCTGCTTTAAAGGATATATTTATCGAATTATTACTAAGGCTATTCTTACTAAGCGTAGCGTACTAGGTAGTTCTTCCTTAGCTCACCCGGCTACTATAAGTAAGTATTTTTCTCTCCTAGCTAGCTATAATACTAATAATAATAGTAATAGTAAGGGTAGTAAAGAAATAGACGCTAATAATAATAAAATAGCTAAGGATACTGCCCCCCTAGTCTGATAAGTCTCTCCTACTACTATATTTATTATCTATATAGATTTATTTAGTTATATAATTAGTGTTTAAGGCGATTATTTTCTTTGATTTCTTTATATAATAACTACTTTAAGTACTACTCGCGATACTACTTATTTCCTTTTCTTCTAGTTTAACTTTAATATTATTATAAGTAGTTAATAGATAGGATTTAATAATATTTAACTTTACTTATTCTTTTACCTAATAAGTAAATATAACTTATATCTCCTACCTAAAATTCCTAGCCTCCTTAGGAACTCCTATTACCCTATTTCCCCCGCCGGGCGAGTTAAATTATCCCGCGGCCTAGTAGCCTAATTATAATAGCTATATACTTACTTTCCGGAATTACTACCTACTTTTCCTCTAGTTCTTAGAGGTCTCTCTCTGCTCTAGCTTACCTTCTTATTACTAGCGTAGTACTTAGGATATTACTTCCTAAGTTACTCTTTATATTACTAGCTACTATACTCTCCCTCTTACTTAGATCTTCGGGTTCGGAATTATTAAGCTTCTTACTAACTTTAACTAGTTCCTAGATAGAGTCCCTTTTATAAAAGACCTTAAGTTAATTCTCTAAAAATATACTACTAAGTTAAGTACTATAGAGTTCCGAGAGTATATATATTCCTTTCTCTGTGATAACTATATTAATCCTATATAAGCTAAGCTATTAGTAGCTAAGCTTTAGTTTAGAAGATATATCGACTTCCTATTTAGTATTATATAATAGAATAATATTACTAACTTTAATTTCCGCTTAATAAATCCGCCGATTAGTATTAAACCTATCCTTACTTATTACTTATATCTTATACTACTTCGTAGTTACTTCTTTTAAATCTTCGTCCCTGATCTAAATCTGCTTTATATAGAGAGCTAAAGTCTCTACCTCTATCTAAGTATTCTTTTAATCTATAACCCTTTAAGTAAGGACTCTTATTTTAACTAGTAGAACCGCCTCTAACTTATATTATATCTAAGATAGTATATACCTAGTTATTCCTTTTACTATATAGTAGTTTATTAAAAGTACTATATATAGATTTCTAACTTAATCGCTTATCCCCTTATCTATTATCTTTACTAAGGTATCTATAATAGGTTTATAATCTTACTCTATTATTCTATTCGCTAGGGTATAATAAGCTGATACTACTACTCTTCAGATCTTATATTTCCGAGCGAGCTCTTTTACTTACTTCTTATTTTCCGGCCCCTTATTTATAACTAGCTTTCTAAAGATCCTATAGTAATATATTATATCTTCTTAAAGGAAATCTATAATAGCTACTAAAGTCGTATTTACTAGGGCTCTAGCTTTAACTTACCCGGATAAATTATCTCGTGCTATAACTAAGTAGTACTTTCCTTACTTTAGTAGTAAATATATTATATTTATTCCTACTTTAGTCTATAGAGCGCTAGTCTATATAGGATAAAGCGCTTCCTTTATCCTAGTAGAGTCCTGAAGTTAATAAGCTTTATATATTACTATATAAGCTTTTATATCTAGGTATAGTAAATCTTAGAAATACCTTTTTATAACTTTCTAGTAAGTACTCTCTTATTCTTTATAACCTGTATTCTTATAAAGGGATTTAAGGATTGTTTACTACTTCTTTTTATTATCTACAACCCTTCTTATCGGAAGACCTTTATTAGTATAGTAATATAGAACTCTGTTCTAAACTATATAATTTAGGGCTTACTACTTAAATCCCCTGAAGTCCTTAGGGTTAACCTTACTTAGCTGCTTTAATATAAGAAGATACTTTATAATAAGCTTAGAATCTAAACTCTATACCCCTTATAAGTAAGGAGTTGCTCTCTTAGTCTAGATACTAACTTTAACTTAGCTAAACTAAGTATCTACGAAGTTATTAATATCCTCTTCTAGAGCCTTAGTATTTAACTCCTTCTAAGTAGCTAGCTACTTAGATAGCTTATCTACTATAGTATATTTAGTTCCTAGTATATAATATACTTTGAAATTAAAAAGGCGTATCTAAGTAATCTATCTTATAACTAGAGCCCTAAGTAAGTCCGACGCCCCTTAATTAAGCTACGTAACTAGAACTATAGCGTCTATTTCTAGGATAAAGTAGTAGCTAATTAAGACCTTATAAACCTTCTTTAATACCTTTAAAACCCCGCGATACTCCCTTTTAGTAGTATTATAGTTTCTTTCTATAGCTATCTATACTCCGCTATTATACTTAATAGGATAACGCTTAAAGTTATAATCTAGCTATATTAAGACTATCCCTTATCCCTATAAGCTTATATCTACTACTAGAATTACTTCGCTACTTCCTTTAGAGATATCTAGCCTTACTAGCGCTAAGGCTATTATTAAAGCTAACTTTAGCGTATCTATCGCGAACCTTTTAATATCCCTAAATTTCTACTTTACCTTCTTTTAGAGTAAAAGGTATAGTAGCTTAGCTTTTCTAGTGTAATTAATAATCTAGATATAGTAATAGCTATAGACTCTAAGAAACGCCCTAACTTCAGTTATATTTTAATATTCCCGCTAGTTAAGTATTTTTATCACTTTTTTATTATCTAGTAACTTACTTTCTATAGTATAAATATAACTTACTAACTTTAGGCTATTAACTCTGAACTACGACTTAGAGCTAATCGTAGCCCCTACTCTTTCTATATTAGCTAGGACTATATCTAAATTAATAAAGTACTCTAAGATATATCTTTAAATACTAAGCTTAACCTCCTTATTATTATATTTTAAGTAAGGGCCTAAGATAGGAATATTATTAATAAATATCCTAGCTCTCTTAAGCTCGTAGTCCTTTAGAATTACTTTTCTAACCCTATAAAATTATACGATAGAATTAGTTGCTTTTTAAACTAAGGTAGT